CTCTATCAACTTGCAAACTGACAAACAAGAGACATGCAGTGAATGCGACTCTCCAATTCAACTTTCTCACAACAACCCTCTCTTCCTCCTTGGTCCATTCAAACGTGGGGTCGAATGCAGAGTAGCTCTCGTATCTAGAGCTTGTGTACAAGTCACGATAGTACTCTTCAACTTTAGGATCCAAGAATGGGTTACGCTCTAATGCGTCGGATTCAATGGACGAGTCCGATTCGATAACCGTGATGACATCCTTTTCGCCTTTGAAGTCGGCTCTGTTATCACCTAAAGATGACGCTGAATCAATGGAAGTGCGACGAGTCATATCTAGTTCCAAACTTCTGTGATTGTTGTCGCCTTGGATGCCCCATTTGCAAGTGGGCAGCATATTTTAGAGGGTCACCATCTGTTATTTATAGTCAGATCAGTAACGGTTGAAGTACGCACATACACGAACCACACAATTTGCAATAATTGTGGGTCTTAGTCTAACTATTTTTAGCCCAAGATGCTCATTAATCTTGGCGCCAAGCCGAAATTTTCCCTTGATACGTAACTAAGCAGTACTCCTGTTCATTAACGTTGCTAATTTGTATTGCAAAGTGTTGAAGTTACAAAGTTTTAAATTGTGGTTGAGATTTATTTTTAGGTTTCTTTTTTTTTTTTTTTTCTTTTCTTCTTTTTATGCAAATTGAGATGAAAAAATTAACCCAACAAACTGTGGCTGCAAATATCCACTATTGCAAATGCATGTAATTATATACCGAAACAAGCCACATTTTACGAGATAAGGCGGGTGTTGAAAACACAAATTAAAGAACACTAAGTGGAGGTTAATTGATCATAAATGTGCTCATGTGGAGGCAGGACAACTTCAATAACTATAAAGTTTGTCTAGGTAAAGTGAAAAATTCACCAACGATCCGATGCAATCTCCTGTAAATCTCTTTGGCTTTGATGTGAAAAAAAAAAGAAAATCTTGTTCAATCGTTCTCTGGTTTACACACACTTGTGTTTCACCAATAATCTTTCTTTGCCGCCATAGTCATCTCTTGCAGTTCACATCACAGAAAAGACCTCTACGTTGCTTCCTCTTGTGGAGTACCAGTAAATCTCACGTTAAACAAAATATACAAAATAAACACTAAGAAAGAAAAGACTCCACTTAGATCTTAGATTTAACAAGCTCACCAACTAACTCCACCAATCCAACAGCTGTGGTCCAAGTTTTGAAGAAAGTCGATGGGCCATTCACTCTAACATTGCCAGTTTCGCCAAACCAGACCCTACCTCCATAAGAAGCCATACCTGCAGTCAACAACCTATCCTTGGCAGGTGAAAATGGAGGGTATCTTGCCTCCAACATCCAATCATTATTCAATGGTTGTTCAATTACCGTTCTTTCATGGGTGAATGTTCTGTAGGAGAATTTACCATGGTAAGAGCCGTATCCGGATTCACCAACACCTCCAAATGGGGCGCTGTGTAAAGTGATGTGCATCAAGACATCATTTACAATCAAGCCACCTGAACGCACCGATTTCTTAACAGCAGCAATTTGTGGATTCTTTTCGGCTGATGTGTATCCTCCAGTAAAGATGTAAGAAGCCAATGGGGTGTCGTGGTTTCTCACAATGTCTCTACAAGCATCGTTGAGATTAGTGTAGGAAATGATTGGCAAGATAGGACCAAAAATCTCTCCCTCCATTGATGAGTCTGTCCATGAGGCATTGTCAATCACAGTTGGAGCAACGTATCTTGATTCTGGGTCATAGTCTCCTCCAGTAACAACGGTTCCCTTCGTCTCCTTTATAATCTTTACCATTCTGTTGAAAGCACGATCATGGATCATGTGAGTAAAGTTCTTGTCATTCTTGTTGACTCCTGGGTAAAGTTCATTCTCAATAACCTTTTTAATTTCAGCAACAAACTTGGCACGTTTGGATTCCGGAATCAAGACATAATCAACACCAATACAAGTTTGTCCAGCATTGGCAAAACGACCCCACGTGATTCTACGCGCAACAGTGGCCAAGTCCTTATCCTTGACATCGTTCAAAATGATAGCTGGCGATTTACCTCCCAATTCAAGAACAACGGGAGTCAAATTCTCAGCAGCCTTTTTAGCAATGATTCTACCAACCATACCATTACCAGTGTAAATAATCTTGTCGAATTTCTGTTCCAAAAGTCTGGTAGTCTCTGGAATTGCACCATTGACCGCGAAAAAGATTTCAGGGTCCAAAGCCTTTGTCAATAATTCAACAAACAACTTGGAGAATCTGGGTGTTAATTCTGAAGGTTTGAAAACAACAGCGTTTCCAGCAGCGAGGGCTCCCACAATGGGTGAAATGGAGACAAACAAAGGATAGTTGAATGCTGAAATGACCAAAACCACACCGAGTGGAATTCTCTCAATGTAAACTGGGTTTGTCAACAAACTGACTGGCAAATCTGAAACAGGTTCCGGTTTGGCCCATTTGTGCAATTGGGTCATGGTGTGCAACAATTCATTCAAACCAGTGGAGATTTCATAGTTTTTGGTCTCGGATGAGTTTCTGGCAAAGTCCAATTCCAAAGCATCGCAGATTTCTTGTTGGTGATCCTTGATTGCAAAATAAAGGTTTCTCAATTGGTTTAAACGGAATTGAAGTGAGTGGGTCTTACCGGTAAAGAACCCATCTGTGACCTTTTTAACTCCAGCTGGGATTTCGGACAAATCAGTGTACTTGTATTCAAATCTATCAGTGGAAGCTTGAGCAGTTGAGGTCTGAGCAGTTGATGCCTGAGTACTTGAAGCTTGGGTGGTATCGGCTGATTTACCAGAAGCAGAATCAGCCAAGTTAGACTCTTGGTTGGATCTCTTGATGGAAATTCTATGCTCCAATGAAGGAACTTCTCCAGCTGATTTGGGCGACGAAGCTGATGATTCTGGAGAACTTAATCCGACATGGTCCAATTGCGGAGCAGGAATGGAGTTGGTTTTGGTGGTTCCATTTGCACCAGAAGCTGTTGCAGCGGCGCCGGTTCCACCAGCTTTAGCAGTGGTTGTTTTTCCATTGGGGGCAGATGACCCATTTGCCCTTGTCGAAGACAGCTTTGTTGATTTACTCATTATCTTTGAGGTATATTTCTTGGTGAATTTCTTCAATTTGAGAAGGCTGAAATTGTGTGTATGTTGAATAAGCGGTTGAAGTTAGTGTATATCTGGAAAGACGGATACACCTTTAACGAATGGTGTAACTGGGGTCTTGTATAGAGAAATATATATATATATATGTATATATATGAGTTGGTGGTTGGAAAGGGCAAAAAAACGGATATAGAAGGAAGTTTTGCCTTTTTCTCTTTTTTTTATTCTTCTTCTTTATCCTTCGTTAGGGTAAGGGTGGGGAAAAGTGAGAATGAGAAATTTGGTGGGGGAGAGAGAGAGAGACTTTGCATATGACAGAAAGACACGAGTACTGCATATAATAATATGAAATAACAGTATAAACCTCTGTGATTTTGTAAACTCAGTCGTTTATACTAAACCAACTTGATAACTGATAGACAAATGTTCAGAAAGACGGTAGGGTTAGATATTGGAAAACAGGTGATTATTATGTAAAGTCTACTGGATGCAGTGTGAAGGAGTGTTCCCACTGATTATGAGCTAGTTTAGGTCGTAGTTTCTTCATTTCAACAACTAAGCAAAAGGGAGACAGAGAGACACGTTTAGAACCACAACTAGTTCGGTCTTGGTATTCCTCTTATCACTCTGATACAATACCTCCTTCTCCTTTTACCCCCTCCGTGTATGGGGCATGTCAAGCGAAACACCGACGGAGTTAAAAACTTTAAAATCACAAATCGAGGACTCGCACGACTATCCTTACTATCTCCGAAAGAAAAAATAAAAAATAAAAAATAAAGAGCTCTTTTACTTAATGGAAAAGAACAACATCTGTTTGTGAACAAAGAGAGACATGGATACTCCAATTGGGCTCGAAGGAACTATAGATTCAGACTATTCACTTGAAAATCGAGATGATATAACCCATTTTAGACAATTGGACTCAGTAGGTGATTCCGATCATGGATCGACTACTGAACATTTGCCTGATCCTCGACTGCTGCTGGTACAACCAGAGTTGGCAAACGTGGCTACTTCGACAACTGGCACGAACCAAGAGGGGCAGATAACGACGCGTGATGACAAAAGTCATTCCGATGCACAGAATGGCACCAACCAAGTAGACCATTCACTACTAGAAATTGATAAGATGGATATTGATACACCACGTGAACAGGTTAATACTCTGCGCACTGCAACTGAGCCAGAACCTGTCGACACCGGTTCTCCCCACAACAACACTACGCTAGCTACCCCCAATGACCAATCAGACGATGCACTTGCGAAAATCAAACAAATTCAACTACTTCCCGAATTGTATGATATCTTGTTCAACTTCACCAATGGTCAAATACACCCGCGTGATTTTGACAAACATATAGGCAATATGCGATCAAAACTTAATAATTTGAAGCTGTATATTCTGGAGATTGATGATATTGAAGTTACTCCAGAACTGATGATGAGTGAAATTAATAGATTGAGGGAAAATAATCTCAAGAAGCAGAGTTTGTTGGAATCGTTTGGAGATAAAGTGCGAAATGAGTTTATGTGAATATGATTGCAGTTACTCTACGGTGTCCCCTTTAAATATACCCACGCAAGTATGTAGACATAAAGTTTCGGTTTATGACATGTCCCAGCCCCCCACCTAGTAGCAAGCTCCCTGAACGTTGCGTTGTCATTGACAACAGCGCCATCAACATGGAGGTGCAAATGAATTTCTACCTGTTCTTATGAATCAGGTTACGCATCACATAGAGTTGATACGTGTTTGTGTCGTCTGCTGTGTGTTTCAGTTTGGTAGACTTGATTATCGCGCGAAATATTTTGTTTTTTTTTTTCGCTCACTCACAGAGGGGAGAAGAAGAAGAAGAAGAAGAAAAACACACGAACCTTAATCAACCAGCTGGTGAAATATACACTTAATCTCCAATGGAACAGACTCCTGCAAACACTTTCCCACCACAAACATTGGTAATCCTCAAAAACACACCCGCATTAACTGCTGGATTACCCATTTTCACCTTTATACTATGTTTCTTGAAGAATACATTGGGATTTGAATTCTCCAGTTTGATACTTTATCCGAGATCACCATTGGAGTTCAATTTAAATGCGCTATCGTTCTACTCAATGATCCATGTCGGATATTTGCATTGGTTTTTGAATATATGCGCAATTTACACTCCATTGTCCATTTATGAGAAACGTCATGGTACTGTATACACGGGGATCACTTTAAATCTTTTAACCGTTATTGCTGCTTTACAGTATTGTATTGTGGGACTGTTTTTGTATCCTGAGACTGGTGTAGTTGGATTGTCGGGGATTGCATTCTCATTTCTTGCGTACATGGCATACAAGGAACATCAGTATAAGCCTGTGTTGGAGACGTTCAATATTGCATCACGCGAGATCAAGATTTATACACTTGCTACCCCGTTTATTGCTGCCGTTGCATGTTTGATTGTGTTTCCTGCAAGCTCTTTACCTGGCCATTTAGCTGGCATTTCAACTGGATTTCTTTTAGCTAAAGGGTACATTGCCAAGTTGTTTCCTCCATCAAGTGTAATTTTGAAAATCGAGTCATTTGTTGCACCTGGTATTGCATTTATTGGGCAGATTGTTTCTTATTACAAAGAAGAAGATGCTGTAAATGGTAGGGGTGTGCAATATGAGCCATTGTTTGGCCAAGTGGATGCAGAAGCTTCATCTGCTACGACTTCCATCGCCCAACCACAGCCTACACGTAGCTCGTCATATATTCGGGAGACACACGTATTGGGGAGCTAGGGAGATTGGGCTATGGAGGACTATAGTGCTTATATCAATACAGATGCTGTGTATAGAAGTTTTCTGCAAAGTGGAAAATCTATTAATATCGAACCTTGTTTTATTCTTTATTGATCAAGAGAAAAAGATAGACAACAAAGCCTGGTGTGTGATACATTTGATGTGATGAAAGTTTATAGACAGAAGCAAGTAGGACTGTTGTACTGAAAAGAAGTAGATATATATATGTATATATATATATATAAACCCTAATAAGTGGAGATTATGAATAACCGACAGACAGACAGACAGACAGAAAAATACTAAACAGTCAACAACAATAAACAACCCCAAACAACAACCAGAGAGAAGGAAAATAAAAAAAAAAAAAAATAAAACCATTCCAGCCAGACTTGAACCCTATAATCAACATTTACTCATAACTATTACTACTACTACTACAACAACTGTTCTTATCGCTCCTTTTCTTATCACGGATATATACATGCACCTCATTCCCTGTCTATAAATTATTCAATTAACAGTTTTCAAATCACAGACACTAACTTCTCCACGCTTTTGGTACTACGAATACCCCACCAATTATGCTATCTAATTTTCCAAATGGGGAAGCACACAACGAAGTTAATCGTACCACCACAAATGGAAGTAGCAGCATAGACAAAACTGCAAACAGTCAACAAGCGAAACCGCTACTGGCAAATCAGCAATGCAATGCCAACCAAGGAACAAAGAAACGCACAAAGAAGAAGAATAAATTCAAAAACAAGACTCAATTACACCCCAAACACGAAGCCCCGCAGTCTCAATCATCCCCAATCAAACCAGCTGCAAGAGTAACTTTGCCATCCGATGCTAGTACTGGAAATGATGGAAAATCTGTGCCGAGCAAGGAGCACGAGAGCGTAGGTGCAAACATAACGGCACACAAGACCGAAACCATATCAAATAAACCTAATTCCACGCGAGTACAGCTGTCGCGACAAGAAGCGGAATCTCCAAAATCAACGCCAGTACTACCCTCGCAACTACTGTTTCAAAGCAACTCAAGCTCTCAACTCTCTTCAACACAAGGCTACAAGTCACCGAGGAAAGAAATGTTGATCCGTAATAAACGAAAGGAGAGTGGACAAAAGGGCAACAACCTCGACCTCCGAGACAATTTAAAGTCCGCAGAAAATGCCGGCTTTTCCCTGTCAGGTACTGCTGCTGCTGCTGCTGCTGCCGCTACTAATTCTGTCTCGGAAGATCCCCCATCAGTGACATTGATGATGGACGACAAGGTGACTCTATTCAAATACAAAAACCTGAACATTGTTGAACTACCCCACAAAGATGACAAAACGGGGTCATTGTTGGCTCATGGAGAACTTGAAATCTTTCAACTACTCAATGGTGGCATCACGTGTTTATCATGTGGTGGTAAGCTGTTTATATACCCTTTACTTCCCAAAGTTAAAGTTTTCAGAATTGGATTCAATCAATACCTCATACCAATGTTGAATCCAGAACGGTATTGGAAAATTACTGTTGATACTGAAGAAAGTAACGTGTTGGCTATTCTTCAAGGAACATTGGAGAGGAATGTGAACTATATTCATGTTAGTGATAAACATGCTTTTGATCTGAGAACTTATAAACAAGCCCACGCGCAATTGCTGCAGGCGCAATCGGGTTCCGATAGACGTGGCAGGGCTATCTCTGCTCATGACTTGAACGCCAAGCCACACGAGTTGAATTCTAGCCCCAATCCAAATGGAGAAGGCTTTCACACTATTATTGACACCGAAATACCGGAATCACCACCATCGGCTCCCATTTCTCCTCCCCATTCGCCAGTGAAGGATTTCGAATTATCACCGAAAGCCCCACCTTCAGATCATGCCAAATCAGTGTTGAAGACATCGTCACAGCAGTCTTTATCTACAAATGTTGCATGCCTTGACTGGAAACCTACTACACAACACCATCAACAACTCAAAGCAAGACGTTCTTTCCATGCCAACCCCTATAAATCAAATTTTGCCAACTATGAAAAAGATCTGCAAAACATTAGCAATAGAAGCAACACTGTTCCTCATCGCCAAAGTGACCTCGCACATCCACAAACTCCTATTAAAACAGTTGAAGAACAATCAGAAGGATCGATGGATTCACTATTGGATGAATTTGAACAAAATATTGCAAGATCTGTACGAAACCCATCGGTTTACTCTCGACCCATGTCACGACTCCAATCCGTCACCTCGCAACACAATCCGGTTCCTGTTTACTCAAGAGGGAAATATTTCCATGGAAATATTGATCACGATGATGATGATGATGGTGATGGTGATGATAATGGTGTCATAAATGAAGATGAGGTGTATGAAGATGCACGTGGGTTCCCTTATCATCGAGGTGGAGGACACCTTAATGGAAGCACGCATGAATACGCAATTCGAAATGGCGAGAAAGGTGGTGATTTTGTTCATGGGCACGCCAATGCTGGTGGTGGCACTAGCAGTGTGCATGATCGTGGTCTTCATTCCGCCAGAAGCAGGAAATCATCACGCAGTGACTTGTACACCAATGAAAGCGGATGGATGGAACCAAATATAGACCAAACTGTCTATCAAAAATCCACTGGAATTCGCAGCACAGGTCCGACTAATGTATCCTCGAGATTACCGAAATCGCGGTCGAGTTACAGTATAAGCAGTTCAGCTTCCAATGCGTACAGCTTGGGAAACATTTACCGATCAGTCATTGGTTCGCAACTGCGTCGAGATTCGTACTATAGTCAAAGTCATGTACAGCAGCAACAACAGCAACAACAACAACAACAACAACACCATCTTTATCCTTATCAGCACATGTCGCTGCTGCAACTGGTGAGAAACGGGCGTTATGACGCAACTAATTTTGATTCAAGATCCACTACGAAATCAATGTCTCGATTACCAAATACGGCCACTCGACAACTGGACATAAATAGACAAAGACAAAGCACTTATTTTGGCCTCAATGCGAATACCCATTCTGTTAATGGTTCCGTTAGTGGAAGTGCAAGAAATGGGTATGATCTGACTGGGGAAAGTCGTGGTGGTGGTGCTGGAGGTACACGCAATGTCCATGTCAAGTTAAATTCTAGTGAAATATATCAATTGTTGAGTACAAAGGACGAACCACAGAGGTCGAACGCCATTACCACACCAGTGAAACCGTTGCCAAGGAGTACGAGTTTCACATCGCGATTATTTGGGTGGTGATAAAAACAGTCGCAGGGCCGTGTCTAAGTCGCTGATATGGTTATTAATGATGAATGAAAGATGAAAATAAGGTGAGAGTATTTATTTTATATATATATATATGTACAAACAAAAAAGTGGAAATGATTCAATGTAATGAAAAGGACAACTGCAAGGGGAGTTTTTGATGTATGATATTTTTGTTTCTGATGACCAACTGCTTTGTTGGTCCCTCTATATGAAACGGTACAACAATCACAGGCAAAACATGGTTTTGCAAACATCTTTGCTCAAACCCACATCACCTGCTTCTCGCCAACAAATTATGAATGTGGCTCTCTTCAAAACAAAATCTCTCCGTCTTATATCCCTAGGGCCATCTCCCTTATAAAGCGGGAGCTGGAGCACCAGGAACTGGGTTTCCATTAGCATCAACCAATCCTTGTTGCATCAACAACAATTGCTCATTACCGGCAGCCTCAAATTGCAAACCCAAACCCAATCTTGAAGTGTTCTTGAATTGATCAATTTCACCACTAAACAATACACTAACAGTAGGCAAGATTCTCTTTTCTAAAAATGCTGCAACTTTCCCCTTGGAGTCCAACTGACCTCTGAAAACAGCGGTTCTGTATTCGTATTTGGCACCAATGGTTGTGGTTCCCTCAACAACTGGCTCGAATCCAATACCCATCAATGGATCAGCAACTTGTTTGACGGAAGCGGCAATTTGAGTTTCCAAACCAGCTTCAACCTTGTCGCTGACTTTTCTCCAGAATGAAGCAACCAATGCACCTTGACCTTGGAATTGGGCCGAGGCAACCCATTTTCCGGGGTTATTGTAACGAGCAACGTACGAAACTGCAGTGTCTGGGGGAGCCAATGGTTGTTTAGAGTACATTGCTTCTAAGCCAAGAGCGAATTTTGGAGTTATGCTTTGCAACAACGATGCAACTGCAACTCCGGAAAATCCATCGTACAAGAAACTTGGATTCAATGTTTTCAAATTGATGGAGAAGTCATTAGCTTGATAATCTTGTTCTAATTGAACCATAGCTGGCTGTGATTGAGCCAATTGCAAAGTGATTTTAGAAATGTTGGCCTTGTCCCATCCATAATTGATTCTTCCACTAAAACTCAAATCATTATCAATGTTTCCCTGTAAGAAGTAATCATCAGCGGCAAACAAGGCACTGAATGCATAAGGAGGCAATACTTGCGATCCCAAACTCAACGTGTGAGAAGTTTGGAAAGCTGGCGACATGGAAAAGGCCTTGTTCAAATCAGCTCTCAACCCAGTGAAAAAGTATTGATTCAAAAACACATCTCTGCTCACTTCCTTGTTCAAGTTTTCAATGGTTCCTGGGTTGGTCAATCCCAAGTTGGCACGGTGCTCGCTTATGGCGTTGTGGACATCGTTCAAGTATGAAAAGACTGGGTTGGATGACCAAAATGAGTTTTGCTTTGGTGGTGGTGGGGTGACGCTAGGTAATGTAGGAATGGCCAATTTGGAGATATCGTTAATTGGCACTGGAGTGTGCTGTGGTTGTGGAGCTGACATGACTATGGAATATGGGTATGTATTTCTGTCTCTGTGTGCGTATGTGTGTGTGTGTGTGTGTGTCTATCTGGTCTTGTATTCCTAAGAGCTAACAACTTTGCAAAGCAGTGATCTCCTCTCTCTCTGTCTCTCTGTCTCACTCTCTTTCTCGCAATACGTTGAAAATTTTTAAATTTTTTTTTTTTCTTTGTTTTGTGAAGAGAGAGAATTGGTCAAACTTACACGACAACGGATGTTGGAACCTGGTAGCTCTATCCTTCACTTTGCAGCATCCAAGCCAGATTGCATGTTTGAGTATAGGAAGCTGAGGATGTGACCTGGTTAAGTTCATGTACACCCTGAGGCTGGGTTGGAGTCAAGTGTACACAACAGCTAAACTGAGTATGGCTCTGTTCGAAAGGCAGAGGTTGTTTTTTTGCATTTCATCAAATTTGCCGAGTTTGAAATCTTTCCGTTAGACTAATATATCGCAAGTCTTGTTTACCCTTGCTATGATGTTAGGTAGCAAGCGCAGATTTGTCAATACGTTTCATACAGGTGATCAGTGTCAATGTAATGGAAGGCTTGTTCATGTAATCAAGTGAGTCGAAAAAAAAGAAAAAAAAAACAACGAGGTTTGAAGAAAGTAATGGGGTGATATTCTAGAAGTTGAGATTGATATACTGTGGATTAGAGAGACACGTAGAGGTATAGACGTATGTGAGCTTCCCTCTTTCTGTCACAGTCTGTAATGTGTATAGTATGATACACTGTGAATTTTGTGTAAAGGAGTTTCGCAATTCAATGAACCGAAAAATCAATCTTCATCATCCATCATTATTCATTTTGAACTCCGATCAATCATCATATTATAAATTGGGAAGGCACTTTTTCCAATTGATACAGCTTCACAAGTTAACCATAACTACACAGACTATCCCAAATTCAATTGAATACTTTCGCTAAACGTTACTCGTTAACAATCGACCTTTCCCTTCCCAGTAGATAAAGCATGACGTCAATTGTTAATGGAACATCGACAATTTACTTAGTGGCTGCGTCACAGCAATTACTAGACAACGCAGTCACATTCTACACCAACACATTGGGTCTTACCGAACATTCCAAGTCACAAGACACGACATACCTCACCAATGATGGGAACAAGTGCATCATTGAAATCAAATTAGATTCGCACAAGGGGTTATCTGAGACTGAGATTCAATCAAGACGGTCCAAAATTGAGTCAAAACTAAATGTGGTTGATTGGAGATCTTTGGATAATACCTCAGTTATCAAAGTTGACAATTTGGTTGACTTGATTGAAGTGTTGACCGATTCCAAGTTTGTTTTACAAATTACCCCTAATGAATTGTACCCCAACGAAGTATATATTGTTGACCCGTTGGGCTACATAATTGGATTCACTGCTTGTAATGACCCATTGACTGTTGTGCCACCTGTTCAAAAAACCAGACCTGCTGTTGCTAGTACTGCGATGCAAACCAACATTCCTTCAACTGCCACTTCAACCAAGAATGATTTGGAATTCTTGGGCGAGTTCAAACGTCGGAGAAATGTTGGTGTGATGACCTCTGGTGGTGATGCTCCGGGAATGAATGCGTGTGTTCGTGCTGTGGTTAGGGCTGCTATATACCGTGGATGCAAGGCGTTTGCTATTATGGAAGGTTATGAGGGTTTAGTTAGAGGCGGACCTCGTTACATCAAACAAATGAAGTGGCAGGATGTTAGAGGTTACTTGAGTGAAGGTGGAACTAGTATTGGTACTGCAAGATGTATGGAGTTTAAGGAACGTTGGGGTAGATTAACTGCTTGTAAGCACATGATTGAAGCTGGTATTGATGCCTTGATTGTTTGTGGTGGAGACGGATCTTTAACTGGTGCTGATTTGTTCCGTAGTGAATGGCCCTCGTTGATTGCCGAGTTGAAGGAGAAGGGCGATATCACTGAAGAGGAATACGAGAGACATAAACATTTGTACATTTGTGGTTTGGTTGGATCTATTGACAATGACATGGCCACTACTGACTCCACGATTGGTGGCTATTCTGCATTGGAAAGAATTTGTCGTGCAGTGGATTATATCGACGCAACTGCCAATTCCCATAGTCGTGCCTTTGTGGTTGAAGTTATGGGTAGGCATTGTGGTTGGTTGGCGTTGATGGCCGGTATAGCCACTAGTGCTGACTATATCTTGATTCCCGAAAAGCCGGCATCCAGTCGTGACTGGACCGATCAAATGACTCATATTGTGTCACAGCACAGAAAAGCGGGCAAAAGGAAAACGATTGTTATTGTTGCTGAAGGAGCTATCACGTCCGATTTGAAACCTATTAGCTCTAAAGAAGTCAAGGATGTTCTTGTTGATAGATTGGGTTTAGATACAAGAATCACCACATTAGGACACGTCCAAAGAGGTGGTGGCGCTGTGGCATTTGACCGTATTTTGGCTACATTGCAAGGTGTTGAAGCAGTGAAAGCTGTATTGGAATTGGATCCTCAAACACCATCGCCATTGATTGCTATTGATGAAAACCAGATTGTTCGTAAACCATTGGTGGAGGCTGTCAAAATCACTAAATCTGTAGCCGCAGCAATTGAAGACAAGGATTTTGAAAGGGCTATGTCGTTTAGAGATTCGGAATTCAAAGAGCACTTGTATAATTTCATTGCAATGAATACTGCTCACCACATGGGGCCCTCGTTGCCTGTGGAGAAGAGAAAGAAGATTGCCATCATTAATATTGGTGCCCCTGCCGGTGGTATGAACTCGGCAGTTTATGCCATGGCCACCTATTGTATGTCAAAGGGACATACTCCATATGCCATCCACAATGGATTTTCAGGCTTGTCGAGACATGAGTCTGTAAAGTCAATTGAGTGGTTGGATATTGAAGGTTGGAATAGTGTTGGAGGTTCATTAATTGGAACCAATAGGCACCTTCCAAGTGAGACTGATATTGGAATGATTGCCCACTATTTTGAAAAGTATCAATTTGACGGATTGATTATTGTTGGTGGGTTTGAAGCATTTGTGTCATTGAATGAATTGGAACAAGCAAGATCAATGTACCCTGCGTTCAGGATCCCCATGACTTTGATTCCAGCAACCATTTCCAATAATGTTCCTGGCACTGAATACTCATTGGGGTCAGACACTTGTTTAAATGCCATTATGGAATATTGTGATATTATCAAGCAGTCGGCATCAGCAACTAGGGGAAGAGCATTTGTAATTGAAGTTCAAGGAGGGAATTCTGGATACATTGCTACCTTTGCGTCATTGGTAAGTGGGGCTCAAGTATCGTATGTTCCTGAAGAAGGTATACAGTTGGAACAATTGGAAATGGATATCAACTCCTTACGTGAATCCTTTGCCGTTGAAAAAAACATGACCAAAGCAGGCAAATTAATCATCAAGTCTTCCAATGCATCCAAAGCTCTAACACCACAAGTATTGGCAGACATAATTAGCGCCGAAAGCTATGGCGAATTCGACACAAAGACGGCCATCCCAGGACATGTTCAACAAGGTGGAATTCCATCGCCTATTGATCGTACCAGAGCTGATAGGTTTGCCATTAGAGCGGTGCAATTCATCGAGGAGCATACTGAATGTATGAAAAAGACGAGGTACGAGTTGGATTTCCCCCAAGATGACGATAAGTTGCAAGCCACTGCTGCGGTCTTGGGAGTTAAGGGATCGCATTTGCGATTCACTTCGATTCGGAGATTGTTTAATTTTGAAACTGAGTTGGGTAGACGGATGCCAAAGAGAGTGTTTTGGACAAAGACTAGACAGATTGCTGATGATTTGGTTGGTAGAGCTAGGTACCATAAAGTAGAATGATGAGTGGAGCAGTTTGTAGTAGATATGATACAATGTAGGCTGTGTTGGATGGATGGTTAATTTTGATCAAAAGTACAGAAAAGGATGATTGCTGCAAAGAGTTGCGGGTCCCAGTACTTTTTTTTGTATTTGTTTTGTTGCCAATTTTGATGCAAAGACTAATCAACAAAGTGTTTTATTCCTCGGGCATGATGTTGGTATATAGAGGAGACATACGGAATATGAATTCCATTTTCAAAGTCAAAGTCCATAAAACAATTTGTGCTTGGACCATGGATTCAACCTTCTTTTGCATGTGTCTATTATATTGTGTGTATATATCTTATTAGCTCTCTTAGCATTAATATCTACTCTACAAGCTTGTAATATTCCACGAGAAAGCTTCAGAAAGCTCTAAGCTACCCTATTGAGTAAGAGAAGTGATTCTTGGATGCATATGTAACTCAATGTTCAAAACTAGGCGCCAGATTTTACAAGTTTCCTAGTTTCAACTTTTCCAAAACCTAAAGCGCAAAGCATCATTGTAACCGATGGTTTTGTCATTAGTCCACTAGAAGTGGTGAAGCTCACTGATGTTTTTGCAACCGATCAAATCAATGATAATTGCACTTGAATACTACTCACCCAAATCGACAATCTTCAATTTGGTTGTTTTGCTTCGCTTTGTTGCCTAAAGTACGCTAGCTAAACTTGTGTGTTGCAGTGTTGCAGTGTTGGAGTGTTGGAGTTTTACATTACACCAAGGTTGGTGAAAGGATGGTCTTCGGAGTTGCACATGCAAGTGAGAGCCGACAAGGGCTATTATGAGACTATACAGTACAGATACGTCAAAACAATCTGGAGCACTCAGATACCCGATGATTGCGTCGTATTGAATTGCATCAGAATCTAGGAGGAGGATTACTTGGAATGGGGAACATATAAATCATACTAAGAATAGAGATACGAAACTCTTAGGAAAACTCTTGGAAAATTAATATTTACAAAACAGGTAAAGATCTACAAACAAATGGTAGTAAATCAACGGGGGACATGAGTTATCTCTCCTTCTAGTACATGTCCAGTACATTCACTCCATTTTCCTTACAAAGCACCACTTTGTCTCATCAACTCAGTAATCTTTGCCGTCAAGACGGGATCATTCTTGATTCTCTTTTGCATCTTTGTAGCCTCAGCAAATGAAATAGCTTGAATTTTCTCTTCAATAGATCTGGCTAAATCACAACTTTCTTCAAAAAGGGTAATGGCATCATCAACTTCATCCTTTTGTAACTTGATTTGGGCCAATGAAATTCTTGCCAACTCCGATTTAGGATCTAATGCGCAAGCCTTTGTTAACAATTCTTCAGCCTCACCCATTCTTTCCAAACTTTCCCTTGAAATCACAGTGGCTTTATTGATCAAAGGTAAAGCACCAACACTAAATCTATCCAATTTTTCTTGTAATCTGGCAGAAACATCAAATTGTCTAATAGCGCCATCAACATCACCCTTATCAGCCAAGATTTCACCGTAATAATTGGGGATTTCTGGACTGGTGGGAAACTTCAATTTGGCTTCAGTGAACTTTTCATCGGCTTCTTGTTGATGACCATTCTTGTATGTGATGCAAGCCAATTGAATATATGCGTAAACATTTTCCGGGTTCAAAGACTTGGCCTTTTTGAAGTTGGTTTCAGCATTAGCTAAATTACCAGTAAGGTAATGCAATTGACCCAAGTGGTAAAATATATCGGGAGAGTTTGGGTCCAATTTTTCAGCCAATGCAAAATCCTTCATAGCTTCCTCATAAGAGGACTTGTCAGCATTGATCAAGGCTCTGTATACGTAAGCTCTAGGCCTTGGTTGAATTGAAATAGACTTGTTAATCAAATCCGCAGCAGTAGTAGGATCATTTTTCAAAAATTGGAAAGCCGATGCATACTCTAAAGCAATGGCATAGGTATCCTTTTTAGAAGCATCTCCTTCCAATGCCGAAACTGCTTGGTTAATCAAAGTGTCGGCCTCATCGTAGCCTTCTCTAGTATTTGCTTTGATTTTAGCCAAGGCGTCATACAAGAATTTACCCCCACCTTCACTGTTTTCATCAACACCGAATAATTCACCTTCGTCGGCAAAAGCACCAAAAAAGGATCCAATAGTAGCGGCCGAAGGCAACGCCAAAACTTTCTCCTTTTGGTCAACGATTTTAATGGAATGTTTTCTCAAAACTCTTTCCAAGATTTGCTCAACTGACTTGTTTGAGAACCCACCATAGATGGTCAATGCAGTCAAATCAAACATGGCATCTTCATATCTCTCCAATATTTCATAAGAAGTAGCTCTTCTCAAAATACACTTGGTATAGTCTGGCTTCAACTTGATTGCAGCAGTGGTATCCTTGATGACATTCTCATGGTCGTCTAGAGCAGCGTAACATGCAGATCTGTTGGAATAGTAAATGGGGTCTTCTTTTAATTGCAAAGCAGCAGTGTAGTATGCAATGGCAGTTTCATATTTCTTGTTCTTGAACTCGGTGTTTCCATCTTCCTTTAATTGCACTGCCCACGATTCCTTTTCTTGCTCCGACAACTTGTCGGCAACATCTGAAGTGATGTCAGGCAATCCTTTAGAATTTACTGGATATTGTGGTGATTTCTTGTGAGTGGATGAAGGGGAAGAAGATTCAGGATCAGGGGAAGACGGACCTTTGCTCTTCTTCTTTTTCTTGTTCTTTTTGGAAGATGATCCTGATGTAGGACTGTCATCACCAAGATCTCTTGATGTGGATGATGTTGCTTGCAGTTGGCTATAAAACCAGTATGCACCAACGGCTGAACTCACAGCCAACGCAGTGACTATAATTGCAGTCTTGTTTTTGATGAAGAAACTATCAGACATTGGTGGGATGAATGTTTAATGTGATGTGTGTGTTGTTTGACAATCGTGTGGGTCTTTTTCTAATGGCAACCACCTTTTTTTTAACCTTTTTTTTTTTTTTTTTTCAATTTTTTTTTTCTTTTGTTTTGTTTTCTTCAGATTCACAGTGTGAGTTGGTTGGTTAGTTGGTTGGTGAGTGGTTGGTGGAGTGATTCAAAAAATTTTCAGTAAAAAGGGTCGTGCACTTTGGTAATACTTCTGATCCCCATTCAACCAATATGACACGACCTATGATACACCCCACATCACGAGACGAAGTATTCAGATCATAGATATCCATCAACCGACCTGGTTAAAACTGGTATTGCCAAATCCAAAAAAAAGAATAAAAAAAGAAACAAACGAAACCAAAGTACACTATATAACTTCTATACATAGCCAAGCTAATTGTCATTTACTCTGGATTCGAATAATACTGTTCATGTTGATGATACCGTCTTCTTGCTCGTTGATGCTCACTATCATCTTGATAAGAGCTTTCCAAGACCACATCTTCATAAGTTGGAAGCATAGCGGCATTTGCTGCAGCTAGCGCTCCATTGTCGCCAACACCACCATGTGGGGAACTACCATCACTGCTACCGGGAACTGCAACTGACACTCCACCATTACCAACTGAGCTATAACTAGTATGTCCATTACTGGACGGTGTTACTGATGAATGTGAGTACAGTCTTTCAGAACTCTTGGGAGGTAATGTGGGTGGATTTGAGGCAGTGGTCATAGGAGTCGGCAATTTCAGTGCGGAATGACTATGGGAGATGCCAGGAGTAACACCACCACCACCACCGTTATTCAAGGGAATTGACGATCGTGACGCATTGGATTGCAAAGTACTTGTCATATTCAATCCACTAAGTACTTTGATATTATCACACTGCAAATCAACATACTTGATCTTTTTAGCACATTCTTGTTTATCTCTAAAGTCATGAATTTGCTCACACGAAAACCCACCAACTACACTAAGGATATACTTCCTTGTGATATTACAGGTTTTAAAGCTTGGTGATAAATGATCAGGCAAGATGCAATTGTCAAAGTATTTGCGAGGTATCTCAATTTCATAAACTGACCCACCTGGTGAATGCAAGCTGGTTGAAGATTGTGGTGATGTAGATGAATTAGATGCATTTGGGTTGACTTTACCATGCATTAAATCAAACTTCAAGTTTTGATACGTGTTGTTACAAACGGTCATGACCTCTTCGTGTTGACCCAAATGGTACTCATTTGAAGCCCCGTCATTTTCAACAACAGAAACAAGAGTGATTGAAGTAAGTTTGACTGTGAGTTTTTGCAAGTAGATGATACCAAGTCCATTGGACTCATCCGGTCTTCCATATTCTGCCAATGTATACCTTGATGGGTCGAGATTGGATATGAGATAGAGTTTAAAAGATGGTGGTTTTGTGGGTATAAGAAATGCCGGATACCTGAACCTAATCTCAAAGGAGAATGGAACATCCTTGGACTTGATCTCCGGTACATTATTTCTTCTTCTTGGTTTCTGTTGAGTTCTCGTAGGGTAGCTTGGAGTAACATTTGAGGTAGATGACGAGGGAGAATCTGGAACGCCAAACAATCTCAGCATAAACCCTTGTTTCTTTGGTGGTGCTTGCTGAGATGGAGGAGGTACAACAGGTAATGCCTTCTTTTCCGACGACTTCTTCGGACTAGGTGCAACTTTAACTGCAACAATTTCTGGTATTCTGTTTCTAAAAGTCAATTCCTTTCTCACAAAAGCTTCCTTATATTCGAGGTCAAATTGTTGATTACCAAGTAATGGGCGATTCTGAACATCCAAATCCAACGGCAAAAATATGAATGGATCGTAGGCTCGTAGATTAGTTTTGAGGAAGGATGACCTCTTGCATGTGACTTTGATAAAGTACTTGACATTGGCAAATTCACCAATTCCGGATAATGACGGTGGTAGTTGCGAAGTGATGTGATAGCTTTGCTTGGGAGGAGGAGGAGTGAATGATCCTTTTCTTTTACCATTGGCACCTCCTGAATTACCACTTCCTCCCGCTCCACCCCCGCTTGCCCCTGGAAATCCAAATTCGCTGGCCATCAGTTGGGCCCTATTTTTCACAAAAGTCGTATTGAAATTCCCATTGTTTAGCATAACGTCAAATGTTTTCAAGTTTAGTGACACTTTATTGGTTATACCACCGGACTTGACACAGGAGTTATTTAAGGGGATCTTGAACTCAAAGGCATACGAGTAATTCCCAGGGGCTAAAGTGAAGTCCTTGGCTTGAGATACTTGTCGTACATTATCTGGAGGAAACACAATCTGTGTATCGTAAAGGACCTTGTGCTGGTCTCGTATAATCTTATCCTTGCGGTCTTTATCTCGTTTACCATTACTCTGGGTTCGTGGAATATTCAATTGCGTGGATGATATGCCTTCTAGCTTCACTTGAATCCAGTTCAAGGTGATTGCTTTCGTGACAACAAGGGTCACTTTACCTCTGATGATATCATGGTTTGTGAAAGTTCCGTCTGTGGAGGAACGGTCAATTTCGACTTTGACATCAGACATATTTCTTCTGGTAGTTAGTGTGTGTGTGTGTGTGTGTGGGTTGGATTAGACTAATGAGTATACTGAGGGGGAGAAAGGTAGGTATGCTCTGGACTATGATGTGAAAATAATGTTAGCTCGAGTGTATGCAGAAGTGTATATGGCGAGTAGTTGGAGTGTTTTGCTGTGTTATTTTTAGACTGCCCTTGTCGTTAACTCCGTATATTTTGGATAAAGGGTTCCTTCTCTGTTAATCGCTCTCTCTATTTTCTATTTTTGCTTCTCTCTTGTGAGATCTAAATAGCTCTCTCTATGTCTATCTCTCTCAATCTCAGTCCGTTGAAACAGTTTATACAGCAGTATTTCTATAAACACGTGTCTTTTCTTCTAATGTGTTACCAATAACAAAGTACAAGTAGTGTGATATCCAATTCTAAGCAATTCCATAGAGGGTATAACATAATATTATAGGGTATTTATTATACAATACATCTACAGATTTATTATTCATACTGCTGAGAATACTTTCATTAGGCCTTTTTCTTATTAGTGATCACTGGGTCTGTAGTAGAATGGTCACTCTTACTACACAGGTTTGTTTCAAAGCAATGTCTTATGTGCTCAGACTACTATGTAACCTAAGAGTGTCGGTATGCTGAGGTGTGGCTTGGTCACAATTACAAATCAATTGGTAGCGTACACAGTGGTAGTGTGCCGTGGTCTAAAATTCTGCATAACAAACAAATTGCTGCTACCAGATTAACAAACCAATTCTCCAGCAGACTATAAAGAAAAAGAAAAAAAGAGAGACTTTGGTAACATTTGACCACTATTGCCATCTTTCTCTTTATCTTCTTCCACTGCTTCTGCATTTGAAAGAGACTTTATCGTATCTCAATTGATACATCAACTCAATTCCCCTCTTAAATAACAACAAAAACTCAATACAGCCATGTCAGAAACTTTACCACAAGTTGAAATTTTGCAAGAAGGAGACAACAAAAACTTTGCTCAAAAGGGCGACCTTGTCACCATCCACTACGATGGAAAATTGACCAATGGTAAAGAATTTGACTCTTCGAGAAAAAGAGGTAAACCATTCACATGCACCGTTGGTGTTGGTCAAGTTATCAAGGGTTGGGATATTGCTTTAACTAATAATTTCGGCGAGGGAGGAATCCCCAAAATTTCAAAAGGTACAAAGGCCTTGTTGACTATCCCACCTGAAATTGGTTATGGGTCTAGAGGATTCCCAGGGTTGATTCCTGCTAACTCGACTTTGGTTTTTGAAGTCGAATTGTTGGCAATTAATGATCAATAAGTAACAGTGTGTTGTGGGTGAGCGGATATATGCTGGTGGTGTTTTGCTTGCTATACTTTAGATGCTATACGATATAGTTTACACAAGTTTGTTTAGTGAATTTTCTCTAATTTGGACGTAGAAAGTATCATAAAATATACAAATTGCCATTTTTTACCTTGACGTTGGACTGAGTTGGAGCCACGTATAAATACACCTTGTAGTTGATATCAAACAACTTGAATGTTGGCAACCTCACAGCATGCTCAGAACCGGTGTCGGTTGCTATATTGCTCTTCTTTTGTTTCTTCATTTGAAATTGAATAACTTTACGAGAATTGGGTCTTACTGTAAACGGCTTTGAGTCGATGTACTGCTTCGTCAAATCATCATTTTCTTTGTCTGTAGTCGTATCAATTTGCCACGTTTTATCAAAATCTGTCAACTCGCAAACAAAAGCTAACTCATGAACACTTGGGTTCTCAATAACGTAATGAAAGGCGAAATGATCAAAGTCGATATCATCCTCATCGTTCGCTGCTGTTTCCTTCCTCCTATCCTTCACAAAAAGTAGCACTCGGGGTGCAACCAATGGAACTTGCACTTTCCATTCGGGAATAGTCAACTCATTCACCCCTCCCGTCTCATTTTCATTCTTCTCCCTGTCTCCAGAGTCGGGTCTCTTCCATTTAACAGTCATTGAAGTAATGATTTGGGCATTGCGATACATTTTCCCCAGCGGTACTAGCTGCGTAGCAAACAATTGATCATATTTACCCCGTTTTGACAACATAGTCAATTGTAGATCAGGAAGTCCGGAAATGACGTCAAAATCCACATCAACCACTTGTAACCACTTTGACGTACAGTCCTTGGCGTCGTCCTCATCATTTCCGTTACTTGCAGTCCCGAACCTGAGCGCATACTGATCATTAAGTCTCAATTTTCCTTTCCACTGCCTCAATAGTAAAGGAGCTTCATGAACTTTTCCAGCTTCCTCATCCAGCACCTCACTTTCCTTTTCGCTCCTGACATACAAATCAAGACTCTTCTCATCCAAATAAGGACTGATTGAATAGTCGTACTTGAAAGGCTCAGCAATAACTGGTAACTGCAACTCAAACACCTTATATACTGCCGATAGCCCCTCACCCAGAGCCTCATCTTCATCGCCACTATAAGTCACAGCCAATGAGATCTCGATATTCATTATATCCCCAGACCAGTTTCTAGCATACACATGCAACACGTGCCCCTCTTCGTTGTCACCACTGGCACTGTCTCCTTTCGCACCCCCTTTCAATACTAACGGTTCCTCGTCTTTCAATTTATCCCAAGTAACAACAACATCACCATGTTTGACAGTCGCCATCAAATCAGCCTTGTAGAAGATATCTCCATTCTTGAATCTGTATTTTAAAGGAATAGACAATCGTTCGCCAACAATGTAACAGTCCGTGTCATTAGATGTTGTAACAATGAGATCCGGAGTCGGTGGAGTTACAACTAACTGATGTGGTGGTACAGGCACCAGTGCTGTCGTCACTGTGGTTGCCGTCGCCGTTGATGAGCCGTCAGTGCCAAGTCTGATTGTCTTTGTAAGACCATTGGGTAACTTGACCTTACGCTGTTGCAAAATAGAATGCGGGAAAGTTTGATGCAATTCGATCTTGTTCAATCGGATGACCTTACCTCCATGCCTCAACTCAATGGTGATCTGCAACTTGATGGTGTCAATTTGGAAATGACCCGTGTTTGTAACTTTTTGCACCTGTTGTATGGTCAATGAGGAATTAGGTGATGCAATTGATAAATTTGCCGAGTCAGCAAACGTTGTGCTCAATTCTTGACCCTTTAGAACGATTAAATTTGCACCATTTTGCTGTTTTGTCCCATCATTGGTTATGGAGACATTTTTCAACCCAGTTGAATTTGAAACTGGCTTGTCGTCTGCCTTGCTGAAGATCACATCGATTTGATTGAGTGACACATTGATATCTGTTGTCTGAGGAAGTAGGAGTCTCATCATCCTCAAATCTAGCTTCGATTTCAAATCAATTTGAGCCAAAACCTCGTCACCTACGGTGGTGGCCCCGGAAGATAGGTTATTGTTCACCAATAATGCGTCAACAAGAAACAACTCGTGCAATTTTGAGTCCAAGATATCCACCTCCATGGTACTAATCCCATCAGATTTATCAAATTCAAACACATTGCTACTTGAATGCACCAACTTATCCGCAATAAACCGTTTTGGAATGGTGCTCAATTTCAAAATAGTATTCAACTCCAGCTTTTTCACCCCCAACTCTATATAGCATTTCAACAACTTTTCCAATAGAAAATAACTGATATCTGACCATTTGGCCAGTCCTAATGAACTATACGCCATTTCAAAATAATCAGACGCCTTTTTGTACTCTGCACTGGCGAAATATTCTTCACCGATAAGCCAAGTCAAGTACGACAATAATGAGTCGAGGTTGTCTTGTCCTGAAACCAGCGACTTGTTCAATGCATTCAGTTGATTAGTCTCCAAAGTTTCGATAGCATTCTGTAACAACTCGATTTTTTTCTCCCCGTGACTACTCATTTCATATGCCTTGACTAGGACAAGGCCTGGGTTAGTAATTAAATCAAATTCTGGAGTATGAATCCCACCAAAATGACTCATCATGGCTAGTGTATTGGCATTTTTCAGCTTTGCTTTTAATTGGGAAACAGCAGTTGAATTCAAATTGGTTATTATTGAGTACGGGATCAACTTCATCAACTGGGCCAACCACTCATACTGGACTGAGATCCAATCATGATCGCGCTTCAAAACTTCAACAACATTGATGATATGTGTTTTGTGTTTACGTAATGCCTTGATTGGCTCTTCAATGGTAAAGTATCCTCTCACTATATGGAATGCAATTATATCCAACAATGTCATTAGTTGACCAATGATTGTATTATCATGTTCCAGCAAGTTTATTGCGTATATTCCATCGAGTAAAGAAATCAAATCTTGATACGCAATTTCCAATATCTTGACACCAGGTTCCAAATTCGTAGGGTTCATAAATTGGAGAATCATGCCCTGTTTAATCATGTTTCTAATTTCGAGAAATTTAGGTGAAAGTTCAATTGAAGTGTCAACATCATCAGTTGGTGGGATATCGTAGACTTTTTTGTATCGTTGTTTCAACTTGTATTCCAAATTCGCGTAATAACCATGAGACGGTTTTGTCAAGCTTGACAAGACATTGCTAACCAACACCTCACTATCCAGCTGCAATGTTGGTGACAGTTTGCTCAAGTTGAATAAAGAATGAGGTTTGGGGAAATTCAACTCTGCTCTAAACATGTTCATCCGTTCTTCATCAATTGGCTGTGGTGTAATCAATAACAAGATCAATTTACAATCAATTTCTTCCAACTTCAACTTTAGCTTCTTCATGGTTATGGCAAATTCGACATCCTCACCAGCACTATCCAACTCGCACACATAAATCAATCCAAATGGCTTAGACGTGATGTATTTTTCAAACCAATGATGGGTTAATATCCCATTGGGGAATATGGGAGAGTCTTTATTAAACGGTGATATCACTGAATGCTGATTGGGGACATTTTCTCTCTTTTGTACCTCAACTTCGTCTCCATGCTGTATACTGAGAATGTATTTTGGTGTCGTCAATCGATTCCGTATGGCACTATTGTCCCATACTTTACCTTTGACGTTGTATAGTTCAAATTGCGTTAGTAGTGTTTTGACTTCTTCCGTATCGCGTATATGGGAGTCAATGTGTATCCGTAGCAATGGGTTGAGCTGTTGTAGCAAGGATTGATTGTAGTTTTCCATATCTGGGCCACTGCTTAGCGAAATGTCCACATTCGGTTGAATGGCTTTGGTGGAGTTACAATCAAAATCGAAATCAAAATCGAAATACTCTCGCGAGCAGTGTCGCGCAGTCTGGAGGTTTTCGACACTGTAAATATACTTGTCTTTTTGTGACATTGGTTTTTTCCCTTTAGTCATCATCATCATCATCATCATCATCATCATCATTCATCCTACAAACTAAACCTCAAGGTTTCCATTTAAACTCTTCTTCAAAAACACACCATATATCACAGAACTACTTCACAAATAGCAACATGAGTGATCCAATTAATGCAAACCCAACAGTTATAGACATTAATAATCTACCCACAAGACTAAATACTTTGGACGATGACGCATCAGCACTCGAAGGCAAGAATGCTAAACTCATTTCAGAAATCACATCACTTTCCTTACTCAGTTACCCAAACATAGACAACGGTGACTTGACATCTCTTGAAGAGTCACTTACATCATCCTCGCTAAGCTCCAACGCCGCATCAGATGATGATGTTGATGTTGATGTTGATGATGATGATGACATTGTTGATACTGAATTTACCTCCGATTCCCGTACCGTCGCTACTGCCAATAACGACGAAGATCCAATAGATGAACAAGAAATATTTGACCTAATAGCAACAATATCAGACCCAGAACATCCTCTCACCTTAGCTCAACTCGCAGTCGTCAACCTTGACGACATTTCCATTCAACATGCACCTCGCAATCAAATCTCAACAGTCACCATCAAAATCACCCCCACCATCACCCACTGTTCACTCGCCACATTGATTGGGTTGGGGATCCGTGTTCGATTGGAGCGCAGCTTACCAGCTAGATTCAGGATCAAGATTGTTATCAAAGAAGGTACTCACCAACTGGAACTGCAAGTGAATAAACAATTGAATGATAAAGAGCGAGTTGCTGCTGCCTGTGAAAACGATCAGTTGTTGGGAGTTATTCTGCAGATGTTGAGTACATGCAAATAGAGTGGGAGAACACGCTAGCAAGACAGAGAATATCTTCAATGTGGTTATCTCACTCCATAAGATTTTATAGGGTATACAGTCCTCTATACAGGTTTAAAATTACAACATTTCAAATCACAATAAGTTAAAATCATGGTGATAGCGTCAATCAAGATGAACTGAAACACTTTCGACGTGATAAAGTCAATCAATTTCTCAAGTTTGGAATTATCTTTATCACTTGAGGGACCACTAGAATTGAACAAAATAGATAAAACCCATCTGCTTTGTTTCACCAACTCTTCGACTTGGCGGTAATATTCATGCTTCTCTTTACTGTTCTCGAGCTTCTCTTGCTTTGTAAGTACAACATATTCATTTGAGTAGAGGGAATCTGGAGGCATCAACGTCCTCGATGAATCAAACGACGATACATCGCCTGCAAGACTAGCATTACCACTGGTACTTCCTGCTCCACCGAAAAGATGTTTGACATTAGTGACCAGGCTTTTTCGACGCGAACTACCCGATGCGTTCGTAGTAACACTGTTTCTATTACTAGAATTACTTTGATGCGACAAATTGGAATTTACAGACGAGCCCAGCTCTCGATTCCTCTTTATCCTATTGTACAATCTCAGTTTCGATAATATGCTGTTCACTCCACTGTTTAGCGAGTTTGGTGTGCCGTTGGCATCTTCACTCAAGCGGCTCTTCGGGGTTGGACTTCGATCCAGTTGATGTTGATGTTGGTGATATGAGAAACTTGTTGATGGAGTTGACGTGGTTGAAAAGTTCTTGAATTGAGGTTGGGGTGGAGTTGTTGGGGTCAGCAATTGAGATCGGCGATGACTGGCATCACGCTGCTCAGGTGGGGACGTCGATACGTTGGCACCTTCTTTATTACTATTGCCACCATTCAAAAATGACGAAAACCGTTTCCTTGACAGGTTACTACTAATACTTGCTCGACTATTGTTGCTGTTGTGGTTGTTGCTGTTGCTGTTGCTGTTGCTGTTGCTGTTGACTTCGCTACTACTGTTGTTGCTGTTATGGAAATACGGTTTTTCCAACAGTCCAAAGTCGAAATCTGTAGCAGAACTAACCCTGTGTTTATTCACCTCTAGCTCTTCATTAATCGAGTCGTGAAATTTGTAATTCTGATCATGATCATTACTAGTCAATTGCTTGTAAGTCGTGTTTCTCGCTGGAATCTCGTAAAAATTATAAGCAGTGAGTAATTTACTGTAATAGTTTAAAGTTACCTCAAGTGTAGATTGATTGGACATGTCTTTTAACTCCGCATTGATCATTCCATTAATTTCCTTCAACATGGTCACTTTAACATTGATATCCTTGATACAGATTTCATCTCTCAACCATAAATCAAACGGAATGGCCAAGTGAGCAGCAACGGAGCTAAACGCATCATCATGGGAATCGTGTTTCGGCTCGCAATGTGTATTCAATTTGTATTCCTGCTCCAAAGACTTGTAAAACAGAAAATCCTTAGGGTTTTGAATAATGGAGTGGGCATCTTTTAAGTTGACAAGTTGGTCTAAAAACCGGCAAACCGACGACATTTTCTCAGCACCTGGATTGTCTCTGGATCGGATTGAAAAGTTTGCAAATTTTTGAGAGACGGTATCTAGTTTTTCAGCCGGTCCCGACTTTGAATAACCTGAAGCGGGAGAAGTCAGGGCATGGTTTTTGATTCCACCACTATTATCATCCAGTATCGCATGTGTGAGTTTGCTCATGTGGTTTGGCTGCGGCGGTGATCTAAGTGGGAATGTGCCTGTATTGATTCTTGGTGATAGCAGGTACTGATATTGCGACGGCTGGATGTGCAGTTGGTCCACTGAAGACATTTGTGGTGATATGTGTTTATGAAATTGTCAGGAGAAGAACGTATGTTTGCTAAATGTCAAGTTGTAATCAGATAAATGGTATCTTCTTGAGGGTATGTGGATGGAGGCAAGGTGAATGTAAGTGTATCAGTCTTGTGATATGTGTGGCTCTGGTTGTTATGAATGCTATGGTTTCATGTGTATTTTTCTATCGTCTGTCTCTCGCTTAGCTTTTAAAACTGGTGTATTTTAGTGTCGTCAGATTCTTTCTCGCGTTCCAATGTCGTAAGATACAATTTACAGACAAAACATTACACTACATATCACCAGACTACGTTCATGTCGGTGTACTATCAACTAAAAGTCTACTTCACAGATGTATTTTTCTATTTCTGACGCCTTTCTCGTTCTCTAAAAGTCCAGCATCCAATGCCAAACACCTCCCCCCCCCCCACTCCACTCCCCCAACACACTCCTTGGAAAAGTTGCCACAGGAATAAATTTGAAAACTGTTATCGTGTAAGCATCAACAATTCAATGATGAAACGGCATAGGTACGTAAATGGGGGCTTCTGATCTCTGAAAACTTTGGTCAACAGAAAGTGCTTCAATTTTCACTTTCGGCAATTCACCCCACACTAATCCTCCTCCTAGATTCTGATGCAATTCAATACGACGCAATCATCGGGTATCTGAGTGCTCCAGATTGTTTTGACGTATCTGTACTGTATAGTCTCATAATAGCCCTTGTCGGCTCTCACTTGCATGTGCAACTCCGAAGACCATCCTTTCACCAACCTTGGTGTAATGTAAAACTCCAACACTCCAACACTGCAACACTGCAACACACAAGTTTAGCTAGCGTACTTTAGGCAACAAAGCGAAGCAAAACAACCAAATTGAAGATTGTCGATTTGGGTGAGTAGTATTCAAGTGCAATTATCATTGATTTGATCGGTTGCAAAAACATCAGTGAGCTTCACCACTTCTAGTGGACTAATGACAAAACCATCGGTTACAATGATGCTTTGCGCTTTAGGTTTTGGAAAAGTTGAAACTAGGAAACTTGTAAAGTCCTCCCTGTCATTTGCATTTGCCACATGTTCCAGCTTATTTGTACTATAGAAACCATTACAACCACCAAAGATCATTCACTCTCTTTTCTGCTGACAGTCTCTACCGGTAACCCTAATCCTCCACACTAAAGTGGAACTAATTGTTGCAGGCGAGATTATACAAAATTGCCAGTGTTTCAAAAATATCTATTGTGTCATTCTCGTGGCGTCGTATATTACAACTACCATCTTTTGTCACCACTTGAAAGGGATGGCAAGGGGACAACTGAGTTGGCCAAACCTACCTTACACAAGTGTATATGAAGCTTGTTAAATCACTAATCAGATCAATCATTGCATCACCAAAACAACTTCATTATGATTCAAATCTACACTTGTACTTGGACTTAGCATACATTACACCACAGTTGATTGTGTGCTCAGCGCCAACAACAACATACCTCGAATCATGGTATCGATACCCATTGACTGATTTAATCACGTATTTGGAACTGAATCATGGTTCTCATTGGCATTTATTCAATTTCCGTGGTGAAGATCCGGGGTACAATGATAAAGATGTGGGATTCAGAGTAAGTCATTATCCATTTCCTGATCACTATCCACCACCAATGCAGTATATAATTGATGCAACTGATGAAATTGGTCGATTTTTGCGTGAGAATGATGATAATGTGGTCGTTTTGCACTGCAAGGCAGGTAAGGGGAGGCTGGGCACTATATGTTGTGCGTATTTGATGTTGTCTAATTGGAAACAGGGGGGTGGAATCGATGTGGGAAATGTGATTCAAACTTATACTGAGAGGCGCATGCGCAAATTTGGCGGTGATGGAGTTAGCATCTTGAGTCAAAAGCGATATTTACGATACTGGAGTGAATATTTACAGTCTGATGATTTGAGGGGCCTGTATTCTAAGTGGAGCAAAGTCAAGAATCAAATCCTGATTGCCAAGGTTACATTTCGCAATTGCAACAAGGATACACTTCCATTTGGGATATCTCTGTATAAAACAGTCCAAGAGGGATACCGAATCAACACCATTGTCGAACCCCTTCTCCAACAGGTCTCTTGTGATGTGGCTCACATTTCTAGAGATGGAAATGACTTGATCTACAACCTCCTACAACCAGTCAAAGTAGGCGAAGATGTCATGATTAGTATAGGAAGTTTTAGCTATCTATGGTTCAATGTCTTTTTTGAGCTTACAAATGCTGCCGCACCGTCATGTTCATTTCCATGGACGGGCATTGATGGATTCAAAGGTACTAAACAACAAGGCTTAAGATTATTTGATAGAGTAGAGATTCATTTTGGTTCGAGTATAGATTGATTGAAAATTAGTAAATAGAAGTAGCTAGCCTTCCTTATTAGCCCCCTTTCTTTTCGTTATCTATGCTATCCCAAAACTGCTTCAATGCTCGCGTTAATGCAGGTAAATGCTTTGTTTGTTTGTTCAAAACTTGAACATTCTTTTGCGTGTTTGTAAACGGTTTGACCAACTTGATGTCATTGTGTATGATGATCTCAGTACGCTTTTGGTTTCCATACGTTACATTGTCACTACCGAACCATGCCAGCAATTTGTCATGTAGTTGAATAGCAATTGATTTTTGGCTATGTTGGTGACGATGTTGCTGATGCTGATTCTGTTGCTGATGCTGTTGTGGGTGTTGTTGTGGGATCGGAGATGTTTGCTGTGCGTGCAGTTGCTGCGCAGGTGGCCCACTCTTGTGAGTTTTGGATGACCCTTTATGCGATTTTACCTCATTTGTTGAATTTGAGGCACTTTCCACTGTGGAAGCGTTGTAAGTCTGGATTTGCTCTCGTAAAAACTCTTCTAAATCCTTCACATTGATTGACTCCATTACAGGGTTGACATTCTTGGGTGGCTTCGGTATTGTCTTTTTCAGCTGCGGTGGATTCAAAACTTGTATACTTTTGATAAAAGACGTATTAATAATGCGATATGTGTTGGTTTGATTGACTGAGGGTGGTAATGGTGGTGCTGGTGGTGGTGGAGATGATGACGAAGACGAGTGGTGGTTGTCACTGGCCTGATTGCTGGTGATTAAGACTAGTACTTCATTTGAAGATGAAAATGTGTAGATGAATCCAACTATCTCCTGATCTAATAATGTAGTGACTTTGAGTTTAAGTGAAAGTGCTTGGCGAAGATTTTGATATTCAATTGACATTGGATGGGAGGGGGACTCGGAAGGAATAAATAAGGATAAATAGAATAAAATATGAAATGCAAATAAAATGAAATGGATGGGTAAAGGTATATGCAGTGCTGTAGTATGGAATAGCCAATAGCTTGTGTGGTTGTATAAACAAAGGGTAATTAGCCTTGGAGATGATGTGTAACCCCCAACCTCTTTTGTATAAATTTTTCATTAAAAATGACAGTAAGTGAGTGTTGCGTTGAGAAAAAAAAAAAAAAAAAAAAAAAACCAAAATAGTGGTAATGTCGTGTTTTGTAGTTTTGCGTCACTTAGAATATTTTACGACATTGGCGTCAATTGATACGAGTACATATTCAATCGCTCACCCTTCACAACCATAGTTTCCATTCTTACATAAACAACCAATCCAATGGAAATCTATCACAAGTGAAAACCTCTACATATAATGAATGATGAGTTGATTCAAATTGATCAATTGGAAGATCAGATAATTGATCATCCAGACGAACGGACGCGGAAAGAGTTACACGACACATCTCTAGATGAAACTTTTCAGAAGAAATTGAGTGCCAAAGCCAAAGAATTTGAGTCGTCATCGCCGATGAATGATGAATTTGGAGAGGCTGATGACAGTATCAGTCATGATACATCTATGGGATACCAATTCTTGATCACTAAACTGCATTTGAATTACCATCATCAAGAGTATGGGGATATGCAGCAGGAGATCTCTGAGTGGTTTACTTTCCATGATTTGAAATTTATTGGGGGGTTGGATATTTTATTAGATAGTTTTGAGCTGAATCATGACATGGAGGAATTGACGACGAGATTGTTGGGAAGTAGTATCGGTGGCGATTTGTCTTGCTTGAAAAATGTATTGTATTTTTCATTTGGAGAGTATGCATCGAAATCAACAGTTGAAGAGCAAGTGAGGCAAATTATTGCAAATAACTTGAAATTGTTGGAGTTGGAGGTTTACAAGCCACTAATTACTATGTTGCTAGATTTTATGAAAACGAGGATTGACAAAGATACTTCAGAGATTACAAACTGCACTATATCAAAAAGGGTTGAGGTGAACTATTTTCGTGTATTAACCTTATTGTACATTTTGGTACTAACAGCATTGCACAACCCTCAAGAACTGAAACAATTTCGGAAGTTTTTGCTGTTGTGTAGCCTCTTGGAATCTGTTGTACAATTTATTGAGCATTGGAAATGGCATCATAATAACAGCTATCGTGTGAGATACTTGGTACTCTTATTGAACAAGTTGTTGCTCCTTGAATTTGGTGACAAAGACCAGCTTGCTTCTTGCGACGCGTTTCTCAATCAATTGCATCATATCAAAACATTTGACAATTCAAACACCGGTAAACCTGTATTAAAGTGCTCGCCATTGGATTATTTTGCATTCCGGCAGGATTTGTTAGACAAGTATCCCTTGTATGAACTCGGTGGAGTTAAAGATTTACAAGACACATGGTTAAACAAGCTGACAGATTCGTCGATTGAAGAACGATATAAAACGTTTATGGCTGTTAATGCGTACTCCAACTCATTGTCTAATAGTATTGAAATTCCCAAGACCAATAAATCACATACTGTGCTTGGTCAACTACCGGCACAGCCGGTACACATTGCCACTCCTTTGCCCTCGCCAAAATTAATGTCATCGGATTTCATGTCTGGTGGTGAAAAGATTAGAAAGTCGTATCAAGTCAACCAATCGATGCCATTCATATATCCAAATGAGTACCAAGATGATTGCAGCTCAAATGTACCATATGCTATGTTGGAGGCAGATGAGATTTTGAAAAATTCCGTATATGAGAGCTATTCAGTGAAGCGATTGTGGAGTGAACGTGAAAAATTTATGAAACAAGAACGAGGGTATGTTGACGCGTATGACGATAAAGATGAATTTGACTACTCTTTTGGTGAGTTGAGACTTGAGCGTCCAGAAAACATTGCTGAGATTGATAGTCTTGAACGAGTTGAACGGTTTTATTCAGAAACGTTCTTTCGACTCCACTCCATTATTGAGGTGTTTATGGAGATTATCAAGGCTAATCGAATCGATAGGAATTTGAGCTTGTACGAATTTGAACTAAACCCAGCCACTTCATTTATGGTCAAATCAACGACACCTCATGAAAATGACGAGGCTATAATTAAAGTTGAGCAGCTCTTGTTGCTGCAGTTGGAAGTGATGAATGTCAAGGAGATAATGACAAAGACAGCAGTGGGCATAATATTGAGATTGCTCCAATGGTTTAAAAAGAGCCATGTTTTGAAATACTATTACCTTTCGTCGCTTCTTTTTGATCAGCAGTTTTTCAACATCAGTTTGGACTTTATTAGTAATGGTTTCAACAATCCAAATAATCAAAGCCTATCGCATCAAACGGGTGAAAAGAGGGACGATTTGTTGGAGTATGAGATGATGGTTAATCAGAACAAGTTAATGAATCCACAAATTAAGATCCCAAAACTTGAATTTTTCCACAATTGTCTTCGGATGGATCCCAAATCTTCTGACTATACTTTTATCAACAAGAGTTTTATTCTGGAGCTTCCCAAACAATACGATTCGAAAAAACTTAGCCATGTGTATATTTCCAACTTCAATCACAACTTCGCATCCATTTTGGCCGACATGTTGGAAATCAACAACAAGATCCTCATCAAGAACCAAAGTCATCGGATCTTTTCCATGAACGATATCAAGCCCTCAGAATTGTTCAAGATGATTCTCATCAATTACGATAATGAAGCATTTTCCCACTCGATACTCAAGATTTTGAAGAAATTAGTTCCGTACCAAGGCCGTAAATGGAAAAGCATGAATATGGACCTCATTAGCACTATTTACTTGAATTGCAAGCTATCAATGAAGGATAATTGGTTGAGTGGGAAGGATTTGGGGAGTGAGTTTCATAATAGTTATGATCAGGAGGTTGCGTTGAGAGCGTTGTTGCAGTTTTATAATATCAAGAGGTATAGTGGTGACAAGCTAGGGTATAAGTTGAATCGCAGTGACAATTTAGCAGATATCCCATTGTTGAATTTGAATGATTTGGAGTTGGAATAGAAAGAGGGTCTGAATAGAAGTATCCTGTATGTATGTATCAATCTATGTAGTGCGATTACCAAAAAAAAGAAAATATGAATGAAATTTTTTTTGCTTTCCATGACGATATCGATCAAGTGCCAGTGGTGTGTACTCACTTTTCCTTTACTACATCAAACACTCACTAAACCATGGTCAAGTTAACTCAAGTTGAAGACGAATTCCAAACCAACTACTCTGATGGAAACACCACCGTTGAGAAGGTTGAAGTAGACACATTTGCCGACTCAGACAGTGAATTTGAAGACGATGAAGAAGATGATGATTTCGATATTGAGAATGAAACGATTTACGAAAGAGTTGCTGCTTTGAAAGATATAATTTCTCCACAACACAGAGACCAAATTTACAACTTGTCGGCCACTGTATCGAGCTACGTACAACTGGGGTTGAACAATGGTGGTAAATTGTTGTGGACCTTGACTTCTAGTTCATTGTTGTTGGGTGTTCCTTTGGCTTTGGCCATCTTGTCTGAAACTCAATTACAAGAGATGGAAAGCAATATGGGATTGCAGCAATCAGCTCAAGATGTGTTGGCTCCTGGTAGTGAGGAAGCTTTTGGAAAGAAGCAACAAGCTTAATGAGGAAGAGTTGAGTGGTAGGAGTGACTTTTTTTTTGTATATATGTATAGGTATCTAAATCTAAAATACTTTATAAATTTCTAGAACTGCTGCTCAGGAATTGCAACTTGCTTCAGAATCTCCAGTTTAAGCTTTCTTATGCTTGATAGATAAGGCGTAAATGTCCAAATATTGGGTGATTTCGGTGATAATCTCAGCAACGAAAACCCCATGGATGCCCAAAGTGACTCCGAAACCCAACCAACTCACAGCATTCAACACTTTTCCCAGATTATACTTGTACACATCAATCAAAATCTTACTCAAGACCAATTGTCCAAGGGGAACAAACATGGGAAACTGAATAAATGGGAACTCTTGGAATGTCAAGTGAGCCAAAATGATTCTCCCTACTGAAAATGCAATCGTGCAACCAATGGATAAAATCAAAGGTAAACCAAATTCCGAAATGACCGGTGGATAAAACCAACAGTACAAAATAACAGCTCCATAGTAAAGGAAAAAGGGGTACAATCCTTTATAAGCCTCATCGATTTCCGATTTCGATTTCTTGGTTTCTTCGCCATCTTTAGCTTCATAATACTTAGCAACATTTTGCATAGCTGAAATGATGTTGAAATACAAGGACCCCAAGCCAAGCACAACATAAATCAACGAGCTATTGACTTGGTAATGTCCATACCCCAAAGACGTCAAATTCAAAGTGAACAAGTCCGCATCCCAAATATCAGGTCCAAATAAACCAGTAATGATGTACACAGTACAAAGCATCAAGATCCCTTCCACGGGGCCAGAAAATTTCGACAAAAACAACTTGTGCGTGTGGTATTCTTCCCAAGTCGAAGTGTAGAAATTACACACGGATGCAAATTGCGACAACATCATCAATCCACCGTAGCCCATCTTCATTACACTTGCAAACACAATAGAGCCCAATGTTGTATTTATGGCATCGATGGAGTGATCAAACAACTCACCCAATGGTCCACTTTGTCCCGTTCTTCTCGCATGACACCCGTCGCAACCGTCAAAAGTTTGGTACATGAATAATCCAAATGCATAAAAGAAATAACACCAACTGGGTTGAGATGTATTTAGGTATGGATCGTAGTAGAATACAACCAACAAATTAGCAACAACGAAAAACAAACCAAGCAATGTGATCAAATTGGGTGCCATTGAAAGTGGGAAAATTTGCACAAAGTAGTTCCACCATTTTTTCAAGATGTATTTTGAGATTAATGAGTGGTCTTCCGATTGGTACTTGTACAACTTCAAGTTATGCAATTTGTTAGTTGGAATGAATAACCCCATTTTTGGAAAAGACAATGTAGAAAAATAATTTGTTGGGTGAATGTGTTTTTTTTTTTTTTGGTCTAATTGGATCTAAGGAGGTAGGGTTTGAAACCTTGTGATGATGTAAGGGGGGGATGGGTGAGTTGAAGAGGTGTGTATCAAGACCTTTTTTGAAATCAAACTTTTAACCCAAATTTGTAAAGATCCAACGTGGGTTTAAACTCTCTTCACTCTGTCTCTTTAGCAACAACGAAAAAAAAAATACGCAAAGAAACAAAATCAAAAATAAAAAATAAAAAAAAAAAAAATAGTTTCGAAACTTACATCTGAGTTGCTACCAACTTCACTGTAGTCATGTGATTTTATTTTCACTTTACTCAAATACACCTACAAACCTTACATTTTCAAATCAATATGCCCCTCTTCCATCAAGAGAAGAAGATTTCCACTTTGAAGTCAAGTTTTCCAAAGTGTCGGCCAAAACTTGGATAAGTTTCGGAACCAAATTGTCTAGTTCGACTGCTTTCATCAAGATTTCTTCTTTTTTCGCAGCAAAATCAATACAAGAAACTCATGCTCGTCGATGCTACAATCTCCCTGTCATTGCAAAAACAAGAGACATCTCATTACTAATATATATATGTATATATATTTCTTTCTAAATACAAGGGTGTGCAGACACACTGCACAACACAAGCTTATATAAAACTCATCATTCAAACACTCCTACACCTACTCCTCTTCTTCAAACCTTCTAATCGACTTCTTCCATAGCAGATTCACCAGTTGGTTCATCAGTAGTAGCAGTAGTAGTTTGTTCTGGTTCAACTTCAGTTTCTTCAGCATCATCATCAATATTCAATCCCAAAGCAATCAATCTATTGATTCTGTGGGCGAAGTTGGATGGTTCATCCAATGAGAAACCTGAAGTCAACAAAGCAGTGTCAAACAACAACGTGGTCAAATCCTTGACAGTCTTGTCTTCTGCACCATCCTCTTCAACCTTCTTCTTCAATTCCTTGATAATTGGTGACTTTGGTGAAATTTCAAAAGTCTTTTTAGATGACATGTATGATGACATGGTGGTATCTCTCAAAGCTTGAGCCTTCATAATTCTCTCCATATTGGCTGACCAACCAAATTGACCGGTTCTAATGGCTGCTGGAGCATCAACCAATTTGTATGAAACAATAACTTTTTCAACTTGCTCACCCAAAATGTCCTTCAATGCCTTGGTCAATGGTTCAAATTCCTTAATTTCCTTTTCTCTTTGAGCTTTTTCTTCTTCGCTTTCCTCCAATTCGAAATCTTTGGTGATGTCAACCAACTTCTTATCTTCAAACTCCTTCAATTGAGTCATGGCATATTCGTCAATTGGATCAACCATGAACAAAACTTCAAAGTTCTTGGCCTTCAAAGCATCCAAAAATGGTGACTTTTCGAGTGCCTTGATGGATTCACCAGTAATGTAGTAAATATTCTTTTGGTGTTCTGGCATTCTAGTAACATAGTCACTCAATGAAGTCATTTCCTCAGTTGACTTGGTTGAGTAGTATCTCAACAACTTGGCCAAAGCTTGTCTGTTTTGAGTATCCTCATGAATACCCAATTTGATATTCTTTGAAAAAGCAGTGTAAAACTTGTCAAATTGTTCTTGGTCTTCGGAAATTTCTTGGAAAGTTTCAATCATCTTCTTGACAATATTCTTTCTAATAACTTTCAAAATCTTGTTTTGTTGCAACATTTCTCTTGACAAGTTCAATGGCAAATCTTCAGAATCAACAACACCCTTGATGAAACTCAACCATTCTGGAATCAACTCTTCGGCATCATCGGTAATGAAAACACGACGAACATACAACTTAATATTGTTCTTCTTCTTCTTTGATTCAAAAGCATCAAATGGCGCTCTCTTTGGAACAAACAAGATAGCCCTGAATTCCAATTGACCTTCAACTGAAAAGTGTTTAACAGCCAATGGATCTTCCCAATCGTTTGAAATCGATTTGTAAAAAGCATTGTACTCTTCTTGAGTGATGTCAGATGGGTTTCTAGTCCACAAAGGCTTGGTCTTGTTCAATTCTTCAGTTTCAGTAACTTCTTCCTTGACCTTCTTAGTCTTTTCCTTCTTTTCCTCACCTTCTTCTTCATCAACTTCTTCCAATTTTGGTTTCTTGTCATCTTCACCTTCAGTTTGCTTGTCTTCGTCTTCAGTCAAGGTTTCATCAACTGGCACTTCCTTTTCAACTTCCTTGGTTACAACCAATTGGATTGGGTAAGCAACAAACTCAGAGTGCTTCTTAACAACTTCCTTGATTCTCTTTTCTTCCAAGTATTCCAATTGATCTTCTTTCAAGAACAAACGCAACATGGTACCACGTCCCAATCTTTCATTCGTTTCATCCAAAGTGACAGTAAACTTACCACCAGCATTTGATTCCCAAACATATTGTTCATCATCATTGTGTTTGGAAATAACTTGAACATGGTCAGCAACCAAAAACAAAGAGTAGAAACCAACACCAAATTGACCAATCATAGAAACATCAGCACCAGCACTTAAAGCTTCCATAAACGACTTGGTACCAGACTTGGCAATAGTACCCAAATTGTTAACCAAATCAGCTTTGGTCATACCAATACCAGAATCCCTGATTTCCAAAACTTTTTGAGTTGGGTGGGGGATAATTCTGATAAATAACTCTGGTTCAGTTTCCAATTGAGATGGATCACTTAAGGCTTGGTATCTGATCTTGTCCAAAGCATCAGAAGCATTGGAGATCAATTCTCTCAAGAAAATTTCTTTATTTGAGTAAACAGTATTGATGATCAAAGACATCAACTGAGAAATCTCAGCAGTGAATTCATGAGTTTCAACTTTACCGTCAGACATGGTTGATTGGTGTTAAACTGTGCACTAGTGTAAGTGTGTGTAGGTGTGTGTGTTCAAAGTGATTGAGTGGTAATTTATAGTGTTGCTAAATTGAATTTTTCAATCAGGGTTTTTATACTTTCCCTTTTCTCTCTTTTTGTTGTTCTTCTTCTCTGTTAACAGAGAGTTGCAAATTGGAATATTCTACACCATTCTATTTGTATCAAGTTACACGACCCAGTAAGCGCACATGGTAGCTCAACAGAACACAACCGAACACAACCGAATAAATTGTTATCTTCACGGTAGCGCACATCACGTGAACTCTAGCATCAATGCAATAGGGAACAGGTCTAATTGTTTGCGAATATCAGATGGAAGTAATTGTATGTGGCATTCCATTGCGTAAGAGCTTACCCAACTCCAAATATACTAGCTATATTGATATTCTTTTTTTTTTTTTTCTTTGTACTTAAATGCAAGGCAATTACAGAACTTCCCATTTCAGTAGCCAAGAAACAAAACAAGCAACACTATCCATGTTGTCTAGTTGTTTGCTTGAGCCAAGTTTGAGCCAAGTTTGACCCTACACCGTGTAGATACTGAAGAGTTTATCATACTGAGTTGCATTAAATGATAGATCTCGTCCAAGTTGGCGGCTACAAACATTTAATATTGTACCAGAATAAGGTTGGGAGGTAGTCTTTGTAGATTGACCACCACATCTTCATTTTGGCGACCAGCTCTGTTTTATATGCTTATTGAATACCTAATTTGTACTATGCGTGCCAAGACATTGAACTTGGAGGTGCGTGCAGTGGCAGAACCCATGTAATACAACGGAGCTCATCTCATATAATCACATCTTCAATTTCAATACCACATTCAATGCACCGTCTCTTTACCACATTACCCAGTATTTTAACGGGAGCAGCCCAATCATGCACATGTCTTTCATTCAACGACTTACCATGCCTCAATTTTCTCGTAAACTCTTCAGCCCTAGTCTTTTTCCTTATTTCACGCAACGCATCCTGATACTTCTTTTCTTTTCGTTTAAGTTTATTTTGTTCACGTCTCTCCCACTCCAAGTCCAATCCCTCCGATGACCCCCACTTTTTGAATGCAACTTCTTCAACTTGAAATCGTAGAAACAACTGCATTCGACTGTACCCATGTGGATTGGGCTTCTCTATTCTCGGAAGTAGGGATAAATCTTGTAGTTCCGGTTCAGTCAAGAGATAGTCTTCTTTGCATTCTGTCTTGACCAAAAGAGAATACTTCTCGGGCATTTTCCGAATACACAGACGACACGCACGCACCTTGCGGAAATTGGAATACAAGTTCAAATCAATATCTAGGGACCCACATTCAAAACATTTCGGTGCTGTATCTATATCAATAGGCGGTGCCGCTTTCTTCAACTGCTCCAACTCCTTTTGTTTATCTTTCCACTCTTGTAATGTTTCTTCATCAACGCGCGGACGGTCTTCGTCGTGTATAAACCCACCCTTCGTATCCTGCATCGTGGCAAAGTCATACTCAATATAATCCCTTTTTTGAATTGGCGCTGGTTGGAATTTACCCTTGCGAGAATCAAATACAGCATCGGGGTTATTTTTGTTTAATCTAATTTTCTCCAAATCGGTAATTGGGCCATAAGTTACCTCTGTGTTTGGGGCCAGTGTTTGTCGATTAGACTCTTTTCGATCGCGTAGTCTATTCTGTATTTCTATCGCCTTTAGTCTATTCTGTTCAACTTGTTCAACTTGCTTTTGGCTTTTAGATCTCTTGACGGACCCATCGGCTTCAAAATCAATAAATTTCGATTTGAGGGAATTAGATGGCGAGTCCACTATCTGGCTGAGTGGCCGCTTTGATCCCTGGTTGGTCTCACTTGTTGCGCTTAAGGACGCGGTGTTATCCCCCTGGACTGATACATTGCCCAATCTCTTCTTTTGTAGCCGTTCCAACACACGAGCTCTATTCTCAGCCTTATGCGGTGTGTTAGTAGGTGCACTCAGATATGCATCATTCACATCTACATACTATCTTGCGTTTCTGTTCTGCTGAAGTCATGAGGAAGATGGATGAGTTGGGACTGAATGAAATTGCCACCGCAAAACCATTCGGTTGATTATATACAGGATATGACAAATGCTAATAACGATCTATTAAATTATATTAACCTACAACTCCACTTCATCATCCAACCTCACATCCATTTTGCCTTGTTCTTGCAAGTAATGTTTGACTTGATTAACCGTGTACTCTCCACGATGAAATAGCCCTGCTCCCAACGCAGCATCAATCCCACACTCCAACTCAAAAACTTCTTTGAAATGTTGTGGATTTCCAGCACCTGAACTTGCAATTACCGGGATTGAAACTTGAGATTTGATTTGATTCAACAATTCCAAATTGAACCCCTTGTTTGAACCATCGTGATCAATAGAGTTCAACAATATTTCACCAGCACCCAAATCCTCACAAGCAAGACACAATTCTAATGCTCCCAACTCATGGATTTTCCTTCCACCTTGGGATGTTACTTGGTAGTAACAATATTGTTCTCCATTTGGCCCATATCTCTCAGGGTCACTGATGTGGATAGTTTGCATTTTGGTGTCCTTTGGTGAAGCAACATATCGTCTCTTTGGATCGACTGATATGACAACAGCTTGATTTCCAAATGTCCTTGATATAGCTTCAATCGAAGTCTTGCCCGTCTTTTGCTTGTTATTAGCATAGTATTGCTCTGCTATGGTGACCGCATCTGATCCAATACTGACTTTGTCTGCACCAGAACGGAAATACAAGTCGGCAACTTGAACAGCAGGCACAATTTTACTAGTTTCCGGATCTTGCATATCTTTGATACCACCACCAACGGTCAACGGTACAAAGATGGTTTCAGCCGCGCGTTTCAAAACTTCCAACATGGGCAAGTCTTTTAATGGAGAGTTTCTAAACGACGTTATGTTCAAAAATGTCACCTCGTCGGCTCCCTGGTTGTAGTACCTTGTAGCTAGTTCAACTGGTTTACCCAAGTTTCGAACCTCACTTGAGGTGGAACCATCACCCTTTGTTTCACGAACATTGTATTGGTCACCTTTGGTAACCACCAAATCTCCATCATCATTGGTTCTCACATCTAAGCATGCAATGATTCTCCTCGTCAATCCACTGAGTGTAACTTCAACATCTTTTGGTTGTTCTTGGATATCTGACTTGTGGACAGCTGGGAACTTTTCGCCTTCAAGGAACGACTTTATGATTTTTAATCCCGCAATTCCAGATTTTTCAGGGTGGAATTGAGTAGCAAACAAATTGCCCTTGTTGACAGCAGCTAAGAACTTCTCACTCCCGTATCTTGCAATGGCAAAATTCCAACCCTGTGAACGCAAGTTATTCAACTTAGTAGTGGATTCCTGATCAATTATTGCCGCGTACGAATGAACAAAGTAGTATTTGTTGTTCAAATTCAAATTAAACAACGACTTATTGGAACTGATATCATCGCCAGCAACTGTAATCTCTTCAATGCTATTCCATCCGATATGAGGCACAGCTTTCTTGATTCCCCGCTCAGCATAAACTGGATCATCAACATTAAACTTTGCCAACTGCAAATCCAAAACTCCCAACCCCTTTTCACCAGGACTTTCTTCCGACCCATCAACAAACGCTTGTAGACCAACACATATCCCCATCAACTCTCTATCATCCTTGATATACTTTTCAATATGTTTATCGAGCTTCCTTTCGTATATCTGACGAACAAAATGGCCGTAGTTTCCGACCCCCGGAAAGATTAACTTGGTGATTTCATGATCAAGTGCAAGAAATTCTGCTTCATTGTGAATAAATTTGATGGTGTAGTCTGGATTGATACGCTTGATTGCGTTGGAAAGGGACTGCAAGTTCCCACTCTCAACATCAATTATATGAACGAGCTTGGACATGCTTTATTCAGAAGTAGCTCGACTGCAAAAAGAGTCGGGACTAATTTGTTTTTTTTTTTTTTTTTTTTCTTTTTTTTGGGGATGGTTGTGAATTAGAAAGTTCATATTGAGTAATCGAGAAAGAGAGTCTCGTCTCAAACGGTGAGTCAAAAATTTTTCACTTGTATGCAGGCTACACTGAGTATATTTACACCACCAGCAACAACACAGTCCTGTGAACAACCTAGTGGCAACGACCCCTTGCCAAAGGGTTATACTAGGTCATACTCTAATTTATTGTTTTCTTAATGTCCAGCACTATATAACTTTCTAATCTAACTCTCTATCTCTAATACATCATGCCCTTTTGATCGCTTCAATGTGCACTTGGAAATGCACACTCAATTCATTTTGCGACCTAACAGTCTCATCGTCGTCAAAGTAGTCACAATATTCACCCAACTTCCCAATCATTTCAAACAACTTCAACCCTCCAAACTTGGCCAAGAAATAATTGACCTCCGACAGCGAGGATAGTAAAGTTATGCCAAATCTCACATTACCCTTGCCAAATATCGAATTCAATTCAATCAATATCGTTTCAACGAAATTAGGAATCACTTCAAAGTGCTGTGACACGGAAAAATCAATATAATTCCAAGCACGTGGGAAATTTCCCTTGACGTGCTCATGCAAGAAAACGTGCGTCGACTTGGATCCGAAATGTATCGAATCGGAAATGAATGAACCACCAGGTTTTAGGATTCGATGAAATTCACGCAATATCGTCTTGTAGTTTTCTCGTTTTACTTGATATGGCAAGTCGCCAGTTTGGATCAAATTGAATGAGTTGGACGGAATCGTGGCAAGACTGTGGTTGTAATATTCAAAGTTTCTCGGCTTGTGGTTTACTGTAGTTGCAAACTCGGCTGCGCCTTCTGGGTGACTAATCTTACCCTCATTGGTATTGTTATCAGGTTCCTTCGTCAAGGCAACGAGACTATCCATACTCTTTGAATTGTATTCTTGGTAAGAAGACAAGTTTAATTTCAGTACAGATGAATTGTACAACTCATTGTCAGATTGTGCAAAATCAGTCTTGATTGACGCTTGTTCAAGTTTTTGATAAACATTGTAATCTTGGAGTACCCCCATATCTTCTTCATAAACGCTGGTTTCAACGAACCGCACAAAAGGTGCAGTCGTTGCATGATACCATCCATACTGTGCCGAGTTTATTGCATTAAAGAGCAACACCTTGGGACATTCCTTGTTCCTTAGTGTGACATTAGTCCTGTAAATGCCAAATAAATTTTCCAAATGTCTCTTTGGAACCAAGTGATTAGCATGGTACTTTGATATCATGTCAAATCTGTACTTTTCGAGAAGAAAGTACTCATAAGATACTTTTATCACGCACTCCAATAAAAGTCTCGCTTTTATTGCCCTGTTACTCTCATTCGACACATCGCTTGAAACGTCATGCTTTAAAGAGTAAAGCGAATTCCCTATAATATCAAACACCTGCTTGTTTTCGTAGTGTCTTTTGACATCCTCGCTCAAAATATCAACATTACTCACCTCAGGCAACTGTATCAAGTAACGCACATAATTGACATAATTTGCTTGGATCAACTCTTCATGATTGGCCAATGGGTGATTTTTTGATGCGGCCTTGATAAACATGCGCATATCGCTCCTCATTTCATCAAACAAAAAGTACGCCAATATGCACTCGGTGCTATCCAAATCACGGTAATTTTTTTGATCAAAATAGCCCCGCTCATCAACAACTGCCCTTGCACGCTTATGTCTCACGATAAATTTCAACAATGATTGATTTCTAATTTTGGCAAAATGTATTGCATCACTCGAGTGGTACTCACTCATCAATGACTGAAAGTTTTTGTAACGAAACAATTGATATTGAGGACTAAGGAAATTTTCCTTGATCGTGTCAAAGGAATTACACACGGATAAGTCAGTTATTACGTGGAATGACGGGATCGAAGTACTTGCTGGTTGGTTTGTCATTTCAGGAAAGTAGGAATCGGTTGGTTGGTTTGATCCCGGTGATTGGCGAGGTGAGTTTGCACCCGGCAGAGAAGGTAATGACGTGGAACCACCACCCTTCTTTTTTGTATTGCTCGTGAGGAAATGCAATTTTCTAAACTTGCTGGAAGATTCTTTGGAACCTATTGCTGGTTGAGACTGAGTAGTATTGCTTGATGAAGACGACGAATTTCTATGGAACGCTGCATTCAGTGGGTATCGCTGCTGTGAATGGCCAGAAGGAGCTGACGTGGTAGTGAAGGCAGAGTTTGTACGTGGGCGTGGGCCAGGAGCTGACGGGGTAGTAGATGAATGAAAGGTTGCTGAGTGGACTATCGGAGTCAAGGGAGATATTGCACGACTTTGTGTTTGTTTGGGTACCACCGATGTTTGTCGGTTGTGAGAGCCAAGTGGCTTGAAAGTATCTGATTTTACACTTCTCCCATAGGAATTTGCTATTAGTGAGGACTTGTCCTCTTCGATTTCTGCTTCTTCTGGCAAACTACGCCTGTTTGTATTCGACAACACCGACAGAGATTGACCCATATCTGTCAGTGAACTGGATGGGGAGTCCAAATCTGATATTTGCTCCAGCAGCTGCGATTTCCGATCAAATGAATGTTTCGAATCCCTGTGGCTTGACTGTCCCTCACTCAAAACCTCATCCAAGTTGAAACGCCTTGTCTCTGGTTCCTCCGATCTTGCTTTTGTCAAATTGGTATACAGTCTTGACTTCAGGACTTGATCCAGGTACAATGACTCCCAATCATCAGCATCAGAAGTTACGCCTTCACGATCCAGGGCCACATTAGGTGGGTTTGTAGTGTAGGAGGAATGAACTGACTTTGCATCGTCGTTGTAATCAGAATCGTTTCTCATATCCGTGGAGGATGCTTTCGAGCTGGTGGATGTCCTATGAAGTAACCCCCACCCAGGTTTTGTCTTTTTACCTTTGGACATTATGCTTGCAGCATCACTATCATGCCTACGTTCCTCTCTTTTCAATTCCTTTTCCACTTCCTTCTTCTTCTCCTTAGCCTTCTTTTTCTCCTTATGTGATTTGAGCTTCTGCTGGGTCTGGTAGGACACCAGGGGGACCACAAAGAAACTCATTTATGGAAAGATGAGGACTATGCTTGAACACGTTGCTGTCTGTGAAGGGTATGTGAAGGGTATGGGGAAGGGAGGAGGGGAAAATGATGCGCCGTTGACTATAATTGATTGTCTAATTTTATGTCTCTATTGTTCTATTCTAGTGATGACATCTAATAAGTTGGAGGAGTGGGTAGTGGTGGTGCAAGTATGTGAAATCTTGAAGTCAAGAGAGAGACCAAACACCCGTGTTAAAGTAATTGAGGATTGGAATGACAGGAGAGAGACAGTAACAACCTCGGACCAAAAAGAAGAAGGAGAATAAAAATTTTGGACAATACTTGTGTGCTGAAAGAGAGACAAAGAAAAGAAGAAGAAAAAGAATAAGAAAAAAAAAAAAGAAAAATTATTTTTGTGTGTGAGTGTGTGTGTGTGTGTATGTATGGGTGTGTGTGTGTGAGTGTGTGTGTGTGTGTGTGTAGTGTGAGTGACGCGACACTTTTTGGTGGTCATTCACATAGGACAGATCCATAATTTACGAATTACATACGTACTGTAACTGCGCCACTCAGCACAATTATTGTAGTGTGACCCAAAGGGTCAATGCCTGACGTAAGTGGTCCAGCTGAAGTGATGTTGGGACTAGGTGGTTTGCATTGAAATGCTGTTGACTTGAGAGGTGGTGCTGGGGGGATCATCAATCCCTCAGAGTAGTCCCTTGCTTTCCTGAACAGAACAGGGTTGTGTTCACATTGTTTGCTCAAATTTGCCAATCCTTGTTGATCAATTTTATGTCTTGTCCGGAAACTCTTCACCTTAAACACATTGTAAATGACAAGATCAAATCTTCAATTCTGCATCCACTGCTTTGGTTCGACCGAAGGCTCATAAGCTATTGGGTAGAGAATACCAAATGGCTTTTCTTGAAAATTGAATCAACAATTAGGAACAGGCAGACACATACACTCTGAAATGAGTATTCGTTTGAAAGAAAAGGCAAAATCATAGACTAGCGCAGGATCCTCTTTTCCTTGGGTAAATTTTGGCAACACAACCTTCTCCGACATCCTAAATCCGTCAAATACAAATACGATGAAACGAAAAATGCAAGTTGCTAGCTCCAAGGAGTCAGTCTGTGTCAGCCTGACTTAAACTGTTGTATGGTATCTTTCCTTGAGCCGAGGCAATGAAATTACAGTGCATGTGATAAACAAAAAAAAAAATCCACTCACTACATAAAATGTCATTTTGTCGTGATTGCACAATACTAGTCTCCAAATTAGGTACCCTCACTGTGGGATGTGTTATATTCTGCAAAGAACCGCAACTCCGCAATACATTAGTCCTAGATTTAATTATGTGGCTACAGTACCATTTAAATTTTTCCTCTGTTTTGCGGAGAGCGCTTCTGTAATTTTTTGCGTTCCAATATTCTGCGCATCGGCTAATATTCCTTCTGTTTTTCCTATTTGAGTAATGTGCCTGAGATATCTACATCTAATTCCACGTTAGCTCAAGGAAATGAATTTCCTAATGTGTTTATTCAGATAACTTCAACTTGGAATGCGTTAATGACAAACGTATGGTTTTCGATTCAACAATGACGCCTCCACTATAAGAAGTCATGCACTATGGGTTGCAGATGCGGACGTTTCAAGACGAAGAAAGCTCCGCGTTCGGTATAAGTACCGGTGCTTGGTTAGCAAAAGTGTCAAGACCATTCTTCACAAGAGCATCGACTACAGCTCCGCCATGCAATACTGGATCGTTCTCTTCCTCCTTCTTGACAGCATATTTGCGGCCACAGTTCAACCAGTCAAACCTACAAAAGACAAATTTTATACCCCTCCAGATGGTTATGAGGATCTGGAAGTTGGTACGATACTCAAATTCAGAAAAACACCCTTACCCTTGACTGGTATCATCAATACTGTGAATGTTAAAAACTCATGGCAGTTTCTTGTTAGATCCGAAGATACGTTTGGTAATCCCAATGCCTTTGTAACAACCGTGATGGAACCATTTGATGCCAAGCCAGATAAAGTGGTTTCCTATCAAACGTGGGAAGACTCAGCCGACTTGGATTGTTCGCCTTCGTATGCTATACAGCAGGGTTCAGGTTGGACGACACTAATTACCCAGTTTGAGATGTACTTCATGGGAGCCTTGTTAGATCAGGGCTATTATGTGGTTACTCCCGATTACGAAGGTCCAAAGAGTACCTTTACAGTTGGTTTGCAATCAGGAAGGGCCACGTTGAACTCAATTAGAGCCACACTTAACTCTGGTAATTTGACTGGTATTGACCCTGGAGCTGAAGTTATCATGTGGGGCTACTCGGGTGGTACTATAGCTTCAGGTTGGGCTGCAGCTATTCAAAATGAATATGCCCCGGAGTTGAGTGACAACTTGATTGGTGCCGCTCTTGGTGGATTTGTTACAAATATCACTGCTACAGCAGAAGCAGTAGACGGTGGTATTTTTGCTGGTCTCGTTTCAAACGCGTTGGGTGGGTTGGGCCATGAGTATCCAGACTTGGCGGAATTCATGGACAAGAAAGTGAGCCCTCAGCAAGAGCCAAACCTTGCCAAAAGTGACACGCATTGTTTGATAGATAGTATTCTCGACAACTTGGGTACCGAATATTTTACTGGAGAGAGCAAATGGTTTCCTGACGGCTGGAAAGTGTTTGAAATGGAGCCAGTCGATACAATTGTAAAAGACAATGGCCTTGTCTATCAACCAAGAAATTATACCCCACAAATACCAATTTTTATTTACCAAGGCACACAAGATAATATCGTCCCCATAAAAAGCGCCAAACGTACTTTTCAACAATGGTGTGAATGGGGGTTGGAGTCAGGTGAGTTTGCCGAAGATGAGGCTACGGGTCACATTACAGAAGTATTTGTAGGAGGACCGGCCGCATTGACTTGGATCAACAATAGGTTTGATGGTGTGCCGCCAGTGCAAGGGTGTAATCATACGTCAAGAGCATCAAATTTTGATTATCCTGGTTTGAGTCAATCATATGTCGATTATTTCACTGCTGCTTTGAATATAGTTCTTGGAATGGAATTGGGCCCATTGCTGAAGAGAGATATCAACACAATACAAGATTTGAATGATTTGGAGTACGTAAAAGTTTAGAGATTGATACCTGGTTTTAAATAGGGGAGCGGAGCTTTGTAGAAATCGACAACAGTCACAAAATTACCCTCATTGCCATTGGCTACCCCCCTTCCCCCCCCCCCCCCCCGCTGTAGACGACGGATTCTTACAAGCAACCGAAAGCATCTTGGAGCTCCAGCTATAATCAGAAGAGACCTTCGCTCAATTACATATAACACATTTCGTATATACTACAACAAATACATCCTTCTTAAGCAAAACGTTCCAACTTGAGCAATCCACCCAAGTCAACCTTATCTTGCCTGACATCAGGGCCTAAATCAAAACCAAAGACTGCATCTAACGCAGATTGGAAGTAGTTTCTAATGGATTCTATAGTACCTGGATATTCAAAGTTTGATTTCCTCACAGTGTGTTGACATCCACTAACTGGAGCTTGTCCATTGAAACGATTGATGATCCAAGTCAAAGCAGCAGGCGCACCAACAATGGATTCAGTAATGTGTCCATTGGTTGCATCTTCTGCATATTCTCCCGATTGAAGTCCCCAATCGCACCATTGATTAAATGTTTTTCTTGAGTTGACTATGGGGACGATTCCGTCCAAGGACCCGTGGTAAATAAACAATGGAATTTGAGGAGTCAGGTTCTTTGATTGATAGATTAATCCATTGTCTTCCAAAATAGTCTTGACTGGCTCTTGATTGACAAGACTCCACCCTTCAGGGAAGTATCTAATGATGTTGGTGAAAAATGAGTTACCAAAGTAAGCAATGACACCATCAAGCAAACAGTGTGTGTCACCCATTTGATACGTGACTGAAAGCAATGGCGAAACTTTTTGCAAAAGGAAATTCTTGAAACTGGGGTACTCATTTCCAATACCGGCCAATGCGTTGGAGATGATCCCGGCAAAAGGACCGCTATCGACTGCTTCCGCAGTGGCGGTGATATTTGTAACGAATCCACCAAGAGCAGCACCAATCAAGTTCTTGCTCAATTCTGGTGCGTAGTCATTTTGGATGGCAGCAGCCCATCCTGAGGCAAGGCTTCCTCCCGAGTAACCCCACAACAATGTTTGAGCATTTGGATCAACACCAGTCAAGTTTCCTGACTTCAATGTGGCTCTAATGGAGTTCAACGTGGCCCTTCCTGATTGCAAACCAACCGTGAATGCACTCTTTGGACCTTCGTAATCGGGTGTGACGACATAGAATCCTTGATCTAATAGAGCAGCAATGTAGTACATCTCAGCTTCGGTGATCAATGTAGTAATATCAGCCCCATACTGAATAGCATATGATGGCGAACAGTCTAATTTAGCTGAATCTTCAAAAGTTTGGTACGACACAAGTTTGTCGCTTTTAGCATTGAATGGTTGGATGACAGTAGTTACGATTGCGTTGGGGTTACCAAATGTGTCTTCAGATCTTACCAACAATTGCCATGAGTTTTGGACTCTGACTGAAGTAACAATACTCGTCAATGGGTTGGGGACGTTTCTTTTTTTCAAAATGGAACCAACTGGTTGAGATTCATAACCTTGTGGTGGAGTGTAGAAATCATCTTGAGATGGTCTTTTCGGAGCCAAGACAAAAGCCGTGATTGAATTGAAGAGCAAGAATGCAATGGCAAAGTAGCGCATGGTTGAGGATTTAGTGACGATGGTGTTGTAGTGATTGAATTAGATTGAATATTGAAAATAATGGAGACATCATACCGTATTTATAATCTTTCAAATAGGACGTGTGTACCCTCCAACTTCCCCTCGTGGTCACTTCCGTCGGGAAGAAGAGCGTGAACACCCCATATTGTTCACAAGCCTGTAATCACGCCATGTAAACAAAACTCACAGTTCAATATAGAAAACACATGGTTCAGCGTGGTGAAAATACAAAAAAGAAAAAAAAAAAACAACAAAACAACCTCAAAACCAATTTGTGGTTTGTTTACTTCGGCACGTCTTGCAATGGTTTGAATGCTCTGTCCAATCAAGTTGTAGAGCCCGGATAAATGATTGGAGACGTTGGCAAATTTAACGTCTGCCTCATCGTATGGTAAATGAAATTTGTGGGGAATGCAAAAACACAAATCGGGAAAATGTAAATAAAGCCAGCACCAACCATTTTTTCCATGTCAGCTTTTACAATAGGCTCTATCCGACACAAGAGTGGCTCAATATTGTTCGTAAAATTGTATTGCTTAGCACATTGTCAAATAGTTGTCACTGCAACGCGTTCCTCACAATTTCACAATTTATTTTGGATGCGCGGATGCACGGACACAAAACGAAGGAAGAGTACTTGTGTTCAAAGCAGGGGAATTTAACAAGGGGGGGAGAGAAAGAGGAAACGTTGAAACGGAACATTATGGACAAAGAAGTGAGGGTTAAAAAATAATCTGAAAGGTCTAAATCTAAAAGTCACTTCCGAACTGCCCCCGAAACGATTACCACGCAATGTAGTTTCAGCAAGATGAGCTCTATTTGATTCTGCCCCTTTAAGTTCAACTTATTCTAGAAAGAAGGGTAGTAACATTGAACACACCATCAATCACTTCCCAACTCTAGCTTAGCCAAGTCACCGTTTCATTGTGCGTTATACAATGCAGTGTAATTACAGTCTCTCAGAAATACAAAGCATTGAAAATCCCGAGGAAGTTGACGCACATGAAACAATCACAAAATTACACGTCAAGAATGTAAACAAACAACAATAAGCACATCCGACTTTGTATGTCCTTGCATTGCAGAGCCAGTTGATTGACGGTTGTGCTATTGTGCCTCGATACCCATGGGGAGAGGTAAATTGTTCTTCCTCGGCGATTTTTAGTAGAGCCAGAACTTTATTTTGCAATGAAGAGGAAAATTTACAAACTTTTTTTTTTTTGTGTCCGTGATTACATAATTACAGTTTTCAATCAGTTTGTTGTCATTCAAGTTGAATGGTTATGAGACAATGAACACAATTTTGTTGTTGTGAGGTTAGGAATCGGATTGAAACTGTTGTTATGAGTAACTTCGACGCGTAAGGGAAAAAAAAATAAAAAGACTCGTGGTTAGCAATAATTGGAAGCTAGGATTAACTATGTACAGGTTGCCGAAGAAGTGACACCACTATTAATGTAGAAGCTCCAACACATGCACCATCTTTGATTCCATCCCCCCCATAGTTGATGCTGAAGCAACCTAGTGCCAATATAGATGCAGTAGTTTGTGAAATGTCGTAAGTCAATACAAAAGTAGAAGGCTACCCAGTAGCTCAGGTTGTAGTTGCAAAAGTTTTTTTTCTTTTTTTGCAGCATAATTGTTGCAAATACATGGAATGGTTTGGATTTTGCAAAAGTTTCTTCATCTTGTCCACCATGGCTGTTTACATAATACTTCTACAAATCGTGAACTCTAAACGTAAACGAGAAAACGGACAAACACAAGAAGTCTTCCAAAACATACCAAGAAAATATCAAAAGCTTAATTTTTTTCTTTTTTTTCTTCTCTTTTCCTCATGAGAATGCTTGGGTGGGGGCTATGGAATCATTGGGTCATTAAATAATAATCATTTTTGATGACCTGTAAATCTCTTTATATAGTTTGAAGAATAGTATTCAAATTCAATTTTCCAGGAGGGAGAAGTGTATATACCCGATCAACGGTATAAACGTATAATGATTATCGATGTGGAAAAAAGAATAGTGTACTATTCTAATAATGATAGTAACCGCAGATGGCTATTCTGGCTAATCATAATCCCAATCTTGATAGTGTTGTTGGCATTTTGGTTTTGGTGGAAAAGAAGAAAAGGTAAGAATCAGCCCAAAGTGGTTCCCATGTACAACAATGCCAACAATGGGTATTATCGGTCGAATGGGCCCAATGGACCAGTTGGCCCACATCCACTGCCTCCAAATGGAGCTTACTATATGCCTCAATATGTCCCACCTATGTATCCACAACAAGGTTCCGGTGTGGATGATAGCCATGTTCCTCCACCGTATCCACCTCCATCTTCAAAGTCACAGGGATATGCGTCATCCTCATCAAACATTTATACACCACAGCTACAATCACCACCACCACCACAACAACAGCAGCAGCAGCTAAGCAAGGAAGCTGAAGCTACAGGTGGTGAATATTCTGCCCCCAATGGCCCGCCTCCAGCTCATACTAGATAGATGTGTTTTGTTTATAGTTGGATAAGATTATTATGATGTTTCTTTACAGTTGATTGTGTAGATGAGAGAGGTGGTCGAGGTGTATACGCTTAGGTCTCCGTGTGTGGCTGGCGGTGTGTTCGTGGGTGTTCGTGGGTGTTCGTGGGTGTTCGTGGGTGTGGGTGTGTGTGTGTCGTAAAGCTGCATTACGCGACATTCGGATCCACTGACGCACAAAATTAAAGGATTGAAAAAGACAATGGACGCGTCAATCCTTGCATACAATAACCGAAACAGGCTTGTCCCACGCCATACAGGTCCATCAAAGAGCAAAGTGATGCCTCCAATTACAAACTAAAGTGATGAATAACCGTTGTAAGTGATACAGATTACTGAAACGAAATGCGCAGAAAAGCATGCTGGATTACAGCGATGTATGTACTTCTTCTTGAACCCATTATGCAGATAGAAGTTTCCATGCATTCAACTTATGATTTAAACCTAATTAGTAAATTGAATGGGCCAAGGTTGGAGTAGTAGCAGTTTACTGTTTTTACTTCTGATGTTAGGTATATATTGAACGAGATATGTCAGTACCGCTTGGGAAACCTTAACGTTAGACATTACAACAAAGATAGCTGTCTCTCAAATCAAGAGGTAACGTGATTCCATATTTTGTTCTACTCTGAGCTTACCAAAAAAAAACACGACGCTTTTCCTAAAATAGTAGTGGGAGGTGCAGAAGGGGGTATGATATGTACTCGACAATTTACATTCTTAAAATTGCGTTTCTACAACTAAAGCCCTTGATAAGTAGGATGTACACTTTGTATCCATTGTTCTCTCTCTCTCACTTGCAGATCTTTGTTCTTTGTCTCGCTGACGATAACAGTTTCCTTCGTCTATTTCCTACTGAACAGCCTTGACTACTCCCAGTTACTGCTAAAGAATTGTAAGTAACCATACACGTGTACGATTGAGTAGAGTGTGCTCTCTACCAAAGAGGTTAGTTCAATCTCGGCATAAGAAGCTACACTGTACTGATGTAAAAGCTTAGGCGAGTGAAGAAAGATCAAATAGAGAAATAAATAACACGACCACCAAACACGAGAAACAGAACAACGAAAAAAAAAAAAAAAAATAAAATAAAACAGACAAAAGAAGCAAAAGAAGAAAAGTTTAAATTCTCAAACCACATACGGTTTTTACAACCAAAACAGTTACTAGGAAACTCACCACTTCTTACTGCATTTATCTGTGTTTACTTTAGAACCATTAATTCACCCTTTCTCCCATCCACAATAGTACAGTACTGTATACGCAAAGAAACATGAGAAAGATTTGGAGTAGACGGGATAAGGAAAAACGGAAAAGTGTTTCAGCACCCACACCTCAATCAACGGTTGGTGATACATCATTCGTGCAAAAGCCCCTCAATCCTGAATTCAATGGCAGCAACACTTCACTATCGCTGTCGGAATTGAATGCGGACCAAACTTTCAACTATGATAACGACATTTCGTCTATTTTGGAGGAATCGTCAACCAATTATTCATCAATCAATGACAACAGATATCCAACCATTGGAAGTGGTCGAAAATTTAGTACTTCTACTGGAGATGACTCTGGTGGTGTACCTCAAAATGCCACAAATCTGATTGGTACTTCCGCAAATGCCAACCCAAGAGGATCTGTTTCTCCTCTCGAGTACAGACACCCCGTCAAGTTTCTGGACTTGATCAGACAGAACCACGATAGGACGTTGGTGAAACATAATTGGGTCAATATTATTGGAAATAACAATGATGTCAAAGAGAGCAACCTAAAGCTTTATCGTGCCGAATTGAAAGGCTCGCATCTATACTTGTACAAACCGCCATCATCATTGAATGTGAAACGGTTTAGAGTAAATGACACATCTGTGGTGGAAGAGCTGGAGAATGCCAAGGTGAAACACGCTGATATGGCTTCAGTAAACGACACTGCAAGTGACGTATCGACATTGATTGCCGATACCAAGCTGGTTGACACAAGTCGATTCGGACAGGCTGTGACACATTCCGGCCTCAAACACAAATCCTCCAACATAAGTGCAACTGAATCTCATTTGGGACACAATTCCAATTCGGAGCCACAAAAAGACACCAAGTCAGACGATGCTGTTTCAAGGACACCCACACCTACTCCATTACCACCGATATCATACCACAAAACGGTCTTGCCTCACCCAAACCTCCGTTACAATTTCATGACTCACCATTTTGAGACGCGTTTATTTACAGCAAATGAAAACAATGTCGAATCGGTAATCCATTTCTTTTGTTTTGTCAATGATTCTCGCGACGACTCAGGGGTGTACACCATTATCCATACGTTGCCGATCTTGCCAGGTTTCAGTCATTTGTTGAGATATCTTGCATTTTACCTAGGAGAGATATTTGACAATAAGTTCGAAGGAGAGTTTGATAAAAGTTTGATAGTCGAAAGGGTTCTCGCATTATTGTACAGCATTGAGCACCATTTTGAAGGATTTCTATTGAAATCAGATACGGCTCCACATATCCTAAGGATTTTGGAGTTGTTATCGGCTCAAACTGTACACTCGGACAGGGTTTTCAGATTCAAACAGGACATGTTGGGAAAGCAACAGCTACTCATTCAGTTGGTCAGTAATGACAGTCTACCAGGAAACATACAGCCGTTCAAAGATTTAGACTCACAAACGTTTATGAAGGATATCAAGTTGACCGATTTTGCACAAGTTATTAGCGAGATTGATTTGAAATATTTCTCAAGCTGGAATTCAAACCTCGACAAGTCGTTACTTTTGTACTCTGCAATTAATCAGACAGACCCAACCAAGGACTCATTCTACAAGAAGAATCCGTTGATATTCAACAACAATTACCACATCCATTACCTTTCACGATTGTTGATCAATCATATATTTATTGAAAACGGCACTGCGTCTAGGACAATGGCGGTCATGGAGACTAAAGCCCGTATACTTGAGAAGTGGATAGACTTGGGTTGCTTGTTGGATAAATCAGGTAACATGTCTTCATGGTTGGGGATCTCATCCATCATTTTGTCGCAACCCGTGTTGCGATTGACTAAAATCTGGTCACTTGTATCACCCGACTACATCAAGTTATTGAAGCATGATTGGTCCCCGGTGTTGTTTGAGTTGGACAGAAGATATTTAGTCAATGACACTAAAATGACCCGGCCACCAAGTATCGACAATGTAAAGACTCCCAACGTGTCCGCAAATGAAGATCGTGAGTTTAATTCAAAGAATTCATATCACATAATGGCACCACGAGGATTGGGAAAGATATATCCAAAGGAAAAAGTGATTCCGTATTTTGGCGACTTGGTGATCAACAATGATGGCGACTGTGCAGATGTTGACGTGTATGAGATGGAGTCGATTTGGAAGAAAATAAATTATTCATTTGATCGATGGAATGAGTATTTGTCTAATCTCTCCAATTTCAATGAGATTATCAACTACAATGAAGATGTATTGAGAAGGTATGATACGATGGGATTTATCTTTTCTAATGAAAGCTTGAATCAGGTATTGTATCTAGGAGCAAATAATAACAACCCAAGTGACAATGAGAAGTTGTCTATTCCGGAAAGGAAATTGACCGCTGTGGAAGATGTCCAACGGAATGATTTGAGAAACAAGTTGTTGCGATTGATTGAGTTAAACTGCGATTCCATGAATTTGGAAAAAGTCATGTCATTGTCAATACAATTGGAGCCCGATTTGCCTGAAGCTTACTTGAGCAATCCTTTATTGGAGAAATCGACCTTGTCCACGACACATAATTTGTTAGGCTTGAAAACCGGCAAAAACGCCTCTGGTGTCTCGTTAAATTCCGTGGACTCTTTACATACAGCTGATACGTCTCCCGACCAATCTCCCACAGCAAGAATACCCACATTCAACAACAACTATTTTCGTTTGATTTTGCCCAAATATGAGGAGCTAATGTCGGTTGAGGACAAACACATTCCGCTTGATCCCAGCGTGAACAAGCACAGTGTTGTTGTTGATGATGAGTTGACGTTTCGAGTGGATGACTTTGTCGATGATATGGCAGACCAAACCAGTACTGGTGGACTCAATTCCGTAGTTGAGGATTATGTCGCAGGAGCTGATGACGAAGATGATATTCCCGGCTTGGGCATTGATGTGGATGACATTCTCAATTCGGAAAAGTTTAATAATCTTACCATGTCTCCTAAACCAAACAATCCTTACAAGCATAGACTGTTGTCGAGAAGTGGGAGTGGATTAGATAATCGCAGCTCAGTGATGTCCGAGGGAACAAGCATTAGAAGAATGTACAAGTTTATCCCCAAGTATGCAACTGTGGACAAGCTTATAGATTTGTTGTTATTGGAGGGCCACTATTTTCGCCATGATATTCACATGGACTTGACCGAGTATCGATTTGTGTTTTTATTGAATTACAATTCATTTATAACGACAAAGGAGTTGTTAGATAAACTTGCTCATCGTTTCGTCAATTCTGGAAATGCTGTTTTATCAGTCATGAAGAAGAATTATTTGATGAAAAAGAATCATGGGAAAAGATCAGAAGAGACCGCCGCACTGCACTCTGATTTGCATATTGAATTCCCCAATTGGGACTTAGATCCAGAACTCGACCTTAATGAGTTAGGTGAAGTTGATTACGAGCTATTGTTGAAGATTCAAATCAACATTCTCAAAGTGTTGATTGTTTTGATCAACAATTTTTATTCCAATTTTTCATTAAACTTGGCTAACAAAAGCATTCTCATCAAGTTGTTGAAGTTGTTCAGTAACGAAATACTACAGTGGTATAACTCGAACAAAATAGACGCATCATTAGAAAGGTCATTTGAGAGCTTGGTGACGTATTACAAAAAGTTGAAAAAGATTTTCGTTAAAAAGACTTATCGACCAATTGAAATTACCAAGTTTAACAATTACTTGATCCACGAATTCCGTTTCAACAACTCCTTGCGTGAGGTGCCAGTGAATCGGAATTTACCCAGTCATAAAAACATTCACAAGATCGAGAAGTTTCTCGGCAAATTTAACAAGTTATTAACTGTATTTTACAGAGGCATTAGAGCCGAGGATTGGATCAAGGTTTTCAAGATTTTGGAAAATTCATTTGAATTGAATGCATTGTTTGATTTCAACTTGCAAAAACCAAATGTACCTGAAGATCAAATGATTGTATCAAATGTGTTTAATTTTTTCGAAACTTTGGTATCACCTAATGAACGACAATTGATTTTGAAGAAATTCCCGCTTGTGTTTCGCAAATTGTTTAAGTTGTATTTCCGATTCAAGACGTACTTGTTGGTGCAATTGACTGACGGGAACATCACCAATGAAGAGAGGCTTGACCGAATGAAGACATTGTTGATAATGGCAAAAGTATCCAAGTTGAAAATGGGCGATAATCAATTTGTATTTGAAGGAGTGGGGCACGTACCTTCATGCATTGAAACTGCTATTGTGAATGTGATTTATTCACCTGAAAGTAGAGCATATGCAAGTTTATGGATTAGAGCATCAACAGTGCTCGACCACAAGCCTAATGAGTTCAATAGTATTGACGAGTTGGTTCCGTCAAACGTTGGTATAGATGATTTACAATCCACCGAGCCATTGTTGCCGTGTTTTGGATGGGTTATTGAAAACTTGATCAGTATCAATAAGAGCCCCTCATTCCACAACAATCTTGTCAATTTCAACAAGAGGTATTTGATTTTCAAATTGATTAAGGAGTTGGGAGTTGAAGATGTTGAAGGTAGTGGCGCTGCCGTCACCGACCTGTCGGAGTTCTACACAAATGAGTCACGCGAGTTTGATTTCTTGTTGAAGTTGGATGAATCATTGGTTGTGAAAAGGGCGACTGAAGCTATGCATGAACGCGATGGATCAACTTTCTTGAAGCATGTGCTTGCTGATCAACATCAAATCTTGGTTATTGACAATCACAAGAAGAACCAACGTGATGCAAAAAGAGGCAGTGGTGGCGCCAATGTTCAATTACCTACAGCCCCTAGCGACATGCATACAATAACTCGAAGGACATCAAATACATCTTTGAGAAGACAATCCTTGACGTATAAAGCCAGCCCTAGTTCGAGGTTTAAACTTAGTGGCATCTTTTCCAAGACAAAGTCATTTTCACTACTGGGAGGAGGAGGAGGAGGTGGTGGTGGTGGAGGTGGGGTAGGAAGCAGTGGCAGCCCTGATCCGGGTGCAAGCTCCAATCCCAACTCGTCCTCCTTCGCCTCGACTGAGAAATCAGTTAGTGTGAATGAATTGCCAGACCCTTATTCTCACAGTGAAGGTAAGCAGAAACCATCTATTGTCATTTCATTAAAGAGTCGCAAAATATTTCCTGTTTATTTGTTGCCGTATGGGCTCAAGATTGATTCTGATGCGGGTGATGGAGGAGAATACTTTTTACAAGCTGCTAATGAAGATGACTTGAATGACTGGTTAGTCAAGCTAAATTACGCCAATCGTCATTGGTTTTACTCGCGGATATTGAATTTGAAAGTTACTAATAATCGAAACTTGGTATTTGGTATTCCATTGGGGTTTGTCACAGCACGTGAACAATCGCAAGTTCCACGCTTTTTGCAGTTAATTTTCAATGAGATTGAAAAGTTTGGTATCAAGGATGTTGGAGTTTATCGTATAAGTTCGTCGATTTCCGACTTGAATAACTTGAAGCTGAGTATTGATCGCTCAGGTACTATTGTTCCCGAGGCTAATGATGTGCACGTGTTGACTGGGGTTGTCAAGTCGTATTTGCGTGAGTTGCCGGATGCATTGTTGACTGATGGAGTTATTACTAGGTTTTTCCAGATTCATAAAGAGAGAAGGAGTATGAATGAGAAGCAAACTGGGAAAAGTGACGCCAAAGAGAAGATCAACGGAGATGAACCTGAAATAGAGGGTGTTGAAGAGGATGGCGTGTATGCAAATGACCAGGACCAGGACTTGGCGGAGTTGATAAAGTACAAATCGACATTGTATCAACTTCTTCCTCCAGCCAATTTATTCACTTTGAAAGCATTGATTTGTCATTTGAACAAGGTGAACCAATTTAGTGAATTTAACAAGATGACAAGCTCAAATATTGCCACTGTTATTGGCCCCGCATTGACTGAAGCGTCCAACTTGGCATTGTTGGTTAATAATTTTGGATTTATCAATTTGGTGTTGGAGAAGTTGATTGTTGAGTATGAGGTGATTTTTGAGAATCGGTTGACAAAGTATCATGGTGAACAGAAAGGTGGTGATGAAGGAACGACAGCAGGAGCGAGTAAGGATTCTGAGCGTGAGGTGAGCGGTGGTGGTGGTGGTAGTGGTGGTGATTCTGATGCAAATTCAGTTGAGCAAGAACCATCGACTATTCCGGGTGCTGTTGCTGCCACTGCACTTCTGGCTATCTCGAGAGAAGAGAGAAAAGATGACATTTACAAAGAGCAAGATAGAGTCATTAGAGTTCGAAGGAGTGTTGAATATGGACAATCTGATTGACATGATTAGTTTTATTTTGTATTTATTTTACAGTATACTTCGTATTATGATGTATAAACTAGGCATAACTGAGAAACATGTAACGACAGGTGACAAGGTGACACCTCTTTTCACGATTACGCTGTCTTTACCTTGTTATCCATCTTGACAATGTTTTTAAATCCATTGACTAGAATAATGATAGGAATAATCAAGTATGGCAAGTAAATTGCACACAATTTGAGCACCTGATCCTTACACAACCCGAATTGCCATCTCCCATCAATTGCAATATGTATCATGCATACGAAAGTGGTGAAACTTGCATTGAAGCCATAAATGACTGACCATAGGTGATATTGCACATCCAATTGTTTTTGTAGATGTTTTTTGACAAAGTAGAAGAACAAAGGGAGTTGGAATGCACATTCGACGGCGATGAACGTTTTGAACCATGTTTGCGGATGTGTTAGGAGTATGTCGTTGTTTTGCGACGTGTGGACTTGGACCAAGGTTGATGTTAATGATGTGTGGTATTTGGTGGGGATGATTACTGATGCGTCGATTAGGAGTGTGATGGGGATATGGACGAGGTAGTAGTAGAAAAGGAATGTGTTTAGCATGGTTGTGGTGTGGTGTGGTGTGGTGTGGCGTGTGAAGGTAGTTGGGGATTGAAGTGGAAGATGTTGAAGATCTTTGTTTTGATTTGGTTTGTGACGCGATGGTGGTGATTCTCATTTTTATCAATTTTTCTGACACGTTTTGAAAGAGTGTATTGGTCACCGGTAGAGGTTGACAGGACCGCTATATGGAATGTTACGTATTGCTAGACAAGTCAGAATTAAATCACCGTTAGTTAGCAATTTACAGTTTCGATATATTACCCAAATGTCATCATCATCATCATCATCATCATCATTACACACTGCTCTGCCATCAATACCCCAACTGGAAGACAAATCAGTACCCATAAACTCAACCCCTAAAGCTAATGTTGAACAACAACAACAACAACAAGAAGAAGAAGAAGAAGCGGTAATGCCAACAACGCCATCTTCTGCAACTCTGCCAAAGCTCTCCCTATTTCAGTCTTTTTTGGCATCAACTCCACCATTACCCAAACGGCCACTAATCTGGATCGATTGTGAAATGACAGGGCTTGACGTATTGGGGAGCGACGTTATCATCGAGGTCTGTTGTATAATAACCGATGAGCAATTGAATATTGTTGGTGAGCAGGAATTTGAAACTACAGTATATTGTCCCAAACTGCAATTGGATGCCATGGATGAATGGTGTACTACAACCCACACAAATTCAGGATTGATTGCAAAAGTGCTAGCTCATCGCGAGTCCACTAGTGACAAGGTTGAAACTGATTTGTTAAATTACATACAACGGTATGTGACAAAGCCTCGCGTTGGAGTACTTGCCGGCAATTCAATCCATATGGATAAATTTTTCATGATGAAGCAGTTCCCCAAAGTAATTGAGTATTTGCATTATCGTGTAGTTGATGTGTCTACAATTATGGAATTTGGCCAACGTCATGCGCCAGAGTTGATGAGTTACAGTCCCGGTAAAAAGGGAGCACACACAGCCAAAGCAGATATTTTGGAAAGTATTGAACAATTGAAGTGGTATAGGAAGTATTATTTCAAGCTGGATGAACAGATTCAAGATACCATTAAGGAATTTCAAGCTAATGGTGTTCCTAAAAGGGATTCTCTTTAAAAGGGGATGAGTTATCTTTAGTATGGTGTGTATGTTAAGAAGAATATTTTGTTTACTTACATGTGGCTGTGTGAGTACGTAAATGGAGCATTGGTTTTGTTGATTTGTTTTGATGTAGTTTCTAAAGATAGATAGAGCAAGTTGTGTGTTGTGTGTGTGTGTGTGTGTGTATGTGTAATTAAAATACCAGTAGAGCACGACTTTAGTGCGGTTGTGAAGAAAACCATCTACAAGCAGGTTAAGCTGTAGTTGTGATGCTTAGTGCAGAGAAAGGGGCTGTACCTTTTGCTTGGAGGGGGAGGAGGAGCGTTGGTTGAATTGGTATAGAGTTGTTTCAGCCTTTCAATTATAATCAGTATATGTTTTATTCGGCTTATTTCGGGATTTAGCATTATTATTGTATAAAAGCAAAAGAACAAACGAACAATTGGGGAGAAGAAGAAGAAGAAAATACACTCAAAGTAAGTAGAAACTGTACAGGGCTTTCCTCTGTGCTCACTTACTCATCCTCGGAACCTAATGCAATCTTCTTTTTTTTCTAAATATTTAAGAAAGAAACTGCCCAATGGTTGAAACACGGCGATAATATTCTTACTAAACAGTTTTCCCTTTTATTTTGTTTTTTTTATTTTTTTTTTAACTCGGAGACGGGGCTCGCGTAAACATTTCACGGAACCGAGAACTCATCGAATGCCCGAATAGAAATATTGTAGTGGTCACTCTACCTACCTGACTAATTAAGTAGTAGACGGGTTAGAAGAAAACGAGGCTGGTGTGTGTTGGTGTTTGATTCTTGCTATCATCCGCAATAGGTAAGTGGACTTCTTCAAATAAGCTATAGAAATACTGAATTCGGAGGCACAATACAATACATGCCAATTACAAAGACGGCACACGACAAAGATTACAATAGAGCCAGCAACATTCTACATTTGAAAAAAAAAAAAGTGGTTGGTGTTGGAATGTTGTGGACACATTGATCTACAAATACACTACAGACAGTAGCTAGTCTTTGTAAATGTGAGCTAAAGAACTGAATGTTAAAAAAAGTATCATCATCATCATCATCAAATTAGTAATAAAACATTGATTGTCGCTCCCGTATAAAATTTTTATTTCCGAAGATTTCTATTTTTTTTTATCATCATCTTCTTTTCTTTGGGCATTGGCTTCTCGGGTTAACTCCGTAAGTATCTACCTCCGAAGTATTGTGCAAAACACTTGTACAAATATATTTGCATCATCATCTAAATACATGTATATATATATATATAACAATCATCATCAAAGGGTCACTGGTTCATCAAAAACAGGTGATTTATTACCAATACAGATACAAAACAAATATGAAGTCATTATTCAAACCAAAGACTATCACTACTACTGCCGAGAACAACTCCCTATATCCCACAACCTCATCCAGTTCATCGGCATCTGTTATAGTACATCCAACATCCACATCAAACCAGTATCAGCACTGTTTTATCAAAAATGGACAGCTAAAGAGAAGTGGAAGTGGTAACAGTAGCTATTACAGCAATGGCAAGAACAACAACAGCAGTGAGAAACAACTGAGTAGACCCAGTATACCTACTCGTACATCCTCATTTTTAACTAAATTGAAATCCACAGCCAAGAGAGTCAGATCTAATGATAGTGGGACAACTGCTACAACAATAACGTCAAACAGCTCGAGGTGCAGCAAGAGTCGCAGTCAGAAGTCACTCGTCGTTAGTGATCAAAGTCTACAAGGTGCAACTTTTCTACCACAACAGCCGCTTCAGTATGAACAGCAACAACAACAACAACAACAACAACAACAATTAGCTGCGGAGACGCAACCCACAGCTGCAACTGAGGCTACTTTTGATGTAGACGAGACTTCATCTACCGTATCATCGGCCCCATCTTCTATATTATCAGACATTGCACAAAGCTCATTCGATGCATTCGCCACATCATCAAATCAAGCACACCACAAACCATACCAAGCAACTAACCAATATGAATTTAATGATTATGATGATGAGATGGAAAGCGTGATATCATTTGACTCGATGTTGGGCTCAAACGAGATTGAATTGGAAGATGAAGATGTCACTTACTATACCCCCTTGAATTATAACTACATGTATAAAGACAACAATAAGAATGGAGATGATAGTGGTCAGTTTGACTACAACTTTGATTACAGCTATGGAGAGATGGACCAAGACGGTGATCATGAAGAAGTTCTTCTTCTTCTTCTTCTCATACACGTTCTGAGCAAACAATTACTTGCGCTTAAGGAAAGAAGAGAACTTCGGTTGGAGTTGTTGAAGAACTTTTCTTGAGAACTGAACCTAATGAGGGTTTCTGGGGGGTGGCATATAGGTGGGATTAATCTTTTAGTTTTTGTATATAGTAGTTTAATACGAATATCTTTTGGTGTTTTTAGGAAATACTTTAGTCTATTAATATGTCACTCTGACAAAAGAGTAACTCATTTGCGATGTGGAATGCTGCACAGGCAGAGTACATACTACGGTGTAGAGTGTGTTGCCAGTACTAAATACATTCAAGCAGAAGCAGCTTAAACGATTTTCCGCAATAAATGTATGTGTCTTTCTTTTTCCCCACAAAGTTTGTATAAGTCATAAATAACCCACACAACACAAAAACCGTACACATACATTTGAATGGGGAACTCCGAAGTGGGTAAGAGCTCAATACAGAGTTCACTAAACTGTCTAAATACAAACACACACACACACACACACACACCCTCACACACTCTCTTTTTCTGTCTCCCCTCACTCCGAGCCCAAAAAAAAAGACTACTGATTAAATTGCACCAGGCGCAAACTTCGTCTGTTAGAATGGCCCAGAAAATAATGTCTGTCAGAGACATAAATTATTTATCCGCAACAAAGACGGAGAAATTTTGAGCACTACAGAAGACAGAACGAGTTGTGTGCCCCATTGGTGGCTGCTCACTCCGGGCTGGTGTATTGAGAAGTTGCAAAGGATCCCATCGTATGGTGATTGTAGAGGTACTCTATTCATACCCATGGATATGAAGAAGAGAAACAATAAAATTTCTCTGTCGTAAAATTTAGAAAGAAAAAAGAAAAAATAAAAAAAAAAAAGAAACTCCGTTTCGTAAAATCTTCTCTTATCAACACATTTATTGTTTTTCCTTTCTTTGTTTAGCCTGTCTCTATGTTCCAACTTCTCCACTTTTGTGAGTGATGGAGCCGTACAAGCATCTCCTTAAAGGTAAAAAAAAAAAGAGCGAGGGATATAAAAGTGTGGTGCGTACAAACGTTGAAGTGTTGTGTAGGAAACATAGTCAGCAATCAGAATCTGGTTCATTTTTTGCTTGCAATTGATCTGACGGTGAGAAGCTTTGATGCGAGGGGCCCTAGCAGATGATTGACTCGAGTTTTCGTTCTGAGAATTACCGCACGGCTAGGAAGAAGGTGAAAAAAAGAACTTTTGTTGAATTTCCGGTTATGAGATACTCCTCGTTTGTTTCAATGACTTTGTAAGTGGGTGCATCTTTTCTTTTGTGTCCAAGTTTTCGACTCGTAATTTGCAATTTAGCAATCATTACGTCTAAATAACCCCAACTTCCCTGCACCCACGATGAAACCTAATTTTTTTTGGGGAGGTTGCGTCTATCTTTGGTTATGGGGTACATACGCCCCGCCTCTCTTTCCAACAAGACGTGGGTGGGTAAAAATTTACTGCACAAATTGGACGAACTTTTTGGGTACTCCCATAGATTGGGACAAAGTAGAATGTGGGGAAGGGTTGGGAAGTGGGTTGGTCGATAAGTTATTTATCGAAATGTTATAAATAAGACAACTACAGGGGCCACAACATTTACAACAAACACGTAACATGCTGTTCCAATACAAATCTAAACCATGTCGTCAACATCCTCAATAGATAGCAATAAACCAGCAACGTACCACGTCGAACAAACCGAAGTACACCACTATCAAACCAACCAGACCACTCAATCATCCATATCGAGAATCCACACACATGGCGAAGGCAACGAATTAGTCACCATTGGAGGCCACACCTACTACCGCCACGAGTTGATGTCGGCATTTGGCGGATCCTTAAACCCAGGAGCTGCACCGTTCCCCAAATTCAACATCAACCCCGCTCCAGTTGGATTATTTGCCTTTGGAGTAGGATGTCTCCTCATGGGGCTATACAATGCACGCGTCATGGGTATCACCATCCCGGAAGTGGCCGTTTCCATAGCTTGCTTCTACGGGGGGCTTTGTACGACGTTAGCCGGCTTGCTTGAGTTCTTCACCGGCAACACATTTGCATTCACATTGTTGCTCTCGTATGGAGGTTATTGGTTCAGTTATGCTGCGATATTCATCCCGCAATTTGGTATTGCTGCTGCGTATGCTGAAGATCCGGTTCAATTCCAGAATGCCGTGGGATTGTACTTGATAGCATGGACAATCTGGACATATATCGTCGTCCTGCTTCTTTTGAAATCGACATTGGGGTTTGTTCTCATGTTTGTGTTTTTGGGATTGACGTATTTGGTCATGGCGGTTTCGTTATTTACTGAGAATTTGACGGTTGCAAGAGCCGGTGGAATCATTGGGATTATAACGTCGGTTATTGCATTCTATAATGCGTTTGCCGGTGTTGCTACTCCATTCAACTCGTATTTCGTTCCAAAGGTTGTTATGTTGCCCGAGGTAAGTTTTGGAAAGGGTAAGGAGTAGGCTTTGTACTAAAGTGGCACTGGTTATCGTCGTTGGGGGTTTTTTTTTTGTTTTATTTAATTATAATTCTTGATAAGTAGTATACTTGTAATTTACGTTGTTCGATGTTTGAGCTTCGTGCTAGTACTGGAAACTCTTTCATTAAAATTCCCACGCTTCTGATGGAGACGTCTTTGTTGGATAAATTTCGATGTGAAACTACGTAACAGTGGTCACATCTTTTGCCCACCTTGCTGGACAACTGATCTACATTCAATCGCATTTGAATCTATAAAGTTCATCTCTTGTATTACTCTATTCATTTAGGTACCAAAGGTTGCCAATCCGACATGGTTCTCATAGCACGACTCACGGGAGGAGGAGGAGGAGGAGGAGGTAATGGTGGTGACTGTCCAGTTGAATTTCCAGAAACCGTCCTTTCCTCTCCCCCATTAGCCAGATCCTCATCACTATCATTATTCTCGGTGGTTCTCAATTTCGACGAATGCAAAGAGGACGGCTTATTGGGAATCATTGGCTTTTTCAACTCACCATGGTGCAGCGACTTGACTGGCTTGTTGTTGTCTAATTGAGTTGGTGTAGAGACGGGTGAGTTTGAAATTGATGGCGAGTTCAGATTGGATCTGCTGGGGATCAATGGAGATGATGAGAATCCAATCGGGACTTTCATGGGTTTGGGTGATGTCTGAACACTGGACTGTGACTCTGCTGCGTGCTGTTGATTTCCATTGGATGGTAGTGGTGATTGCAATGGGGGTAATTTGCGTGGTAACTGCTGCTGCGTTGATGAACTAGTTTGCTTTATCAGTGATGAAATGGATGTTGCCGTTGTTTTTCTGGTAGCTGGTGGTGGAGGCACTCTTCTAGGCGCGGTCGAGTTTGGATTTGGTCGTGCAGGTAAGCTAGGTGCGTTTGGATCAAAATCATCCAACAAGTTCAACTCTGTCAACGCCTCATTGACAAAACTCTCATTCTTTGATGACACTGACCTTGTCGATGGAGTTGGTGACAACGTGTTTAATGATACCAAATCATACGAGTTTCCATGCTCTCTTCGATACTCTTTGTAAAAATTCTTTGCCATTGTTGATTTCTTGATCTTGTCAATAAACTCCACTTTGACTTCAAATGTGGAGTACACTGGCTTATGATCACTCAAGTAAACATCCATGACTGAATTGTAATTCATCTGTTTCAAATCATTACGTTTCTTCTTCACACTGAGATACAAAATCCGATCAGTCCATGAGGGGACACGTTGTTTCTCCGACAGATCATAGTTTGATGTCCCCTTGTCGAATTTATAAGTGGGGTAAAATTTAACTGCACCTTCATTGAATGTCAGAAACGCTCCCTTATCTCTCATTTCCAATTTCAATTGATCTTGTCTAGCAAGTTCGTCAAATGCCCCATGTTCAATCAAGTTTCGACATTGTCCATTGGGCAAGTCGATACGATAATTCAAATCACCAAACCAAATCACGTGGTCATGATCTTGAATTGAATAGTTTCTCGTAAACACCAAACCTTTCATGATGGTGGTGTAGTCATTGAATCGTTCAGTGATGGCGGTGGTTCCAGCAGCTAAATGCGATGTAAGTAACGCAAATGATGTAGCTCCGTACTCAAAGCGAACCGCACATGCTCCTTTGTTTGCGGCAATGCCACCTAACCCAGTCTTTTTCGATGATCCAGACACACGAGTCACATGCCCGATTGACGATTTCTTGACAAACAAAAATAATGACATAGATGCAATCGATTCAGTTCGCAACAAGACATACTGCTCGTGTTGGGAGTTTAGTTGTTGGTTCAATATGGCTGCCCATTTCTGCGGTTTGGTGACATCACCAGCAAGAAAAGAGCCCGCATTTAGTTCAATCAACTCTTGGAATCCAATGGCGTAGATATCAGGCACCTCTTCATTCTCTGGTGGGAACAACCAAGGCGTCAAATCAATATTTGCCAGCGGTTCCAAGGCATTGACATTGTATGTACCAGTAAAGATTTTGATATTTGCATCGGTGGTAAAGATTTTCGATTGTTGTTCCAATTGCGTTGTAACATACTCGCTCGCTGGGTCGTAAATCTTGACTTTTTTGGATTGCGGGCCACCAACACCAAGTAGCAAATCAATCGTTGACTGTTTCTTACCATCAACAAATGTATTTTGGTACATTCTTGAAACGGACTTGGTCACATCTGACAAGGCACCCGCAAGATTCATTTTCCCGGATCTTGTAAACGAAGACTTTAAAGCATTGGTTCCAGTGTAAATTTGCGATATAGCATCACCATGATCGGCCCATAGTTCATTGTGCTTGATGAGGAAATTTTCAATCATGGCGTGATCTCTTGCCTCGTTTCCGTGAGATGTTGTTTGCTGTTTGAGTATGTTTTCAAAAACTGTTCTGGAAATAACTTGTTCAATCAAGTTGGTCCTATCAAGACAATCCAAGCAATTGATCCTAAACACGCCATCCTGCCTAGTGATGACCAGATCGTGCTCCAAGTCGTACGAAAAATAACCAAATTCACGCATGGAGTCATACAATTTAGGGAGAATCCTAGTTGCACCGGCAAACCCACCTGCATTTTTTGTTTCCGCATGGAAATCAAATGCTGTGTATTCAATCTCCTCTCTACGGTCGCAGTTTTTGTACAATTGTTTGTACCTGTTTGATAATTGCACTTCTGAAGATTTTGTCTTTGATAGCAAGTCAACAATGTGACATACACCATAGTTTTCCCCAATGTCTGCAAAATGTTTATTAAACATTGGTTGCGTTGCCTCTAAGGATCTGGTGAGGGTAATCTTTGGATTGATTAAGGACGAGTCCTGCTCCCAAAACGTCGGTACTGATCCTCTGATTTGCGTATAGGTGAATATGGATTTTCTTGAAGGGTTATTGTAAATAAATTCGGTCTCAACAAAGTTTGCCACGTTTCCATCATCATCTATACCTCTAGTGTTGTATCTAGTCCCTGCTCTTCGACAGGATTGCTTTGATATGATTGTTATTGAGTCTAAACGACCCATTGCAACTGTTTTGGCAAACCCTCGAATGACAGTAGTAAGAAACCTATTTTCATCCAATACGGTTCTATTGTGACTGTCCAAGTTAGATCTAAACTGTATCATTTCGTCCATCAAGAACGAATTCCACATGTACTGTGGACTGTAATGGTTCAACTCGTCAAGAGTATCATTGACGCCTCTGGTTTGCAAAGTGGATGTTAGATCGAAATCATTTGAGTAGTAAAACGATCCATTCGAAAGCAACTTTCTAAACTCAAAACAAGGATGTTGGACGCGATTATACCTTGCATCATCATCGTCATCATTGGTAACCACGGGGTAACCTTGTGAGTCCAACTCAACAAAGTCCCACTCACTATTGTTTAAAGACACAAAGTCCACCGAGTATATCTTATCCACCGTTTCCTTCTTAATAGGATTAGCCACATTGGTCAAGGCCCCCGTGATCACGGAAAGGAAAATTTGATTGTCGACATAAATTAACCCTAAACATCCATACACTTCTCTTCGGAGCAATGTGCGAAATCCAGCTTCCGGGGTGATATTACCGTTCGGTACTAGCTCCAAGTTGACTGTTGGCTTGGGAGCGTTTGTTTGTTTAGTCGTGGTTCTAAATGTCAAACTGCATGTATCGGAATACAAAACCAAGGTTCTCGGGTTTGATTTGTATAGGAGTTTCATGGTAGTGTATTTTTTTATGCTTGGGGGGGTCTATATATGGTTTAATGCGAGGTTGGAAACCAAATACAAACCCACTTTCTCGCCCAAGGGATCAGTCCCACCCCCACAACACAACACAACACAACCCTCGCGTGAGTTTTTAATGAGTTGTTGAATCCGGAACCAGATCAAAAATTTTTCCACGAGTTGATTTGCTGTGAGGCCGAGGATTGGGCTACGTTATCATTGACAATAAAAAGGAGTGCAAATATACCTGTGACCACCTCCCCTTTCAACCACACCACTTACCTATGACTTTCAAAACAACTTTAAACAAGGAACTTGAGAAGTATCACTTAATTCTTGGATCAACTTCTCCGAGGAGGAGGCAAATACTTGCGGAAAATTTCGGAATCACTAATTTTGCAACCATAGCATCCAACTTTCCAGAAGATTTGGCAAAAAGCAATGTAACTCCATTGGCGTATGTGCTGCTAACAAGTTCTAAAAAGGCAGAAGCGATATACGACACACATCGCAACACACTTGAAGAAAAGACATTGATCCTCACTTGCGATACTATCGTCACTAGTAATGGAAAGATATTTGAAAAGCCAATGACAAAGTCGGAGCAGGCCAAGTTCTTTGAGTATTTTAGAGCACATGGAGATGTTGAGGTCATTTCGGCAATAACTGTGTTCAAAGTTGAGAATGGAAAGGTTTCAGAGTATAGAGATCATGCAATCACCAAGCTATCGTTCAGGACGGATAACGATGACATTGTCAATGCGTATATTGAGAGCGGTGAAGGATTGGAGGTTGCTGGTGGATTCAAGTATCAACAACTAGGCTGTTTATTATTTGATTCGATCTCTGGTGATTACTACAACGTTGTTGGGTTACCTACAAACACCTACACTCTTTTGTGTAAGGCTGTCAAGTAGTTAATGAATGTCGCAGATTATTTCTGTGCCATTTTGCGACACTCCTTTACTCAAACTCATCGCAACAAAGAAAAATTAGAAATCAGAAAAATCAGAAAATCAGCAAGTCATCAAGAGCTGTTTTTATAATCAAGTCATGGCTAAGAAACAATCTACTGCCAAGCAAGCTTCTTCTAAGCAAAACGATATAAAAGCTCCACAAAAGCAAGCTCCTGCTGAGCAAGTAGAGGAGGATTTGCAATTACCTTCGTCTTCGGAAGAGGAAGAGGAAGAGGAAGAGGAAGAGGAGCAAGATGAAGTAGAGGAAGTCTATGGTTTGTCAAGTGATGAAGAAGACGACGAGGAAGATGTGGACGAAGAGATTTCTGAGACAGAAGAGACGATAGGGTCAGTACAACCCAACTCATCAGGCCACAGAGTGAACAAAGTGATATCTAAAACGTCGGCCACTGACCCACATACCAAAGCCAAAGTTAACAAGACTGGTGTCATATACATTGGTAGACTTCCCAAAGAATTTCAAGAACCAGAATTGAAAAAGTACTTTAAACAATTTGGTCCAATTAAGCAGTTGATATTGCCACGTAATAAACTGTCGGGTAAACCAAAGCATTTTGCTTACATTGAATTTGAAAGTGTTGAAGTTGCAAAGATAGCTGCTGAAACAATGAACAATTACTTGTTGTTTGGTCACTTACTCAAGTGTGAATATGTTGAGAATCCTCACAAGGACGTATTCAAGAATGCCGATCGTAAATTCAAGGTTATACCAGTTCACAAAATTGTCAAGGATAAACATGACAAAGCAAAGACCAAGGAGGAATGGGAGATCATAGTACAGAAGTTTGAAGAATCAAAGAGGAAAAAAGTTGAAGAATTGAAGAGTAAAGGTATTGATTATGATTTGAGCGCATTATTGAGTGAAGCGTAGAGCAGAATTATGTTGCATAAGAATGATGGAAATACAGATGCATTTGATGCCACAAGATAGTAATAGTAGTAGTTTGTGCTGTAGATTTTCCTCTTTGGGTAAAACTTTCCCCACCAGGGACGCGCAAATGAAAATGAGGTGGAACAGATTGATTACTGAAGATTAGCTAGATGATAGTGTAGACAGTTATCGGTTGTGGAAAGTGTTGATATATTACGGACTTAAGAACATATACAAAAGTGGTACCAATGAGGGGAAGAGGCAAAGTAGTAGTTATGAGTAGTGGTACATGGAATACTATCTCAAATCTAAATCCAAATGTCTTTGGTAAAACTGTGAATTTTTTTTTTTTTTTTTGTATTTTTTTTTTTCAATTTTGCAAGTGTGTTGTTGATACGCTTGTGAAAAATTAATTATGTGCGTGTGAGTGAAGAAGCACTTTGCAGAATCAGGTCATAACTTTACTATTTGCTGACCAGAGATTTGCACCTGCTTGGTTATGAATCAGAGTAAATAAGAGGAGAACAAATGTCATACTCTACTAATCTACCACGGGTATGCAAATACCACGCTGGTCTCTTTGTTTGTCACAATCGAAAGATTACATCTTGCTTCTTTTTTTTTTTTTTCATTCTGTTTTGGGAAATTAAACGAGAGAGAACCAAGGGAGATATATAAAAAAAAAGAAAACTTTTGAACCGTTTATAACATCAAATCTTTCTTTTCAAAACACACAGTTTCAAACTTTCAATCTGTCATAGATCAAGACAACGCCATATCAGTTGGACTTCTGTACAAATAGATCATAATTTACATTACTACACACTTTTCAAATCAGCAATGTCAAGTACTGAATCAGCCAAAGTTTACGAATTCGATGAGATTTCCAAACACACCACTCATGACGATGTTTGGGTAGTCATCAACGGTAAGGTCTACAACGTTTCCAGCTACATTGATGAACACCCTGGTGGAGAAGAAGTTATCTTGGATGTTGCCGGAACTGATGCCACTGAGGCTTTCGAAGATATTGGACACTCAGATGAAGCTCATGAGATCTTGGCTCGTTTACAAATTGGTATTTTGAAGGGAGGTAAGATTGTCGAACATAAAGCAAGGGAGTCATACGCACAAGAAAGCTCTGGTGTAAATGTACCATTGGTTGCTGTTGTCTTGTTTTTGGCCATTGCTGGTGCATACTACTACAAGACCAACTTTTAAATTTGACTATATAGACTGTCTCTATTAATTTATTATATACAATTTCTTTTCAGCATAGTGAGGTAGAGTGTAGTAGTTAGCTAACGCTCTCTCCCTGCACGTGTTGATATCCTCATTGAATGTACTCCTTTGCGTGTGGACATGAAAATCACCAAATGTCCAATAATACTCAACAAAATTGTGCTTACTCCACTCACTAACAACAACAACAACAACAGAAAAAAAAAAAAAAAAAAAGAGAAATATGGAGAGGAAACTGCAAAAATTTGCAACAACACACTGGAAACCAATAGAATGGCCAATTGGAAATTTGTGGAGGGGACAACGTCTCAGGGATCAAATTGTTAGATGGTAGGTCCAATTGTATGTTATATATTGCTAGTATTTGGCGATGCGGATGGAGAGAACATAACAGGAAAGGTAACTTGTCTATTCTTAGTTGCAATCAGTGCCACACATTGAAACTGATGTTTCTATTAATGGAACATTGTAGATATGTATCCAAGCGTCCCGAGGTTGAGTTAACCATATTCGATAGATCCGAGGCTACATTCACACTTGAGACAAGCAACTAACGTGTTTTGGGCTGGTGCATGTGAACCACTACTATAACGACAAATCCCTCGATAAAGCAGTAGACGTAAAAAAATAAAAAAAACTACATAAATAATTGCAGGAGAGCAGACACGCACCTATGGAGCAAGAATGTTGTTGTTAGAATAATCGTAACTGCTTGTATCTCCTCGTTGATATTGGTAGCGACAGCTTCTCTTAATTCCGCTGCGTCGGTGTTTTATTTTCTTCTACAATTCGCAACCTCCAACGAGTCAGTCGCCAACAACAACAACAACAACTAGTACTTTCTGCAACAAATCGTCTACCACTATGTCCAAAACTTCGCTTTTGAAAAAGATCAACATCAAGTATCCCATCTTACAGTCCCCAATGGCGGGTGTTTCAACCCCGGAGATGGCAGCTGCAGTGAGTAAAGGAGGTGGGTTAGGAGCTCTTCCACTTGCACCATTGGACTTCACTAGTGATGATACTACTTCGTTTGATAAATTGAATAATCTTATTCAAGCCGCAGGTACCAATGTTGTCAATTTGAACTTCTTCTGTCATGAAATTGAACAGACACCAACTCGTATTCAATCGGATAATTGGAGAAAGCTTTACAACGATGTGACCGAAGCAAGATTCAAGCCACTTGTTGAGTCAATGGAATTTACCAATGGCAATGTCTCCTTCAAGGAGGTTGAAAATGACAAAGAGAAGTTAAAGACATTGATTGAGAAATTGAGGTCCATCAATCCGGTAATTATCAGCTTCCACTTCGGTATCCCCTCCAACTCCACCATTGATGAATTGAAAAAGTTTTCATTGGTGTTTGGAACGGCAACTTCATTGCAAGAAGCGCGCCATTTGGCCAATAATGGACTAGATGGCGTGATTCTTCAAGGGATTGAAGCTGGTGGGCACAGGGGGCAATTCATCGACAAGTATCAGCCTCATTCTGATGAAGACTTGTCAACACAAGCACTTTTCCATAAAGTCAAACAAGGTTTGGGTGGTAGCCATGTGTACTTGGTACCTGCAGGTGGCATAACAAGTGCTAGCTTAGTCAAGCATTACATTGATGAGGGAGCTGACGCAGTTCAAGTTGGCACTGCATTCTTGGCAACTCCTGAATCAGCAACATCAAAGTTTTTCAACAAAACACTGGGAGATGAAACGACTGTCATGACTGCGTTGATTTCGGGCAAACCGGCACGAGCTGTGAGGACACCATTCATAGATAGTATTGTTGAGAAGAATCAATTTGCATTGCTGGATTTACCCCCCTATGGGTATGCGTATGATGGATATAAGAAGTTGAAAGGAGAGCTTAGTGCTGAGGGCCATGATATCGGATTCTATCTAGCGGGGCAAAATCATTATCAAATAAGAAAGAACAAGCTGACGCTCGAGATTATGCAGGAGCTCACAAGTGGATTAGAGTGAGCTGGTGCACTGTGTGGTGGTGTAGCTATTCTGTTCCGAGCATTGACCCTGCCTCTACCTATTTGGCAATTTGAATTCCAATGAAGTAGTGGAAACCCAAATTTCATATAAACATTTTTAGGTCTTGCCGATCTCTTTAATTAGCCGCCTTGCTTTTAATTTCGATAAGAGCAAATTACAAGTTAGCAAGAGATAAGCAGCTGACTCAATGATTGAATTTCAATTCGGGCTTTCCGCGGACACGCTGCCTGATTGGGTCAAACTCTGATTGATATGTTACATCTCAAATTCAAAAAAAAAGAAAAAAAAGAAAGAAAACATGACCAAAAGTGTATTTTGTTTTACCTCAATTTTTGCACCAAAGTGCCACCAAATATTTTCTTTGGTGTGGGAATGGACGTGCAGAACCGAGCACCACCTACAACCTGTCTCCTTCTTCAAACCAAGCGCAAACACCGAAGTCGGATAGCACAATATACCCCTCCTCTTGCATAAATGTCTTTCGTAAGGCATTTCTTTTTTTTTTCAATTTGAGCCATTTATAGAAAATTCCCTTACACAAAAGTGCCTTTATTCCTTTTTTTTTGGCATCTTGTTTACAAATGTCCCCAATAGGGTTGAAAAATTTCTCTTTTACGGCACTCAAATTTGACACAGAAGTAGCTGAAGTATACGGAGATATTATCAACTTCCACTTCAATAAGATAAACATTACGGTTTATCAAAAGAGAGAAGAGATGAAAAAATTTTTTTGCCGTATGAAAGTAGTGAATTTATGGAGTATATAAATTGAGTATAGTTTTCCTCCACTTGCTTTGGGATTCAATCATTTTTGGAAACCATCAATTATATCACCATATGAAGTTCTCGAAGTGTGTTTCCCTCGCTTGCCTAGCAGCTTCAGCTGTTGCCACCCCCATTCTCAAACGTGCAATCAATTCAACGGCTCTTGAGGAAGAGGTTCCTGATACCACCAACAACAACATCCATACGGCGTATGGAAAGCCCTTTGCAGTATACCAACCTAAAGCCTTTATTATTTCCATGTTTGAGCTTGAAAGGGACCCATGGTTGAAAGCCATGGATTTTGTTCACAATATTACCATCCCAGGTTTATCGCCTCTGTACCCCACTGTCCATTGTACTACCAACTACTCCATTTGTCAGTTCACTACCGGCGAGGGCGAAATCAATGCTGCTAGTTCTGTTACTGCGTTAACTTTGAACCCATTGTTTGATTTAACAAAGACCTATTTCTTGATTGCTGGTATTGCCGGTGGTGAGCCTGACTATACCACTCTTGGAGGTGTTACATTTGCAAAGTATGCTGTTCAAGTTGGGTTGGAATATCAACTTGCTTACGAAGATTACCATCAGACAAACTCCAACTGGACTTCAGGTTATGTTCCATATGGTGCCGACTCGCCGCTCGAATACCCAGGAAATGTTTACGGAACTGAAGTGTTTGAAGTTAATGAAAATTTGAGAAACAGGGCAGTTGCGTTGGCTTCGAATGCCACTTTGAACAACGGTAACGAATTGAACAAAAAGTTTAGAAAGTTGTACAACCAAACTGCTGCACGTGGTGATGCCAAAGTTGTTAAATGCGATGTCTTGACCAGTGACAACTACTTTACTGGTAATGTATTGAATGACTACTTTGGCAACTTGACTAAATTGTTGACAAATGGTACAGCTACTTATTGCTCCACTGCTCAAGAAGATAACGCTTCATTGGAAGTAATGACCAGGTTGGACAAGTACGGGTTGGTAGATTTCGAAAGGGTCATGGTGATGAGAACCATTTCAGATTTCTCAAGACCACCACCATCAATGACTACATACGAATATTTCTTCAATAGAACTGATGGTGGAATTCAAGCTAGTTTGGATAACTTGGTCATTGCTGGGACCCCCATTTTAAAGGACATTTTAAACAACTGGGACACTGTTTACGAAAAGGGACACAAATATGCTGCCAAGAACTACCAGGGTGATATCTATGGTACCTTGGGTGGTACCCCAGATTTTGGTAAATCTTCGTTTGAGGTTGCGTAAGCTTCTTATACCCCATAGCTAGATACTCGTTGTGTATCCCAAAATAGCAAAAATATACCGTTACTGTAGTTTTACTAATAAAGTTGAGATTCTTTATCATTGGAACCAATTAGGCGAACAAACAGAACAAAAGATAATTCTTCAATTTTGTGACTCAATCTAGCCTCCATTAAATCTTTCACTCTTTATAACCACCAGCTTACATACAGTGACCTCATAAATAATGGCACAACCCAACAGAAGCCACCAGTTTACACATTCAAGTACTAAGAGACGAGAATCTATAGCATATGACGCAGCAGGCAAGGGAAGTCTATATATTCCTTCAGACTTTTTTGGCGCTCCAAGTCGTCAACATGACAATGACAATACTGAGGTAAACGAAAACTCACCCTTGCTTGGCACACCAGAGACACAATCAACTATAGATTATCCAAGGTATTTGAAACCTCGACGTAAACTGAGCTCAGCTGCTAGGGAATTGCTAGAACAAGAGCGTGAACTATTGCAAGACAATAATATCAGTGTTGACGACTGGAATAGCGATGACGAAATTAGAGACCAATTTGAATCAGCTCTTCAAAAACACCAAATAGAAGTCTCTAGCGCTGCTATCGAGTTGAAAACAATAATCCGAACGTCCGCTCCATCTGTGATTACTTTTCTTCTAGAATGCTCACTTTCGACAGTTTCAGTCTTTACTGTCGGTCACATAGGAGCAACAGAGTTAGCAGCAGTCTCTATGGGTGCAATGTTGGCTAACATCACGGGGTACGCTACTATACAGGGCATTTCTACAGCATTGGATACTCTATGCCCGCAAGCATTTGGGGCCAAGAAGTACACCATGGTCGGAGAGTACTTTCAAAAGGGCACGGCGTTGATTGCAGTTGTCATGTTTCCCATTGTGATTATATGGCTATTCTTTGGATATGATTTGATTTGTCTTCTTGTCCCGGATAAGGAGACGGCAAAGTTGGCAGCACAGTACCTCCAGTACGTTTCCGTAGGTATCCCTGCTTACATATTGTTTGAATGCGGAAAGAGGTTTTTGCAAGCGCAAGGGATCTACAACGTTGGAGCATATGTATTGCTTATTGCTGCACCATCAAACTTGATCATGAATTGGTATTTGGTGAAACATATTGGATACATTGGTGCGCCTATCTCTGTTGCCATCAATTACTGGTTTATGACAATTGGACTATTCTTATTGACTGTGCTCTTTGTTAGCGGAGAGGACACACCTAGTCCTAATGTAGGTAACTTTACGACCCCTCCTAAGTTATAGGTCGTTAGGAAGTTTCAATGGGGAGGACTCATAACTTTGGCCATTCCAGGACTCATAATGTTGGAGGCTGAGTTTCTTGCATTTGAGGTTATGACATTATTGGCTTCGTATTTGGGCACTAAAGCTTTAGCTGCACAATCCATTGGTGTAACAATGGCATCACTAACTTATCAAGTGCCATTTGCTATTGGTATTGCGTCGTCTTCTAGAATTGCCAACTTCCTAGGAGCAGGGTTGGCAGAGTCAGCAAAGGTGACGACTAAAGTGTCCATTGCCTTTGGAATGGTGATTTCAATGTTGAACTGTCTTGCATTGTACTGCTTTAGAAGACCAATTGCGAATCTCTTTACCGATGACCAAGAAGTTATTGACATTGTGCTTGGTGTGATGTGGCTTATTGCAGCCATGCAAGTTTCTGACGCCATGAATGCAAACTCCGCTGGGTGTTTAAGGGGCCAAGGACAAACCAAGATTGGAGGAATTGTGAATCTTGTTTCGTACTATGTTGTTGGTCTCCCGTTGTCGATCTACCTCTCATTTTACTCACCATGGAAAGGTTCATTGCATGGTTTGTGGTGGGGAACCACGGTTGCCTTGACAATCATTGGTGTCGTGCAGAGCTACTATGCTTTAGCTGCCGATTTCAATCATTTGTGTGAAGAGGCCAGGAAAAGAACCTCGAGTGAAGAAGTGTAGATATATTGTGAATACCTGTGAATAGAGATGGAAATTGTTGAACAAGCATACAAACGATTTGTACTTTAGCTCCGCATTAATTTCGCTAGACAGTTGTTTCTTTGTTCACAAAGAAAACACGAACAAAATTTGTAGATCTTGTAATGGCTCTGGTTTGGGACCTGTCGAGACTCACCAATAGCTATGACATCGCCTTGGCGGATTCAAAACTTGATACGGCTGCACCCCTGCATAATCAATGCGCTTTTGCTTATTTGGGAAGAACGGAATTGCCAAAAGAAAAAAAAAAAAGAATAAAAAAGAAAAAGTAAAAGAAATTTCTCAAGACGCATGTATTTTTTTTTTTGTGACAGAAACTCTCCTCATCGTATCCCAGCATCGCTTAAACTTTAAAAGTTAGCACTACTTCTGTCTTTCTTCTTTCAGGATCATCAACAAACTACAACCAGCGCACTCTTTACAACGCACAATGACGCATTCCGAAAGAAGTCACCAGTTCACTCATTCTAGCAGCAAAAGGAGGGCGTCAGTGGTATACGGCTCAGTAGGTAAAGGTGGACTTTACATTCCTTCAGATTTCATCGGGTCCCCATCAGATCGAAATCGTCATCTGCTTCAAAGTGACATTGAAGCGGATGAAAATTCACCATTGATCGATGTCCAAGGGACACAGGCTAATTTGGTGGATAACGTATCCAACCATTTCAAAAACAGACGTAAGCTGAGTGTTGCTAGAGAATTGTTGGATCAAGAACGCGAATTGTTGGAAGAAAGTCATATTCCAGTGGGTGATTTAAAGAGTGATGACGATGTCCGAGATGCTTTTGAAGATGCAGTTGAAAATCACCAGATTGAAGTGACTACTCCTATGCTTGAGCTAAAAACATTGATCAGTTCAGCTATACCATCGGTGGTTACGTTTCTATTGCAGTGCTCACTCTCCACAGTGTCTGTCTTTAGTGTTGGGCATATTGGTGCGACCGAGTTGGCGGCAGTCTCTATGGGTGCCATGACGGCGAATATAACAGGATACGCTACTATACAAGGTATTGCCACTGCATTGGATACTCTATGCCCGCAGGCTTTTGGAGCAAAGAGGTATACCATGGTCGGAGAATATTTGCAAAAGTGTGTGGCATTGATTTCAGTTGTCATGTTACCGGTTCTAATTGCATGGGTGTTTTTTGGATATGATTTGATTTGTCTTCTTGTCCCGGATAAGGAGACGGCAAAGTTGGCAGCACAGTACCTCCAGTACGTTTCCGTAGGTATCCCTGCTTACATATTGTTTGAATGCGGAAAGAGGTTTTTGCAAGCGCAAGGGATCTACAACGTTGGAGCATATGTATTGCTTATTGCTGCACCATCAAACTTGATCATGAATTGGTATTTGGTGAAACATATTGGATACATTGGTGCGCCTATCTCTGTTGCCATCAACTACTGGTTAATGGCAGCTGGGTTGTTTGCGTTTACCATATTTTTCGTCAAGGCAGAGGACGCACCTAGTGGATTACATCCATTGAAATGCTGGGGTGGCCTCAATATCAAACACGCCTTCCAAGGTTGGAAAAGACTCGTCTCGCTAGCCATTCCAGGTCTTGTTATGTTGGAGGCTGAGTTTCTTGCATTTGAAATTTTGACTTTGTTGGCATCCTATATTGATACAAAGTCCTTGGCGGCACAATCAATTGGAACAACAATGGCTTCTTTGACATACCAAGTGCCATTTGCTATTGGTATTGCGTCGTCTTCTAGAATTGCCAACTTCCTAGGAGCAGGGTTGGCAGAGTCAGCAAAGGTGACTACTCGAGTTTCACTTAGCTTTGGATTGATTATATCTGTCTTGAACTTTCTTGCGTTGTACTGCTTTAGAAGACCAATTGCCAACGCCTTCACTAAAGACCAAGAAGTTATTGACATTGTGCTTGGTGTGATGTGGCTTATTGCAGCCATGCAAGTTTCTGACGCCATGAATGCAAACTCCGCTGGGTGTTTAAGGGGCCAAGGACAAACCAAGATTGGAGGAATTGTGAATCTTGTTTCGTACTATGTTGTTGGTCTCCCGTTGTCGATCTACCTCTCATTTTACTCACCATGGAAAGGTTCATTGCATGGTTTGTGGTAGGGAACCACGGTTGCCTTGACAATCATTGGTGTCGTGCAGAGCTACTATGCTTTAGCTGCCGATTTCAACCATTTGTGTGAAGAGGCCAGGAAAAGAACATCAACCCAAGAGGTTTAAAGTAAATTTATAGATTTTTATTCTAAATATACACACTTAGAATGCATCGACCATCAAACCATCCTTTTTGGGGACTTCAGAAGCAGTCAATCTTGGTTTACCAGCTAACAACTCTCTTCTAATTTCTGGACCTATGGCGTGATGGAACCTCTGCCTCACAGTTTCAAGTAAAAAGTCTCTTTGATCATCGGTGATATCGTTCTTGTAACGTTGTGCAAACGAAAGGAACGCCTTGTGCCATACAACAGGTAGTTGTGGAGCTTTTGTATTCTCTGCGCTCTCATCAATTTGCATTTGATCTTGTGCTGCATTTCTAAACCTCATGAAATAAAACACCAACTCGTCCAAAGTCTGGTAGGGAAGGGCGTATTTTTTCTCAATAAGCACTCTGATGAAAACAGTGGTTGCCGGACTGAAATCCCTTTGTAGTAATTGGGTCAATGCAACTGAAGAATGCAAAACTGGAACTGAGACTTTGGTCAATACTGAAGCGGCAATGGTGGCCTCACGAACTGAGCAGTATCCATCAACCAAAGGTAATAAAAATCCTTTAAAGAATGCACCCGGTTTATACAATGATTTTTTCAAAGCCCGGTAGATGTGGTAGTTTAAAGAATGATCATCCGAGTCTTCAATTGATGATCTAAATTTCTCCAAAAGCACTGACTCAACAAACTTTTGTGCTTCATTGGCAGTCAAGTTGGACACAAATAATTTGGTTGCTTCATAAGTAGCATGAGGAGTCCATTTTTCGGGATTCGTTACATACAACACATCTTGCCAGTTTTTTAAACTGGGTAAAATTTTAAACAACTTGGGTAACTTACCATGGGTGTATGTGGACAATATCTGACCAATTTTCTCATAAGCCATGATGACTTTGGGAGGTAGCAATACTGCATCTTGCGGTCTTTCTTGTACTTGGTCTTGCTGTTGCTGTTGTTGTTGTTGCAGTTCTTTTTCTTGTATTTTGGCAAGGATCTTATCCGCCAAGTTTATACTCTGTCCGTTTGAAGATGGGCCATTATTTTGGAAATACTTGTTGAAGAGCTCTGCATCTTTTTCATCAACTTCTATTTCCTCCTCGTCGTAGATGATCTCTTCGTCTTCGTCTTCGTCTTCCTCGAGATCGGAGTATTCCTGATCATCCTCATCGCTGCTGACATCTTGTTCTTTGAACGCTTGAGCAAAGCTTGGCGTTTGCACCTCTTCCTCATCTCTCAACTCATCTTGTTGCTCTTTGGCTAACTGCAAAATCTTTCTTGAACTGACGGCATCCAAATACCCGTCCTCATTCTGTTCCTTCTCATTGGACTTTAACTTTTTATTCTTTGCATGTGCTGACCTAGGTGTTGCTCTCAAATTGCCTCCCTGCGAGGAAATATCCTTCAAAAGAGGATTATGACGTTGCTTGAGCTTGTCGTTGGCAGATATCTTCCCCATCTCTAAGGCAAAGTTGTGCTGTACGTGATTAAAGCGATGACTATGGAAAAGTTTACAAAAAAAAAAAAAATAAAAAAAAAAATAAAACGTCCATCTCATCGTACACATTATACACAGTCGTATGAAATCTTGAGAAACAATGAAGAGTACACCAACTGCTCGCCAAATAGATCGTTGAGATACAAGTACCTGTAGCCCTGTTTTAGGTAGTCCAATTTGGCAACTGATAGGCCCAAGGGGTGAACATCATCCGTTCTTTCTGGACTGGCCACCGAACTCACAACAAACTTTACAAACACCAACTCGAGAGACCCTGTGATCGATCCGCTAAACGTCTCATTCCAAGTAGGATTGAATCCGTTATCCATAATAGCTCGTGTTTTTCCAAACTCCATTGTAGGAGAATCCCAGCTGATCTTTTCAGGACCTATAATCTCCAACGAGACGAATGGATTGATTGCATCATCGCTATCCTTGGGCTTCAGCAACTGATGAGCGCTGATAATGCTTATACTAAACCTGATCGTTTTGGAAGCTGGTTGGAACATTTTGAAAAACTTTGAGCTTTTGATTATAGGTTTTCTCAAGTGTGCTGGTTTCAAAACGTATCCCTTTTTATCAACACCTTCAAACATTGCCTCATTGAGTTGTTGTCCAAGGTCATATGTTTGCCAATTTGTAGCAACCATCTGAACTCCATGTTCCCAATACTTTATGGGATTGAAATTTGATGAGGTTACTCTATACCCTGATGGATAAACACGCACAAAATACTTTCTATTGTGTTTATCCAATGATGTCTTCTTTACCTCATCTTTCATCATCTTGTTGATTGTCTTTTCGCTAAGCGAAAAGCAGTGATTGTATATTTTGGACTCTGGTAAGGAAAAATTTCGAAACTTGATACCTTGAAGATATACTCCCAATTCACTGACCTGGTCAATCACCTTGGGAGCTTTAGGTTTTCTTCTTAGACTGAAAGATTTTCCCGTGGGTGTCACTCCATTATCTTCTGATAGGGACGTTGTTGTTGTTGACGTGGTAAAGCTCCCTTCATCCGTTTCAATCAAATCTTTGAATGGGCTTGTCTTTTTCGCCTTGACCAAAAACTTGTACTTGAACATTTCCGGAGAGGGGATAGTGGAGCTGTCATCAATGGTAGAGGTAACCAAACTGGACCCCAATGTCTTTTTCAAGATCTTGACCACTTGCATTTGACTCACTGGAGAGCAATTTATCTCCAAACTGAGAATCAATGGGTATGGTGAAGTTATAAACGCAAACTTCTGTATTGTCTTGACGACATTGGCAAATCCAATCGGTTTAGTAAATGTCCTTCCATGATTGACAATTGGCTCTGGATCTGCTGAACTTTCATCCTCGGCATTGGGTCCATCCCAAATATCAATTTCAATACATCGGCATCCGCGTTGTAATGCTCTCACATACCCGTCAATAGAAGAATCTCCTGCCACTTGTCTGCCCGTCAAATATGTGTTGTGTGATGAAGAAATGTAATAATCTGTCAACGGGTATGTAAAATAAGTGTCTGTTTCTATGTTGAGGATTGGGTTGGCGAAGCTCGACATAAGATACGAGTTTAGATCTTCTGCCGTCCAATGTTCCCCATTTGTCTTGAATTGATCAAAAAGAGAATTCATTTCATTTGGATTTGGGTTTTCACTCTGTACGCTCAAGTAGAAGCGTTCAAAATCCAATCGACTCATACCTAGGGAAATGTCTGTACAACAGCTCTCCCAGATGGCCAAAATGTCGTCCCTTTTTTTCAACATAGATATGAACTCCTTGAACTGTTCAAAGTCAAGCCCCTTTTCTTTTGCATTCTGTGACCCACTATGTGCTTCAAGTACGCTGTTGAATATGCTTTCCAAATGCGTTTTGTTGATACTTATACCTAATCGTCGGGCATACTTTAGAATGTCATTAAACGCGAGAAACTCCTTCAGGGACTGTTTTTGCAGACTCAAACTGGAAATTTCACGATCCACAATCATCTTCACATGCGATTCATCCAATTCATTCAAGTCTACTAGAAACTCAGTTGCAAGATGATGTCGTAAATTCTTCATTGTGGTGATGGCCAAATCCAATCGTTTAAAATCGTGTTCCGTGTCGGCAATCAAGTGTAACAATTTCAAATTGCCCTTTTTCCGATTGAAATAAACCAATGTAATCCACCTAGCTTCAAACTCCTTGGAAATGCGTAGTTCCTCACGATAGTTGGAGCCTCTTTCGTGCGTATACACAAACTTGATATCGTCAACTGTGAATTCGTGGACTCTTTGAGTTGAGCCATGTATTGACAACCGTTTACTTCCCACTGTAGCTGTACTAGGAGCCAACTTCCAAAGGAAGGAAAAATTCACCAAGTCAATGAATAGTAGAATTCTCTTTTTAGATTTGTGTGATACTTTCAACAAGGGCAAACCTTCTGTTTGAAATATGCTGGGTATTTTCAACTGATCGACTGATTTTGTTATGCTTGAATTGGGTTGGGACGGTAGTGAATCAATATGGTCTATAGCTTCTGGCGGTATTGTTGCAGACAGCACCTTCGTTACCTGATTCGAAACTGACGACATGGAGTTGGATGAACCAACACTGTCACTAGATTTATTGCCGCTTAAGACACGCTTTATCACACTCTTGCCACTGCTACTCTTTGTCATAGACTCACTATCATTGGACCGCAAGTGACTAAAGATACTCGGTAGATCCGACATAACAGGCGAAGATATTCGTCGTAGTAGACTTGGCGACGGATCAGGAGGTGTGCTCATGGCACTCGACCCCTCATCTCCACTATCAATGGATCGTACTTGATGTAACTCGTTGGTTATGTTCATATCGCCTCATCTTCTTGAAAAATAAAAAAAGAAAAAGTCCAAATGCTATTGGAAGTGTAGTCGCTAGTTGAGCTGTGGATTTAGTAGAATGTGGCTGTGGTGATGAGGTGGTGATCCATGCTGGGTCTATTTTTAGGGTTTTGCTAAATCCTGCATATGTTGCATTGGACCGTGTCACGTGAAAAGTTTTTTTGTAACTCATCAACTACGGGGATTGCTGACGTATATAGAACTAAAGGAATGCAACCAACCAAGCTTTTGTCTCTGTGAGTCATCTCTATCCTCGCAGTACTGAAAAGGGGTGTTCAAAATCTGCTGCAAAATAGAAATGAGCATCGATATACTTAATCTAAACAATCTCTACGAACTAGGTCCATAAGCAATGACATGATCCCTAAACTTCTTCTCTTGCCAATTACACCGGTTGAATTTGTGTTGCATAGAATTGAAATACTTTTTATCCACTTTGACTTGAATATTAGCTTTCCCATTAGTGAATTGTCGAGGTATCTGAGTGAAATTTAAGTTGCCGAATCCCAAGTTCAAAGATTTGAGATGTGGCATTTGTTCAATCCAATCACTCAAATAGTCAATCGAGGTGCTCTTGTTGTAGTAATGTAGAGAAAACTCTTCCACGAGCTGCAAGTTGAAAATGCTGGTGACCCATTCAGTAGGAAACTTTTGTGGATATGTCAGAGCATTCTCCAACGTCAAGTATAAGTGTAATGATGTTGGCCTGATCTTGTGGCATTCTCGTGTACACTCCCTTATTTCATTCTTGAGGTTCACATAGTTTTGCACTGTCATGTCTATCTCGACGTGTTTCAAATTGGAAATGAATTCAAACTTGAGGTCATATAGAAGCTCCTCAACTTTGTTCGATTGATGTAGCAAGCTGTTAATTCTGAATGTAGGCTCTGAAGCCAAGCCTGTGCAATCGGTGAATATGACATCGCGTAAATGTTTGGAGCTGCAGCTCTGGATATTAACGCTGGGAAACCACAAGTACTCGTGATGATCAACGTCACCAGTCCAAACTTTCAAGCACCTAACCAAGTCTGGAAAGTCAAATATAACCCTTTCAATAGCCAGTGCGTTAAAAATGATGTACTTTCTCAAGTATTTCGGATCAATATGGTTACCAAAATTGATGTATATCAACTTGCCATATTTCAATTCCAAATCATGTTTAGAGCCACATCGTGCATTTCCAATACCACTTCTTCCCAATAATCTGAAGCACCTCCTTGGATCAATAAAATTTAACCACGGTATGGATATATCCAAAGGTTGCGTCAATATACAATCTTCGAAAGGAAGCACTTGAAGGAGTAGCTCTTTGGGTAGTTTATGAAGTGGAGGTGTAGTGTCTTTCATGGTTGGTTGAACAAGTGAAGACTGTGATCAGTCAGTCATTTTTTTTTTCACTCACAGTGTATATCCATTTCCAGGTTGGTTTATATTCATGCAAGAAGGGTATCGGGTAGGAAGATCCAAAACGGGTGAGACAAATTCAGGATTACGTAAAAGTTAATGTTTGGTTGTTGTTTTTTTTTTTTTGTGCCACTTCCCCCACAGTTTTCAAGAACAAAAACAAAGCAAAGCAAAAAACGTTTCTAGATACAATATATATATATATGCTTCTATATAGGGTACTATTAGTAAGACTATTAGATACAAACTGATGGCAGTTTGGGGCGGGGTGGAGGGACAGTGGATTCAATTTGAGGGGAAGTCTAAAAGTCAGTGCAAGATTTTGCTTCCCCTCACGAGTAATTAACCAAACAACGTAAGAGAAATGTGTAATTAACTCACATGGAGTTGAGGAAGTGGAGTCCGATTAGGGTCCTTCCTTCTCTAACCTGAGGAGTAATGAAAAATGCCTTGGTATCGACGACTGTGGTATCTTCTTCTCAGGAAATGCGCTATGTTTGCACTGACAGAAAAGAACAACTCTTGACAACTGAGCAGCTTCTGGCGCCGACAGGTACCGTGGTGGTTTATATAGATGTCTTCAGCACAGAGCAGAAAACTGGATATGTACCCCTTTCTTGCGAGTGGTCGTCAAGGGGGATTTTGTTAACAATCCCAGTTACCACACGAGCTACCAAATGACTGCAAAATAACGACTCAACATACATTGCAGAACTAAAATGGAGATAAGTTCTCCTTACGCCAACTCTACACACAATTTGTATCATAGGTCACTAATAAATCAAAGTAGTCCTTCTACCACTGACAAACGTAGCACCATCATAGTCGGTAAAAACTTTTCAAATTCCACGATGCGACTGATCTTTGATTCGTTTGTAGTACTCCATGCCCACTTTGATATGGAAGTAATAATTAGGACCTTTAGTTTGGGGCAAGAGTGGTAAGCTGGACGCATCAAGCTCACCCACTGCAATGTTGACCCCTTTATGTATGCATACTTGTCTCATTTGTTAACAAAATAGACCGAGCACCTTCTGCATAGAATATAACTTGTTGGTCTTTGTTAGACGACCCAAAATGTCCAGTTTCATCATCAACAAGTGAGTCAATTCCGTTCTACTTTATCTCTCAGTCGCAGAATTGAGTATCGCAGGGGGGGGGGAAGGGGGAGTCGGCTGACACTTTAAGGGTTTAAAGGACAAGTCAGTCTTCAATCAACCAAGTATTTACCAAACACTACACAATCAACTACATTGCGCCTCTTTGACTTACCAATTGACATAATGGCGAAAATCCTCCTTTCCTTAGATGAATATTTTTTGAATGTGTCCGCATCTGTTGGAACCAGGTTGATCAATGATTGGCCACGAGTCAGTAGAGCTGATATTGTGATTGGCTTATCTACGAGAAACCAAATATGTCCATAATTCTCCGTATCAATATCATACATTTGAGCGCAAGCATTCAAGATGTGTATATATATGTTAATGCCGATGAGGAAATTGATCCACCTTATTACAGTCCGTAATTTATATTAGAACTCAGTATATTATTTACCTTTTGAGTATATTTTCAGCACGTGGAATGTACTCCTCTTGACACAAACATCTAAATTAGAACGACTAACCTAACCATACACACTTTCCAGAGAGACAGTCCTTGAGCAAATACGGGTGGGAGATAGTTATTAGTCAGGCTACACATGCCAGTTAAAAACACTGTAAAGTAGAGTAGGCTCACAAGCATCGTGCTACACCAAATGACGATAACACCTTTACTCCGAGTTATTCTCTTGGGGGTTCACGAGACACTGTAGTCTCTTACTTTTCAGATACACCACATTTGGTCTCTAGCGTTGGCAAGTATTGAAATTTAAAGCTTCAGGAGGTCAAATATGTGACCTTTTTGAACATGAGTAGAGTTTGGTGAAGTTCGATTGTACAATCCAGCTACAGACCTGTACTTTGCTTCAGTAAGATATGCTGCACGAGTACAAAATGAACCTCGCTTTACAATCTTGAAGGTAAAACACAGCTTAGGTGGCATCACCTGTATAATAACGTGTTTAATCAACGACAAGAAGGTTATAGTCATAAAAGACGCGTCTTACTAAAGCACACAGAGAAGCTGAATTCAAAAACACCGTAATAATACAAAATACCCAAATACTATATGAAAAACCAAGCTACTTCATTTGCTCATCTTCATCTTCGTTATAACTACAATCAAACTCTTCCATTTGCTCACCACCAATGCCAAAATAATTCTCTTGCTCAACTGGATACTGATCATTCGCACGCGAATATGCATCCTTTCGGTATTGACCATACCCATCAACGACATACCCTTCAACTTCATTGCTTGGACTTAGAGTGAATGGGTTGGCCCCAGAATCGCCACCAGCTACGGCAACGGCACCGGCACCGGCACCGGCACCACCACTGCTAGTAGCAACACTACCAGATTGATTATGCAACGACTGTGGCGTATCTGGTGTCTGATAAATCTTTTCAACCGACTCCGACCTGAACGAGTAGTCGTCAAAGTTACAATCTTCAAATTTAGTCACGGTTTGGTTGGTTTTGGGGTCAGTGTACTCTCGTATTGACCCCCATGGTGAGATTTTGACTATGCCTCCATCGGGATGTATGAATTGGGGCCATTCTGTGGTTGAGTTTATGGCTTCTTCGTGAGTCATGTTTTTGAAACGGTGTTGGTTCAGTTCGAAGTCGTCGTTTCTTCGTTTAATGTGTTGGAAGAGATGCTGCTGCTGCAGATGTTGCAGATGCTGCAGTTGTTGCAGTTGTTGCAGTTGTTGTTGTGGTGGTGGTTGTAATGTGTTGTGTTGTGGAGGAGGCGTTATTTCAGATGCTGCTATGCTATTAGTGTTGTAGTCCATTGTGGCTGTGAATTGACTACGTAGTTGTGGAGTTACTATATGCTTTGGTTGTGAAAAAAAAAAAAAAGTTGCAATGGGAAAATGAATTTGTAAAAAAAATTGGTGAAGTGAGAGGAAAGCTTCTGTTAACGCTGGTACTGCATATAGTGTATGATCCTGGCTACGCTTACCTAAAATTGAAGCGAAATTTCTGTTCTTCTTTACAACGCGTATAATTGAATTTCTTTTTCCAACACCCGCACTGTCGCAGAGCTTCAATGTCGCAAACAAAATACACGACATTGCAGAGGTAGTGCGAGCTTTACCAATTTCCTACTCTCTACAACAACCACAGCCAATAAAAGAAACTTATTTAGTAACAATAACAAATTCACCATACAATTTTCTCTCTTTTTCTTTTTCTTCTTTTTTTTCTTTTTTTGTTTTTTTTTGGGTTTTTCTTACTATCAATTGGTAGTGTCAAATTATCGAGAACCTCTTTCTTCAAAGCGAAAATTATTCAAGCAAGCCTAGCTCCATAGCTATTCCCAACTCACAACTGGACCGCATACATCATGTTGAGGGCATCTAGAGTATCATCACACTCCTTCAAACTAGCAAAATCATCGCTATCAGCATCGCCATTTGCATGTATAAGGAGCTACGCCTCAACTCCAACCCCGTTACCAACAAACACCCCCAACAAACAACCAACCACCGCCAATGCCGTCACTCCATTGGGAAGAAAAGTACAAAAGTACTCTGACCCACCAGGCATGTTCGGCAAGACCACCTTCACTGAAGTCATGGACGAGACGAATATGATGTGGGATAAATCAGATGACCCCGATCAAGTTTCAAAGCAAAATACCAAGATTCGTCATTTCACGATAAATTTCGGTCCACAGCATCCGGCAGCTCACGGTGTGTTGAGATTGATTTTGGAATTGCACGGTGAGGAAATCATTCGTAGTGATCCTCACGTTGGATTGTTGCATCGAGGAACTGAAAAGTTGATTGAGACAAAGACTTATATGCAAGCATTGCCCTATTTCGATAGATTGGATTATGTGTCCATGATGACCAATGAGCAAGTTTTTGCGTTGGCAGTGGAGAAGTTGTTGAATATCGAGGTCCCATTGAGGGCAAAATACATTCGTACCTTGTTTGGTGAGATTACAAGAGTTTTGAACCACTGTATGTCGGTATTGACCCATATTATGGACGTTGGTGGATTGACTCCGTTTTTGTGGGGGTTTGAGGAACGTGAGAAGTTGATGGAGTTTTATGAACGTGTTTCGGGAGCAAGGTTGCATAGTGCATACGTGAGACCAGGTGGTGTTGCTCAAGATTTACCATCGGGTTTGTTGGATGATATTTACATGTGGGCTACTCAATTCGGTGATAGGATTGATGAGATTGAAGAGTTGTGTACTGATAACCGTATTTGGAAAGAGCGTACTATAAACGTCGGTACATTGACAGCTGATGATGCTTTGAATTATTCATGTTCAGGGGTAATGTTGCGAGGATCGGGAATTCCATTCGACGTGCGTAAGTCACAACCATATGATGCTTACGATTTAGTCGATTTTGATATTGCCGTGGGGTTGAATGGTGATTGTTATGATCGGTATTTGATTCGTATGGCTGAGTTTCGTCAATCGTTGAGAATCATATTCCAGTGTATAAACGATATGCCACAGGGACCAGTCAAAGTGGAAGATTATAATATTTCTCCTCCACCAAGAAGTTTGATGAAGGAAGATATGGAGGCCTTGATTCATCATTTCCTTTTGTTTACTAAAGGGTATGCTGTACCAGCTGGTGAAACTTATACTGCTATTGAAGCACCAAAGGGAGAAATGGCAGTTTATGTCGTTAGTGATGGAAGTGAGAGACCTTATAGGTGTAAGATTAGAGCTCCTGGATTTGCCCATTTGGGTGCATTTGACCACATTGCTAGAGGTAACCTTTTGGCCGATGCTGTGGCCATCATTGGTACTATGGATTTAGTGTTTGGTGAAGTTGATCGTTAAGAAGAGGAAGAAAGAGACGGATGGTATAAAGTGTATATCAATACAAATGAAAGCATAATAGTGGTTTTGTGTTGTAGTAATACTCTAAAAGATGATTTTATAAAGAATGTAAAGAGAAGTGCCTGCGCCTAAAGCAGTAAAGAGTTTGGCAACCCCATTTAGATCTCCATTTGCACCGTCACTGTATCCATAATTCGCGGCCTTTGGTTTCTGATACAAGTTTTGAAACGTTGCTGCACCTTGATAAGTGGTGCTTTGTCCGTATTTCACATTATGCGTATTTTTGGGAGCATTGTAGTTTGTCCTGTATCCATTGAAAGCAGATTGATCGCCATTGCGCTCATTCCCCACTTGTTCAGACTGTTCATATCCCGGTTTAATCATCTTGACATGCCGCAACAAATGTTTTGTCTTTAACTCTTCAGAAACTTGTTCACCGGAACTTTGCAACTGGTTAAGAATCTTGGCCTTGGTGGCTGGGTCCATGTACTTGTCAATGATGCGTTGTTCAAATTGTAAATTGCGATTCAAGTGTTTGTCGTAATCGAAATGGGGCACGTCGTAACGATCTCCGTGGTTTACATGCTCGCCTGAAAACCGCAGCTGATTTGCACCAGTTGATCCTGAATGTTGGTACTTTACCTTGTGTCGTTTGGTGTTTAGTCCTGATGCAGAGTATGTTGATTTACCACTGCGCGAATGGTACTTAGCTTCACCATAATACTTGTTGTATTCATTTGACCGACGATTGCCCATGTTGAAAGACGCGTTACCACCAGAGCCACTTGATGATTGATCGTAAGCCCGCTTCTTCTTGATGTCTTTTAGTGTGTCGTATGCATTGACCATGGCGACGTATCTAGCATTGTTTTCCTGTTTAGCTTCGTCTGTCAAGTGTTGATTCAAATCAGGATGGTACTTCTTGGATAGCTTCTTAAACTGGAGCTTGATTTCTTTGATTGTAGCATTTGTGGGTAGTTCTAGTAGCTGGTAGTAGTTCTGGTTGGCAAATGCAGAGGAGGAGGATGAAGAAGTGGCGAATAGTCGTATCGAATGGTGAAAAGTTGTAGTGATGGGCATGATGGGAGATGAAATATAGTGGAGCCGAGTTGGAAGGGGATAAAGTCGACAGCAGGAAAGTGTCTATTGCTGTATAAAGAGTGTTATGGTTTATAGACTGCACTAGTGTTGAGATGCAAGGTGTGCGATTATCGGAATTTGTTATCAGATATCTTCAAAAAAAAAAAAAATAAAAAAATAAAAAAATCGATTTGTAAAAGACGCAATTAAGGAGATGGCTAATACTCAAGAGGTGGTAATTGACTGAAAGGCCTCTGGATTTGCTCAAGCATCGTGCTCCTTTATCTTCTTCTATGGTACAGTGTTGACCAATTTCTCTTGTTCAATTATGGGATGCTGTTGTCCTCAAAGGGATGGTCTAGACCCACCCATACTCTGGTATCTCTTGCAGCAACGTCGTGGAGTGATTGTCGCAAATGCTCTTTACGACACAGGGTACACACACATCTATACAACATATCATACAAAAGTATAAGCTATCTTATGGTCATGTGATCAGGGGTGATGGTAGCGTAGCAAATATCGTAGAAATAAAAAAAAAAAGAAATTACAAAAAAAAAGAAATTCATATCACACACTGTACACACTACACACTACAGCAGAAACAGAAACAGAAACAGAAACAGAAACAGAAACAACAATTTTTTAAACCCACCACCACAATCACAAGAACGACACACATTATCACACGTCTTACAAATAACAAGTTTAACCACAGAGGTACAACACAACATACATCCACGAATAACTACTATCAAACCAACCCTCATCACTGCATCACCCCCCATCTTCGTAAAAAAAGTCCACTCACAACTTGAGTACTTGTCTTAACTACACCACGCAAATTTATCCGTATCTCACTTGGTTGACTAATAACACACACCATTTCAACTTTTACTTTTTTTTACAACACATCCACCAACACATACGCATACGCATACACACACACACACACACACACACAACAACTACAACTACAACCAGCGAAAATATGAGTTCCAAATCTGCTGCTGCTATCTTGCAACGACAATTCAAAGACTTGACTGACCCCAAAAAGAGAATCCCATCATTCCACATTGAATTAGACGATGACAATATATTTTTATGGAACATTGGAGTCATGGTGCTCAACCCAGACTCATTATACCACGGAGGATATTTCAAGGGGCAAATGAGATTCCCCCAAGATTTCCCCTTTAGCCCACCATCATTCCGTTTCACCCCTGCCATTTACCACCCAAACATTTATCGTGATGGTCGGTTATGCATAAGTATCTTGCATCAGGGTGGTGACCCCACTAGCGATGAACCAGAGAGCGAGACTTGGTCACCTGCGCAAACCGTTGAAAGTGTTTTGATTTCAATCATTTCTCTCTTGGATGATCCTAATGGTAACTCGCCAGCAAACATTGATGCTTCGGTTGAGTTTAGGAAAAATTTCCCCGAGTATAAGAAGAAGGTGTTGAAGGAGGTTGAACGTTCCAAAAAGGATATTCCTGAGGATTTTGTCATGCCGGATGACTCTACTCTGGCCTATAGCAATGATCAAGCTCAAAAGAATCGGGAGTTGATTGACGATCCTATAGATGAGGATTTTTGGTATGAGAGCGAAGAAGAGGAGAGTTTTGATGAGGAGAGTGTTATGGATGAAAATGAAGGTGATTATGCGGAGGATGATGAAGAGGAGGAAGAGGAGGAGGAAGATGAGGAGATGATTGCAAAGTGAAAGAAAATGACAAGTCTTGGAGTGATTGCATGTCAACCATCACCACCACCATCATCACCACCACCACGATTTACTTTTACACCCACAATCTTGATGACTCAATGTGTCCCCTTTTCCCCATTCTTCATTTTTCTTTTTTTGTTTTTTTCTTCCACCCAAACCTTTTTTCCCCTATCTCCACTTAATACTTAGTAGCATAAATTTTAATACCCAATTACTATACATATCTATATTTACGATAGTGTTGATATCAACGTAGAGCCTTTTCTAGATAGCTCTTTTCTGTATAATAACTAGAGGGAGCACTTGACTCCAATTGATTCCTTGAAACGTAGGCTATGTTTTCATACAGTCCATTAAAGCAAGCTTTAACCCTGCAGTTCACCACACATATGTATTACATATCTATTTTTACTTATGTAGTCTCAGTACGTAAGCTGTGGCTCGCGATACCCTGTCAACCCCTCTCTCAACGCATTCGTAACGGCATCAATTTTGATCTTGGCGACAGCATCAGCCTCCGCTTCAACCTCGCTACTCGAATCGGTACTCTGTTTCACTGACGACTGCTTTGCTTGATAGAATAAAACGACAAAATATCCCCTAAATGAATGTTCCTGATAGCTTTCAACTTCATCATCGTCATTGTCAGCGTCATTGTAGTCAGTAGCTGATATCTGGTTATCACCGCGTTTAATATCTTGTCCGTTGTCGTTTCGATGTTGTGATCCACCATTATGATTATTCGACTCAAATTGGTTGGAGAGGTCAATTTTCGATATGATGCATCTCACATTGCCAAAGTCCACAATCGACCAGTTGTTGACATCACTAGATAATCCACCTGCGTCGGTCGTGGCGGCTGGTGATTGAAAGCAGGAGTTGTAAGCAACCAACGAATAGATCTTCAATTGGTCCAATGCAATTGTAGATACTCCACCACTTTGCGAGTCAGTGCTTAGTGATGCTGGTGCTCCTTTTTTGGTGCTGTGACCCTGTCCGTGCTCGTCTCCTGGTGCTCCACCACCTCCTAATGCCGCCGCTGCTGATGTCGTTGTTGTTGGTGTGCCGGCGTTGGAACTGTGCGAGGAATGAAGCTGCAGTGGAGGCTGTGGTTGCCATTGGCGGTCACTTACTACTTGCTTTGCCTGTACTTGTTCTTGTTGCTTAGGAAACTGTTTAGTGGTGAGTGAAATTAGTGGGTTACCGTGGTTGGACAATAGTGAGATTGATATAGGGTGGAAGTTGGGAGTGGTTGACGAGGTAGGCGACTGTAGTGCTGATTTAAGCAAGTTGGATATTTGATTTTGTTGTAACATAGTGTGCTATAGTGTGGCGAGGTGCAAGTGATGAAGGTTGTTCTGAGTGGAGAAGTATGCTGTGCAACTGTCGTGAGGTTTTTCAGTAGTTCAAGTTTTTCTATTCTCGTCAATATTTCTCTCTCTACCAATACTCTATTGAAATCACTGTTCATTATTCTAATCCAAGATCTATATAAACCCTCTCTATCCTTTATAAATAAAACTATCCAAACCATATCCAAACACTCGTATTCTCCTACAAGGTAAACAATCCCGTTCCCTTCTTACCAAATGGATACACAACCAACGCAGCCGCAAACAATCCAACACTAATACCAATAGAAACCTCAGTCATTGTGGCACCAAAACTCAACGAGCTAGCATAGTCGGTGGTCATCGTCTCAGTTCCATTTCTATTGGTGATCTCATCGGCAGTTTGCACCCCAGAAATCAATGAACTCTTGGATGCGATACCAGAGGGCACTTGGACAAAAATTGCCGGCAACAATGCAGCCACTGCAACACCCTTGAATATACGCGAGTACAAGTTACCACATATTCCAACTATGAACGCACCAATGCATGCTGTGAATTCAGTCACGCTGGAGAAATGTTTGCCGGCAAAGTATGTCGCAATGTAGCCAATACACGCAATTATAACCATGATTGGCAATTGACGCCATTTGGCTTGATTCACCAATGCAAGACACGATGCGAAAAGCGGCACAAACAAGATTCTCCACTTGTCATCGATTGTGTGACCTGCGGGGCAACTACTTTCGGATGTTGCGTCATGGTATACCCATCCAAATAATGCCGACCCCAATGTGATTCCGAACCCAAGAAACAATGAGTATATAATTGCGTAAAACATTCTCACGGAACCTGCAACGATATTTCTCGACTGCAATTCCAACGATCCTGTCAAGATGATGTATCCGGGCAAGATGATTGCTAATGATCCTTGCGCAATGGCACTAAAGCAAAACAAGTCGCCTCCACGTATAGATCCAATACCTCTGGCGATAAATGACACAACAATAGCTGAGGACACTTCAAACACATTGGCATACAAGTTGGACAATGTTGCGACGTAGTATTGCAAAAACCCAACACATAATCCAATTCCAAAGGATATCGGCAAATCAGCCCAGCCTCCATCGAATGCGTATGGAGTTACTGCCAATGATCCGAGTGCATAGAAAAGCATACACCACCATGGAGAAAACTTGTTCTTTTGTTTCAACAAATCATCCAATTTCTTAGTTGCTTCTTCAACACCAATCAAATCGTGAGTAACTCCTTTATAGAGCTGGTGTGTATCCACCAACTTACCCAAGTTTATCCCCTGTGCACAACGGACTAAATGAACTTCCGACGTCCTGGTTGCTGCATCACCAAATGACACCAACATACAACCGGGGAAATAGATGAATTGTCCGTCAATTTCCAACACCCTCGACGTCATAACCATATACTCCTCTAATCTATGTGTTGGAGCTCCGTACAACATCATTGCACGACACATGTTGATGATAAAACGCTGACGTTGCAACACGTCAGCAATGTGAACTGTGATACGCAACCTCTCTGCCTTTTTGTTACGCTTCAATTTCTTTAATGTGTTTGCTGGATCGGTTGGTCTCTTTTTCGGCATCTTGGGCTTGGCATTCTGGAACGAGGGTAAGCCGGTGTTATCGTACTTTTCTTTGCCTTCGCCACCTTCACCGGAGCGGTCATTGTCATTGTTTGAATCATCATCGCTTCCATCCGGCAATGGTTTATCATAAGCGCCTGCACCTCTTCCTTTTCCATCATAGTGTCTCACCTTGTTTGCAGCTTTACCAATAGCTTTTCCTGAGGCTTTGATGTTTTTGTACCCTTTACTAGCTCCATATTGCGCAGACTTCATTCCGTACTTGACTCCAGCACCAACTTCTGTTCCAAATCTCGTCAAGTCTAAATGCAGGGTAGGTCTTCTGTGTTCATCAAAGCTATCAATTGCTGAATCATTTGTGTCTACTTGTCTCAATGAACTGGCTGATTTATTCTCCAATGGTTGTTGGTATAACCGCAACAAGGAGGACAATACACCGGCTTGCACATGCTTTGGTGGCTCAATGTAATTGCCATCGATTCCAGCCAATTTATCGGGTTCTGAATCGTTATGGCCACGAAGGAAAATATCAGGATTTGGAGCGTAAAGTGGGTTGTCTTTACGTTCATCGTCACTAGTACGCTTCTTGGACTCCTTGTTCTCGTCACTGACTTTTTCATTCAACAAATCCTCAGTGCTGCGAGTAGGAGTTACATTGGCGCTTGTATTTGCACTAGTGTTGTTTGAATGCAACACAGATTCAGGGATGTGCTGATCAACCAATGCCTTAACTTCATCACTCAAATCATCATATTTAGAAAGAGGTTGTAATTCAATTGGATGATTTTCACCACCCCGATCGTCATGATCAGCAAATCCAACACGTTTTTCCTCATCATCATTTCTATCTCTTGAGTAACGAGTGGCTCCAGGTGCTAATCCGCCCCCGCTCAAACCTTGGTTTCCTCCACTTAAAACTTTACCCAAAAATGCGTCGCTGTGACTAATGTCGTGGTCTTGCGATGGGATACGATCGGCTAATGACATTTTACGAAGGATTCCACGGAGGCCACCAGCACCATTACCACTTGATTCCTTGGGTGCACTGTTCGTACTTCTTTTGGATGCGCTGTGGTTAGTTTCGTGTGAATGCATTGAATGCATCGATGGTTTGCGATTCTGTTTCAATGAAGCGGACGATGACGACGCTGTGTTTGCAGCATAGTTTTCATCAGATGATTTTCTTGACGATCCGGATTTTGTTTTGTCGAGTGGATCCTGATGAATGGATTCAGGACGTCCTTTGTAACCTGCTCTTGCATCACCTTCATCGTCCGAGGAGTCCGTTTGATAAAACTGCTCATGTGGCGCTTGTTGGATATGCGTAAAGTCAGTATGCGTTTGATCTTGGTAACTAGCACCATCAGAATCGTCGTCGTCGCTTTCGACTGGACCTTGACTTTTTCTGATTTCATTAGCATCGAATTTGAAATGAGGCAAATTTTGATCGCCAGATCGAGATTGAGATTGAGATCGAGATCCACCTGGGTCAAATTCATCATCGTCGGAATCCGAGTCACTATCTCCGTATCCATCTCCGCGTGTATCCTCAAATGAGCCATGCGACAGTCTTGATGCATTCAAAGAAGCTCTTGGGTCACGAGGCGTATACGAATCTGGGAATTTTCCAGCATTACTTTTCTTTTTGTTGTTGAATTTGCTGGCAACTTTGTTGAAGTTTGATGATGTCTGTTTGGTAAACTTTGAATTGTCCTTCTTTTGGTTCTGTTTACGAACTTCATTCAAGTTGAGCTGTTGCAGTGGAATTTGAACGTGAAATTGGTGTTGAGGGTTTGGGTTGAAGTTTTCATCATCACTGGACGATGAGTAGTCGTTAGACATGGTTTAGTGGGTGTGAGGGTTGTAATGTAATGTACTGGTAGGGTGTTCTGAAGCGAATGTAAAGATCTGTAGGAAAAAGGTAGTGGGCTGAATTTTTAGCTTGTTTTTGAGGATACTTTGTCTCCCTTTTTATTCGTTTTGAAGTTTTTTGTGAATATGTCGAATGATTTGCTTTCTTGTGATCTCTCCTCCTTTGTTTATTGTTAATGTATATAGTTTGTGGATTGTTGAGGTTTTGTTGTACTAACTTTGGTAATGTGATTGGTAGCAAGGTACCAACTTCTTGAGGTCTCAAGGCTTTTTTCTTTTTTCTTTTTTATTTTATTTTATTTTTTTTTTTTCGATTTTTACCGTGTATGGGTTTTGTGTCATGTTATTCGAAAGGAGTTGTGTTATTTGGCGCAATGTGTAAAATCGATGACATCATCATGGAAATGTAGATTTGACGGAGCCAAATTTCGGTTAGTTGTCACCATCCACGAGTTAGGCTTCTCTGGAAACAGTTTCGCAAGAGTAGAATCTTCATGTCGTGACTCGAAGAACTACTATTCCATCCATTCCCAACACGATATGTATCCCTTCACTGGTTCTGGATTCTCAAGAAATTCTATTGTAAAACTTTTTCACTTGCCGATACAGCCACAAAGAGACCTCCGTTTGTGAGTTGCACTACAAAAGGTTTGCGCAAAGGGGAATAAGTTGTTCCTCCACTTATTCTCTTTGAGATCTATGACGTGGAGGGGGGTAGTGCGACACGGTTGCAAAAGTCGCACTAAGCCTTCACTTCCATTGACAATGGGGACAGTTCAAAGCTTCGTAAGATAGCCTGTTTCAGATCGTTGGCGTGGCAAATTCAACTCGGACTACACCTCTGATTACAAGCAAACCTGGTGAATATTCCAGCACAGGCTGTTCAGCACATTACTCCGGTCCAATAAATGGCGCCTTGCTAATAGCAAAACCCTCCAACATAATTTCCGGTTTTGTACCTCAAAAGGAAAGGAGGCGCGCAAAATGCACCATTATGTCATAGAAGATGTCCTGTCGTTGAGTTGGTAGACGCAATTAAATCCACGTTCAGATTGCCTTTGACAAGATATGCAGTGGCTCATCGCAGCTTAAATCCGCTGATTTCACTCTTACTACAATCAGAGATATTGGTCAGTGCTGTGCAATCTAATTTGCAAAATTGTTATACACTTACACACGACTACTTTCCCAATGTGGCTATGCACTTTCTTCCCATTGCACACCACACCATTCTTGAACATACCCAACCTTGTTTTCATCAAGATCCTCCTCTCGTATATAATCCTCGACATCGGTGCAGACGATAATTGTACCCCATGACATTCCATTCAATATGTCCTTGATATCAACATTTTCTCTGTCCAATCCTTCAAGATCCATAATTGCTTTTGGCATCAACTGCAATTCGAATCTGCGCTCACTACTGGGGTTATATCCAGGACGTGGAATATTTGGCTGTCCGCTTGAAGTCAAGAATGCCTTGGCAACATCATCTTTCCCATTGTAAAGTAATGGCTTACCATTCAAATCGTAGCGCAATACTTGACCAGGGTTGTGTTTGACCGTGGATGAAAAGTTTTCAAAATACTTGTCATCAAGCATATTGGAGATTTTGGTTGTCTGTGGATCCAAAACCGCCGAAGAGGATGACCCGCGTCTTTTACTTGACGCGCCTTCTTCAGGTGCATCATTTTCTTCAATCAAGTGCTTATACTTTGCCAATTGAGCGTCTTCATCTTTATCGTTGCGGAATTTTTCCAGATCAACGTATACAAAACTACCATTGTATTGAGGTAGATCGCCTTGTAACTTCTGCAGTTCTCTTTTGGGCAGTTTTGGTGCAGTTTTCGCTACTTCAGCATACAGTTGAGGAGTCTTTGTAGAAGCATTGGTTGTCTTTGCTTCTTTCGCATTGGCAAAGGGATTGGACAGACCACTACTGAATGGATTATCATTCTTTGCAAATGGGTTCGACCCACCAAATGGATTGTTACCAGATGTGTCCTTGTTGAATAAGTTTTTCGTCAACTCATCGTTTAATTTCTTCAGTTGTTCCAGCTTTAATTTATCTTCCATTTCCTTTACTTTGATTCCATCTAGTTCCTCTTTGATTCTCTTTGCAACCTCATCGCTCTTGTTGATACCTCTAATTGCCTTGACGCTTCCCTTTTGCTTTGCACATTGACCATTTTTACAACCGAATATGTACAACACACGATCATACAAAGCGCCATCAAGTGGAGAGAACGCTTGCAAAAGTAAAGCCAATTTCTTTCCACAACGATCGCAAATGAGGTAGTCTTCTTTTGGTTTAGATTCTGGATGGAGCCATATTGGTTGCCCTCCAATAAAGGTATCCTCCAATATTGGCTGGTCATCTTCTGTAATCGGCCCATCAGCAAAACCTAGAAGCACTTTTGATTTATGCGACTCGTTGGAGTCATAAATGCTTTCTTCATCTGATGAATACTCTTCCTGTGATGATGACATTGCTGATGTTGAAATTGGTCTTTGCTATTTTCCAACCTCATCGAGATGCAGTTTTTTTTCGGCGATAAAGCTACCGCGAGAACTTGCAAACACATCAACGAAACATTCTTCCACAAGTCAATGGCTAGCCTGTCCCCTAAACAACAAAGTGTATGGAGTATACTTCTTGATGCAATGTACACGTGAATAGCTCTCTACAAATTTTAAATTAGAAATTTGCCACAATTCTAGAGGAAACTGCATCACAAACGAAAACATGAAATTTGCATCCATTCTAATCAATAGTTGCAGAATAAATCTGTTGTAGCTTTCTTCATTTATGTCTATTCATATGTAAGAGTCTAGATTCTGTGAAGACGGGATAAACCCACTTTACGATGTTAGAGAGTGGTATGGCACTTCAAATGCATTTATGTGCTATGACTTTTTAAAGTGCTTCTTTCCATATGAGAACGGCAAATACACTCAGACACAAAAGCGTTGTCAAAAATCCCCCAAGCATACACCAGTTGAAAACCATAGTTCCAAGTATCTCAATAGCATCAAATACAATAGCAAGAGTAACCGTCAAAAAGAAAAAGCAAAGACTTATACCAAATGCACCGATAATCTTAATTCCCACAGTCCCAAACGCAAGCATGAATGGCATAATGATCGCTAATAAAAGCGCAGACAATCCACAAAAGAAAAGTTTCAGTTTGCGGTTCTCCGAAGGTTTAATGCTCAATACTATGGGTGCTGACTTCACCTTAGGCTGTTTTTGACGTTCCAAATCAGTAGCTTCTGCTGTGCTAGGTGCGGCGTTTTCATTAGTAGCTGGGATATCCTTAAGTTGAATGGGCTCGTCGAACAGGTTACAGCAGGTGCTGTCAAAGACCGGGGATTGACTCTCCATTTCGTAATAGTGCTTGAGTGACAAAAGTGAGGGCTCTTTCTCTGTTGTCTCTGCAAACACTGCAGCTCTATTTATAAACCTGTTTTGTTCCGTTGGAGATTTGATTGTAATTTCCCTAACACCTCATGGGTGCAAAAGTGGAGTTGGGTTTTTGTTGCTCTTATTTTTCTTTTTTTGTTATCCTCATATCGAGCATAACAAGATTCTTCCTCGATTTAGTTGCAATCATGGTGACGGTAGATGGATTTTTTGGCCTTCGTGTAGGGGATGTTGTACCCATCGCATGCGTATCATTCGGCACTTGTATTATTGATGTTACACTTGCTTATACGCAGACGCGATTGTAAAACATCGTGTGTTAAACTTAAGCTACAGCTTTGTATAAATCTAAACCCAATAAGCTTTGATTAGACTACTTCGAAACCTTGCTTTGGCATACCAAAGTGATTGACAAGAGGACAAAAGTAGACAACACAAGTGGGGAAAACAATTGCCGCCGCCAATAAGTCTCCACTAAGACTCCCACCGAAAACCAACAATGCTGCACCAAATCCCGAAAGTAACGCAAAATAAAAGCAAGCAACAGAAACAATCCGCCTACAAATTTGTATCTTGCCTCACTATTTGTTCATACTGCTTAATTTACCGTAGTGGCTACTTCCGCCGGCAACGTTACCACCTTGATCTCTTCTTTGTAGCAATTATCTCCAAACTTCTCTAATGATTCAATTCTGACGCAGCTACCGTGAATGTAGAGTCGACACAGGTGGGTTTACTACCTGATGGTGCGTCTAGCGGCATAGACCATAATACTTTCACTACAGTATCTGAATCTGAGCCAGCCAGTGTTGTCGACAAGCGACGCTTTTCCAGTAAAGTCCAATGAAGGAGCAGAATATGAAATAGTGCTTGCATCACGTAACCAACTCTTTTGCTAAATTTACGCTTTCCAATGCTTTTGTCAGCGCCGAGAGCGACAGCCAATGTAGCGCAACCACCCAAGGCACCGAAGTATAGAACGAATGTGGCAAGCATATTTCTGGCTGAATGAGCTCCAATTGTTTTGAAGATTACTATTGTAAAAATTGCCGCGTATGCCAAATAAAAGTAACACTTCAGATACTTCGACTTCTCTGAAGCTTCCCCTGTTTGGGGTTCTGGTTCCGCTCCAACAGCTCCTTGTGCATCCGTGTCTGTATATGCTTCTTTTCCGGTATGGGATAAATTACCAGTTTGTTTCTCCTCCGGGAAATGAGAATCTTTGTGATTCAAATCCTTTTCTGGCTGGTTTTGGCTACTCATTATATGACGGATGCAAAGAAGAAAAAGTAGGGTGGGAGGAACTTTTTTTTTTTTTTTTTGATGTGGTCAAAAAAATGTAATAGATTCCGCGCGAACGCGAACGCAAATGCAAACGCAAATGCAAATGCAAATGCAAATGCGCTTGTTGTTGTGTGTAGTTGTGATTTTATTCTCTTGGCCAAGGCGTAGGTCTGCACCTTATTAGAAAACTAGCAATTCCACGCCCTACTCTCTGTGTCTTCCAGTCATTTCGAGTCTGGAAAACCCAGAATTTGCTGTGTATGCTCTATTAATTATAAGCACTCAACTATTTACAAATACCTTTTATGTTCAATCTCCTCATACACCAATATTTTATCTCCAGCTTCAAACCCAGTCCAGTTATGAAATCCTAACCCACATTCATTTCCCTTACGGGCTTCACTTATATCGTCTTTAACATGCTTCAACGAGGACAATGTGCCTTTGAAAACTTCTGTATCGCCTCTCATGACTTTGACGTCGGATGATCGTTTAATAACACCCGAAGCCACCTTACATCCCGCAACTTTAATCTTTGATTTTCCTTGAGTGATGGTGAATATATCTTTAATGTCAACTTCACCAAGAATCTTTGTCTCTATCCTTGGTTTCAAATGTGAGCTAAGTTCGTCAGTGACTTGCTCAATCAATCTGTAAATGATATTGTGTTCAACAATTTTCACTTTCTCCTTTTCAGCTCTTTGTAAAATTGGCTTTGGAGGTTTAATGTTGAAACAAAAGATGGTGGCATCAAAAGTTTTTGCCATATCAAGATCGCTATCCGATGGAGCACCGGCAGAATGGGAAATAACACATGATTGTACTTCCTCGTTACCCAACTCGTGAATACTCTCCTTGATAGCTTCTGCAGATCCAAACACATCCGACTTGATTATGTAGTTACATTTGGTCACTTTTGTATCCTGTGCCTCATTCTCCAACTCACTAGAATCTAACCCAGCCTTCTTCAACTCGGCAATCTTCTCTAATCGTTCAGCTTCTTTAATCTCCTCAGCTCGTTTGGCATTGATATCTTCAATATCTCTTGAAGCTTGAATTTGCTGTGCTCTGGCGACACGGTGGTCAATCACTTTCTTGGCAACCTGCTCCAGTTTTGCTTGTATTATGTGATCGCCACTATCTGGTAGTTCCTTCCATCCCCATATTTGCACAGGTGTAGAAGGGCCGGCTACCTTCACAACTTTCCCCTTTTCATCCTTCATTCCTCTAATTTTGCAAAACGTTTCACCAGCAACAATCACATCACCATTCTTTAATGACCCGCGACGTACCAATACAGTTGCAACGTTTCCCATACCTTTTACAAGTTCGGATTCAATTATCCACCCTTCTGCGGCAACACCTTTTTCTTCTGCTTTGAAATCATTCAACTCGCTCAAAGTAATAATCGCTTCCTCCAACTTATCCATGTTTAATCCAGTTTTACCGGAAACTTGCACTGTTTGTGTTTCTCCACCATAATCCTCAATATCGATATCGTGTGCCGCCAAGTCACCAAGCACTTTATCAACGTTGACTCCTGGCTTGTCACATTTGTTCAATGCAACAATCATCGGCACACCAGCCTTCTTGGCATGTTTGATAGCTTCAATAGTTTGTGGCATCACTGAATCATCGGCTGCAACTACAAGAATCACAATATCAGTAATAATTGCCCCCCTCTCTCTCATTTTCAAAAATGCGGCATGTCCTGGTGTGTCCAAAAAGGTAATCTTTTTGCGTGATTTTGGTGTAAGTACCGAAAATGCACCAATGTGTTGCGTGATCCCTCCAAACTCACCTGACACGATGGACGATTTTCTCAAGTAGTCGAGAATGGTGGTTTTCCCATGATCGACATGGCCCATGATTGTAACCACTGGGGGTCTTTCCTTGAGGAGCTCCTCTTTTATTGGTTCAGGAAATAAGTCGTTGTCAGACTCTGCAACCGTCTCAACTTCTATATCATATTCATCGGCAACCATTGCTGCATTCTCCTTATCTAAAATGTAGGAATGGCGAATATCTTCAAACCCTAGGCCCTCCAATTTCTTGAAAACGTCATTCAAGGGCACTTGCATGATTGTTGCCAAGTTGGATACACTGATAAATGGTGGTAGTTGAATTTTCACCAACGGCCTCCTCTGCTCCTTGACTTTTCTCACTTTGCGCTTTTTCAATTGTTGAATGTGTCTCGGGTCACTGCGTTGATGTTTATCGTGTTGTTCCTCTTTGGCTAATTCCTTACGAAGCTCTTCATACTTTAGCATCTTCTGCCTTTCCATCTCCTCCTTTGAAAGTTGTGGAGGTGCAGAGACAAATTGTTTATCAAAATCCCTTACCCCATTAGACTTTGAAACGTGTCTTCCTGCTGTAGCACGTGGTGCAGCTGATTTGCCATGGGTGGTGGCATGATGCACCCTATGTGGGCTCCTCTTTGGTCCATTGTGGACACCAGGCTGAGCTCCATTTCGCTTGTGGCCCTGTTGGTGCCTAGTCCGAGCACCTTGAGGTTTTTGGTCTGGCTTTGAATACTGCTGAGCAAATCGATTTATTCTGGGTGCAGACTCTTTTGACTTTTTACGAATTTCATTGATTATGTCAGCATATGATCGCGTTAGTAGTAGTCGCTTGTTTCCAAGTTGTCTATATAGTAAGTAGTGGAACATGGTTAAGATGGACCTGGTGATAAAGAGATTGTGAAGATTGAAAATTTTCAAAAACAAAAAAAAAAAAAAAAAACAAAAAAAAAAAAAAGATCCACATTTTTGTGCAACATCTCTACGCGACACTCGTAATATCTATGCAAAAAATGAATTAAATAGGTGTATGCTTATATGTAATCACCATTGGAAGTGATGTTACCCATCGAGTTGCTTTCCTTCAAAGTAGCAATCAACTCATCAATATCTGTAAAGTTGCGGTCATCGCATGCAAAGTTACGATGTCTGTTGCTGTAAATGTGGTCTTCAAAGTTGTCATATTTACACCGACAATTTTCACAATAACCAGGAGTTGACTCTTTATCTCTCCTTCCCGACGTCTTTCTCTTTAAAAAAATTCGCCGTTTAAGGTTGTTTAGATTTTTAGATTGCACTTGGGACAAGTAAGGTCCCAATCCATTTCCAGCAGCAGTGGCAGCACTGTTCAAGTTGGAATCCATAGAAAATTGAACAGCATTAGATGCACCATTAAACCCGGAAGCCATTGCGTCCACCGCTTTGGATTGAATGCAAGACGAGTTTCGCGTCAATGGTTGCCGAAATTCAACTTCATTTGAGGATTCGTCAATCTTGTCGGTACTAGTACTAGTTCCATTGAACCCACCCATCGAAAGGGACACTCCACTGATGACTCTTTCCGTGGCAGTTCTTAAAGCTTGACGATGTGATTTTGTAGCCTCAAACTTTCTCATTCTTTTCAATCTCTTTCTCTCCAGATTTTGATCAGATGGGTCGTCGATGAATGGACACTTGCCATCCAAAGTCAAATGCAATACTGGATAGTCATTATTCCATTCACGTATAGCAATAGGTCGTACAGTCTGGCTCAAATCATAGACGTACAAGTAGTTCTTGCCAAAGTAATGGAAATCGTCGCGTCGTGCATTAGGATCTCTGTCGGCCACCCCGTACAACTTTTCTTCCTTGAGCAAATTGTACAAGTTGTTGGAAGGAGCAGTGGCTGCACTTGCGTTCGCACCAGTCACAAGCAGTTCATCGGAAACGGTACTCAATCCCAAGTTTTTCATAAACCGAAAAAGCTTTTCGTAGCTCCATACTTTTGTTTTGAACTTTGGAACATTTGAGAATATGTCATTAGACGGATACTCTAATTTGTCATCGTAAGTTCGTTTCGATATGATAATAGTGACATTTGTGCGATAAAATGGTGCAATTTCGGAACCAACGTACTTGAGATACTTGACAGCTCTTTTGTACTCCGACAGTTGGAAATCGTGTGCTCCTTCAAAGAAAACCACTGATTCTTTCATAATTTTTTTCCATGATTGTTGCCATTGATACAACTCTTCACCTGATAGTCTTGATGTGCCTTTTTGGTTCTGGGCTACTTGCTGTGTAAGCTTGCGTTTCTCGGGCCTCTCAAGCAGCTTGCGGTCGACCTTGTTGGAATCCAATTCTTGGAGTGGAGCTGGAGCAATCTTGCCGGCATTTGCCACATCAATCAAAGTGCGGGGCTTTTCGAATGTCGGCTTTTCAGTATGTTGTTTCTGATTTACCCTTACACTTTCGATAGCCAGCACTTTTCCGTCATTACCTCCTCTCCCAATCTCAAGAGATGTCTTTTTTGAAGGTGTATGATTTATCTGAAGCGAATCATCTTCTTTTGGTTCAGCAAGTTTATCATCCTTCTGAAATGCCTTGAGTGTGGGAGCTTCTTCTTTGTGGATGGCATCTTCTTGCTGCTCATTGACTACTGTCGAAAGCTTTCTTCGGATGACAGTTGTCCTTGTCTGCTCAGTCTCTTCACTCCTTCCAATATCCCTGTCCCTCTTTCTCAAAGATGTGCTCTTTTCCTCGTCCATTTTCTCCCTGTCATTCCCGTCAGTGAGCTTTCTTATTTCTGCCACTCGCAGTATAGCATCTTTGACTTCACACTTTTGCTCATGTTGACTTGCAACAACTTCAATTGGCCTTTCAATGGTGGGATGTGTCAATGTTTCACCTATCTTGGATGAAGAATTTTCCTTTGTTTTCGTCATAGTTGGTGATACAATGTGTGCAGCAGCACCAGCAATGGCAGCCTTTTTTGGAGACAGCTTTCCACCATCTTTGCCCTTGGGTGAAGAGTAAGACAGCGAATGTTTTCTGCTCCGTTTGAACGGAAGTGTAGGTAGATTGGCATTAGTTTCTCTCAATGGTTGTCTGGGTCGCGATAGTGAGGTGAATTTCTTTTTGAAGACATCACCAGTGGACCGATCATCTTTGATATCACTTAGTCTGGTAGTATCCATACTGTTCATAGAAAGATAGGTGCAATGGCTGTATCGTTTCGCTTGTCTGAGTGAGGTTGCGTATGTGTTGAGATTGATTCTACCCTTCTTGAGGCAGCTGTGTTTTGCTCCTGGTAAATATTAACTGTGTACTGTAAACAATGTTGAGAGAGAGAATGAGAGAGACGCGAAAAAAAAAAAAAAGAAAAAAAAAAAAATTCCCAACTCGCACTAAATACATAAAATATAGCAGATAGCATATAGCATTTACATGTTGCTCTTGTATCGTATCACACATAATTAAGGCGATTACACATATACAAACCTACATACATTAATAGTGTGGAGACACTATACAAAAACAGCAACAAGAAGTCGAAAGCAAAGCTGACGAGAGTGGACAGTACAGTTTAGCCTCATTTGGTTCATCCCTTCCGCGTTATTCTGTCTCTTTCACTGTGTTGATCACATCACAAAACTTACCACTATAAACACAAGTGCATACAAAAAACTAGGAATCAAGATGTCACTTTCGGTTCTGCCCCCTGAGTCAGTCCCTGTTCTTGTAGACTTTCTTGCTTCCTCCATGATACCCTTTGAAAATAGGGTGGATCCTACCGAATTTGTAGCAATAAAGCCAATAGAAGTATACTGATGACCATCGGGGTGTTCCCCGTGTCCTCTTGTAACCAGTATACCAAACACGCCATTTGTTGGCCAAGTTTCTTGCTTTGTTTCTGTTCCAGCACTCAATATTGAGGAAAAAGTGTCTGCAAACTCACAATACAAGCGTCGCAACTCCACTTCATTGTGTGGCAATCCCACATGATTCATGGTGTGGCAGTCTTTGACACAATCGGCAAACTGCTCAAAGAATTCATCGTTTAGACGGCAAACGCAAGTCATGTATTGTTTTGCCTTCACAGCATTCTCGGGGGCTCCCCCACAATTGGAAACAAGAATTGATCTTGCGTGAGAGCAGCTATTACATTCGGAATGGTGGAGTCTCTTTAAAATCGAGCAGGGTGTCTCTGTATTGAAACAAAAGGTTGATTGAATGAGCGAAAACAAAAACAACATTAGCCAATACATCAAGAATGAATACTTTTCTCTAGCTTCTCAAACAAATTTTTCAACTCAATTCTCAAGAGTATTTAAATAGCTGATGCTGCACTTTCATCCCTTGGAGAAGTAATTTAATGCAGAATGCCATTCCTTGCTAAATCAGGTTTGCATAAACTCACTTTGTCGTGTGCATTCTACAATTTGCAACCATTGTTTTGTTTAAACTCTCTCTTCTCTTCTCGGCATTTCTTCTTAGTCCACCACCCCCAGATTTAGCTCGGCTAAAAAAAAAGAAAAACAAAACAAAATTAAAAAAAAAAAATCATCAGATTTTTCAAAGTTGAAATCTTCTGAAACACATATACTTCATCTGCTATATTCCCATGTTGAAGTGTTTTGGTAGGTCGCATTTGAGGCATGTTAGGCTTCAATCCACATTATCCTTAACAGGATTCAATAATAAAGAAGTGTCGGTGAGCTTAAATGGAAAGAGGGTCACTTTCAAAAACACATTTCTTCGTGATTCATGTACTTCACCCGAGTCCATTGACGTTTCAACAAGCCAAAAATTGTTTACTACAGCAGAAGCAGCTAATAATCTTTCCATCACGCAGGAACCCAAAATTGTCGACAACAAGCTTACCATCCAATGGAGTAATAACGGCAAACTTCTCAACTCAACTTACTCGGCATCTTTCTTGGAGAAGTATTCAACTCCAGCTGGACCAAGAAGGGACTTGTTTTTTGACAATGACCGCACATTGTGGAACCACAAGGAGCTCATATCCAACTTGGATTCGTTGCATCATGATTACGGCGCCTACTTGAATGACGAAGAGACTTTTTTCAAAGCTGTTTTCAACATGAACAAGTATGGAATATGCTTCATTGACAACATTCCACGACCCACGTTGGACAAAATGGATGAATCAAATACACCACACTGGCCAGTAGCAAAATTGGCTGAAAAATTCGGATACATTCGCAAAACTTTTTACGGATCCTTGTTTGATGTCAAGAATTTGAAATCGGAAGCTAAGAACTTGGCATACACAAACACATTCTTACCCTTGCATATGGACTTGTTGTATTACGAATCACCCCCTGGTGTACAGATGTTGCATGCAATTGACAATTCTACTCAGGGTGGTGAAAATATCTTTTGTGACTCATTCTTGGCTGCTGAACACGTACGTAAAGTTGACCCGCAAGCATATGCTGCTCTCACAAAGATTCCAATCACATTTCATTACGATAACAACAACGAGTACTACTACTACAAGAGACCATTGATCATTGAAGATTCAGAAATCACGGGCGGTTTCCCCAAAATCCACGCAATAAACTATTCACCTCCATTTCAAGGACCTTTTGAAGTTGGAATCACAAAGGATGATCCAGCATATGACATGTTTGACGATTTCATTCGTGGGTTCCAATTGTTTGAAAAATTCATCAATGATCCCGCCAATCATTACGAGGTCAAGTTGCCCGAAGGAACCTGTGTGCTTTTCGAGAATCGTCGTGTCCTACACTCGAGAAATGAATTCTCTGATTCAAATGGAGGTGATCGTTGGCTAATGGGCACTTATGTTGACGGAGATAGCCTACGTTCAAAACTACGTGTTGGATATCGTAAATTCTAATAAGTGCAAACCAAAGTAGCGAAATGTAATTTATTTTTTTTTTTTTTTTTTTTTTTCATTTTCTCCTAAATACAACAAAACTATAACCTTCTTTCTTTTTAATATCCATTATAGCCATAGCCAGTCGATGGAGCAGGCTGGTTCAGTGGGGTAGAATACGTCTTAAACACTTGCTTAAACCCATTACACAATTTGGTCATTGAAGTGTACAAAAAGTTTTTCAATGCGTACCCATCAGTTTCAGTACGAACGTGCCAAGTCTTGATAGGAGTGTCAACATTAACCTTGAACAATAGCAAGAAATATCCCGGGTTCTTATGATCATAGCAGAAAATGTATGCCGAGTTCTTTGGATTTGCCTTGGTGTATGACTCCAACCATTCAGTGACTTCAGCCATTGTACCAGCTCTAAATTTGGGATGATGAACCATTTCATCAACTTTTCTAGAAATGGCTTGAATGTGTTGGAAAATCAATTGATCCAAATCAGAGTAGGTTTTCCCATCAACAACATACTCCTTGAATTTCCCTCTTGTGCGCTCTTGTACTGAAAGATGTTGAAACAAGTTATTGCCCACTTTCCAAGTGATTGTAAGATAATTGGGACCTTTCGAAGATGGACGAATAACACAGTCTCCCAAGTTTTGGGGAGCCAAAAACTCTTCTGCTTGTTTATAATTGAAATTTCGATACAATGGGTGTTGTATGTTCCTGGTCTTGGCGAGCTGTGCTTTTTCTTTCTCTCTTTCCCTCTTCCAATCCTCTTCTTCAGCTCTAAGGTTCCACTTACCACCTTCCTTGGGAAATCTTGGTTTCGAAGCTCGTTTAATGTCATCCTTCAACAAACTCATCGTGGCTGTGAATGATTCGTACGTGACGTCAAGTACTACTGCTTGCACAACTTGTCCCTGAAAAAGGTCAAGGTTGTCTGGGATATGCTCTTCTTCAATGTTTGCTTGCACCATGGATGCGGTAACGCCCTTGGCCCATCTGATTTTGGCACTTGGGTCACGATAGTTTTTACCAACCTTGACAATAGTAATTGGAACCACCAGCCCACGACCAAACGAAGTTTTGGTCTCTCCAGTCAACATAGTAAAGACTCCAACACTATCCAACGTCTTGAAATAGTTTCTCAACTCCTCATAGTTGTTAATTAATTCATCCTTGATCGTCAACAACCTGGAAAACTTCTTTACACCTTGCTCTTTAAACAACTCTTTACCATATTCCACAAGGTTCAATTCGTTAACCTTGAAAACGTCTTCATTATACAATGTCTGAATTACTGAAGAGTCTCCATTACTCTTGAACTCGTCCGGATCCATTTCAATTGCATCTGCAGCCATTTTCCTGGCCAAAACGTAATCCTCTGGGTGTATTCTCGTAGCATCTAACAACTCAACTGATTCCGAAAGAGTGTCAATTTGGCTGTCAACCGGGATGTACAAGAAAGAGGCACAATTGTAAAAAACTTGTGCCGTTGTCAAGCCTTCCTCAATTAAATCACTTCTTGCAACCAATGTAGAATTTAAATTGTTGACAATGTTTCTCACCAATCCTGACGCCTTACGTGGACCAAGCCCTGCAACATATTGCAAAGTCTGCGCAACGTACGAGTCGCGGACTGCTACGTTGATGTCAACACCGGTGACATTAACAAGGTCAACAAATGCAGATTCCAATGCCTCCTTCACTAAATCAATAGGAATGAGTTTCTGATGTTCATGGAAAGTAAGCGACAAAATATCATCACCCAACGAGACATACTCCAAGAGTGGGTCTTGAATATATTTGGCAACTCCAATAGCGTACCTAACCAATTGCGGCTTGTCAGGGGAATCAGTTTTGGCTCTTTCGGAATTTTGGTAAAGTCTAGCGGTTTCATCTGGTCCCCAAATCACGTCAATCAATTCCGGTGTTGTGTCCTTTGGAAGCTCATCGATGTTGGCCATGATATGATTTTCCTCAACAAATTTTTTCAAAATATCGTATAGTCTTTTACTGTTGGCATTGAATCCTGATATTACTAAAACATCTGGCTTGTCAATCTTTAAACGCTTATCGATAAACTCCTTCAACTGCCCAGTGAATTTTTCCTCACTCTCCAAGTCTCTGATAGGATTTGTTTCAGATTTGAAGAAATCCTGAACTTTGCCCGTATCCTTGACAAAGACACCGACCACAGCACTGTCATAATCACCTTTACCAAACGTCAAAGCCAATACATTTGGTCTTGTTCCCTTGTCATATCCAAATGGTTTGTAGGGAGCTTGATCAAGTTTGGAAGTGAAACTAGCACGCACCTCCAGAGCAATCAATCTCTCACACTCGCGTCTCAAGTCCTCCTTAGTGTTCAAGGCAACCATAGCACACAACTTCTTAAACGCCATCTTCAAAACTATTTCTCTCTCATTATTCCACTGCTCCGAGACTTCCGAAGATCCATCTGATTTCAAACAGTTGAATATACTCTGGAACCATTCTTGAGACTGTCTGGGCTCCACAGTTATTACAGCCAATCCCAATTTTTCAGCCTCCAACATTCTCAAAAACACATCCGGGGTACGCACTAGCTCCGAAGGAAAACGATTGATGGCGTACTTGATGTCCGCATAAGGACTATAATTGTCAATCGTATTCCTTCCCTTTTCAGTGATAGCCACACTGATTGACGCTAGAGACGCAAACGTTGACCTTACCTCGTGCCTGATCTTGGGATTATGGAAAATCTCTTCAGCAAATGTTCGTCTGATCGCATCTTTTGCTGTCTTTTGATCTCGGAACAAGGCTTCCTCATCATCGACCAACTTGTTAATCACAAAATCAGGAGATTCTTGTGAATCGTCGGTAGCGTGGATCCTATAAGTCACATTATAGCCTTGTGAACTCTGGTCTTGCACATTTTCCCCAAATTGTTTGGCAGTGATCCCATAAGCTTCAACACCATCATACAAAATATTCGATTTGATTCTATCATACAATGCATATTTTGAATGCTTTTTACCCCTGCTATTAGTCTTCCCTTCTGTGTCTTGCTCTTCATCTTTTCCCTTATTTGCCAAGTTTTGAATTTCCTTGGCGTAAGTAAAGTTTATGTAATCCTGAGTATCTTGAACTGCCACCATTGTGTTTAAAGATTTGAGATCCATGGTGAGGTCATCATCGACACCCAATTCTCGAATCAAGTTTTCCATATTCAACCGCTTTTCATATAGAGAGTGGTACTCAATGTCCAACTTAACAATTCTCCACAAGTCGTCTTCAAACAACAACTTATGTACGCTAGCACCATCGGCATCCGACAACAAATCATCTCTTCGATTTGCCCAGATGAAAGGAACTTCAAAAGATTTTTTGGAAATGAACTCAACTACTTTGCCAACAGCTTCTTTAAATGGTTGCTCCAAAAAGCCGCCTTTGAATGCAGCTCTCTCTTGCAACAAGACATCAGCAACCCATTGTTTTTCAAGTTCCAACTCATCGCCCTCTAGGTCAATATAAGCCAACGTGGAACGGTATTTTTGGTAACGTTCAGGAATGTCAATGATACGAATTAAATTGTCCTCCTCTGTCAACATACGTTCTTTCAACTCAGAGTGTTCAAACACTTCGTCTAAAGATGTTGGATCCTCATTGCCCGCAGCACCAAGATCTTCATCCTCTTGTGCCTCCAATGCCCATTCATATTCACGCCCATCACCAAACACCTCAAATAGTTCTTGAAGACTTTTACGATCCACACTTGACAATTTGGAAGTATCGATCTTGGGTCCTTTCTTTTTCATCCTTTGCCTTTCGAGTTGTCTTTGCTTTCTTGTCTCTTCATCTTCATCCGACAATTCGTCTTCTTCAATAAAATCTTCAAACTCGTCCAATATGTTAGATCGATCACGTGGCACTGTCCCTCTCTCGTTCAAATCGTTACCAACAAACCTCCCCTCCAACTCTTCGTCGGCGTCATCAACATCATCATCATCATCATCATCATCATCGGCAAAAATATCTGGTACTGCAGAGGATTGTCTAGACAGAAACTCGCCTTGCTTTGACGCATCAGCTTGTAAACTCTCTTCTTCGTCTGATGTCTTTCTTTTCAACCGTTTGAGTTTATTCCCTTGTCCACGAGGTTTAACACCAGAATTTTCCAAAAGTAACTCGAGATCATCTTCATCTAATGCATCATCCTCTTCTTGACGTTCTCTTTCCCTCTTTCTTTTCTTGTGTCTTCTTTTCTTCTTTGATTCTACTTCTTCGTCCTCGTCGTCCACTATGAAGCCCTCACGGACTTTTTGGATCTCTTCTTCGTTTTCATCATCGTCGTCCTCCTCAGAAGAGTCTGTTACAGAGTCTCTTGTGACATCTTCTCTCTCGCCTTCAGATCCCGACTGATTTTCCTCGATAGCCTCGTGATTGACAATTTCGTTCTCCTCGTCAGACATGCTGGAACGGCTTACCAGAATGAAAGATTATTTATCAACGATGCTATCTGATATAGTAAAGGGTAGCACAGAATCACTTCAATCTATAGCGTGTATCAGATGGTGATAATGTAGATACCTGTAAATTAAGATGAATTGTACACACTTATGTGGTTAATCACAACGCTTTTGGGGAGGGGGGAGGGTGGTCTTTTCATTTTTCTTCACGAAATAAATTTTTCGCCTGGGAAACAAAAGGAAAGATTTATCATTGATTACGTAATCCTGTACATGGGTAGATACACATTTGATTACAGTAAAACACTAGCTGCTACACAGATAGTTATACTCCGAAGCAAGCTTGTGATGAGCATCAGCTACACACACACACACACACACACACGCTTGAGCCAGTACATAAGGCAAAGCTATTGCTTGTCATATTGTCGGTTAAGTTTCAAGTTGAACTGTCTGTTCTTTTCGCTGATGTAATTGCCCGCCTCATCATCGGTACGACCTCTTTTTTTGTTAAACTTCCGATCCTTGGAGCCCTTCACAATGGCACTGACTTCCTCCTTTACCTTTTTGTCAACAATGTCGGAATTGTGATCACTCTGACAAGACTTGAGGTAGGCCTCCTTGTCCACTTTTATGTTGTTAATTTCTTTGTAGTATGAGGCTTCTGCCAACTTATCTTGGTCTTGTATACCAGTGTTTAATCGTCTTTGTTGCTTTTCATCCCACGCTTCACATTCCTCTATTGTATATTCCAATATACGTTCATTTTGAGGTAGGCTTTTTCTCGAGTCAGGTTCATAATGATGTGTTGATTTTGATTGAAGCGTGGCTAGTTTTTGCCTTCTTGTTTCTTGTGCCACATCTGCTTTGTTAAGCCTGATTGTTTCTAGTCGTTTGGATTTCAACTGGGTGAACTTACCTAAAAGTGTTGCTAGCGACTCAGATGAGGTGGTGTGTGTGGACTCCGGCATTTGTGGGAGCTAGTGGGAGGATGAGACGAAAAGGAGATAAAGGAGTTGTGTTTTTTTTTTTTTCGAATAAGTGCGGCGCATAGTTGAATTTGAAAATAGGGCTATCACTTTAAATACTAGTCACACCGATGATCTTTCCAAAGTGATATGCTATACAGAGGTAGGCGAGTCAGAAAAGCGATTTAAGAAACAGGAACGTTTACATGCACAACCTGTGATCGTGGTCTATTGTTTTTATTTCTAGTACTTTTGTCGTCTAATACGCTGCCAAACCAGAAACACCCTTATACGAGGGTAACCGCTTACTTGACTCTACAGTGAACAGAATCTTTAAGCAAAGTAACCTCCTGTACTCCCGCGACGATTTGATTCCTCTTTGGTGTGATTTGTCTCCACATCCTTGTCCTGTGTTCCTTATCGAAAAGTCTGCGCCCAGATATCAACACGGAATAGTAACGCTGAAGCTTTTCCGTACTCGCAATTGTATAGAGCTGAATAGCTAAAACTGTGGCTGCACCCCCCCTATGGTTGTGGTGGTGATTGAAAAGATAACAAATAAAACTCAAATGCCCGAAATGCGGAACGGCGACGGATCGAGACCTATTTCGTGCCGTTCAGTAATTTTCGGGGATTGCAGGTGCACGAGGAGGAGAGGCTTTAATTTAAGGTTTAACCCACTGACTTGTATTAGCTTGTGGATGATTTTGCAGCGCCATAGTTATGAGGAAAGTATATTTAAATACCCCTATTCACCCCTTGGAGTGTCAATTCCCAACACTTGATACAAGATCACTTTTTGTTCACGCAATCATAACCCGATCACGTCATACTTTTTTTTTTCCATATATACTAACGCCAAGCGCACGATATGTCCTCAATTACTACAGCCGAAAAGACCAAGGAGCAGAAGTTTCATGATTACATCTTGAATCTACCTCAAGATAAGGTCGACTCTATCAGGGGCAAGCCATTGGAGGTCTTGAAGGTAATTGACGACTATGGGGAACGTTTCATGGATATTGGTCGTAAAAAGGGTGATTTGATCACCGCTGAGATCAGACAAAAGACACCAAAAGTTATGATTGAGTTGGGCGGGTACTTGGGATACTCAGCAGTGTTGTTTGCCAATGAATTGATCCAAGACCCAGAAGCCAAGTATTATAGTTTCGAAGTCAATCCAGAGTTTGCCAAAATTGCTACCGATGTTATTCGCTTAGCGGGGTTATCGAAAAAGATTGAAATAATTGTTGGAAAAGCAGCATATACGTTGGTTGACTTTAAGGAGAGACTTAACAAGAATGCCCAGTTCAAAGCATTGGATTTCATCTTTATTGACCATTGGAAAGACTTGTACGTTCCCGATTTGAGAGAGTTGGAGTCCCTCAACTTTATCGCACCAGGCACCGTGATTACTGCCGATAACATCTTATCACCTGGTGTGCCCGAATATGCAAAGTATGTGAGGTTGTCCCCAGAGGAGAAGAAACTATACAATGAAAACAACCCAAACCCTAACGGTGATGAGTATTTGGGCAGATGGAATATCTTGTACGAAACTGAGACAGTGAAAGTTGAGTATCCTAGTGGTCGCGTTGATGCTATTGAGATTACCAAGTGTACTGACTATCTCTCCGGTTAGAAAGTGTGTTTGTGTGTATGTGTGTGTGTAGTTTTTTATATGAACTAAACAGTTGTTCAAATTTCAAATAAAAAAAAAATGTAGGAGGAGCAAAGCAAAAAACGAAAAAAAGCTACAGTGCTAACATAAGCACCATTGACGAAAATGACCGACTTGACGCCGACATTCAACCAATATGTCAACATTGTGGAGTCTGAACTCAAACCAAAGAGACCACTACATCCAAAAGAGAAACCATTGTATCTAATCAAGGACAACTTCAACAAAGAATGTGTAGAATTTTATCAAATATTGACCAACTTGAGCCAGTTCGTCAATGATATCAGAGCAGAATACCTCGCTGTATCAGACAATGCTTCCAACTCTGCCTCCAAAGACAAAATTGATGAAGAGTTCAACACGCGAGTACAGCAATGTTTCAAGAAACTCGGGGCGTTGGAGTCATACGAGTCAAGGAGACAAAAAATGGTTCAAACAACATTACTGAAACGATGGTTTTTTCAAGAAGACAATGAACAGGATGTCTACTTTGAAACTGAGGCTAGTCACAGACACCAGGTTTTACGATTCTTAATGGAATCCCTTGTCAATTTATCAAAGTCTTATGAAAAGATGCAACGTAAACGAATCCAACGTGAAAAACAGCTAAATTCGCTAAACTTTCAAAACATCAATGATGAATTGGAGAAGGACTTGGACAATTCCAAAATATTCACTAGCTTGGATCGAATTCAGCGAGATATAGAAATGGAGGAGGAGGAGGAGAAGGAAAAAGAACATACCCCACACTTTGAGATGAGCCAGGATCAAATCCAAGAATTGGAATCTGAGAATAAGGAATTGCTCAATTTGAAAACAACACAATTGAATCAAGTGGATAATATCCAACAATCGATTCTTGATATTGTAAACATTCAAAATGAGTTGAGTTTCAAACTTCAAGAACAAGGTGATCAAATAAATAACTTGATGGATACTCATTCGCAAGTGGAGTTGGAAGTGCGAGAAGGTAATCGAACCTTGAACAAGGCAACTAGAAAAAACAAGAGAGGAGCCAACTACTTGGTTACAATTTGTATCGTTTTGGGCTGCCTTGTGGTGATTATAGATTTTCTAAAGTTTATATAGTGGTAATGGGTTGTTGCGGGTCAATTCTAAATTAAAGCTCAGTAACTTTCCCTGCCCCAATCGTTTGCCCTTCTCTCCGGAGTACAATTCTTCCAAGTTTCGAATTATCTTGGTAGGTCGTCAATGGTAACGACGCCCCTCCATCAACTTCAATTTGTACAATTGCATCTTGTTTCGAGGTCAAGTGTAATTGCTTCTTTTTTTTCTTCTTGTTTGAATTTGTAATTTCTATGATTTGGGTGATTCTCGCTGGAACTTGACTGGAGTTTCTAAACAACACGAACGGCATACCTACTAAAAGTGGTTTGTCCATGTTGAACAAATGGACCGAAGCAACAAACAGCTTGACTGTCTTGAGTGAAGAATTCACCTTTGTTACAATATCACCATTACGAACAATATCGATGGACTCGTTTGAAACTTGGCTGCTTTTGAATATCAAAGTGGCCAACTGTCCCGCAACGGTAAAATCGACTGTTGCTTGAGACACTTGTATGGACAGTATTTGCAAATTTTCTTCGCTGGGGTGGAACACGACAGTCTCACCCGGTTGAGCAAATCCACTATTCACTTTCCCAATGACCTTCAAATCACCTTTATCCTTGTAGACGTCATGGACTGAAAAATAAAATGGCTCTTGTGAGACACTCGATTGGATGGGTTTCAGCAATGGTACATTCTCAATGTACTGTCCCAATGTGGGTCCGGAATACCACTGAAACTGTTCAATAGAGGGATCTCTTTTTACCACGTTATTACCTGTTAGTCCGGAAATGGGAATAAAGTCGATCTGCTCTGGCTGGAAATCCACATCCGAGCTTGTCAAAAATTCAAACAACTGACCTTTTATGGTGTCAAATCTATTCTCATTCCAATCTTCTTTATCCATCTTGTTCACAACTACACAAATCTTTTCAATGCCCAAATTCTTGGCCAAAATTGTGTGCTCTTTCGTTTGCCCGTCTAACGCGAACCCGGCCTCAAACTCACCCGTTATTGAATCAACCACCAACAAGGCAAAGTCGGCGTTAGATACACCCCCAATCAACTGTGGAACAAAGTCCCTATGACCAGGTGCGTCGATAGCTGTAAACTTGGTAGTAGCAACTTCAAAGTCGGTGGCACAAATATCCACAGTGACTCCGTGACTCCTTTCTTCTTCTGTCTGGTCCATGATCCATGCCAACGCAAACGACCCTTTACCTATTTTCTCACTCTCCTTGACCAATTTGTTAACAGTTTTAGCGTCGACAATACCATAATCAAACAATAATCTTCCCATGAGAGTCGATTTCCCAGCATCGACATGTCCAATAACCACAAATGACTTGTGACGTTTGCTGTATTGTGGGTTGTTGGCTAGTTCACTCTCAATATCCACTTTTTTGAACGCCTTTGTTTCTTTGACCTTGTTTGCCGTCTTTTCCTTTGGTGGATCATCATCTATTTTCAATGAGCCAACCCCTTCAAAGGCCTGCTTTTGTGCATTTAAAATTTCATCATCTGGAGAAGGCTTGGTGAAGTTGTTTTGCGCCTTGGCCACTTTTTCTAAAGATATGTCAGTAATGGGATGGAATATAGATTCATTCAATCGTCTTCGTTTAGCTTTTCGATCTTCTGATCCGTCTTTGAACCAGAACACAGATACTTCATCAATGGGTGATTTCAATATAATTGAATCGTCCAATGCAATGTCAAACGAAAATGACGGTTGGGAGGTTACAGGTTGTGCAGATGGTCGATGTGATTCAGTAACATCCCGCGCTGGCGTTTCTGCTTTTATATGCTTCTTTCTTAGTATTGATGCACTCGGCAGCCTTGAGGATTCTTCACTCGACGTGGATGTATTTCGTGTGAATTGGTCCAAGATCGAGGCAGATGGTTGTCCCGATCTTGCTCTTGCCAATCGCGCTAGCTTTGATTCTGAGGAAGACGTCCCCACCAGAATTGGTTGTTCCAGTAGGTGGCCACTCGTTCCGCTTTCCCTCTGCTGAGCTCGTAGCTTTGCTAATTGTGCAAGTTTCGACATGAATAACGGTGTATGGATCTTGTGGTTGACAAGAATCGAGTTTCTTTTTTTTTTTTTGTTGCTCTCGTTGCCATTGATGTAAATGAAGACGAATGAATGTTAGTAGATAGTGAAATACATACTCTTGAAGCTGGATTTAAGTTCTTCTATGGACGGTTCTAACTCAAAGTAGTTAAAATACAAGGCCTCCTTCAAAGCTAATTCCGGGATGTCATCGTTGTACGACTTTAACTTTGCTTTCAATTGCGGTAACACCTCGTGTAGTAAATCGTACTCTTCGTTTGTCAACTTGTCTTCATCGAATTGTTCTAGCTCCTCTTGCGAGTTATAGTCTAATTCATCTTCATCGTAATCCATGTCTATGTGTATTGGAGGGACTCTTGTTGAACTGCGTGCCGAAGATGTTGCTCTGCAGTTGTGGTTGGTTCAAACTTTTTCACGACATTCAAATATTTTGCGACTTGCGAAAGTCTTAAACAACGGCTGTTGCACCGAGGCACTCAAAATTGTTACTGTAGTGCAGAAAGTACCAGGTCGCTACCTCATAGTGATACTAAGAGACGATGGGGCACTATCTGTTAGTTGCCTGTATAATGGTGTTGGTTGTACTACTTTGTTTGTTTGTTTTTTTGTATTTCCTACTGCTTTGAGGTAGTGGTTTCAAAATGTAGGGGTATTGGATAACAACATCCAGCTAGTAGAAAAGTTGTGACATATGGATTGCAGTATATTTACATGTTTTACAACTACATACCAACCCTGTAATGGAAGGGTTAGCATGAAGGTCTGTGATGAAAGTCCCTAAACACCTGAGTGTACTGCCAAGTTTCTAGTTGCACCGCAACGCGTTCTTACTCCTTCAATACTAGTTTTTGGACGGCTAATGGGTGCTAGGGTTGCGTGGAAGACGATACTCAAGGGAATGCTACCCAAAGCGTCCAAAACATCATCATCATCAAATTCATCATATTTATCATATTCATTACTTGCGTGTTTGACACCATCAAGTTGTTCTCTGCTAATTGGTAATCCATGTAGTGGGCCCAAGGTGTTTCCTGTACTTTTGTAATAACAATCCAAGAACCCTGCCATTGCAAAAGCAGCATTAAACTCATTTTCAAGCAGTGCTGGTACCTCAGTGCAATTGTTCACCACAAGATGCTTTTTGATAAAGGCTATCACTGTCTCAACTGCTGATAACTTGCCACTTGACAACTTCAACGCAAGAGCATCGGGTGGTATCACCGTAATGTTGAACTCCTTTTCGCTAATCAACGACTCATTCAAGTATTTGTGGTCAGCCAAATGTTCACAAAACTTCCCCAAGTCCATTGCTGATTTATGTATGTTGTTGTCACCACTCTCTATCTAGTATGCTGCCTTTCGCTTCTGCACTTTACTGGTAGATGGGCTTTCTGGATTGTTTGAGATATATCGTCGTATTTATGTTAAGTACATCGTGGTAACCGGTTGAGAAAAAGAATTGGTGATGTCACCTCAAAGCTGCAAAAGAAAAGAACAATGCTTTTTGTAAGCGAATGAACTAGATAATATTCTCAAGGTGAGAGGTGACAGGTTTTTACTCGACGGGGAGTGGTTCTAAAGGTTGCATGAGTTGCACAAATGTGACTTCATTGAAATGCAAAAAAAAAAAACAAAAGAAATTGCAAAAGATTATTTTAAAATACAACATCAATACACAAACAACAAAGAAAGCCACAAACGTTAAAACATCGATTTTCTCTTGAGACATTAGGGCTCAATCCCTCCCCCCAGGAGTATCCACAGTCAGATTACAACACAATCTAGTAGTTTTCTTTTTTTTTATTTTTATTTTCTTGTAGTGAAAACAGCCCGCCCTTGCATTTGACTGCTTCGCCTCTTTAATTGTGACATTGAGGTTTCGTCAGGTAAGTATGGTCAAGAGTTACATCATAAGAGCGGCAAAGAAACACAAATTGCTTTAGTTTACAGTACTGTGAAGTCTTTTGAAGTATCACCATCTAAACTTTGTGTAAACTACATTGAATCTAAAAATAAACTGTTACCGCGAGCAATGGCTGAAGAGTTCAACCAGAATCTGCAAAAGACACCGATGAAAAGCTACACGATCGGAGTTAGCAATTCACAAAAAGTAGTTGTTAGAATGGCACCTAAGTAATCACGGTCATCGCCTAAAACCATTAATTCTGAAGCTTTAACAAGTCGACACCAAGATACTCCACAATTGCTTTAGAGGCTGCAACCACCCCCTCATCGCAATATCTTCTGCCGCTTAACTGAAGTGCAATCGGAGCCCCAGCAAACTGGTTAGGATCGTAACCTCTATTCTCTAACTCCTCCATACCGCTTCTGTACTGGTAGTTCAAATCCTCTTTAGTCCACACATCAATCTTTGGATCTTGAAACAAGCCCGTTTGAAATACCAAACTTGGAAAATCAAGCAAGTTGTAAATCAAAGTGTACGACTCGTTGTAAACCTCTTCTGATTTAGGAGCAACATTGTTATAAACTGGACCAAGGAAGAAATCGATATTGTTCTCCAAAAGGAAGTCACTATACTCTTCCCTTAGTTGGTCTCTGATCGCATTCAACTTTCGATTTTCATAAACTGTGTACTCTTTAGCCCCATCACCCTCATTCAAGTACCACTTTGTCAACCTAGGCAATGGCTCCCCAGAAGCCGCAAAGTCCTCTCGCAAAGCTCTATTACCGTCACAGTTGGATAGCTTTGTGGCAACATCATAAGCCAATCTTCCCTTTTTTGGCACAAACTCGATTATTTCCACACCAGCCTGCTTCAATTTCTCAACAACTTCATTCAATCCTCTGCGTATTGGTGGTGACACTCTACACACGCCATCATCTCTGACAACAGCAATTTTCAACTTGGACAAAGAGGGTGCAGGAACACTGCGCCATGGAATCGGCAAGCTCCAGGGGTCGTGGAGCCAAGGTGTACCCACATTGATGTACAGCTTCATAAACAAATCAATATCATCAATAGTCCTCGACAACGGACCAATTACACCAACAACACTTTCTTGACCCCCTGACTCTCCAACAACTCCTCTTGCCGATATCCTTCTTGATGTCGGTCTTAGGCCATGACATCCCGAAAATGCTGCTGGAGATCTTATAGAACCGCCAATATCTGAACCCACTCCAAGGACACTTCCACCAAAAGTAACGATTGCACCTTCTCCTGAGGAAGAGCCACCGCTTGATAAAAGAAGATTGTATGGACACTTGGTAAATCCAGTTATATTGTTTCCTGAATCTAAATGCAACAACGATTGCGGCTCGTTGGTCCTGACGTAATATACCGCACCTAGTTTGTAAAGAACGGTTGCAGTGATGGCATCTTTATCGGCAATGTTATCTAATAATGACACAATTCCCGAGTGGCCGATTCTTCCCTTGAGAGAGATATGCTCCTTTAAGGAGATTGGCAAACCATGAAGAGGGCCCACTGTCTTTCCGTGGGTTTTGAAATATTCGTCCAACTCCTTGGCTCTGGCGAGCCCTTCGTCAATGAAGAATTCAACCGCACAATTTGTAAATTGATGAGCCAACACAGCTCGTTTTGCAAAGGCTTGAAACACTTCAACAGATGTCCACTGCCCTAACGCAATCTTTCCTACAATCGAAGTTCCTGGACAATCGGTTATTTCAAACTCACGAGGGGACAACAACTTTTCATCGTATAGATATTTCAATGCATTGAATTGATCAGCTTGCAATTTTTCGATTGGTTCAGGAAGTTCCACTTTGAGCTCTTGTGGTATTGATTCATCTAGTCTTTGGCGATATGCTTTGATCTTTGGAATCCATTTCTGGAACTTCTCTGGATCTTCATATCCAGACAAATCATCCTTTGTGAGCAAGGAATGGAAAAGCTTGTCAAGGTCTGGATCAATTGGCATGGTGTATGGGGCACAAGCGTGTAGTTAAAGGGCGTTCCTCTAATTCTTGGAAAAAATGGACAAGTGTATACTGTTATATGTAGTTGAGCGATTGGTTTTGTGGAGAGGCTCCTGGCTAGCGGAAATGAACTTTCCTTTTTCGGCGCGGAATTTTATACCGGTTTGAGAGCATAAAGCGGACAATGTTTCCCGCTATTCCTGTCAAAAACGTTCTAAGCGGGATGTCAAACGTTCATGACCTTTTGAGTAAACGGATTCCGCCTCTGTGTAACAAATTACCAGTAACAAGTAATACAACTTTCTTACTGATTACCTAAAAACTTTACATGTTCACGATAATCATATTCAATTCACAGAATGGTACATTTTTTGATTTTAGTCAAATGTAACGCGCTATCTATTTCAAACAGATCAATTGAGTAGATTAACCTTTAAAATATCGTCGACAATAAGCTTACCAGCAGCAACAACCTCCTCATCGCGATACCTTCTTCCACTCAACTGTAACCCAATTGGAGCGTGTTTGAACTCCTCTGGTTTATAGTTGCTATTTTCCAACTCCTCCAACTTGGATCTGAATTTGTAGCTCTTATCTTCATCAGTCCACACATCGATTTCCGGATCCTGTTTTAATCCTGTTTGGAATGCTAACGTTGGGAAGTCCAAGATATTGAATAAAGCAGTGTATGACCAATTGTAAACCTCACCTGGACGTGGCGCAACGTTGTTATAAGCTGGGGACAAGATGAAATCAATCTTTTTCTCAACCATCAAATCGTTGTACTCGTTTCTCAAGGCATCTCTAATCACATTCAACTTACGATTCTCTTGTATGGTATAGTTTCTTGCACCGTCTCCATAATTCAAATTCCACTTGGTAAGTCTTTGCAATGGCTCACCACTTTTTGCCAATAACTCGCGTTGCTTCTCATTACCATCACAGTTGTACATTTTGTTGATTGTTTCGTATGCCAATTTAGTATTTGGTGGATCAAGTTCTATAATTTTCACTCCTGCTTCTTTCAACTTTTTGGCCACAGTATCAATTCCACGTCTGATAGGTGGTGATGGTCTCACCAACCCATCGTCTCTAATGACTGCAATAGTCAAGTCTTTGGCTTGCGGTTTGGGAACATCTCTCCAAGGCATGTACAATGACCAGGCATCATAATCCCATGGATGGCCATTGTTTATATACGTCTTCATCATGTATTCAATGTCACTGATTGTTCTAGTCAACGGCCCATACACAGCTGGAACTGACTCTTGACCAGCACCCGAGGACACACCTCCTAATAGTGATAGTCTTCTTGTAGTTGGTCTTAATCCATGACACCCTGAGTACGCAGCAGGTGCTCGCACTGAGCCGCCAATGTCTGATCCAATGCCAATAGCTGACCCACCAAACGCAACCACTGCTCCTTCTCCTGAGGACGAACCACCACTCGATAACGCAATGTTGAAAGGACATTTAGTCTTTTCCGAAAAGTTGTTTCCTGAGCACAAATGCATCAAGGTTTGCGGTTGTGTGGTTCTGATGTAAAATACCGCCCCCAAATCTGAGAGAATTTGTGTTGTCACCGCATGCTTAGCTGGAATGTTGTCGATCAATCCCACGTACCCAGCATGTGTGATCTTTCCTTTATATCCTGATTGCTCTTTCAAGGATATTGGAACTCCATGCAACGGTCCAATAAGTTTCCCATTTTGCTTTTGGTAGTCATCCAACTTTTGCGCATGCTTCAATCCTTCATCAACAAACAACTGGTGAGCACAGTTTGTAAACTGATGAGCAATTGTTCCTCTATGTGCAAACGCTTTGAAAACCTGCACTGCAGTCCATTTCCCATCTCCAATGTTTCTCACAATTTCAGTGGCAGGCGAGTCTGTGATTTCAAACTCCTCGGGTGTGAGTAGCTTGTGCTTGTATAGGTAGTCAACAGCATCGAGTTGCTCCTCTACCAACTCCTCAATTGGTTTCGGAAACTCAACCTTATACTCGTCTAAAATTCCCTCTTCCAATGCCTTCTTGTACTGTTCAATTTTGGGAATGTACTGCTTGAACTTTTCTGGATCCTCGTATCCCTCAAATGTCTCTTTGGTCAAAAATGATGCAAACAAGGAATCATCGTCTTTTGAAACGTGTGCGGTCATGGTAATGTGTGGAAAATAAAAGCTCTTCTGTATGATGACAGTCAAGCCAACTTTTCAAGGAATCTAGTCCCTTCTTATATAGTGTGGGCCCTATCACTCATATACTTGGCACTATTGTTGAAAAGAAAAATTAGCGCATTTCAATTATTGCCTATTTGGGAACAGTGGGGGGGTTGGACAAGAGATAAACAGAAAAAGCGCCACAGAATCTTCTGCATTTATCTCTTTAGATAATATCGTCCAACTTTCATTACGCAGGATACTAGTGCATGCATAACAGAGCACTGGCACATCTTGCAAGTAGTAGAAAGATTAACTGTAACTGGCGACACGTCTGCACGAAGAAATACGGCATCTCTATAATGGTGAGCTGTTCGCAGTAGACCTGTCAATTTCGTAATTGCCCCGCCTTTAGCGGGTAATTGCGCTACCTGAAACTCTGTACCGCTTCCAAAAAACGGAGTCAGTTCAGTATCTTTCAACGCGTATGCTATCTACTTGTGGGATTCCAAGTTATTAATTGTATCAATTGACCTCTAAACCACCATTAAGAGTGTGCTTTATTTCCTGATATCCGTATTCTCACAAAAGAATTATGCCTTGAGCTGTTTTTGCTCCTATCTCGGTGCAAAATATTTTGTAGCTGCATTGTAGTGCTGGAGAATTGCCAGGATTGGTCTTACGGTAGGTCTACTACCTACATTTTCATGCAAAGAGCCTCTTGATAGGAATTTGAGTGGGAAATTCATTTTGAAAACCCTCTTGTGTCTTCAGTAAGTATAACACAAAAGATCAGTTTTCTCGCCACTCAAACTTCAAAATGCTCCTTCTTTATGTCAACTCAATTGCAACAACAACATCAACAACATCATCATCATCACCACCAGATGTTTGACGACCACACAAATGGCATAATCGCTGAGATTTCTTCCAGCCACGAAGCAAAAACACAAATTGACGAGAAATTGATCGACAATTACATCCTTACTTTGGATACAGAAACTACACAACAAACATCATACTTTCAGACAATTATCCCCCTTATCAACCAGACCTTACTCGATAGCCAGTATGCCGAGATTGATCCCACTGGGATCTTGCTTAAGCTTTTGGAAAAGATTTTATCTTTTATCAACTTCGAAGAGGTGCTTCAGTTTTACCCTCCCGAGTTCATTATACAAAATTTATTCACGTCATCGACAATTAGTATCTTGTGTTTAAAGATATTGACGTTGAATTTGCATCAATCACAAGCGCAGGAGTTTATCTCGTCCAACAAGATTATACCGCAGCTATTGCGAGTATTTTTTGAAGAAAACACTCCGATATCCGTGTTGAACCTGATTGAAGCATTAGTTTCAGCATTTAACTCCAGAGAAGTGCATCTATTAAAAGACGGCGAAGAGACTCTATATTTAGTAAGAAAGCTGGACAATGCTGTCCTTTTAGCTCGATTATTGGATCTAGTTTCAATATTGGTGGAGAAGGAAGATGTCGATGCAAAATTGTACAATTTTGACTTGGAGGAGATAGTTAAATTTGGTGATGACCCGTTGTTTTCAATTCTTTTAATTCAGTTCTATGTTAACATGGTTGGAGTTTGCCTCATCGATGGTTCAATTGCGAACGTGTTGACTTTATACAAAAAAGGGGACTTGGATGACTTAGTCGTGCCAGAGGTGGCTGATCTCATTCTGAAAATGAGCTACAACAACTATGACTCGGTCTTGGCCACCTTTGAGGTATTCAAAAGCTATAACTTTATTAAGATTTACGAAAAAAATGAAGTGGAGATTAGGCTCCTTTCCAATTCTAATCCCAACGTTGTCTACAAACTCAACCCATCCATTTACGACGATGTGTTGAAGAACTTGCCACTTTTTGATCGAGAATTTCTTCCCATTCTACTCAATTTTGTTGCCTCGTTCCAAGTATGGACCTTATTGCAACCGAAAGTAACCAATGAGAGATTAGAGTCTTTGTCCAGGGATAAGTTGTTTTTGTTACTTTTGGCTATGTCAAAATATACCCACACAAAGGAATATCTTTTTAACAACTTGCCAAACATAATGAACAATGAAGTTATTGAGTCCGATATTAGAAATACCGATATCTGGAAGCTAAAGCTCGAAATTCTTGAAAACTTGAAGCAAAGCGATGACATTCCTGGCTATCACTACTGGCAATCAAAGATCGAACAAAGTTACAACTTGATGAAGTTTGGACAGAGCTACAAACACGTACAGCCCAAAGTGGAAGTAATCGATGATGCATTGTAATTGGTTAATAAACATGTTTACTTCGTAAGGTTGCCACATCTCCTCTTTCTCCTTTACTTTCTTTTCATCCTTTGTGCGTTCACGATTTCAACGCCTGCTTCTTCCTGGCCCGTTTGACTGCCCAGTTCGATACAAGTACCAACAAGACGTTACCCACAACTATCCAAATGATCAACACCCCCAAGTTTCTCCCCAAATGTCCCTTCCAAGTGTCAAAAAATACCACCTTCAATGCTTCGTAAATATTGTACATTGGCATGGCATACCCAAACTTGTAAAACCCAGGCATCAAGACAAAGGGAGCAAACGTTGCTGAGATGTTGGAGACAATGTTGAAAATCATCCACGGCGCCATCAAAATCTGCTGCTCAAAGGCCATAATTATCAGCACCACAACTTCATTTATAACTCCCACTGCACTAAGGTATAGGTACATAAACATCCAGAGTACAACAAATCCAGCATGGCCAAATGCAGCTTCTGTAGGAATTTTCAATGCAATTGTCATCAACCCGTAAACCAATGCTAATAATAGCGCATTCAATTGTGATACAATTACGCGGTAAAACACGTATGAGCGGTATTTTAGTCTCTCCCTCATTATTCTGTAGATCTCCAATGAGAAGTTGAACTGGTTGAAGGAAAACAATAGCGCGTAAATGAGACCCAACTCTGAAGGACCTAGAATCGCTGAATTTGATGATGATCTGTTGTCAACAAAATTGAGAATAGGAAATGTCGTAAACACTGGAATCGATGTGTTTTGAAGTAGATTTTGTTGTTGAGTAGGCGATAAAGACCGGATAATCTCGGGATACACTACATTACTGAGCCGAGTATTCCAACCAAATGCAACAGCATTCAAGTTTCTTATAAAATACTGGTTCAACGCTGAAAAGTGGCGCCCGCTCTCGTATACCGCTGTGACTGTTTGATTAATCTGCCCCAGCGTCATGTAAGTTGCATTACCTGACGTAAAACTTTCGTAAATGAGCTGTGTTGCATTTGGTTTAATATAAAAGCCCAGCCAATATTTCTGATGATGTATTTGTCTCACGAGCTCTTCGTATAGCGTATTGTTGTGAGAGTCCGCCAAATTACGAAACTCGGTTGTATTTGCAACCTTATAATTGCCCAAGCGACTGAATACTGGCCCTTGTATGAGGCCAATGAACTCGTTCGATATGTATGGCTGTATCTGGGTTCCATTAACCGCAAAAGATGAATCTTCATTGACAATCAACATGTCGACATTTTGAAACCTATCCTGTCGCTTGTACAAAGTACCCCAATAGAGACTCAAAAAGCCAACGTAGATGCAAAACACTTGGACATAAGCCCATATGAATTTCGGCGCTGCGTGTTTATACTCGCTCAAACGCTCTTGGAATGTAAGCTTGATTGAGCCAACCAGTTGTCTTGGCTTGGTGGACTCTCTACGGGCTGATTGCTCTTTCGCCAATACTGCTCCAGCAAAACCACCTGGTCGCGGCGAATTCCCATCACCAGCGTCTTTGTTGTCGTGGAGTGGTTGTTGTTCTTCCAGATTGGAAGTACTGTCGTTTTGTGTCTCTTGTACATCCAATGGGTCAATGGACTCTGACTTGGATATTGTTGACATCTGCAAAAGAGTGGAGCTGTTCTACCTGCAGTTGCAAATGACTCAATAGTGGGGTTGTTGTTGTTGAGAAAGAAAGAAAAGTAGTCTTTAGAGATGCTATTTTAAATGTGTGTATTTGCTTTGTAAATTTCATCGAAGAAAGTTTACTGATCACAGAAAACATAAACAATACAATTTTTGTGTCACATTCATCACAACTATCAGGTACAGCTACGCCGTATCACCAATCTCATTTGAGGTTACACTTTAAAAGGCTCGGAACAAGCTACCAAGCTTTCTACACCAAAGCTTCTCTCATTTCTGTCCCTGGACTTGGGTTACTTTGAGAGAATTATGAACCTTCTGATTGGACAAAAAGCGTGCTCTAAATTTTGTTTTTGTGTAGCCGCCTCAAAATCTGCATTTTTAATGTTTTTGTACAATGACAGCTCAACTCAAAACATATAGACATTGGTCCACATTTGTTGTTCCTCTCTTCCAACACTTCGAACCGCATTCTTGAATGGCGTCCAACACATCACTCAATTCTCGCGCATCAAGTAGCAGCTCGCTAGAGGAGCCACAGGCGTACGTTGGTCCTGCTGCAGCGAGCACATCCAATCTCAAACAATCACGAACGAGGCGCTTGTCCAGTGCTGCTTCCAATTTGTTCTCAATCAATAAAGACGACAGTGACAGTACTGGTGACTATGACAATCGAGAGGACGAGAGTTTGATCCAAGATGTTGCAAATGACTACTTTAACTCAAAAGATGCCGATTACGTCTTGGGTGCCGATCACCCAGTACCAACCGGTGACGAGGGAGCACCCAAGTCGGAAGAGTTGGAATCGGTTCATCTGTATCACCCAGAATTGTATACAGAGGAAAAACCAGCGGCAACGGAGTCCCCACAAAAGCAGCCAGTAAAATACAAATTATGGGACAAGGAGTTCAAAGCCACGCGAATTCAAATCGGATTAAAGCTTTTATCAAATTATGCGTTTCTACTCGTTGGTTTTGCAGGTGCATTGTTGCTTTACTGGGCATCCTATTACGAGCGGAGCACGCGATACAAACACTTGAAAATGGCAATTGTTATCGCTGATCGTCAAGTAGGACAATTACCCAACATTGTAGGGCAAACAATCCAGTCATATTTCACAAATGTCCCAGCTTTACAACAATTGGGCAAGTTTGAGATATGGGACTATGACAAAGTCTCCTCACAAGCGGCCAAACATGGACACAACATCACCCAAGAAGTCTATCAACAGGTGCAGCATCAAAAAGTGTGGGCTGCGTTTTATGTTTACGAAAATGCAACGCTCATGTGGAACCAAGCGTTGTCAGCAGCCTCAACAGAATTTGACCCATCAAACTCTTTAATGGAAGTTGTTTACGAAACAGGACGGGATTTGAATGCGGTACTGAATTATATTATAACCCTTGTTCACCAAATTTTGAAGGCGTACCCCAATTTTGCTTCACAGAGTCAGATTGTCGCCAACATGCTCCAAACGGTGAACCAGACACAGGCGGTAAACGTAATGTCACAAGCTCCTCAGTTGATTTCAACAATCCCTACATTCAGAATCAACGATTTGCATCCCGTGACTAACCTTGTTTTTCAAGCACCCTTTCAAATTGGGTTGATTTATCTTGTTGTGTTTGGGTTTTTCCAATTCATCTTCACACTCAAAATCCACATGTATTTGGCCTCAAAGATTAAAGGTTGGAACTACATTGTTTTCCGCCTATTGTCATCGCAAGTGGCGTACATGTTTATATCGTTGGGTATGGTTGTTTTGAACACAGCGTTCCAATTACCGTTCACCACTACTTTTGGCCACTCTGGTTTTTTGGTCATTTGGATGTTTAGCTACCTTTTGATGGCATCATTGGGTAGTATTATTGAAGTCTTGGTGATTATTATGTTTGCAGTGAAACCTCAATTGATTGGGTTTGTATTGTTGTTTACAGCAGTCATCAACTTAGCTCCCATCATAAGCCCACCAGTGTTGACTCCTCCGTTTTACTACTATGGATATGCTGTGCCATCTAGAAATGCTTACGAGTTGCTACATGTTGCTTATTTCAATGCGTACAAGGGACACATGGGGAGAAATATTGGGGTGTTGTTGGCGTGGATTGTGGGAAGTAACGCCGTGATGCCGTTCATGTTGAAATACCTTGCAAAGAAAAAGAAAGAGGCTGACGAGAAACAAGCAATTGCAAATCAATGATTTGATTAAAGTTTGAGTACTCCACTTATATATTAACCCAAGTGTTACCGCAAATGCACGTTCTTTGGAAAACCATAGTCCATAATCCCACGGTTGTGATTGACTCAAATACAAACGGGTCCGTGACCAACGACACCGATCGGCATCTTGTGCATCTTCTGATATTGCCATCGTAGATGTAAATTTTCCTCAATGCATCTATATCATGATCAAGTTTCAATCTGGGGATCACTTTCTTGTCCGAAGATTGGTCATAGATGATTGATGAATCTTCCAAGGACTCAACAGCCCTATTAAAACCAATATTTAACCATTCTGTGTTGTAAAAGTACAATTCGGAAACTTTCATTTCCCGACCGATATTGTGCGCATATCTATCCACCAACATCCGTGCGATATCCTTTACGTCATCGGAGATGTTCCCCTGACAAACTAACTTTTGTTCAACTTTCAAAGAATAGCCCTTTTCTTTGGTGGCTAGCCTTGTAGCAAACTCTTTTGTGATTAATGCATCGCATTCGCGAAGATACTGTTCAAACAAACTCAAAGTCAATGGAGCACTGGAACATACAGTGAAATACCTATTTAATGCCTCCTTCATTGGCGTGAAAAGCTTGTTACTCTCGGCCAAGTCCTTGTGCAATTTCTTCAAAATTTCATGAGTTTTACCCATGGACGATATTGCATACATGAGAAACAATCGGGGCACTTTGCTCAAAATGACCGGCAACACAACTGAATTGTCAAGAGTAAGCTTGCTGTTTTGAGCATCATTTTTGAAATACGAAAGCTGCAATAGTTCTTGATTGAAGTAAGCCATCAAATCAATGAGCCATTTTATGTTTCCAATTAGCGATACAATGCACTCGCCTCTGACAACAGAGTCTTGTAAAGTATCTTCACTGGGCTTCTTTTTCGAAATCTGGCGGTATACACTCGAAAGTGAAAACATGATCCCAAAGTTTGTGCTTCTCAAATTCAATACAATCCATGCGATATCTGACATCACCGAGTTACTCTGTGCTTCACCTAGTATAAGCTGTAATGAAAGAAGCTTTTGCAATGGTGGGTTCGACAATAGTTTATCGACAGACTCCTTGCTAAAGGCATCCAATTGGAAATTGATTGACTTGTGAGCCTCGCTAATTATCGAGTCAACAAACTTCTTAACCATCAACTGAATGCTGTCATTCTTCTCGGGCATCTGCTCAAGTAATAATGAGCGAAGCCTTTTCACCTCTGATTGAATTAATATAATCAAATCGTCCGTAAAAGTGTTTGTGTAGCAAGCGTATGCATGTCTATATGCTAAGGCAACAGAGGTGGCAAATAGATCCCGTGGCTGGAACCCAGAATTGCGTACTTTTTCCACAGACCTAAATGTCAAAAGCTCGGTACCGTTGTACACCTCTGTATACACAAACGAAGTCATATTTGGCGACACGGCCAAGATCAATGGATTTTCATGCTTGATTTCGGGGAATGCAAACCCAACATCGAACACAGTCGATATTGTAGGCGGTGGAAACTGTTCATTCAATGTGTTGACAACTTTCCATGTTTTTGTATCAAGGACATCTATATGTCCATCTTCGTACAATATCAAACAATGTAAATCTGAAGGTCCACTCAAAATGGACTGCACCCTCCCAGTTCTAGATAATTTTTCCTTTAATTCAATTGTGATAAACGATTGATCCTTTCCGGATTTACTTCCGCCCAACTCATTGAATGCATCAGGTATAAGCTCTGCAGTATCGACAAGTTCGTATCTGTATATCTCAACTGCTCCGTAACTGATTAGAATACTCAACTTGGAATATTTTTCCAGAGCCGCTGATACAATATCAATGGACGATAGCGAGCTGAGTAAATTCTCCCTGTACTCTGGCAACGGTTTCATGGTGTAAATCTTTACAAGACTCAACAGTGGGGGGGTTTGGTTTTCTTTTGGCGTATGGTAATGAGGATCAGTTTTCTGCCTTCTTGCCGACTCTACGAGATACCCCCAGTCTATGGTCACCAAATAGGTGGAAATCTCATTTGTCAATTGGTCGTATGCAGTGATGACAATCTGTTTATCATTGGCAAACCCAATTGACGCCTTGCTAATCATCAACGAGATATCGCTCAATGTAATTGAAGCCTTGTGATACTCCACCTTGTGCTCACCTTGATAATACAACATGAAAGTCCCATTTCTTCGTAGTGCTAAACAAGCTTGTTTGGTTGGGATAGGATGCAGTACACCATGTGGTGCAAGCTGATTCACGCCATACGTGTATATGTACGATTGGTCCAAATTCACCAAGCTCGCAGGCTTGTTTAAGATTTGTGCTTTTTCGATATTGAGCCACTTGAATGCGATGATTGATGCTCCGGGATTGATGGGTGACTTTATGTCCTGATTTATGACATCTCGGTAGATCATCTCCATGTGGTTGTACGAAGTCAATTCGTAACTCGGTGATGCATCTTTCGAGTCCACCATTCCCACACCAGCTAGTAATATGTAGAAATTTCCATACACATCAGACACTGCCAAGTCTGTGCTAAGAGTACTCCAGCATACTAATGATATTTCAGGCAGGAAGTTGTTCTCTAGTTTAACTTCGATAGGTTGTGGTGGTGCCAATTTCCATGACTGGCCGTCAATGTTCTCGAGGTAAGTTAGAAATAAATTGTGTTTGGAGACTTTGCATGGCGATGTGTAAACAATGAGGCCATTTTTGGACCAGGATATCAAGGAAGATGTCCTTTGCACATCCTCTAAATGCACATTGACAGTTGCCTCAGTCATGTGGTTAAGTTGAGGTAGGGTGCAGTGGGGGGGGGGGGGTATGTGTGTGTGTGTCAGCAGTGGAGATTATTACAGAGTTCCGTTCGCGCTTAATACAATTTTTTTTCTTTTTTGTTTTTTTTCAATTTACAAAAAATCAATTCACTATTTCATTTTCCTTCTTTATATATCTACAAATCTCCTGGTACTGGAAATTGACTTGCCCATTGAGCAACTTCATCGCCCAACTTCTTAACCTCTGCACTTTCATCAGCCAAGGATTTGAAGCTGGCCAATAATTCTTTTGGTACTTTTCCTTGCTCTTTGCTCTTCAAATCAACGGCAATGGCTACTGCTTGGTCAATAAAGTCGGCAACCCTCGAGAACTCATCAAATCCAAACCCCCTCGTGGTCATGGCTGGTGTACCAACTCTCAATCCTGAGGGGAAAAGGGCGCTCTTGTCACCCGGAATAGTGTTTTTGTTGGCTGCAATGTTGGCCCTTTCCAAAACAGCCTCGAGTCTGGCTCCGTCAATGTTTTTTGAGTTCAAGTTGAGCAAAATTAAATGAGTATCAGTTCCACCAGAGACTAACTGGAACCCTTTGGACTCTAATGCATCTGCAAAGTGTTTTGCATTGTCGACAACTTCTTGTTGGTATTGCTTATACTCTGGCTCAGAACATTGTTTCAATGCAACAGCCAATGCAGATATGGTGTGGTTATGTGGACCACCTTGATGACCTGGGAAAACGGAAAAGTTGATCTTTCTTTCCAAATCGTATGGGATTTCTTTTCCCTTCTTGGTTACTTTCCTGATCCCTTTCCTGAAAAAGATCATGGATCCTCTTGGACCTCTCAAGGATTTATGGGTGGTGGTGGTGACAATGTCTGAGTATGGGAAAGGTGAGTCCGTGACACCAGCAGCGACGAGACCCGAGATGTGTGCCATGTCCGACAACAAGTAAGCGCCAACCTTGTCGGCAATCTGTTTCATTCTTTTGTAGTCAATAACTCTTGAGTATGCAGATGCACCAGCAACAATGATTTTTGGTCTAAAAAGTTCGGCATTCTTCTCCAAAGTATCGTAATCAATCACTCCTGTTTTTTCATTTAGTTTGTAGGGCATGGTCTGGAAATATTTTGAGACAAATGAAATTTTCGTAGTGTTGGTTTGGTACCCATGAGACAAATGACCTCCGTGGGGCAAGTCCAAACCCATAATTCTGTCGCCAACCTCCAAGACTGCTGAATAGGCATACAAGTTGGCGGGTGCACCGGATAATGGCTGTACATTAACTCCCCATTCCTCAGGGTTCAAGTTGAACGCTTCCAAGGCTCTCTTTTGACATAAGGACTCGGCCTTGTCAATGATTTCATTACCCCCATAATATCTTTCCCCTGGGTAACCTTCGGAGTACTTGTTTTGCATTTCAGAACCCAACAAGTCCATAACAGCTTTCGAAGTAAAATTTTCAGATGGAATCAAAGTAATGGAATTCTTTTGTCTGGTCTTTTCTTGGTTCAAAATGTCAGCCATTTCAGGATCAATTTCTTGAACTGGCTTCGACAACAAGGCTTGTGCCTTGCTCGAGACAGCATAGCTTCTCCTGGCCACCGATTGGATAGCAAGTCTCTGTGTCTTTAAAGCACGAATTGAAATCATTATGGTGTATGTTTAGGCAAAGATGACCAACACCAATGGAGAGCTGAAAAAAAAAAAAAAAAACAAAAAAAAAAAGAACAAAAAAAAAATTCAATTCATTGATGAAAAAGAAACCCGCTTTCGGGAGAAAATCACGTGATTCTTACCGGAGTCAAATTCTTTAACTGAGTCAAAAAAAAGAAACAAGGAAAGTCCACTTTCCCTCACAGAGTCACTTGTCGGATGGTATGAGTTAACCCACAGCTGCTAGACTCCGAACAGAATGGTAAGCTAGTGAACCAAGAATCTTCCCATAGACGAGAAATTGTGACTCTTTTCTCCACATCAGGTTCAAGTATCTGACTCGTGATTTCTGACCCCTCATTGATGAATTGTAGTAGGTTTACCGAGCTTGAATACGCTCGATAGTGCGGATCATTCCGATGGGCTTGTTTCCAAGGAAACTTACTATGCATCAAGTAGTACAATATTATCCCCATAGACCAGATATCCAGTGCTTTCCCATCATACTTTATGCTTGCATAGGTTTCTGGGGCAGCGTACTTTTCTGACCCGACCAATCCAACCGAGGGACCACCATTTGCGGCATCAGCAGCAGCAAAATCGATAATTTTCAAGAACTTGTACTCCTCATCAAACACGATATTTTCCAACTTCAAATCACGGTGACAAATGCCTCGACTGTGTAGGTAGAGGATTCCCAGGCAAAGCTGTTTCCAGAAGCAAAATATCTCTGACACTTCCAAATGTTTCGACGCGAGGAGCTTTGAAAGATGTGGTGTACCTGCCATCATGTACAATTTCACTGTGGAGTCTAAGAACAGTGCTTCATATTTGTAAACGGGTATGATGTTGCAGTGGTGTAAGTCAAGGAGGATGCGGTACTCGTGTAGCACTCTGTCGCGATGTTCCTTCTTTGTCTCGTACTTTTCCCTTGTGTGGTATATCTTCACCGCATACCTGGTGCCCCCCTTCGATAGACATAGCTCGACTCTTCCTGACACTCCCTTTCCCAACAAACCTACTCTTTTGTCAAACCTGGAGATTTTTGGTGTTTGCATCAAACACTGTGTGTTACGTGATATGTTATAATCTTTCAGATCGCGTTAAGAAAACAAAAAAAATTAATAATAGAAAATTTATCTTCTACACTGTGTCTCTACAAATTCTTGAAAGCTTCGTGAAAGAATGCTCTATAAGGGTGTTGTTCACCAATCTGGTTAATTCCATCCACTTCCTCTTTAGTCAATTCGAAATCAAACACTTCCAAAGATTCTTTCAATCTATTTTCTTTGGAGGATGTTGTAACTGGCAAAATACCTCTTTGCAATGTGTATCTCAACAAAATTTGAGCCTCTGTTTTGTTGTACTTCTCAGCCAATTTCTTCAAAGTATCAGCGAGAGCATTGTCTTCAACCCTTGATAATGGTGCCAATGGTGAAAAAGCTTCAACCAAGATGCCATGCTTTTGTGAAAACTCAACAATATTCTTGGATTGATTTTGCAAAAAGGGGTGAAATTCAATTTGGTTTGCCACAGGGTAGAATTCAGGACTTGGTGAAGCTGCAAAGAGTCTTTCCAAATGAGGTATGGCTGCATTTGAAACCCCAATTTCTCTCACTTTACCCTCCTTTTTAGCTTCAACTAAAGCTTCCCAAACTTGTTCCAAATTGTAACCATGGGTGTGCTCTTCCGTGAAAAAGGGTGAGTGAATTAAAAACAAATCAATGTAGTCAACACCAAGTTGCGACAATGCTTTGTCGATGGAGTCCTTGGGAGACTTGCTGTACGCTTTGATAGATCCCCAGCCAGGACTGTATTTGGTGGTGATCCAGAGGTCTTCTCTAGGAATATCAGTCTTTTTCAAAGCTTCGCCAACTTCTTTTTGAGTGTTGTAGGCCTCAGCAGTGTCAATGTGTCTGAATCCCAACTTCAATGCCAAGAGAATGTTGTCTACCAACTCTGAACTGATGTCGTTGATGTCTTGATTTTGTTTCCATTTGGTACCAGTACCGAGAGCAATTGAGACTTCTTTACCAGACTTGGTGTGGAATACTCTTGAAAGTGGACTAGATTGGGTCATCGTTGGTTGAAAAAAGGGAAAAGGCAGAGTGTAATTGTATTGACAATTGGTTCAGTATTTGTAATCTCGAAAATTGATTGATTTAGCATCCACAGTTTTTTTAGTTTTTTTGTTCATTTTTCATTTCTTTCGTGTCGTAATATCCTGCATATAAGTGGCGGAATATAACCAGCTATCAGGACTCCACAACTCCGGGACTAAGTGTGTAAGCTTGGAAAATTGAAGCTTTAACTGGAGATTGGTGGGACAATATGCTTGTTAGATGTGGATTGTTGTGAAACTTTTCTACAGACATAACTGCGAGTCTCTGTTTGGGAAGAAAATTTGGCCATGGAAAGGATGTAACTGTCTACACAACCAATCTTCAACGTTTCAGGCCCAGCTTACTCATTGAAGGAAGAGTAACATCTTAATAGTGCTTATCGACCTTTACCTTAGTAAACGTGTATCTATTGTCGTTCTTACTCATATATACCTCACAACAGCCAATTTATTCCATATTCCCAATTGAGCAGCCTTATATCCTTATCGGGATTATGTATTGCCGTTTTGGGAACAAACACCACACAAACACAAGAAAAGTCAAACGGCACCAAAAGAAAAAAAAGAAAAAAAGAAAAATGTCTTACAGTGTTTTAGTGGTTACATAATGTCGTCTTGTAAAAGAGAAATGTCGTTTGTATGTCCAAACTAAATGTGTATCGTTTTCGGTAACTAGAGCAAGCGCAAGAGTCAACAAAGAGAGAGAGAAAGTGCGCGACATTGTCCCAGAAAGATGTCGCCCACTCGCCAGCTCGCCCACTAGCCAGCTCCCGCCCCCCCTCAATGTCCGCTCTGTGTCTTTCTCTTATCAATTAGTGTTGCCACCCGCAACCTTCTAGATATTTAACAACTGCAACAGAAAAAAAAAGGCTTCTTCTATTGCTCTTTCTTTCTTTCTTTCTTTCTTTTCTTTCTTTCCTAGACATACGCCAATCATGAAGTTTTCAACTGCTACAGCTGTTTCTGCTTTGGCATTCTATTCTGTCAATGCCGTGGATGCTTTAACCATCCAGAACCCATTCAATGGTCAGCAACAACCTTTGAAGTTGGATTTCAATTACGACAGGTATGCCTCGCAATTGTCCCACTTGTTGTTTGACGAAAAGAAGCAATCGGAATTCTTTGCCAAAATTTCAACCCTTTTCAACGAACCTTTGGAATCTTTGACTCATGAAACTAAGAAGTTATGGTCAGATATGATTTTGAACTCGAAGCAATTTGGTGATTTGAGATTCACCATACCTGGAAAAGCTGGTAATATTATCAAACAACAATTTGATTTCCATGTTAAGGACCAAAAAATTCCCAACCATCAATTGAGAGTGAAGTCTACCCCAGAAGATTTGGGTGTTGATTCAGTTAAGCAATATTCTGGTTATTTGGATGTGGAGGATGAAGACAAGCATTTCTTTTTCTGGGCTTTTGAAAGTAGAAACGACCCAAAGAATGATCCTGTTATTTTGTGGTTGAATGGTGGTCCAGGTTGTTCATCGACTACTGGGTTGTTTTTTGAATTGGGACCCTCTTCAATCAACAAGGATATTCAACCTGTGCATAACCCATACTCTTGGAATAACAATGCCACTGTCATTTTCTTGGACCAACCAGTCAATGTCGGTTACTCATACTCTTCATCATCGGTATCCAACACTGTTGCCGCTGGTAAGGACGTTTATGCATTTTTGGAATTGTTTTTCAAGCAATTCCCACAATACGCCAAGTTGGATTTCCACATTGCTGGTGAGTCTTATGCTGGTCACTATATCCCTGTTTTCGCTAGTGAAATCTTGAGTCACTCTGAACGTTCATTTGACTTGAAGTCGGTATTGATTGGTAATGGGTTGACTGATCCATTGACTCAATACGAATACTACGAGCCAATGGCTTGTGGTGAAGGTGGTGAACCAAGTGTTTTGGAACCAGAAGAGTGTCAATCAATGACTGATGCTATCCCAAGATGTCAGTCATTGATTAAACAATGTTATGAATCAGAATCTGTTTGGAGTTGTGTCCCTGCAACTGTTTACTGCAACAATGCCCAAATGGGACCATACCAAAAGACTGGTAGAAATGTTTATGACATCAGAACAATGTGTGAAGGCTCAAACTTGTGCTACGAAGGATTGGAGTACATTGACACATACATGAACAAGCCAGAAGTTATGAAAGCGTTGGGTGCCGAGGTTTCCAGTTACGAATCATGCAACTTTGACGTCAACAGAAACTTTGTATTTGCCGGTGACTGGATGAAACCTTACTTTAAGAATGTGATTGACATTTTGCAACAAGACTTGCCAGTTTTGATTTACGCCGGTGACAAGGACTTTATCTGTAACTGGTTGGGTAACCAAGCATGGACCGACAAATTGGAGTGGAGCGGCTCAAAGGGTTTCTCAAAGGCGCCAGTTAAGAAATGGAAGGTTGATGGTAAGCATGCTGGTGATGTTAAAAACTATGAAAACTTCACATTCTTGAGAGTCTTTGGTGGTGGCCACATGGTACCATATGACCAACCGGAAAATGCCCTTGATATGGTTAACAGATGGGTTTCTGGAGATTATAAATTTTAAACATAGGTGTATATCCTAGACAATGCAAAAAAAAAAAAAGAGTTTTGTTTTAAATGAGTGAAGATTTATTGTAGTTGTCTAGCACAATTTGCATCAGTTTTGGTGCCAATAATTGTTTGCTAGTCACAGCTGAATCTGAAAGGCATCCGAGTTGAATTGCAAAACACCTCTTAGTTTTGGAAACTGAAATGGTTGCCTTTACTCTAGGTATCATCTCACACACTGATTCTACAAGTCTTTTGAAGACACTTACGCTCAGGAATACTTTGCTTTTTTTGCGCGTATCAATCAATCAATCAATCAATCAATGTTGTTCTGTTTACAAAACACAAAATTAAATTTCGCAACAACTTCCCAATTTGGCATCAATGTAAACATACAACAGCAGCAATGGAAAACATGGAAAATTATTTTGACGGTTCGATGGAAAACAAACCAAAACGAAGGAGGAAGAGGAAAGATGAGTGACAAAAGTGACAGACCAGACGAGTGAATTTTATCGATTGCATTGGTTGCGTCGTTTGGGTATTGGTCCAGGATTTTTAGATTCAGTACAGCAATATATAACATAAACCACAAACAAAAGAAAACAACGTCTTTCCACACGATCCCTGAATGCTTAGATACTCAAGTGTACTTTGATACCCACTACAACCACGAACTCATCAATGGTAATACGGCATATACACTTTACCTCGATAATACTATCTTTTGCATTGGCAATAGTACTGGGTGTGCTAACAATAATTCGAAATCATCACAATGTTTATCACCTACTATACTCCATCTCAAGTTTTGTCCTAGCGGCATACTACGTCGTGCCCGTTGTTTATACCCATATAATTACTATCTCACTTCAGTTCGTGATCTCATTGCTCAACATAATATCTGGTATATTGTTGATTGTGCACTTCCATCATACTGTCATTACGATTTTATTCGTTGTCAATGTCATCTTCATATCCACAGCAATCACAACTCTACTATGTGTCATTTTCGCCGATAGCAACACGGTTGGCGAGGAGCCAGTTGTTGATACAGTTTCGAAAAAGGCTTCCGATGCAACGTTGTATGATCATGATTATGCATTGGACAAGAATTGGATTGAGAAATATCAAACCAATCCCAACCCACAACCTTTGCCATACTCCGTTTCGTCAAATACGATACAACAACAAGCTAAAGCGCAACAAACTGTTACAAAGCATGATACATCTTCGCTCATCAATGTTGAAGATCATTATGATATGCTCAGTTTACCCAAGAGGGCTGCCTTGCATGACACTGATGCCACTGGCAAGCAAAAAATTCGAATGAAAAGATGGAGACTGATACACGATGAGAGGCACTTTATCTCACAATTAAACGAGTCATTGCTTCCACCAGTTTTGCAAAATAACAAGAGAATTTCAAAATCCAACGGCGAGGAAGAAGAAGAAGAAGAAGAAGAAATGAAGGAGCTAGAGCAAGTCACTGGCTTCAAACCCAAAACAATAAACTCCACCATGACCTTGGATCAATGGGATTTGCAAGAGTACGACAAGGCAAGAAAAGTATCTGGTTATACAATCGTTCCTGGTGCGCATCGGTTTGTCAGCGACTCCAATTTGTACAAAAAAGTAATTGACACCAATGATGAACTCTTGTTGCCGCCAAAAGAGAGCCCCGTGGATAATATTGACGATTTGAGTGAGTTAGATGCACACAAGCCATCGCTAGATAGAGAATTCAGCGATCCCTCCAATCACAGTGAATGCGCACCTTCCCTCCATACTTTTAGAAAAGAAAGCTCCAATTCACAGCATACCCAACTGAGCACACAGAATGCTCAAACATTTACTCCGTATCCATTACCAGAACCCACAACACCACCACCGCCACCCGCATCAACTTCAATGTCGAGTGAATTGGTCATAAACCACAAGGACAACTCCCTGATCAGGAAGCTTTTAACTGATAGTCCAAGAAAGATTTTCCGTTCAAATACAGCCGTTTTCCATCGACGCCACAACCACTCAAGCTCAATCGCATCAAATGCATATTCACTCATTTCCGGGGTCTCCTCTCGATCAAGATCCTCATCGCCAAAAAAGATGAAATCGTATTTGAAGATTCACAAACACAGCTTGAGCGTGCCAAACTTTGTACCAAATAAAGCCTCTCCTTCAACGTCATCGCACCCTTCGCCGCAGCATTCGGAGTTCTTTTCGGCAAATTCAACGCGACTTGTTGAGCCAATAGATCTATGGGAGATACAGACGACGAATTTTACATTTGATGAGGAGCGGTCTTTGAAGGAGCCGAGAATTGAGGCAGCTGTTTATGATGGAGGTGGAGGTGGAGGTGGAGGTGGTGATGGTGATGGGAATAATGGTGGGTCGAGGGTTAGCTCTTTACCGAGCCAGGCCATTGGCGAGTATGATCGTGAGAAATGGAGGACTATTAAGTTGTATCAGAATGGAGAGACAGTAGATAGATTATAGAAATAGGAATTGTATTAATGAAGTACTAAGATTACTGAGCCTAGTTTCATCATTCAGCCGATGTCTCGAAATTCTTTCTCATTGTTTTTTTTTTTTTTTTTTTGCCCGATGAGATTTCAAACATTTTGTTTCTTTCAACTACCACAAACCATCAAGCAGACATGGACGATTTGTTTGATGTATTCGACGAGGCTCCAGGAGCTGTTCCTCCAAAGATAGAGGAGATTGAAGAAACTGAACACGCCAAGGAGACAAATGGAAACGGCAAGAAACGGTCACATCGTGAAGAGAACGAGGAGGAGGAGGAGGAAGAGGGTACGAATAAGTCTGCACCAACAAAGAAGGCCAAACAACAACAAGAAGTCAAACCAGTAGTGTTTGATTCGGTGGAGATAGAAGCATCCAGGGAAGTTGACGCCAGTGGCGGGCTACAACAAACTACCGAGGATCCCAATTCGAAATTGAAGTTGAGACATCAAGTGAGACACCAAGTTGCGGTTCCTCCATCGTATCCATACGTACCTATTAGCGAACACAAGCGTGAGAAGGAAGCCAGGACGTATCCATTCACATTAGATCCGTTTCAAGATACTGCGATTTCATGTATCGACCGGAATGAAAGTGTCTTGGTGTCTGCACATACATCTGCTGGTAAAACTGTTGTTGCAGAGTATGCAATTGCTCAGTCGTTGAGAGATAAGCAAAGAGTCATTTACACTTCTCCCATCAAGGCATTGTCGAACCAAAAGTATCGTGAGTTGCAAGCAGAATTCCAAGATGTGGGGCTAATGACGGGTGATGTCACGATAAACCCCGATGCCGGTTGTCTTGTCATGACAACGGAAATTTTACGAAGCATGCTCTATCGAGGCTCAGAGGTGATGAGAGAAGTTGCTTGGGTTATTTTTGACGAGGTGCATTATATGAGAGATAAAGCCAGAGGTGTGGTTTGGGAAGAGACGATTATTTTACTTCCTGATAAGGTACACTATGTATTCTTATCAGCCACTATTCCCAATGCAATGGAGTTTGCTGAATGGATAGTCAAGATTCACAACCAGCCGTGTCATGTTGTGTATACAGATTTCAGACCTACTCCATTACAGCACTACTTGTTTCCTGCTGGCGGTGACGGTATTCATTTGGTTGTTGATGAAAAGGGGACATTTAGGGAAGAAAATTTCCAAAAGGCAATGACTACAATTGGTGACAATACAGGGGACGATCCTGCATCTGCCGACAAGGGCAAGGGTAGAAAGGGGCAGAGTTTCAAAGGTGGAAACAAGGATAGTAAGTCCGACATTTACAAGATTGTTAAAATGATTTATATGAAAAAGTACAATCCAGTGATTGTGTTTTCCTTTTCCAAAAGGGATTGTGAGAAATTGGCGTTGCAAATGTCGAAATTGGATTTCAATACTGATGAAGAGAGATCCGCATTGACGGAGATTTTCAATAATGCAATTGGTCTCTTGCCCGAGAGTGATAAGGAACTCCCACAAATTAAAAACATTTTGCCATTGTTGAAGCGAGGAATAGGGATCCACCACTCTGGTCTATTACCGATTTTGAAGGAAATCATTGAAATTTTATTTCAGGAGGGGTTCTTGAAGGTGCTTTTCGCTACAGAGACATTTTCAATTGGTCTCAATATGCCGGCAAAGACTGTTGTTTTCACATCTGTCCGTAAATGGGATGGTGTTGGATTCAGATGGGTTTCAGGTGGTGAATATATCCAAATGTCTGGTCGTGCTGGTAGAAGAGGTTTGGATGATAGAGGTATTGTTATCATGATGATTGATGAGAAAATGGAGCCTCAGGTGGCAAAGGGAATGGTCAAGGGGCAAGCAGATAGACTTGACTCGGCATTCCACCTAGGCTACAATATGATTTTGAATTTGATGAGGGTTGAGGGAATATCTCCCGAGTTTATGTTGGAGAGTTCGTTTTACCAATTTCAGAATGCTGCTAGTGTACCTGCTTTGGAGCAGAAGATGCAGTCTTTGCAACAGGAAATTGAAGGTGTACACATTGACGACGAAGCAACCGTGAAAGAGTACTATGATTTGCTGCAACAACTTAACAGGTATACTGCTGATGTTCGAAAAGTCGTTACACACCCGGGCCACATTTTGCCATTTCTACAAGATGGAAGAGTGGTTAAGATAAAGATTGGTGGTTATGACTACGGTTGGGGAATGGTTACGTCTTTTGTCAAGAGGAAAACTAGCCGGTATCAGACCAAAGAGTTCACCGCTCATGAATCTTATGTTGTGAATGTTTTTGTTTACACTATGTTTGTCGATTCGCCAGTAAACTTGATCAAACCATTCAATCCATTGTTACCAGAGGGTATCAGACCCGCAAGACCAGGAGAAAAGTCAAGAGCTGAGTATATATCCATCACACTTGATTCGATTGAGAAGATCAGTAGTGTTAGATTGAGGGTACCGGATGACTACAAAAGTGCTCAAGCAAAGAGGACGTTGGTGAAGACGATGAAGGAGCTACCCAAGAGGTTCAAGGACGGTATACCATTGATGGATCCTGTTGAGAGCATGAAGATTGATGATGATGATTTCCGAACCTTGTTGCGCAAAATTGATGTTATTGAATCCAAATTGTATAGCAATCCATTACATGACACAGCCAGATTACAAGATTTGTATGCCAAGTACTCACACAAGGCTGACATTGAAAAGAAAATAAGCGACTTGAAGGAGAAGATCTTGGAAGCGGAGGCAGTAATACAGTTGGACGATTTGAGACACAGGAAAAGAGTTTTGCGTCGACTTGGATTCATTACCCAGAATGACATTATCGAACTTAAGGGACGTGTTGCCTGTGAAATCAGCTCTGGTGATGAATTGTTATTAACAGAGTTGATATTCAATGGTAATTTCAATGAACTATCAAGTGAGCAATCAGCTGCGTTGTTGTCGTGTTTTGTATTTCAGGAACGAGCAAAGGAAACTCCTCGATTGAAGCCTGAGTTGGCTGAGCCTTTGAAATTGATGCAGGAAATGGCTGCCAAAGTTGCTAAAGTGTCTAAAGAGTGCAAAATTGACATAACCGAGCAGGATTACATTGAGTCGTTTAGGCCAGAGTTGATGGAAGTTGTGTATGCATGGTGCAAAGGTGCTTCGTTTACTCAAATCTGTAAAATGACTGACGTTTATGAAGGTTCATTGATTAGAATGTTTAGAAGGCTAGAAGAGCTTATAAGACAGTTGGTGGTTGCTGCAAAAGCCATAGGAAATGTGGAGTTACAGGAAAAGATGGAAAAGTCGTTGGAGTTAGTTCACAGGGATATAGTTTCAGCTGGGTCTTTATACTTGTAGTAGTGAAGAGAATGAGAGTGGTATAGATGGAGAGTACTTAATGCTACCAAGTTACAAAAATCAGAATAGTTTACGCCTCTCTCTTTCTTTCTCTTTCTCTTTCTCTTTCTCTTTCTCTTTCTCTTTCTCTTTCTCTCTCTTTCTCTCTCTCTCCTTTTCTTTTGCTCTTCAACACAAAGCATGACCAAGAGAATATTGCACCAAGGGGAAGTTGAACTTCTCTTTGTTAAATCAAAGACTTATCTTCACCCTACCCCATCGAAAAAAGACAATGTTGTCGGATTTTTATCCCTCTCCCGACCACCTAGCTCAACCAACTTAGACGTTATTTTGACATTTACCCCTGAATCACAATTGAGTAAAGAGGAGATCAAGATATACAATGAAGTCGATGTAGAAGAAGTTGATCTCAATTTGAGCGCATTTAAAAAACACGGCAAGGCAAAGAGCGACAGGATCGTATCAAAACCAAGTGCCAGCGTACTCAGTTCGTATGCATTTACAACCACCCTTTCTTATATCTACAGCATACAATTTAGAAATCCCAGTCATGGGTACTACTATGGGAGTATCGTTATCAACACGCAAGATGGAGACAAATTGCCCATAGTGTTTTTCCATGACGACGAATCACCATCGACGATCAAGAATCAAAAGCTTCAAAGCAAACAATTTGACCCTTTTGCAGATGGAGAGTTGTACTGGGGTGCCATTGACTTTTTAAAAGTGTTGAAAAGTTTGGTGAATATTGAAAAATCGACAATTGAACCGACGGTGTACCTCATTAATCCACAATCTGAAGACTTACGAAATTTTGCACCTTTCAAAAAGAAGCAAGTGAAGGAGGAGCCACCAAGCGCGTTTCAACTTCCAGATATGAACAAAATGTTCAACACGGCCAAGTGGAAGGTGTTGGAAACTGTGGCTACATTCACAGCCAGGACCAAGAACCAAGTGATTGACTTGATTGAAGAGAATGCACCACCGCAGGTAAAGCAGTTGATGGTACAGCCTCAAGTGGCCAGACTTGGTGATGAATTTGACTCAGCTAGAATGTATCTTGCGAAGTGGGCTCAGCAGGTCAAAGAGGATGCGGAGTCATCAAAGTATGTCACTGATGACGAGATCTATGAGAGAATAAGCCGTGAGTTAAACTCAAACAAATTGTTGACACAAGAGGAAATTAGTCGTACTTCAAGGATGAAGCCTGTTGGTGTTCAAGAATGGGAGGGATTTTTTGACCATACTGGACGGTTGAGCATTACTGTAAAGGAGGTCAAGGATAGAATATTTCACGGTGGACTAGAGGATGAAGTTAGGAAAGAAGCGTGGTTGTTTTTGTTGAAGGTATATCCGTGGGACTCTTCTAGTGAGGAGAGAGAGGTGTTGCAAGAGTCCTTTACATCGAGATATGACGAATTGAAGCTCAAGTGGGTTGCCGATGCCGAGAGACGAAACACCGAGTATTTCAAGGAACAAAAGTTTAAGATTGAAAAAGACGTGAACCGCACCGATCGTGATTTAGCCATTTTCAAGAATGTTGATGGTGAAGAAGAAGAGCCAGATGATGAGTATGATGTGGCAAATATAACCAATCCGAATTTGTGCAAGTTGCGTGAAATTTTGTTGACATACAATGAGTACAACACAGAGCTTGGATATGTTCAGGGGATGAATGATGTGCTTTCCCCTTTGTATGTTGTCTTGCAAGATGAGGCATTGTCATTTTGGGCGTTTGTTCACTTGATGGATAGGTTAAATGGCAATTTCGATTCTGAATTGAGTGGAATCAAGCTGCAGCTCACCAAGCTCATGACAATGACTCAGCTTGTTTTGCCCAACTTGTACAAACATCTCATAAAATGTCAAAGTGAGGGACTATACTTTTTCTTTAGGCATATATTACTACAATTTAAAAGGGAACTACGTTGGGAACAGGTGCTACAGTTGTGGGAAGTTATCTGGACAGACTACTACACAGACGATTTCCAATTATTTTTTGCTTTGGCGGTGATGTCTGATAACGAGAGGATCATCATTGAGAATATCCTGCAACCGGAAGAAGTATTAAAGTACTTTAATGATTTGCTGGGTCATTTGGATGTGAATCGATTGTTAGTCAGAGCGGAAATCTTGTACAAGCTTTATGACCGTATGAAGTATATAGTTGAATAGTTGACTGATTGCAAGTTTCTTGTTTTTTTTTCTAATCTGCATCTTCTCTTGATCACTGTAACATATCTCTGGTTTTGTGGTAGTCACGTTGTATGCGCGTGGGGCTTTATTGACACAGCACCAGTTCTTTTTTCGTATATGCAGGAACATCTGATGAGAGGTTATTATTACTGCAATATCGGAGAATTCTACCATCCTGCTACAATCTTTTTTTCAAGAACAACCGCCATGAGTGAGTCAGTTCCACTAATAAGCGACAGAGATGATGAGTATGAGGGTTATGAACCTACACAGCTCAATAAGAGGACCAAGATACTTCTATATACGATCCTCGGACTTCTTGGTTTGATTACACTCTGGGTATTTACAATGGTCCTTCCTAGTTACTATATCCCAGAAGCAGTTCCACTAGTACCAATAAAGCACATTTCGCACTTGAATGTGAGTTTTGAAGTAGAAAATGGGAGAAAGCAAGTCAACAGAATCATCTTGATTGGTGACATCCACGGACATTACAATGAATTTAAAGAATTATTGAGGAGGGCCAAGTACAACAAAAAGAAGGACGAGTTATTGGTTGTGGGAGATTTTGTCACCAAAGGCCCTGATTCGTTTAAAATGTTGGATTACTTGATTGACAACAATGTCCAGTGCATTTTGGGCAATCATGAGTATTATGTGCTACAATATTACGCAAATTTTCATGCCATTGATCAGCCCAGCTTTTATTTGAGCGACACTGAAGAAACAAGCCGAATTTGGGCAAGAGGAGCATTCAATGATGATCCCGAATATCTTTTTGCCAAAAAGTTGCAACCTCGCCATGTGAAGTACATTAACCTGTGTTCGGTGATCAAGGAACTTGGTGTGGTGCCAGTGGAAAACAATGGAGTTGCTCCCGGGGTTGCCGTTCATGCTGGCCTTCGACCGGATTTGAAGTTGAGTCAACAGGATCCTATTGACAATTTAGAGATGCGCTCTCTTATAGGCCCATTTTTCAACGAAACAACCTCGGACCCCGATGCTCCATTTGCAAAAAGCTGGTCAAAGGTTTATAACTCGAGACACGGTAAGGCACCGGCAAACTACGTGGTGTATTATGGTCACGATGCTGGAAGAGGGCTCAAGTTGAAACAGTACACAAGGGGGTTGGATTCTGGATGTGACAAAGGTGGGAAATTGACTGCCGCTGTGATTTCCTCGAGCAAGAAGAAGAAGGGAAAAGTGGTGTTGGAAGAGAAAATTGTGCAAGTTGATTGCTAGAGTAGCATTATGGAAGTGTATAGAATTGATGGGAAGTATGTGTTGTGGATTGTAACGAGCGTGCATCAGTGTGCACAAGTCATGTAGTGATTTCATAAATGCCCGGACTAACTAATACATGTTTATGCATCTGTGAACTCGCATTAGCTTACAGAAATTCACGCAACAAATCAGTAATGTGTGTTTCTGTAACATTCTAAAACGGATGTCAGGATAGATAAATATTTCTACTTTGTCTCTCAAATTCTTTCTTCGCGTTTATCAATTTGCACGAGCCATGACAAATCGAGCACTCGTAGTTGTCGACTTGCAAGAGGACTTCTTACCACCTAATGGATCCTTAGCGATACCAGATGGCAGACTGATTGTCCAACCAATCATTGAGCTCGTCACCGGGACAAATTTAAGTCAGTGGTCATTGGTTGTCGCAACACAAGATTGGCATCCAGCCAACCACACCTCATTTGCATCACAACATGGTGTAGAGCCACTTGCTGAATTGGAGTTCAGACATCCAAATACAGGAGAGATCAAGAAACAGTATGTGTGGCCAGATCATTGCGTCCAAGGAAGTGCTGGCGCCAAATTGGAACTGAATTTTGCAAAAGCTTTTGCAGAGATTAAAGGAGTGCCCACGGTAAATGTAAAGAAGGGATACTTGCAGGATCGCGAATATTATTCATGTTTCCAAGACACATGGGGCTTGCATCAAACAGAAATGAAGCGCACTCTTGTTGAGCATGCTATCGATGAGGTTGTTTTTGTGGGACTTGCGTTTGATTATTGCGTGTTGAACTCAGCCATTGATTCAGCTGACTCGTTCAAGACTTATGTGGTGGAGAGCTTGAGTAAGAGCGTCACTCCTGAGAATGATTCAAAAACAAAGGAGATTTACAAGAGTTCAGGCGTGAGTGTTGTAAAGGAAATACTGGATATATAAGATTGAATATGTGGCTCTACTAAGGGATACTGTGTACTTGGGAGATCTTTTAAAATGGGATTTGTCTCGTTCAAAATCGAAACTTGTAGTGTCCCAAACTGACACAACGATCGATGCAGTAGTGAAAGTGTCTCTAGCTTCCAATACAATATTATTGCGTATTCATCTCTCCGCCAATTTTGTTTTACCAGAAGTAACAAATGTCGCGGGTCAAGTTTAAAAGGAGTGAAAGCAAGTACCAATACTTCACATAGTAGGACTAGCATATTTGTAGGTAAAGATAGATAAGTAGCGGGGGGAGGGGTTCGAAAATAGCTGTGCTTTGTGTACACTTAAATTTATATTATTTTATACCATTCGGAGGATGGTTTCAATTTTGAGGATTCAGCTGCAAGATTAGCCGCTTTAGATGGTTGTGCCTCCCTTACTTGTGGTGAGCTGAAGTGGTAAAACAGGTTCAGCATGTCTTCATATGCCAGCCTGTAGTATTTTGCTGGCTACTCGCCTCACTACCTAATGTGCAGTGTGGGAGAAGAAGAAGACGACATATTTTATTTTATCAGTTTTGTGCATTCCTACCATATTTCCAGAAAAGATTAGAACAAAGAGAAAAAGGGTCAAAAAAAGAACCTTTTTTTATTTTTTTATTTTCATTCTTTTCTATATATTATAGGTTTTCATAACTACATAAGATCAAGATATTTCGAGTCTGTCGAATTGATGGAGATTTCTGTTAACTTGTTAAAAAAACCCGTCTTGAACTGACGGCATTGATGGGTGGAGAGGCACAAGAAGCTGAAAGATAGTCCCGACGGCCTGTTGGCCAACCTTGCGTCACATGGCATCAATATTCGAATAGCCCCTTTTGGAACAGTGCTATTTTTCACCAGTGCCATTGTATTTTCTCTTTAGCTCTTCACTTCGCCTAGCTTCAAACTCTAGAAGTTGCTTGCTGTCCTTTACTTTCCCATAGTAATGATCATCTAATCTCTTCTCAAGATCCTTCTTTGACTCGTTCCTCCTATCCTGTCCTTTCTTCTCTTCAATCATCTTCTTTACATCGGGTAACTCCTTTGCTCGACCAAAGTATCTCCATCCAGCAATGTTAACGGCTGAATGCGTCATATCTTTGGTATTGTGAATGTAATCATTTCCTCCAAGGTTCTTGATCTGATGTTCCCAACTCCTCTTCTCCTTAAATAACTGGTTTAACGCATCGTTCAACTCTCTCACTCGACTTTCACTTGTTTGGGTGTCGTTGATTTGTGTCAATTTCGATGAAATTTCACCAAGAACAATGTTTCGCCATATTTCTGCTTGTGGTATCGATTGAACTTTCTGAACATACTTGGGGCGGTTCTGTGGGTTGGTATCTAGAGCACCAGATTCTTTATTCTTGTATTCTTGGAAGTTGTTTAACGACATTGTTGATGATTGAAGTTCTTACACCCAAAATTTTCTTTTGTTTTTTGGTTTTATTTCTTTTTTGGCCTACTTTGTTATAATTGATTGCAAAAATTAAATATACAAGTATACAAGACTACTACATGCCTCTGAATTGGTTCCTAGATGCAATTCTACGACCTTCAAACCTTTGCTTAGTTCTACCCTTGTCAGTGCCGTTCTCATCTTCTCTCTTTGGTCTATGCTTCTTCTCCTTGCCTCTAGGTACAAATGTAAGTTCAGCTTCTCCTTTGGCATGTCTTTGAAGTCTTGAATCATCTCTAGGCTTGCTTACTTTGTGTAGATTCTTTACTTGAGAGGCAAATGTCTCCTTAGCTTTAGTAGACTCCTTTGGTGCTTCTTTAGCAAGAACCTTCATTTCATTCTTGAATCTCTTTTCCTCCTCCTTCTTCTTTCTCAACTTGGCCAATTCTTTATCGAGTTTGGCCTTGTTTGCCCTCTTTACCTCCTCGTCCTCACTTTCCTCACTCTCGGACTCTTCACTCTCTTCCTCGCTTCGAGCGTCGCCGTCGACGTTGCCGTCGCCGTAGCCGTCGCCATTGTATCTCTCCTCATCCGATTCCTCTGCCGCAGTTAATCCCCTTGATCTCGTGATATCTTTCTCTGCTGCTTTTACTGGGTTCAATTGTTTATATTCATGAGATTCCTCATCAACTTGGAAATCTGGATTCTCAAACATTTCCTTAAATCTATCATCATTAATGACACTTTCTGCCGCATCACCACCGACTTTCTCTTGCAATCTGCTTGCCAAATCTTTATTAACTTTGATCTTGGTGTTGGTGATGGCACCAGTAGACCTAATTCTGGACTCTCTTTCCTTTTCAATCTTTTTCCTGATATCACGCTCTCTTTGATCACGTAATGAGTTGGGGTTGGCAATAAGATTGACTTTTTCGTACAACTCCGTGTCAATAAAGAAACCGTGCATATATGAACGCAAAACTTTTGATCCAATCAAATGACCCAAATTCAACTTACGTACATCGTCCTTGGTGATGAATCTGTAGTTGGAGTATATGGTATCCGAGGGTTTCTCTTCCAATTCTTCAGTCACATTATCCAAGAATGAACACCAAGAAGGTGCAGGACCCAAATTAGGAATATAATACGTGTGCATGGGCATACCTTCATTGGCCATAAAAAACATTCCTGAGTTTGAGACGTGGCATACATCATTGATATCAACTGTTGGTTCCATGGATGCAAATGGTTTCCCTGTATTTCTATCCCAAATCTTTGCAATACGTTTATCACTGGTCAAGACCGCATCTGGCTTCAAAGTATTCTCCAACCATTCAATATTTTTGATTTCAAATCCATAGCCCTGATCTTTGACCACCGATGGCTGATTCGTACGTAGATCGTAAAGTAAAGTTTTCCCACTAGAGGTCCCACAAGCAAAGTTCAATCCGTCTCGGCGAAAACTGACTGCCGACACTTGTATACCCGATTCATTTAATTGCTCATCGATCCACAACTTGCCTGCTCGCGACTTTGATCTAGGATCCCAAAATTCAACCGTGCCATCTTCAAGTCCAGCGGATATTAGACCGTGAACTTTATTGATAGTAACCATGTTGACACCTGATTCGGATTCTAGTTGCAAGGGGTTCAAGAATCTCCCCTGTTCCAAATTTAGTCTGTACAATTCATTCCCCAGTGCCCCTACTAGCAAATCACAGTTTACTTCGTTGTAGCACAAACTTCTGCCGAATTTCGGTATCCTTGTTTTGTAATATATCCCTCCTTTAGTCTGAAACTCTATACTTCTGTCGACTTGCAAATGCACTGACTTGGTCCAATCTTGACTCAATATAACAAAGTCGACATTTTCACAATCTGTATGACGTTCAAATTTGAGTGACAAGTTGGCAAAATCGTACACATGGATCTGGGGTTTATATGTGCCAGTTGCCATACAGTACTGCCCGTCAGGCGATACTTTTATCTTGTTTGACGCCTCACTAAACTCGAAATCTTGAATTAACTCAATACGGTTTGAATAGTCCAAATCCTGTTTCAAGGCTTTCTTCCGCTTCTTAGCTATCCAGTCAGGTAATGACCTCGATACATTGGATCCAGATACTTGATATATGGAAACGTTTCCAGCAGATGTAGACTTAAGAACCATTGTTGTTCTCGTTATAAAGAGCACGATGAGATGAGCTTCAAATAAAGGTTTTCAAAATTTTAATCGCACATCGCGAACTTTTTTTTTTTTTTTTTTCACAAATTGTACAAATATTTAAACTGGGAATAGTCTATAGTACAATCAGCAACTGAATCGGCAACCACTTCAAACCAAACATGACCTGGCACAAACGTGTCCACAAAAAACTGTAGCCCACCCAGAATAAGGGCATCTTTCAAAACTTTTCCATTTTGACGCAACAAACTTTCAAAAAGTTCAAGAAAATTGTTTATGTACCTGAGATCACTATAGCAAATGTCATTAGCAAAATTGATCAAACAGACCCAAAGTCTTGAAGTGTTTACGGCAACGTATTGTAGATTTAGGGCCTTATTGAGAACTATGTTGGTTTGCGCCTCGATGCAAGACTTTTTAGACTGAGGGTAGTTCATGCAACAGATACGAGTGGAAAGTACACTTGCAAGCAACAATTCGTGGAATGAGATTATCAACTTTGCATCTAATGGACTGCTTCCGGGACCGAAATGTTGGCACTCTCTTTCCATATTTTGGTTCATGAGGTGTAATACTTGCCGTTGAAGATTGTACAAGTTTTCCAACTTATGACTTTCGTTCAACAAATCCGATGCAGTTGTGACAAATTCCTCTGGTTTGGACAATGGAGGTAATTGAAGGACCTTGAATGTTGATGTGATTGGATTTGGTAAAGAATCAACGTAGTAGGAACACGCATTGTGACTTGACAAGTAATTTAGGTAGAGAAGTATTGTAATGATTGAATTGTTGGTTTTAAGCTCATTGTAGGCTGAGTAAATGTCACAATCTGAAGACAGACTTAACAACTCAAAAGATGCAAGCAACTTTGCTATCGTTCGACTATTCCAAAGGGTAGCACCTTGGTCCAATACTCCCAATATGAATTGTAGGGACTCCTTTAAGTCGGGCATTTCAGATTTAGAATCCTTTGGCTGCCTCGACTCGTTGGATGCCTTTTCTCTCAATATATCAACCCAGCTCTTGTCTTCTGTAACAATATTCTCTGTATTCATAATGGTAATGCACTTTATGTCTTGTGTGGGAAGTCAAGTGTAGTTTGTGATCTCTCGTCTGACTTAGTTATTGAGTGGGCCTCTTACTAGTAACTCGAAGGAAAGCGTACAGTACTTTATTTTGTGCTATCTTATTGGCTTCTATCCCACCTCTTGGACATATATGAGACTCGTGTGGTGATAAAGTGTGTGGGTAACGACTTACGTGTCAGGTGGTGGATCAATTTTGCAACAAAAAAAAGTTGGAGAAACTTTGACCACAACAAAAAAAAAAAAAAAAAAGGTACCGCAAGAATAGTTGTGTCGCAAAATAAGTAACTACGACTTTGACAATACAAGGTGGGCTACAATTAGTGGATGATCAAAGATGCTTCTACTAACCACGAATTGTTCTACTCAACTAGTGTCAGTCCGACCAGGTGTGCAACAATACCTAAGTCGGGTTCATTGACCTGCGTTCAATGTTCCTTCAATGCAGGTGATGGCATTTCCTCCTACCAAGATCTTCTCCTCCGATATAGTTAACTTAAGTTCCCCCTCCCTTCTGACCATTTTTCCCTGTGAAGACTCAAAGGCGCGGTCGAGGACCCCATGAGATTTGATAAAGGCAGCAACAGCGCCGTTTCCACTGCCACAGACAGGGTCTTCGTCCACACCGCATGCAGGGGCAAAAGATCGAACTTCGATATGATCTTTTGACCATTCTCCATAAACAGTTACACCAGTAGCTTTAAGTTGTTTGTTGTGCTTTACCAATTCGGGTAGTTTCGGCTCAATAGACAAAACAGCTTCGGCATCAACGATATGGGCAATGATCCAACGAGCACCAACATCAACAAGAGAAGGCCGTAAATTTCTGTCAATCTTGCACCCTAAAGCACCTTCAAGAGAGTCGATATCCTTTTCCTCAAGAGGTGTGATAGTGGGACGTGGTAACTCAAATGAAATAGATCCACTGTTTGCAATCGTTAAGTTGACTAATCCTGCCCCACATTCTTGAACAATCGATCCATCTTTAGCAGAAATCAACCCGGATTCAAGCAATGCATGCGCAGTACCAATTGTTGGGTGCCCTGCAAAAGGTAACTCGCTCTGTGGCGTGAATATGCGTACGCGATAATCAGCCCTATCGGTTGTAGGCGGAAGCACAAATGTTGTCTCTGAAAGATTTGTCCAATTGGCTATATTTTGCATTTGGTCTGAGCTTAAACCAGACGCGTCCATAATGACGGCTAAAGGGTTGCCTTTGAAACGTTTCGAAGTGAAAACATCGACTTGCTTGAATGCCGGCATGATATGCAGAGACAACTGGGTGTTGGTGATGACAGATGAGTAATATCTGGAGATACAATAAAAAAAATAAAAAATAAAAAATAAGAGAAAATGAAAAAAATAAAAGAGAACTGAGAAATGAGAAAATACTTAACATTGGAAATAGTCTCCGTATTCAGGGCTCATCACAAGGTTTCCGTGTTTGAACCTTCTTTCGGCTGTGCAGTTTTACTTTGATCTTGCAGGAAAGAGATGTGCTTTTTGGTACATACCCGGCCAGCTTATTTCTGCTTGGGGATATGACATTCAGTTTATTATTTTCCAAATCCGTCACGAATAATAGAAATTTCGGTTTCCTATGAGGTCGGCTCTTTGATAGATGTATGAGGAGCTTACTTCTTGTGAGACCAGCAGGTTGAAGAATCGGAGGGCTGTCAAGTGAATACGTCATTTCCGAGAATTTCAACGACTGCACCAGCCCTTCCCCGTGGGTGCAATCTCTCTCTCTGTCTCTGGCCACAGCTTCCAATCCGAAAAAGTGAATTCATGCAGTTGCAATATATCCGCCAATGGCCCAAAAAATACACTTCCAATTACAATTACATGCAACGGCATGCAACCCGCAGTGACTGTCACTAACAAAATGGTCTAGAACTATTTCAACGGACAAGGCGTCCTAATTTGTATAAGGAAATTACTAGATGCTAATTAAAAACAGCACATATTTGTACTTGTGGCTGCTGTCAAAGAAGAAAATGATAAAAAAAAAGCCCTGCAATTATGGCGGTCCGGAATTCTGATCACAAAAGAAACGACTGCTGCTGCAATAATGCTAATTTTGCAAGTAGCACACTATCAAAAGTATAAAGATGCCTACCTTTTTCCCACTTGGGGTGAGCAAGAGTTCTTATCAGTAATACAGAATGCAATCAGAAGTCACACGAATTATCAAAGGTCAAAATCAAACTACCTCGAGTCCCAACTATCACTATGGTAACAGCCACAGAAGGTCAGATTCGATAGATTTGGGTAGACGTGGAAGTGCTATATCGATGCTTTCATTGCAACAATCTACTGCTAGTAATTCAAACACTCCACCCACATCGCCCCAATCGCCCCAATCGCCCCAAAACCAATACAGACAAAGCTTTGCTAAGCAAAGGCATTCTTTAGAACAGCTACAATCTTCCTTGGACTTTGTACCTGAAGCTCAGACTATAGACTTGGACGAGATCACCCGGGAATTTAGAAGACAAGAGCGGGCGCTCCATGAAGCTGAGATCAATTGGTTTCATTTTTTGAAAGAGATGCCCGTTGAAACACCATGGAGGCCCAATGAATCAAATGTGAATCTACCGGAAACCTCGGAAATGTTGCTAAACAAATACAATTCAGAATACAATATTCTGAACAATGGCGATTCCAAGCATGTTAGAGAAACTGCCTTGAGGCGAGCATTGGGTCGTTTTAGAAACTCGAGTAGAGCATTAGGTAAAGTTAGAGTAGGGTCTAATAGAGACGAAGGCAGTCGTTGAGATGGTCTTTGTATAGGTTTTCTAATTTATTCGGATTGTTTGAATCGAAAGGTGGGAGAGAAATTTCTTTGTATACAATTTGCAGACAGTAATGGACTTTACGCGCTGTGCGTGATAGATAAGCACTGATTACAGTGGAACACTCGGCCCACTTGAGACATGGAAATTCTACACTGTTCTTTTTTTCAGAAGCATCGTAGAAGAGTGGACCTGTTAAAATTGTTATCGTCAAAAGGCGATCTTCGTGACAAAGTGCTAATTATTATCATCAGCTTAATTTAACTGAGACTTTAAATTTTTCAATTGAGTCAAGACAGCTGACTTCGCGGTACCTCCAATGGCGTCTCTTCTCTCAACACTAACCTCAAAATCAAATGTATCCATAACATCCTTTTCAAATCGGTCATCAATTTCCTTCAACTGCTCAAAAGTCAATTTATCAATTCCAGACAAGTTCTCATCTTCAGCTTTTCTAACACATTCACCCGAGATGTGGTGGGTCTCCCTGAACGGAACTCCCTTTCTCACCAAGTAATCAGCAAGGTCAGTAGCCAACATGTCCATGGTCAAGGCTCCTTCCATTTTTGCTTTGTTAATCTTTAATGTACTGATGACGCCGGTGGCGATCAATATCGAGTGTTCAACTGTAGTCAAGGCATCAAACAATGGTTCTTTATCCTCTTGCATATCCTTGTTGTATGTCGAAGGGATCGATTTGATTGACATCAAAAATCCAGATAATTCACCAAATATCCTTCCGCTTTTACCACGCAACAACTCCAACGAATCTGGATTCTTTTTCTGAGGCATCAACGAAGACCCAGTTGAATAAGCATCGGCCAACTTTATAAACCCAAATTCCGCACTAGAGTATATGATCAAATCTTCGGCAAAACGTGAAATGTGATTCATGAACAAAGTACCCCAAAACAAAGTCTCAACAACAAAGTCACGGTCACTAACAGCGGTTAAAGAGTTACCAATAACTCCATCAAACCCCAATCCTGAAGCCAAGAGGGAACGATCGATGCCGTATGGGTGGCCAGCCAAAGCACCAGAGCCCAATGGAGACTGGTTAACACGCTCAATGATCTGCTGCAATCTTTTGTAGTCCTCGGTAAAGTAAGTGGCATAGGAGCTCAACCAATGGGCCCATCTAATGGGCTGAGCCCTCTGCAAATGAGTGTAGCCCGGCATCAAGACATCTATTTCATTTTCGGATCTGGTCAAAATCGTTTCAATGAAAACCTTCAATTTCAAACTCAATGCTTTCAATGACTCACGTACAAAAATCCTCATATCGGTTGCAACTTGGTCATTTCTGGATCTTCCTGTGTGCACTTTACCCGCAATGTTTTTGCCAATGAGCTCTCCCAATCTTCTCTCATTTGCAGTGTGGATGTCCTCGTCTCCCGGTTTCTCGACAAATTTATCGTTTTTCCATTCTTGGCGAATCACTTCTAATCCGTCATGGATCTTAGCCAACTCATCATCTGTGATCAATCCTAGTTTATTTAGTCCCTGGGTGTACACCTTTGTACCCGTGAGATCAGCATCGTACATAATCTTATCATAAGGCAAGCTTGCATTATACAAATCCATCAATGGATCAGTAGCTCCGGTGAATCTACCACCCCAAAGTTTGTTCTCACTGGGTTGTTCTGTTTGTTTCGACATTGGCTGAACTTTGAAGACAGTAAAAGGTCAACGTTTCATGAAAAAATTTTCTTCACCGCGGTTAATCAATAATTGCAATTACTGAATTTAGATGTGATGTGAGTCATTTTGAAATTGTTGCACGACCAAGAAGAAATCGACCCTAAAAAGGCGTCTTATCGAGCGGAGAGGGGAGAGGGGCGGTAAAGGTGGTATATGTTTTGTTGAACGTGAAGAAGTTGTGGCAACTACTTATTCACCGATAGATGTATTACTTCATTTCCACCATGTAAATTTGTTGGAAAAGTTTTCCAACATTTTGCAGTGAATTAAAGCATAACATACGCGTCAAAGTCATCAAGATATTGGTATTGCGTTAGATTACAAGAAAAAGCAAACCATTTCAGCACAGCCTCGTCATCGGTTACACCTGTACTCTATGCTTTACTCGAATCTATTCGAAGGGCTCTCTCATGTTCCTGATTTAATACACAAGCACGTGACAAAGTTTCTCGGCATCTTCACCAACCTTTGATGCCTCTAAATTGAAGTGCCATTCACCAAGGGTATTCTATTACGTCATCCCCATCAGCCAATATTTTCTTGTCTTTCAATTTTCTTGTGCCATGTAAAAATTGAGTTCTTCCGAAAATAACCTTAATTTGAGAGGCAGAGACAATATTAGATGAGATTGCGTTGATGGAAATGTCTACGACTGGCGCAGGAATTGGTAGAAAAGAATACACTGCGGCAATGATCTGCTAATTTCCTAGCATCTTGGCAAAGAGATGATGAACCGCCATGTACCAATAAAGACTGCTACAGTTTCAAACGGCAATTTTCAACCCCAAAGCCAAGCCCATTTCAAACTTTTCTTGGTTTTTCGAGTATTTATTTTCTTGGTGTAAACAATGTCGCATTTAATAAATTTTTGCAACTTTGCTATATCCACAAAGGGCTTGGAATTATAAACTCCACCAAGTACAAGCTGTTTCAAGTTGATATCGTCATTGTCTTCTAAAGAAATAAGCCGAGTTGCGTGAATTCTTGGTAAAACCTTAATACAACCAGTCTCCCTCCAATCGTGACCCCTACCCCCAGATGCGCTTAATTTTCTTAGCATAGAGACCTTCTTCTAAGTGTGGGGAAGCACATTCATTAGAGGAGTCCGTAAAGCAACACGTCTGAAGTGTTTCCACTTTATATGGAACCTCAAATGGCTTCCACACAATCAACTACAGACCTCATTTCAGCTCTCCACTATAAACAATGTCAGTTAAAGAACTTGATATAGTTTCCAAACATTCATCGGACTCCCCCAACCATGACAACAAGAGTTCCGAAGACTTGACTTCAAAAGAGTCTCATGAGGCAGAACACGGAAATGTACTTTCAAGGTACACCGAACACCAAGTCATGGAGATAGGCAGAAGTTATGCAAAGGAGCACGATTTGGATCCAGAACTCTTTGCACATGCTGCTGCCTTGGCAAGATCTCCAGCTGGATTTTCAGATATGTCTTTCCTTTCAGATGAAGAAAAAGCAGCTCTTCACTTAGAAGCAACAAAAAAATGGCACATTCCTAAGAAATTGGTGGCTGTGATTGCGCTTGGTTCAATGGCTGCTGCAGTTCAAGGTATGGACCAAACTGTCATTAATGGTGCAACCTTATTCTACCCCAGGGCTTTTGGCATTACCGAAATGAGAAATGCTGACTTGATTGAAGGGTTGGTCAATGGGGCGCCTTACTTGTGTGCATCATGTATCGCTTGCTGGATGTCCGACTTATGGAACAGACATTTGGGACGGAAGTGGGTTATATTTTGGACTTGTTTCATTTCAGCCATTACATGCGTGTGGCAAGGGTTTGTCAACAACTGGTGGCATTTGTTCATCTCGCGGTTCTTTTTGGGGGTTGGTGTCGGGATCAAATCGGCAACTGTTCCTCCATATGCTGCCGAGTGTGCACCAAAACACATCCGTGGTGCCTTGGTGATGTTGTGGCAATTTTTCACTGCTGTTGGGATTATGTTTGGATACGTTGCTGCATTGGCGTTCTACTATGTCCCCGACAGAGGCTTTGATACAGGGTTGAACTGGCGGTTGATGTTGGGTAGTGCTTGCATTCCAGCTTTTGTTGTTTTGTTTCAAGTGCCCTATGTTCCTGAATCGCCACGTTGGTTAATGGGGAAAGGAAGGCATAAGGAAGCGTTTGAATCTTTGAAAGTATTGCGGTTTGATGAAATATCAGCAGCCAGGGACTGTTTTTACCAGTATATTTTGTTGAAAGAGGAAGGTTCTTACAAGATTCCAACTTGGAAAAGAGTTATTGAAATGTTCACCATCAGGAGAAACAGAAATGGGGCTCTTGCCTCATGGATTGTCATGTTTATGCAACAATTTTGTGGAATCAATGTTATCGCCTATTACTCATCCTCTATCTTTATTGAGGCCAACTTGAGTGAGATTAAAGCAATGTTGGCTTCATGGGGGTTTGGTATGATCAACTTTATGTTTGCAATTCCGGCATTTTTAACAATTGATCATTTTGGAAGACGAAACTTGTTGCTATTTGCATTTCCAGTGATGGCGGTGTTTTTGTTGATTGCTGGGTTTGGGTTTTTGATTGATGACATCAACGGTAGATTAGGTATGGTCACGACTGGGATTTACTTGTTCTCGTGTGTTTACTCCTCATCGGAAGGACCCGTTCCATTCACATACTCAGCAGAGGCCTTCCCATTGTATATCAGGGATTTGGGCATGGCATGGGCCACGTCGACGTGTTGGTTTTTCAATTTCTTATTGGCATTCACCTGGCCACGTTTGCAAAACGAGTTTACTCCAACAGGGGCATTTGGATTCTACGCAGCTTGGAACGTTATTGGCTTTTTCTTGGTCCTTTGGTTCCTACCAGAGACCAAAGGGTTGACGTTGGAGGAGTTGGATCATGTGTTTGCAGTTTCTGCAACAAAACACGCAATCTATCAGACAAAAAATTTGTGGAGAAATGTTCAAGTCTATGTGTTGCGCAGAGACATTGAACCTTTGCCCCCATTATACAAATCTGCCGCTATAAGTCCAACATTTGAACAGAAAGCTGAGATTGTGCACGCTGAGTGAATGTTGTAGGTGATGTATGTGTTTAGTATTAATTAGTGTAAATCATCCATGCTACAAACACTCTACATCTACGGTTTACATCTACCGGTGAATCTTGGGTACAACGAACAGTCCCTGACGGTGAATCTGTCACAAATCCAAGCCAAAATTCTTTCAGTACCAATTCCATATCCACCATGCTCGCAAGTACCATAGCGACGTTGATCCAAGAGCCAGTAATATGGCGCTGGGTCAATGTTTTCTCTCTTGAACCCTGCCAATAATTCATCGTAATCAACAGTTCTCATGCTACCTCCTGTAATCTCACCAACATTTGGCATCAAAACATCAACAGATTCAGTTACTTTAGGATCGTCTTGACATTTTTGCATGTAGAAGGATTTGATTTCGACTGGGAATCTAGTCAACAAGATCGGTTGGTTAATTGTGTCAACCATTTTCCTTTCCTGTGCTTCAGCAATGTCATCACCAAAAGAGTATGGCTTACCCTCATCGTTCAAAATACCCCTCTCATTCAACCAGTCCAATGCTTCAATGTATTGCATTCTCTTGAAAGGCAATTTTGGTGCCTCAAACTTTGGGTTCAATTGTTTAACCAATTCTCCAGCAACTGGGTCCTCCAATACAGTTTGCACTGTTTTAGAAATCAATTTTTCCAAATGGTGCAACAAGTCTTCAAAAGTGAGGAAAGCCAACTCGGCTTCAATGTGAGTGTACTCACTCAAGTGTCTCCTAGTGTGTGATTTTTCGGCTCTAAAGGATTCTTGAACGCAATAAACATCACCCAATGCAGGTAAACATGTTTCCAAGTACAATTGAGACGATTGGGTTAAATATGCCTCTTCTCCATAGTAGTTCATTTTGAACAAGGTTGATCCACCTTCCACTTGGGTTTGCACCATACATGGCGGAGTCACTTCCAACAAACCTTCTTCTTGGTAAAACTGTCTTATGGCACGTAAGAATGCAGCTCTGACTCTCATTACCGCGGAAATACTTTCCCCTCTCAATGTCAAGTGACGTTGATCCAACAACAATGAAGGATCAGCACCTTCTTGAACCTTGTTTGTGAATGCATCCTCACCACTTGGAGCCAAGCCAACAATCTCGTAGTAATCAGCTTTCAATTCAACTCCACCTGGGGCAGTTTTACCCTCTGGCAATTTGGAAACAACACCTTTGATCAGGACTGTGGATTCTATGGTCAACTCTTGCGTTTGTCTAGCCTTGGCCAAATCTCCAGTCAAAACACATTGCAAGAACCCTGTTCCATCTCTCAATGTTATAAACGCCAAGCCCTTTTGTACCCTCAAACGGTGTACCCATCCATTGACTTGTACTCTTGTACCAATGTTATCCTGAATCGATCTCAATTTGATCTTCTTTGCAGCTGGTAAAGATTTGTCTTCTTCAATTGCAGTCAAATCCACATCAGCAACTTTTGGCAATGACTCCTTTTCAGCTTGAAGTTTGGATTGCTTTTCAGCTTTTTTCTTCAACCCTTCGGCCCCCTTTTTAGCTTTTTTCAATGCAGATGGGGAAATCTCGGTGTATGCGAATTTAGTCTTATCTTCTTCGGTTTCCTTATAGACGAGGATTTTGGCGTCAGGGTTGACAAATAACGCATAAGCCGCGGTAGCAAATGGCTGAGATTCTGAACCGGAATGGTCAGCAGAGTCTACTCCAGTTTTCTCATTAACGTATATAGTAGTTGTAGACATTGGTGTTTGTATAGTCTTGAAAGTAAAACTGGCTGAAAATTCTGATTCTGACTCAATATGGATTTGAATAATTTTTTTTTTTTTTTTTTTTCAACTCTTTTCTCTCTGTTGGGAAGAAGGGAAAAAATAAAAAATTAAAAAATTAAAAAATTAAAAAATTTTGCAGAGAGGTTTTAATCTTACGAGTCATAAATAATTCAAATCAGTCAAAGAGAAAGAGTTTCACCACACAATGGCCTTAGCTCAATCTTTAGCTTCTTTATCCTTAGCTGTGTCTGGAGAAACCAGCAATGCATTGCCAACCAAAACCTTGGTATTTAAACCAAAGACGGCTAAATCAGCTACACCTGTTCCTGTGTTAGTCTTTGCACTTCAATCTACTGTGACTCCTACCCCAACCATTGCGAAATCTGCCAACGTCAAAGAACCCAGATTGGCCAAAGATGACTTAGTTCAGGAGTTTTTCAAAACCTCAGCCAAGGAGGTCTCTATTGCCAATTTGTCTCAGGACGTGGCTGGAAAGATCAAGATCGTACTTGATGATAACATACTTAAAGCAGCTGAAAAAGATGAGACGTTAAAGTTGACTACTGAAACTGAAGCTGCTTGTTTACCTGCAAAAGCAGTTTTGGAATTCTTAAAGTCTACAGGAATTGAAGTTGTTGAGACTGATTTTGCTGCAGAGCCAGTTGCCACTGTTCCTCCTAAAGATAAGAAGCCAGCTCCTGCAAAGAAAGAAGATGCCAAAATTGAAGATGCCAAATTGATTGGTATCACTATCGACAAGGAGAAAGATTTTTCCAACTGGTACACTCAAGTTGTTGTGAAAAGTGAAATGTTGGATTACTATGATGTTTCCGGTTGTTATATCCTCAGACCAAACTCATACGCTGTTTGGGAAACGATTCAAGACTGGTTCAACCAGAAAATTAGAACTTTGGGTGTCCAAAACGCATATTTCCCTATGTTTGTTTCACAAAGAGTTTTGGAAAAGGAAAAAGATCATATTGAAGGATTTGCTCCTGAAGTTGCTTGGGTCACCAAGGCTGGTAGTTCCGAATTGGATGAGCACATTGCCATTAGACCAACATCTGAGACAGTCATGTACCCATACTACGCCAAATGGATTAGGTCGCATCGTGACTTGCCTTTGAAATTGAACCAATGGAACTCTGTTGTTCGTTGGGAGTTTAAGCATCCTCAACCATTTTTGAGAACTAGAGAATTTTTATGGCAAGAAGGACATACTGCTCATTTGACAAAAGAGTCTGCAGCAGAAGAAGTTTTGCAAATCTTGGACTATTATGCTGCTATATACGAGGAGCTATTGGCTGTTCCGGTTGTTAAAGGTAGAAAGACCGAAAACGAGAAATTTGCTGGTGGTGACTATACAACCACGGTTGAGGGTTTCATTGCTGCAACTGGTAGAGGTATACAAGGTGGTACTTCACATCATTTGGGCCAAAACTTTTCCAAAATGTTCAACATTTCCGTAGAAAATCCAGATGGAGCTGACAAGGAGCGTTTGTTTGCCTATCAAAACTCTTGGGGATTGTCTACGAGAGTCATTGGTGTTATGGTGATGACTCATTCTGATAACAAGGGGTTGGTCTTGCCACCAAGAGTAGCCCAAACCCAAGCTGTTGTGATCCCCGTGGGAATCACAGCTAAAACAAGCGATGATCAAAGGAAACAAATCAACAGCGGTGCAGAAGAGATTGAACAAAGGTTGAAGAAAGCTGGTGTCAAGGTTACTGGAGACTACAGAGATTCTTACAACCCAGGATGGAAGTTTGCCGATTGGGAATTGAAAGGTGTTCCACTTCGATTAGAATTTGGACCAAAAGATTTGGAATCAAAACAAGTTACTGTTGTTAGAAGAAACGATGGTAAGAAGTACACCGTCAAGTTGGACGAATTGGAGAAGCGTATTCCAGAGTTGCTAGATGACATGCATAACGCATTATTAGAAAAGGCTAGGAAAGATTTCGATGAGCATAGAGTGTTGGTGGAGGATTGGAAAGATTTTGTCCCCACTTTGAACAAGAAAAATGTCATTTTGGCCCCATGGTGTGGTGATGCTGACTGTGAAGATGACATCAAGGATTCATCGGCTAAGAACGATGATGGTGAAGATGGTGATGTCGATGAAAAAGCACCATCAATGGGAGCCAAATCGTTGTGTATCCCATTTGAGCAACCAAATTTGAAGTCTGGCCAGAAATGTGTCAAGTGTGATAGAAAGGCTGTTACGTATTGTATGTTTGGTAGATCTTATTAGAGTTTATGGATTATATTTAATACACATCCCAAAATGGAGATTTCTCTATGCTTTCTATAGCTTCACCAACTGTGACAACCTTGCCATCCTTCAAATCAAGGTGGTACAACTTGGAGACGCCATGATCTTTAAGATATTGCAACGTCTTTTTGTAATTAAGACCAATCTGCTTGATTGAATGAGCATCATCAGATAAACAAAAACGGCCACCGCCATACTCAATAACTGCCTTTACAATATCACTTTTTGGGTAAGGGCAATCCCAACCTTTCCGAATAGCTGCGGAGTTTAGTTCAAACATTGCGCCATAACTACCAGCTTTTTCAATCACTGAAACAATCACTTCCCAAACGTCGGGCCAGTCCTCTTTGATCCTGACATCCTTGGTGAGCTTGTTTGTAGTTTCATCAAAATCGTCTTCCGGCTGACAAAGACGAATCAAATCGAAATGGCCAATCACTTGGGGCTTCAAGTCAATTACATTGGACACCAATTTGAAATAATCTTTGTATAACGATCTGGTCAAACCGCCTTCACTAGCCGCCTTGGCTTCCTTCCAAAGCTCTTTGGAAAAGTCTATTGGGAGCTTGTTAACGTAGTGGACTGATCCAACACTCATTTGCACAGAAGGATTCTGAAGTGTCTTGGCTGACAAGTCCAAATGTGCCTTATCTATTCCCTCTATTTCAAACCCGACAATAATCTTTATCTTGTCCTTGTACTTCTCTTGCACTTGTTTTGCATGCACCAAGTATTTGCTAAAATCATCCAGCAACTGTTTCGTCCCGTAGCCCTTCTCAATCTCCTCCGGGTACAAGTATACTTGGTCCAATCTTGGCATATGTTCCGTAAGACAAAGAACATCAAAGCCGCGGTCAATGTAGTTCTGCACCATTTCCTCTAAAGGATCATAGGCGTGGGATATGTAGTCACCACTGTGCGAATGATGTGAATGCATTTTTGGGGTGATGATTCTTCTAGCAACAACTACCTACTTGATCCACTGGGAAGAGAAGTCCCCTCAATATATATATATATATTTATGTATATGTGCTGAGCAACGTGGGGAGGAAGATGCTCTTCTTCTTCTTCATTGTTAGATATGTAATCTCTAATTGTGTATTTTTCCAAAATCACATTGCGGAAAAATTTACTGAATTGGTCGATGATAGCGGAGAAATCGAGACAAGCCCTATTGGATGAGCAAGCCCTTGTGGATGATTAGAACTACACACGCAGGATTGAGGCAGAGTGTACTAAGACGATATCTAAGGAGTAAAAGTACTCTAGCTCCAACAATCAAGGAGCAAATACTGGCATCTCCACCGATTGGGTCAACATTGGAAGTACGTGGATTTGTCAAAAGTATACGAAATTCAAAAAATGTTGGGTTCTTGGATATATCCGACGGCTCAACCTCCAAGATAATCAATGTTGTGCTTGTTGGTAGAGAGCAACCAAGGTTTCAAGTTGGTGAAAGCGTTTGTGTCAGAGGTGAATGGAGTGCAAGCAAAGGAAAGGGTCAGGATAAAGAGCTAAAATACAATCCTGAGAATCCAAACCATAGTTACGAAATCATTGGTGAAGTTCCAGAGGACTACCCATTACAGAAAAAGGCCACTTCGATGTCATTTTTGAGGACGCTTCCATCGTTGAAGCACAGAGCATCCACGATTGCATCGTTCTACAGACTTCGATCATTTCTTGAGACTCAAATGATGGATTTCTTCAACAATCACAGTTTTACAAAAGTCACTCCTCCTTTGATTACAAGTTCAGATTGTGAAGGGGCAGGAGAAACATTTGAGATTAAACAAGCTGATGACTTTTTTGAAAAGAGAGCGTATTTGACGGTTTCGACCCAATTACATTTGGAGGCAATTTCATTGGCTCTTAACCGAGCATGGACTTTGGCACCCTGCTTTCGAGCAGAGGAGTCCAAGACTTCTAGGCATTTGAGCGAGTTTTGGATGTTAGAGGCAGAGATATCGTATTTGAATAAGTTGGAGCCGTTATTAAGTTTCACTGAGGAGATGATAAAATCGGTTACGAGAAGCTTGGTGGAGAGAAAGAAGGAGTACCTTGAGGGAACATACTTGGACCAAGAGGTTATAGAGTCCAGATGGAGCTCCATCCTCGGCAGCGACTGGCGTCGTTTGACGTACCATGAGGCACTTGAAGAGTTGAACAAACAGGGCGCAAACTTAGAATTTGGAGATTCCTTGAACTTGGTCCATGAAAGAGCACTAGCAGAAAATGGTCCCGTTTTTGTTACTGACTACCCTGCATCAATGAAGCCATTCTACATGCTAAAGTCGTTGAGTTATAATGAAAATGAGCCGACGGTTGCCTGTTTTGATTTACTATTGCCCCAATTTGGTGAACTTGTTGGTGGGTCTTTGAGGGAGCACGACTACGACACGCTCATTGAGTCGATGAGAGAGAAGAGCATGAACTTAGAAGATATGGAGTGGTACATTACTTTGCGTAAATGTGGTACAATTCCTCATGGCGGATTTGGTATGGGGTGGGAGCGGTTTGTCACGTATTTGTCAGGACATGACAATATAAGGGACTTGGTTCCGTTTCCAAGAGCTCCGGGCCTTTGTAAGGCGTAGATAGAGGATATAGAGTGTATAAAGTAATCTTGTACATAATGCACACACACACACACACACACACCCCACTGTCTCGGCAGCAGCGAAACAAAAAAATTTTCAAAAACCTCTGAAAAATTGCTAAAACTTGCTTCTTTTGCCATTCAAATCATTAAAGCCATACACAGAACCTTCAATAATCACACATCATGGATCAGTTAAATGTCAAAGAACAACAAGAGTTCCAACAAATTGTTGAACAGAAGCAAATGAAAGATTTCATGAACTTGTACTCAAACTTGGTTTCGAGATGTTTTGAGGATTGCGTTAATGACTTTACATCCAACAACTTGACTTCAAAGGAGACCAGTTGTATTGCCAAATGTTCTGAAAAGTTCTTGAAGCATAGTGAACGTGTTGGTCAAAGATTCCAAGAGCAAAAGTATGTATATTAGGATGAAGATGTTTGAAAAATTAATACTAACTAAAATCCAGTGCTTTGTTGATGCAACAGGGTCAAAGATAGACTAACTATGGGCCTGGAAGATGCTTAAGGTGCTTTTGGAGATGGTGTTCAACTTGTGGATTCAATGAATCTCTGCAGATGCCTCTCCGCTAAACGTTTGTATATAAAATAACACAACTTTTACTAGAGAAGACTTTGATTGAATACACTGTAATACCCTTTTGCTCTGCTATTCTCTACTTCCTTCAGACACGGAAATGCAATATCGCAACCTGCCTCATGCAAAGCTTTTCCTTGATTGGGACTGAGAGAAGGTTGAAAAAAAGAAAAAAATATCAACCATTCTACCCGACCAACAACAACAACTACGACTATGACGGAACAAGTCAAGATAAACCCCGACCTTCTGATCATCCTTGTGGGATCCGTTATCAACAAATGTATCAGTGAATATGAAGGTGATCTATCTGACAACAGGGCATCGATACCGGTCGAAGAATTTATCACCCAATTAAACGACACTACACGCAAGTATACACAAGACTTTCCCAACGACGAGATAAACTTCCCTCAAATAGATATCAAGCTACTTTCATTCATTATCAATAGAACGTTGTACTTTAAGTTTGTCAGTGTCGCGAATAATCATGTCATAGTGGAAGTAGGAGATCGGTACGAGAATTATTTGAAGAATATTGTTGCAACTTCAACCTTTCGTTACTCAAAGTTTTTGCTAAATGGGGCGAAACTGTTGTACAAGTCAGAACAAGAAGGAAACAAGGGAGTGGGGGTAGAGGAAGTTACCGAGACCACAGAAGAGGTTAAGGATATGGAATCGGCAGAGCAGTCTGTCGAATCAACAGAAAATGTCGCGGACAAAGAACAGCAAGTGAGCGATTCAAAAGAGGATAATATCGAACTGGACGACGCCACTGGAGCAGCATCGAAAGGTCAAGATACTAAAGATATTGAGGGTACTAAAGATATTGAAGATACTGAAGTGGTTGTTGTGACAGAAGAAACGAAGAATCATGAGACGGAAGAGATAGGGGCTGCAGATGGCGTGGAATTGGCAAGTCCCGAAATTGAGGAGTTATCGCAGGTGGATGGAAAACCGTCATCGGCAACAGAAATGGAAACAAAGGATACATCTCAGAGTGTTGGTTCTAAACAGGCGCAGGATAATAAGGACGATATTATACAAACTGATGTTGGTGTGGAGAAAGAGCAATTGCTGCAGAAGGATGATCCTCCTGAGTCTGATGGAGAAACAGCCCTTGAGGAGAATACAGCAAAGGCCGAATCCAAAGCAGCTGCGTTTGCTGATGAAGTGGTGGAGGGAAATGAGGAAGAAAAGTCTAGTGAAGTGCTGGAAGGTGAAGTAAAGGATACGGCGTCTGCAGTAGTTGACGTTACCGGAGAGCAAAAGGAGTTAGGAGTCAAGAAAGACTCTGAAAAACGATCGAATGCGGACGACAATTCCGAAGAGGGGACAAACAATGTAAGTGCTTCTGGTGATAGGGCAGTTTCAGAATCTTCTTCACCCACGCCAGTAGAGAGCGAGACCCACGAGCCACCAGCACAAGAAAAGTCAATTGATACTACTTCCCCCCAATTGCAACCACTTCCGTCAACAAAATCTGAGCCATTGTCGCGCAAGCGGCCGAGGTCACAATCACCGGCACCTACACAACATCGCAAAAGATTCCAAAACATTGCCGTCAATCTCATCAATTCAATTCAGGAACATAGGTTCTCTTCACCCTTTTTGCAAGCGGTCAATCCCAAGGATGCACCTAACTATTACGAGATGATATATGAACCGAGAAACTTGAAGGGTATATTGAAGGCTCTTAAATCAAAGGCCGACCCACCGGTGTATCTGCTGATCAAGGAGCTTGAAAGGGATGTCATGTTGATGTTTGCCAACTGTATCATGTACAACAGGCCGGACGAGGATCTAGTAGAGCTTACTAGGACGATGAAGAGGGATGTTGGTGATATGTTCAAGATGTTTAAAGAAGCTGAACTGGAGATTAAGTAGGGTAGCATGGTAAGTAGTTGTAAAGTAAATTTGGTACACTTTGCACGCGAGGAGTTTACGCAAAACTTTTTGTTTAGACGAGAAAGATATGCGGCATCAAAAATATAGCCAAAGACTGGACACCAAGAGAAAAGTCCATCATCATTTCCCGCCACATTCGAGCTGTCGCTTCAATAATGACAAGACTTAGCTCGCCGTTCGTTAAACAAACGTCTTTTGAAGTGGAATATGCTCCAGCATATATAACTAAATGGAAATCCCAGCGCACAGGCTTGCAACTAACGTACATCAATCAACCATCTCCCGTGGTTAATGGGTATTTTGCAGTTGCCACCGAAATCAGCGACGATTCCGGGTCGCCACACACGTTGGAACATTTGGTGTTCATGGGGTCAAAAAAGTACCCGTACAAGGGGTTGTTGGATACTTTGGGTAATCGTCTTTACTCGCAAACCAATGCATGGACCGCTACGGATCAAACGGTGTACACATTGACTACCGCTGGATGGGACGGATTCAAGACATTATTGCCTATATATTTGGATCATTTGTTGAATCCTACATTGACCGATGAGGCGTGTTTGACCGAAGTGTATCATGTCGATGGTAAGGGTAAAGAAAAGGGGGTTGTGTTTAGCGAAATGCAAGGTATAGAAGGTCAGTCGTGGTTTGAAACGTCTACACAGTTGCAGAGAATGTTGTATGCGCCAGATCTGGGCTATTCTTCGGAAACTGGTGGACTCATGGCTGAATTGCGTCATTTGACAAATGTAAGGATCAAGGAGTTTCACAAGTCAATGTATAGACCGGATAACTTGTGTGTGATTGTTACTGGGTCGATTGATCAGGATGAATTATTGCAAATCATGACTGATTTTGATACTGAGTTGGAAGCATTACCCCATGTGGCTAACAAGAGACCTTTTGTCGACTCCAAACATGACGAGCCATTGAAGGAGGAGGTTGTTAAGGTTGTTGAGTTTCCGGAAACTGATGAATCTACTGGTGAGGTGTTGATGGCGTGGATTGGTCCTTTGGGAGACGATCCTATCATAAATACTGCTGTCGATATGGTGGGTGCTGCATTCACAGATAGTGCTATTTCCTTGTTTAATAAGCATCTTGTGGAGATTGATAATCCGTATGCTACTGCGATAATGTACCATACCGATGACTATTATAGAACGGCATTAAACTTTACATGCAACGGGGTGCCAACTGAGAAATTGAGCGAGTTGGTGACCAAGGTGAAAGACTTGATCAAGTCACAAACTATTCCAGAAGAGTTCAACTTGTTGTACATGAGACAAATTATCAATCAACAACGATTAAAGTTTATATCACAAACTGAAAAGTCTCCCGTGGTATTTTCAGACATTGCCATACTTGATTTCATATACGGTAAACCTGATGGGAGCGATTTATCAAAATGGGCACAAAACTTGAACGAATATGATGAGTTATTGACTTGGAGCTCCGACCAATGGTGCGATTTGATCAAGGAGTATTTTGTTGATAATAAATGTGCTATTGTTTTGGGAACCCCCTCGAGAAACTTGAATGACGAAATGAAGAAACAGCAACGTGAATTGAATAAGAACATCAAAAACAAGTTAGGAGCTGATGGGTTGAAGCAAGCCCATGATAAATTGGCAGCTGCTCATGAGTTCAATGATCGTCCTATTCCCGAAGAGTTGCTTGTCGCATTTGCCAAGCCTGATCCATCGAAAGTTGCTTTTATAAAAACGAATTCATACAAAGCAGGATACAGCAAAGGTGTGGTTGATGTAAACACTAACCTGTACATTGAATCGGACGAGCTTTATGCCAAGCTCCATCAAGACACACCCTCTGGCTTCCCACTTTTCATGCACTTTGAAAACTTCAAGTCGCAATTTGTAACTATACAATTGGTTATGGCCTCAACTAAATTACAGCCACATTTGCTTAAATACATGTCGATATTGGAAGAGATTTTCAGCATGTCGATGAAATTGCCCAATGGAGAATACATTTCCTACGAACAAGTAGTTTCCGACTTGAACCGAGACTTGATTGAATTCCAATTGGATAATGGATTCAATTACCAATTCTACGATTTGATTACCCTTCTGGTAAAATGTGAAACGAAAAAATACGCCACTGCAATCAATTGGATATACAATATTGTCAATTTCGTTGAGTTTGAAGAAGGCAGAGTCAAGGTCATTTTGGAGAAATTGATTGGGTCCTTACCAGATAAGAAACGTGATGGTGAGTTGATGATGTACTCGTCACAATTTCGAAACTTGTTCAATGATTCTTCATTAAGGAAGCAGCAGGATTCAATCAATACCGAATCGTTTTTCAAAGAGTTGTTGCAATTGATCAATGATGGGAAATTTGAAGAGATCAAACGTGATTTGAACGAGATTAAACGTAACTTGTTCAACTTGGATAATATCAAATTGATTGTCTTGGGTGATGTATCGTCATTAGAAACACCAGTTAGCTCATGGACGAAATTCGTAGCCCAAGATGAACCAAGCACTGAAAAAATCACTTCGTCCATCATTCCATTCAGTCAATTACCACGGTCGTTCCAGTTCAAGTCTGAGCTCGGATTCCGATGCAAATCCCAAGCGGTTCTCATTGACATGAAGGCAACAGAATCTACCCACTTGGTATCAGTAACACCAATACCCACAGACTACTTGCACGATGACATTCCACGAATCGCACTTACTATTGAGTTTCTCTGTGCTGTAGAGGGCCCATTCTGGCGATCAATTAGAGGTTCAGGTTTGGCTTATGGTGTTAGTATGAAGCAGAATATCGAGACTGGGTTTTTGAGTTTTAAATTTTATCGTGCTGCTGATGCAAAACAGGGGTGGATTGAGTCGAAAAACTTGATGAATCGATTTGCGAACGGAGAGTTGCCTATAGATGCATTGAGTTTGGAGAATGCCGTGGCTGCTATTGTTAATGAGTTGGCCAATGCCCAGGAATCCAGTTATGATTCTGCTAGTGCGAAAATTTGTGACAACTTGTTCAAGGCAAGAGGTCCCAATTATATCGAGTCGTTTTTGCACCAATTGAACCAGTTGGGCGCTGATGACGTGAGGTATGTGTTGAAAAAGTATTTTGTGAAATTGTTTGATGCTGGTCATTCGGTTGTGTTTACGAGCTTGCCCATGGAGAAAATTGAAGAGATGGGCAAGTTTTTGCAAGGTGAAGGTTACAATATCAAGGTGGAGGAGATTAACCATGATGAAGAGGAGGAGGAGGAGGAGGAGGAATTTGAACAAGAGAGTGGCGATGACGAAACTGTTAGTGGAAGTGGAAGTGACAGTGGAAGTGACAGTGACAGTGACAGTGACAGTGATGACGAGTGAGTGGAGGTGTGTTTGATGGATCTTCTGCTACGCTTGGCTTTCTGTATATATATATATTACTTGTCTAGCCTTTGTACAAAGAAAAATTTACCCTATGTTTATTGTGGATGATTCACTTCAACCTCTTTTGGTTTAGCAGCTGCTCCACCATCCTTGACATCTTCTTTCAACGGATCATCAACTTCGCCCTTGGCCTTGGCATTCGCCTCAGCCTCGGCTTGTTGCTGCGCTTGTTGAGCTGCAATAGCTTTGATTTCATCTTCAGTTCCACCATTGGCTCCCTTCACAGCGGCGGCTCCGTTGGCGGCACCTTTCGCACCAGTGTAAAACTTCTCAACATCTTCTGATTTGAATTCAAAAGTGGAATCAAATGAATCCAGTTTCAAAAACTCGATATATTTGTCAAGTTTGAAACATACAGTTTGTTGATCAATCTTGGCAGTGTTTTTCCAGTACTCGGGACTCTTGATGGCATCGCACGCAACCCATTTGGCTATTGAATGGAAACGCAATTCCCAATCTCTTTTTCCAAACACGGACTTGATATCATCCATTGGTCCGATATTCCTTCTTGAATAAGTGCCAAACTCGCCCTCTTGTGCATTCTTGACGGGATCAATTTTTGGGTGATTGCAATGAAGGAACAAGAGTTTAGGTAACTGGTATTCAACCAATCGGTGCGCTGTATCCTCATCTTCAATCTTTTTATCTTCAATGATTTTCTTTTTATATTCCTTGAACTGTTCAATTAACCGATCAGTATACCCACCCGATTGGAATGGATTCAATCTGGTGTCCAATTGCTTAGTTGATAAGAATTTCTGCCAATCATGGTAAAACTCTGGATTATCACGAGGATCAGTTTGTCCCAATGTAGTCTCGGAAAATTTACCATTGTCGGCAGTGTATCCCCAAAGGTACAATTTTTGATTGGTTAAATGATAACGCTCATTCATTACATGTAATGCAGGAACAATGGTTTCACGATCCCCTTCACCAAAAGCACCTTGATAAAGCAAAGTTTCATACCAACCTTTGGAGTTCATATTATAGTACAATGATAAAAGTAAAGCACGGAAATGTTCACGTTTGGAAAACACCATTTGACCAGTTTCAACTGAGATTGTGCTTGGCAAATTTGCAAAATCATGGAAATGAATTTCGCTTGCTTTATCCTTTTGAATATAATCTAAAAATTTTGCATCATTGGCAAGACCAAATCGGTGGATTGGTTCTCCCTTTTCGATTCTAGCAATTTTGTAGTATAAGGGACTGGTCAATTTGACCCACAAGTCGGGCCACAAAATCATCTTTGTGGAAAGGTAGGGTTCGGTGTATAGCAAATTGTCAACGTCTCTAATCGGGAAATTGTCTGCGTCCAAGGCAATGGTGTGATCAAACGATGATACAATCAATCCTAGTATTTTCCTGGCAAATTTTTCACTAACCAAGTCAAACACCTCTTTACCTAGGATGTTTTGTATAACCACACACTTTCCATTTAGCTTATTTGGCAATAAATCTTCACAAATTTGTTTATCGTATTCTTCTGGTGTATCCAAGATTAATTCGACTGGCAATGAAGATCCGCGATCACGCAAGTTTGTGATGGCTGTCAAGGCACTGGCAATCATTCCACCACCACCATTGATAACAATACCGTAACCAGAAACAAACTGCTTTGGAGGGTCAGGTAACGATTTCAAGGTCTTGACAACATTATCATGAGATTCTTGCAAACATTTGAATTTGGGAATCGGTATTTTCAAATTAGACTCACGAAGATATTTTTCCGATATTATACGTTGATCTTTTTGATAAGTTGGGTTCAATTTTTTACCACGTTCTTCATCAGTGAAAGCTTCACAATTTGGTTTATTGGCAACAAGAACATTCTTAATCAAGTGTTTGAAGAAACTGGACTTATCGAAAAACCTCTCAGAAGCTTTAGTGACTTTCAATTCGAAATCCAGAGGAAAATCATGCACTTCATTTTTAAGAATTTCCAAAAATGCAGCTGGTTTGAAATCGGATTTGTGTTCCTTGGCATAAGTGTTGACCAATTGTTCAAACAATGCATAAGACACGGAATTTTGTTTGAAAAACTCGCCAGTTTGTTCTTCCTTCACTTCATCTTTTAAAGTTTGTTGAATAACATCAAGGTATTTTTGTCGAAGCTCATTCTTCAACTCCTGAACAATCTTGGGTTTTTCTGACTTGGCTACTGATTGTTTCAATTCAGCAAGAATCTCCTCTTTTTTGGTGTTCTCCAACTCCTGCATCACTTCATCAATGTATTCTTGACTATCCACTTTATTAACGTGTGCTTGTAAAGAGGATTTTCCACCAGTAAAGTATTTGGCACCTCCAGTCCTACTATTACTGATAGCAGCAGCAGTAGTAACAGAGTCACTGGAAGATAGTATCAGCACATTGAATATGATGACAGCAACCACCAAAGCCCCGAGAAAGACATACAGTAGGGATAATCTGCGGAAAAACATGACAGCCAAAGCAAATAACGTGTCTGTGTGAAAGAGTGAGCCGGAATGAGTTGATCTGTATGAGTATTGAATTATTAGTGTGATATGCCTGTAACGAGCGATGAAGACAAATTGACAGAAGCTCCTGTTGTCCAAAGATGTCTTCTACTATTGTCTTTATTCAACATCCAACAAAACTAGATAGATATATTGACAAGTGAGAACAACGCAATAAAATAAAATAAAAAAAAAAAAAAAGAAAAAAAAAAAAAGGTTAAGATTCAGTCCTGCACACATATACACATATATACATATACACATATACACACATATACAAAACAAAAGTTTATCTATGCTGCACGACTTTACCTATTAAACCCAATATATATATATATATATAGATCATGCCTTGCCAATTATAGTTGCTTGAGGTAATGAAGTGCAAGCCCCTGCTTCCTTAGTTGGTGAGAAGTGTGTGAATATGGGTGTGTGTCTCTAGAAATGAACAAAATGAAAGAAGGATAAAGGTTTTGATTTGATGATTGATGATTGATGATGATGATGAAGAGCCGCACATCTGGTACCTCGCGGCTTTTGAGTAACAGCTAAATGCATACCACACCCACATCCAAACACACATACATATATATATATTACTATTTATTGTTTACAGTGTTTGAATAAATAAATAAATAATAATAAATAATAAAATGAATTGTATATGTATATTTGTGTAATCTATTTATAGAGATGGTTTTAAAAACAAAACAAAACTATTTTTGTAAATGAAAAAAAAACAAAATACAAAAATACAAAACCAAAAATTTAGTTTGTCACGTGAAGAAGACGCGTGTTAATTTCATTCATAACATTTATATTAGTAGTTTACAGCCTCTTTTCTTTTGTAAGACAAAAAACCTATCGCTGATTTGTAGAATATAAGAGACAATCCTTGGAATTTTTAAACAATAAAGTCTTTTTTTTTTCAATGAGATTTGACTGAAGGTCTTCTGATAGTGACACTGAATTCAAACAACTTATTTTGCCATCAATTGAGCTTGTCCTGTAATGGATCATGCATTTGGTCATGCTTCCTGCAAGTAACCGCCTGATTCATCAGCTGATTTGGTCATGCTTTCTGCAATCTTGTCCTTGGTCCATTCATTATAAATAGTCTTTGGAATCCTTCATGGTTTCCTGTCTAGTTTATAGAGTATTCAGGAGATATTCCCGATAATAAATGTCTACTACAACTACCTCAGTGTTATACATGTCCCAAGATTCCATATTTAGGACAAGCTCAATTGACCCATGGGAAGAAAAACAAGGTACAGTAGCGTGCCTTCGATAAAATCAATAGCTTTTTCCGAGCTTCAAAAATCCCAAATTTACCTGCATCGGTAAGTAAGTTCCCAGTGTCCAAAAGTGCTATTAGGAAGTTCTTTGGTGGTGAATTACGTGTCTACTGAATACCGGTCTTGGAGCAAATGCTAACTGTAGATGTGTTAGAGTTGCAAATTTTAACTGTCCAAAAACGCAATTATAACTGACTCAATGCTTTTGCTAGTACTGCTAGTATTATACTTGGACTGAGGACTGCCTCATTTCGTATACAATGATTACGTGGAAAGGGAAAGGGATATGAAGTGGAGTAAATTCTGATAAACGGATAGAAAATAGAGTATTTGCAATATTTTATTTTTTTCAATACAATTGGTAGGAAACTCAATGATCATACAGTATTATATAATCATTTGGCCACAGATGGTATGATTTACTGTGCAGAGTGCTACCAATTCAATAATATGATGGTGATGTCTATCTATGTTTGTTTTTCTTTTACATTTTTTCCTTTTCCTTTTTTTTCCTTTTTTTCGCTCTTTATGGTTGTTAATTTTTTTTTTATTTTTTTATTCTTACCCTCCCCTAGAGATCAGAGAAATTCCACAATGTACATTATCATGAGTGAGGGGGACTTTGACGATGAGACATTGGTGTTGTCGATAATTGTTTCATTCTCAGTGACAATTGTCCTAGCGTTGGTCTTTTGCATTTACAAGATTTTCTTTTCAAGACAAACCAATGGCGAATATCAAAGTTTAACCTCATCAATCACTGACAATTTACTAGGTTCACATCTGAATGACGTGCCACGAGAGTTTCTCAATGATGAAGAGAGCTTGACACATTTAGCTGAAACGTTTGACTTTACTGGGTTATCGCCAGAAGAACAGCAACTGTACCTCAAGGGACAAGAGTTTACTGTGAATCACCCACCGGATTTTAGCAAAACTAGGGGCAAAACGTTTTCTGTGGAGGATGAGAGGATGATCAAGGAATACGGGATCAATCTGTTTAGCTTTGAGATGGAGGAGGATTTGTTGAATCCGCACTATCTTGTTGCCGATAGGACCGAGTTAAATTTCAATAATAATGATTTACCGTATAGTACGACAACGGCAAGTTTGAATTATCCATTACCGGTCAAGAATAGGGTTCTTTCTGATACGATATACTTTGAAACCAAAGTTTTTGAGTTTGTCCAAGATCCCAATTCATCAAGTCAGCATTTTTCTATTGGATTAATTACCAAACCATACCCTACTTCGTTCAGATTACCAGGATATAATAAATTCTCCATTGCATATGAGAGCACGGGTAACTTGAAAATTAATAAACCATTCCCAACTCCATTGCAGCAGCATCTTGGTGAGCAAAGCCAGTACAATGCATTGGTGTTGCCTCCGCTTCAGGAAGCTGATGTTGTTGGATTCGGTTATGTGATTCCATCAGGTACGATATTTATCACTCGTAACGGGAAAAAACTTTTGGATGTGATGAGGGGGTGTTTTGTTGACATGTATCCTGCTGTCGGGTGTTTTTCAACCAATGCCAAATTTCAAGTGAATCTCGGCCAAAGCGGGTTTGTTTGGATCGAAGCCAATGTGAGGAAATACGGATTTGTTTCAACTAGTGATTATAAGAAATTGGGAGGCGAAAGAGGATTGGCAAATTTGCCTCAGTATAACAAAGTCAAGGATACTAGTGACAAGTTGCTAGATAAAGGCGAAGAGTTGCCACCTAGGTATAATCTGGAGGAAGAGTTGGATTTCTTTGGTAGGAGCTCGACTGATGTTAGAGTGGGCTCGAGTGCTCAGCATATGAAACTGAATGAAAAAGAGACGTCTGGAGGTCATGATTCTGATGCGGAGGTCAAGAGTATAGATAGAACACATGTGACCAATGAACCGGAAGAAGTTATGGATTTCAGAGAAAGAATATATGAGCAGAATATTAGGAATGATGTACTGAATGGTAGTCAAGAATCTGTGCCTTTGCTTGCTTCCGAGGGTGTTGAGTATGGCTTGATGGAGCTGAGTAATGCATTGTCGAAAGATGAGCCAGTAGCAGAGGAGAATAGTGCACAGGAGGCTGTAGGGTCTCGTCTGGTTACTGTGGAACCACAGACAAAGGTTACTGGAGGGGAAGCGAATCAACAAGAGGAGTCCAATGCAGTCCCATTTGCAGAATCCAATGCTATTGAAGCATCGCCCAGTGCACAAGACGAACAACTACCAACTGAGGTTAACGAATCATCAACTGAGCCAAGCAGCCGAGACGCAACACCAGACGTATCTTCATCAAACCAGCAATCCAAGACTAAATCGGGTTCCAAAAAGAAGAAGAAATCCGGCAAGAAGGGGAACAAGAAGAAGAAAAGAAAGTAAATAGTAATAGCATGTCAAATTTATGTACAAAACACGTGATTTTGTTTGTAGATTGTATGTGAAGGTGTGAAATACCAAATACCAAGCAAGTAGTAGGCGTATATAAACAGAAACTACCAATGGTATATAACGCAGAATAATACTACAGATATGAAACCACATCGGAAACACACATCCAAAGAAACTTAACAAAGAAACTTAACAAAGAAACTTAACAAAGAAACTGAACAAGTAAATAGCAAGGTGATGTTATTCGGATGCCTTATTTGTGTATATACGTCTATTCCTCGTCTTCCTCGTCTTCCTCCTCTTCATCATCATCATCATCATCATCGCTACTCTCATCATTCCACGACTTCTCCACCGTCTCCTTCACCCGCTTCACATACTGACTCCGATGATCCTTGTACAAATTCGCCGCCTCCACATTCGCCGGCGACGAAATGTTTGGATCATTAAGCAAGCTCTGTATACTCGTCAAGATCGAACTCACATCATATGTAGGCGACCACCGGTTCTGCAAAATGTCCAAACACAACTCACCCGACGCATACACGTTGGGGTGGAACATCTCCAGTATGAATTTGACAATGGGGGGTTTGTTGGGGTACTGCTCGTCAAATTGTAAAATGAGCCGGAATGTGCCGTCTTCAAAAGGGGTTTCCGAGGGGCCGATTATTACTGCATTCCATTTCATGACGTTGTCAGGCAAGGGTGATGCTGAGACGCCACTGGGTGGATCTTGTTGCATGCGCTAGAAAAAGAAGAAGAAAAAAAGGTTAGGTACATGCGTGGAGGGGAAACTGATGGGTTTGTGTTAAACATACCTTGAAATCTCGCATGAGTCTTCTCTTGGCTGGTGTGGACATTTGGGAGATTGGTTGATTGAAATATGATTATGTCTGGAATATTTTCGTCTGGATTTGTAAGTAATCGCGTAGGCGCAAGTTGGGATTTTTTTCTTTTTTTTATTTTTTTTTTTTGCCATCAACAGCCACATCAATTTCAAAGTGCCAGTTATTCTTCTGAGTTTATATGATGATGGAACTTTTCTTTTCCGTTTATTTTAGATTATAGTCAACAGTGATACATATACTAAGGTCACTATAGTAATAACTACATTAATCAAGATGTACTATCCTATAATACAAAAAATTCCAGACGGTTTTGTAAGGTTATTGAAGACATTTGTTAAACTAATGGATTCTTTCCTTTCGAGGCTCCAATAAGAAGAAAACTACTTAGAGTTTTCTGCCATTTCATAATTCTTTTTGTCTCTCCATTGCTGGGTGTAGGTAAGCAACAATTGTCTAACTACCTTTCTCATCAGAGTATTGATTAGTTACAATCATAGTGTGTGTGGGGGATTTTGGTGGGGGTAGTTTGCAAAGCCTCAGAAAAGGGAAAATGAAATCTTTAATCTCTTGTGCAAACTTTTCTATTATGTATTGGCTTTAATTTTGCACCTCGTTTAAATGGGGAGTCTGTTACGAAAGACTGATTGGTATTCAATATAGGGCAAAGTCATCAATAGAATGTAAGATTAAATTTGTGTTAGGTAGATCGACTCCAGCAAATCAAGTGCAAAGCAAAACTAGAAATGTATAAAGATATCAAAAGCAAACATTTGATAATGCAACGCCAGTATGGCTGTTGGCTTAGGCGCAAGACATCTCTCCCTAATCTCAGCTCTAAACTCGGCCTACAAACGCAATTGTGTAAAGACTTCAAATCACAGTCAAAACTAAAATGCAACCTAAAGCAGGTCTAGTACTTGTTCAGCACTCTTCTCTTATTTCTGATTGACTACCGCGCAAGTTGTATATAGTGCGAAGTTCAGTCCGCGTATACCACCGCTCAAGTTTAACTACAACGTCTCCCCTAGAGCCATGACGCACCGTATGCTCAAAGTATGTCAAATCCTCACGGCTCAAATCAAAAAAATGGTAGCCAATAACCCCAAATGGGAGATTGGGACTGAAGACTTTCATGCAGTGGGTGAGTATACGTCTCGTACAACACAGGGAAATTTCGCTCCACCAGTTGATGCTACTGTTTGGAAACTGGGGACACAAATCACATACTGCCCTTGCATCACATTCAAAACACGACATGCTCGAGATGACAAGGGATCTGAGTTTGGTATGTCTAAACTTCCCAAGTTTGTAAAGCGCGGTGGGGGCGTACTTCTGCCCGGCAAAACGTAAACATAATTGTCCCAATTTCGGAAACTCTTTCTCCATGTCAGTGAAAGTGAACATAGCATCCAAATCGATATCTCCCTTGAGCGACAATTCACAAAGAGAACCAGTGTCGAAATAATCACGTAGCGGGAAATTCAAACTCATGCTTTCGTAAGAATCATAAAAGTTCAATACACGCAACTGCATATTGAAGCGACAACGCATACGACAATGACCACTAGAAGTTATAATTGTGAGCTCCTTCAAGCTCTTTGACAGGTGAAGTTTATCGATTTCGTTACAACAAAACCACTCACCAACTTGGATCAGCTTGCTAGCAGTTAGTTCATGTTCGGGAAATCTGCTAAATAAATTGGGAGAAATATAATGAGTACCATAACCATACACGTCAATGTATTCTTGAATGTGGAGAAGGTAGCCTGGTTCCCTCTGTTCTCTTGGAATAAGAACCGTAACTAACTCAAAATACTTGATTTTGGTAAAATGTCGGAATATACAATCAATCATGGTCATATTGTGACCATACAATTCCAAGCGATTGATCTCTTGCGACAGATCCATCCTCATCAAATATCTCTCAAATGTGTCTGTGGATATTATTGAGTACTTTGTGCTCTTGCAATTGTTGAGATTCTTGGGGAAGTGGAAAGTCGAGTTTTGTTCATTCAGCTCCAACGCGTCGTTCAACGTCCATGGAATATAAACATAAATGTTCCGGTACAACTTGGGCTTGGCAACGTAGTAGAACTTGGAATGCAATGGAGCAAGGGCTAAAGTGTGGTATTGGTTGAGTTGGTGGAATATCTCCTCCAAAGCTTCGTGATGCAAACTTGTTAGAGAAACCATGAGTTTGCAATACAGTGGTGCATGTTTCAAAGAAAACAGAGCCACGTACTTTGTATCTTGAAGTACTCTGTTATTGTTTCCTCATTCTCGACATCTTGGTTGTAGATTTTGAATGCAAAATCGATTTGAATCTGCAACAAATGGGGAAAGGAACTTTGTGCTATTATCTAATGATACTCATATTGATGGGAATCTTTGCAATAATACAGTGGATTTGGTCAATCCATAAGCGCTTGTTACAAGATGTAAGCCTTGGAGTTTTTATAATTTGGCGCGTTAAAATCAGGAACTTTGCCGCCGAAAACAAACAAACAGAACGAAAAGAGATGTTCATTGGCTTTAATACTCTAATTACATGCTTAGTAGGCCATCTATCTTTTTGTGTTGGAATTTGCCTTTGCAACTTGATCGGTAATGTCGAATGTATGCAATGTTCGTTGCCTATGTTACGTGCGCATGATACATGGATAAGTTTATGTAAAATATAATGTATAAAAATATAGAATGGGCTAAATCAAACTAAAAAAAAAAAAAAAAAACAATACACAAAAGCTTGCTTTGCTTACTTGTGATTCCAGAACTCAGTCAAGTTGTGGCCAGCACCGTTGAATGCCAAGATGTTTGGTGTATCTTCTGGAATATCGGCCAAAACACCATCAGTTCCAAATGAAATCAAATTCTTCTTCAATTGGGCCGGAGTGACACCATCAGCAGCAACGAAAAACTCTGAGCCGGCTCCTGGTTGCAAAGAGAGATAGTATGACAACAAACCAGCAACATGAGGAGAAGCCATAGAGGTTCCTGACAAGTAAGCAGTAGCAGTGTCAGATCCAATATAAGTGGACAAAATGTTCAAACCAGGGGCAAAAATGTCAACACATTTTCCATAGTTTGAAAAGTAAGCTCTTTCGTCTGAAATGGTGGAAGCACCAACAGTGATTGCTCCCTCAGCTGCAGCTGGAGATGTGTTGCATGCATCTTGGTTTTCGTTACCGGCAGCAACGGCAAAATGCAAACCAGCCTTCACGGCAGCATTAACCGCCAAATCCAAGGCTTGAGATCTTCCACCACCAAGAGACATATTGGCAGTAGATCCTTTGAATCCCTTCTTGCCCTTCTTGACGGCATCTTGATGTGCTTTAGCGGCAAATTCAATACCTTTAACCACATCAGACATGGATCCTGATCCATTACTTCTCAACACCTTGACAGCAACAACTTCAGCCTTCTTGGCAACCCCATAGTCCTTGGATGCAATCGTACCGGCACAATGAGTTCCATGACCATTGCCGTCAAGGTCATCGTCGCCAGTAGGAATGGTTTTACCCCAAATGGCTCTACCGTCAAACTCAGTATGCTTGACATTGATACCAGTGTCAATGACATACGAAGTAACACCATCGCCACCCTCAGAATCGTAAAGATACTGATCAAATGAGGACAATGACAAGGGTTGTCTATGAGAGACCCTAGCCAATCCCCATGGAGCCCCCTTTTCAATATCAAATTCATTGGTGTGCACCATAGAGTCCTGTTCGATAAATGACACCAATGGGTTCCTTCTCAAAATCTCGATAGCAATATTGTCAAATCTACCAGTGAATCCGAAAAACCCATCAATGTTGAAGCGTTCCATGATACCGTCAACAAGACTAGTAAAGTCGCTCACACCTTCCTTGAGAACAACAATGTATTGGTTGTTGATGGACTTGGCCTCATCGTGAACAATCAAAGGAGCAAGAGTAGATGGTTCTTGTTGCTGCTGTTGCTGTTGTTGCTGTTGTTGGTAATGCTTAATTTCTTCCTTGGGAATGGCTCTGAAGCTGTCAACAAGGTCTTCAACATTTTGCAATGTTGGAATGTAAATGGCGGAGATGGTGGAAGCCATCAATAATAATGTACTGTACTTCATGCTTAATAAACTTTGGTTTAAACTCTAGGAAATAGAAAAGAAAGGAGAAGAAAGTGCTGGGAAAGTGTGGATTTTATTTTTAAAAACAAAAAAAATGAAATATCTTTGAGAGATATGGGGAGAGAAAACGGTGGCGGGATGAAAGAGGAGAGAGATAAGTAAAGTAAAGAAATATACACGCTACCATTTCCATGTCAAACCAACACAATTATTGCTGGCTGTAGAATGCAAAAAAATGTCGCCTATTTGAACAATACACGCATCCTGAGGGCTGAGAAAGGGGCAGGGGGGTTATCACGTTTGTTGAAGTTATTAATCAATGTTTGCCAGCAACAACAACTACAACTACAACAACAACTGCAACTACAACAAAGGTACTACTATATTCCAAGTGCTTGTTGGACAACTTAGCTGGGTCGTCATTTGGTACGTGAACATTCTTTCAACACAAGCTTCTGGCGACCACCATCTGTTATCCAAGATAAAAACAAGTTCTACTAGAGCTTCCTATTAATGTTCTTGCAACCACTTTAGACGATTGCTGAGAATGCAAAGTTGTGCACAAATCTTACGATAAAACAACCAATCATTTATGTATATGTATTGTTGTGTAATGTAGATAAATGAGAAAGAGAGAGAGAGAGAGAGAGAGATAACAACACGGAAATAAAAAAAGAACAGAAAAGAGACATTTGTGTCTGAAGGTGGAGAATGTCGTTGCTGTTTCAGTGTAGTGCTACGTGTGGTACTCTACATTGTATTATTATTGTCTCTTGGAGAAGGGGGTTATGACGTATACGACGACGACATCTTCTGTATAGTCTCAATCAATGTGTGTTTTGTACATTGTCCGATATTCGGCCGTTTTAGTAACATAGCACACGACTTTTGTATTTTGTCTTTTGTATTTGTCTTTTGTCTTTGTAGATAAGATAAGAGCAATTGGTACACGACCATATGAAATGACGCCACAACAACAACATATAAAACTATTACACCACAGTATTTATCTCTTTTACAAACAGAAGAAAACTAAAAGGACAATAGGATGAAACGGAGAACATTTATGGAGATAAGAATTACACTGAAGAACAAGCAAAGCATTCTTCATCTTCCGAGGCTCTTATTTTGTTGTTCCGTGTAAGACGTGCCACACTTGTCCTTATCGTGTTTTAATTTGCGACACGACACAAACAGAGCTACAGCTTAACGCACGTTAGTGTATCTCTCCGATTTGCTTAGTTCATTAACAACTGCTTTCTTCTATATGTTTCTCGTCTTTGCTTCTTGCTGAGCTGTTTCCCTCGTGCACAAGAACTCAGTTTGTTGTTCAGATTTTGTGTCCTTCGTAGCAATAATTCCAAGGTTACATTTCGCTTTAGATTTGGTGCAAAAAAAACAAAAAAACAAAACGCAAAAATGATACAGAACTTGTAAAGTGTTGATAGAAAACAAGAGTGCTCTCAAACACAGCCTGAGTTGCCCTTGTAAGCATAAATTGCGCCATGTAAGACAGGCACCTTCTAATATCATTACATTATATAATCAAGCAGGATTTTTTTTTAGTTTCGTAAATGAAAAACAAACCTTACACAAAACCTTGAGAAACGTTTTTTCAGCAAGAGCGGCGCCGTGAAAACTCTTGAGTCAGCATCCATCTCTTCTTTGCCCCCTCTCGCCCCCTCCCCCCTTCCCCTGAAGTTTCAATTCACGGCCACACCTTTGCTTTACTTCACAGAATTCACACCATTGAACCACCTACCAATGAAAGCAATTGTTTACTACGGCAAAGAGGACATCAGGTTCCACAATGATCACCCCGAACCTCAAATTAATCACCCCGACGAAGTCAAAGTGAAAGTGGACTATTGTGGTATTTGTGGGTCTGACTTGAAGGAAATCACTTCAGGTCCATTCTTTTTCAATAAGCCAGGATCCACCAACCCAATTTCCAACAAGAAATTTCCCATGGTGATGGGACATGAAATTAGTGGAGAGGTGGTTGAAGTCGGGGCTAATATTGAAAATGTTGTTGTTGGGGATAAAGTAGTGGTTGAAGTCACAGGAACGTGCAAGGACAAAGGCAGGTTCAAGGACTCACCATCCAAGGATAAGCCATTTTGTGCTGCTTGTTACGATGGATACTACAACGCTTGTGATTCGTTGGCTTTGACAGGTCTTGGCTTTAATGATGGTGGTTGTGCCGAGTTTCTTGTAACGAGTGGTGACAAAGTTGTTAAATACGATCCAACAAAGATTCCTACTGATGTTGCTGCTTTGGTACAACCCTTGGCTGTTTCTTGGCATGCTGTTGGTGTATCCAGGCTCGAAGAAGGGCAAGCTGCTTTGATTTTGGGTGGTGGCCCCATCGGACTAACAACAATCTTTGCGTTGAAAGGTCACAAAGCAGGCAAGATTGTAGTTAGTGAGCCTGCCGCTGCACGAAGATCTTTGGCCAAGAAGCTTGGTGTGGAAGTATTTGATCCTAGTGGTAAATCAGTTGAGGAATGTATTGCCGCTTTGAAAGAGATGTCGCCAGATAAAAGGGGGTTCCATCATACGTTTGATTGCAGTGGTGTTCCAGCTACATTTGAAGCAAGTATCAAGTGTCTTCGAATTAGAGGTACTGCTACCAATGTTGCAGTATGGGCACATAAACAAATCCCGTACTCTCCAATGCATACAACAATGCTGGAAAAGATTGTTACGGGATCCATTTGTTTTGTCAAGAAGGATTTTGTTGAGGTTGTCAAGAGTATTGAAGCGGGTGATATATCTGTTGATGAGTTGAGGTTGATGATTACTGACAAGATCCCCTTGCAAGAGGGTATAGAAAAGGGATTCAATGAGTTGTTGTACAACAAAGGTGATCATATCAAGATTTTATTTACAAATGAATAAAAGTGTACCTAATACATTTTTCTCTCTCTCTCTCTCATTGACTTGTTTGCTTTGATGAACGACTTGCAAGATGAAGCAAGCTTCTATCGCAGTATCCTCGTGATCATGTGTATCTCATCATTGGCTGTGAAAAAATCGCATCGCGAAATTGAAAAGTAAAAAAGTAAAAAATTAAAAAAAAAAAAAGATATTGCAAGCTAAAACTTCATCTCATCAAAGCTAACTCCACGACACCACTATGGCTAAAAGAAAGGCCAAGACGCAGGAGCTTGAAAAGAGAAAGAAGATCAAGCAAGCTCAAGACGCTCAACTTTCCACTGGGCTATTCAATGGAGATATCGACGAAGAGGAGTATGCCAATGGTCATGATTGGGAAAACGAAGAACAAGATTACGAATTAAGGCCGAGAAAGATGAAGGAGAAACATCTCGTTGAAGCGTCTTTACCGATAAAGAGGGAAGATGGGCGGATAGAGAGGGTTTTGAGGGAAGTGGAGGAGAAAGAGGACGAGGAGGATGAGGATGATCCAGAGGAGGAGGAGGGACAAGAAGCAGAGCTAGAGCAAGATAAAGATGCACAACCACACGAAGAAGAAGAAGAAGAGGATGAGGATGAGGATGCTCATCTCTCACCAAGGGAGAAATTAATCAAGACGAAAGAAGAAATAGCCGAGCTTGGTTCCAAATTGATTGAAAGCCCCGAGGAGAATATCGCATGTTTAACCAGATTACGCAAAATGAGTGAATCGAAAAACTTTATGACTTCACAGTTGGCAATAATGGCACTTTTGCCCATTTTCAAATCATTAGCACCATCATATAGGATAAGAGCATTGACCGATGCGGAAAAGAGAGAAAAAGTGAGTCGAGACGTGGCGCGATTACGTCAGTACGAACAAACTTTGGTTGTCAACTACAAAGCATACCTTGATTTGCTCTCGAAATATTCGAAAATATCATACTCAAACTCGGCCAACAATGATAAAGTCACTACTGATCAATTGAAAAGAGGGAATCTAGCGTTGAAAGCTGCGACTGAGCTCTGTACTTCATCATTACGATATTTCAACTACCGCAAGGAGTTGTTTACAATATTGATCAAAAGGCTCAATAGAAAGCCCGCGTACGAGCAGGATATACCTGTGTTTATCAAGTCGGTGCAAGCTTTGGAGACGTTGCTTAGAGATGATGAAGAACATGGTGATATTACAGTTGACATTATTACCATCTTGACCAAAACAATCAGAGACAAAAAGTACCGGGTTGATGAATCAGTCGTCAACATTCTTCTATCAGCATCCTTATTGGCTGATTATGCTCCCAATGACGATACCGAGAAACCCAAAATCAAGTTGAAAAAGAAGGATCGGGTGCATTTATCCAAAAAGGAGAGAAAGAATCGCAAAGAGCGTAAAGAAATTGAAGAAGAGATGCGTCAAGCACAACAAGCAATCACCATTGAACAACGAGAAAAATACCAAGCACAAGTACTAAAGATGATTCTCATGTGTTATTTGGAAATCTTGAAAGCAAGTCAGGATCAAGATACTCAAGAAGGAACCAATGCCGCACCACTAATCGGCGCCTCTTTGCGCGGCATGTGCAAATTTGCCCATTTGATCAATGTCGACCTCGTTGCCGATGTATTCTTGACGATCCGCGGGATCATGTTGGATATAATTGAAGAGTTCAACACCAAGATGCTTGGCGATTGCATATCTGCGCTTTTAAACACTGGGAATAGAAGGCAGCAGACTGTGCTGGAGCCCACTGAGATTCTGCGGTTGTTGCAGGCGATGAAGTTGCATGCGCCAGAAGTTGCCACTTTGAGGTTGGTTTATGAGTTTGTGGATCGGTACGGCGATAAGCGCGGGGATGAGTCGTGGGAGGACGTGTTGATGGATAGCTATTATTGTCCAATGGTTAAGGAGTTGAAGAAACAAAAGAGATAGGTTTTGGTGGAGGTTGACAGATTTAGTTGCATTGTTTGTATATTGTGTAGATGATTGCAAGTGTAAGATTAAACACAGCAGTTGGATTTATCACAGTAAATTCTATGGTTCAATCTTTGTCCACTGGTCTTAAGATTCCCGACTCGAAAGAAGTTTGTTTGGGGCTCGTGCCGAAATGAAGTTTAACTCAAAATAAATGTGCATGACGTGCAGTGAAATAAATGATCCAAAATCAATGGTGGCAAAAATTTTAGGCTATCGCAATAGCGCAAAAATGAAAAAAAAAAAAAAAAACAAAAAAAAAGAAGACATAAATTGGGAAGATCCATCAAACACCAAATCAATTATTCACTTCATTTAGCAATGTCAACTACATACACGTTACGGGTGAGCGACAATGCGTCCATAACTCCATACAGCGACAAAGCTAACCTCCCGTCCGCCATTCTCCAAAATCTAATCGAGGAAGGTACCGATTTCCCCCATCCACTAGTATTCAAAATCGCCAATGAGTCAGATCCATTTAATTACACATACATCGGAGTCAAGGAATTCACCAGTGAATCCGACGAGATTATGCTACCGCGTTTCGTATCTGATAAGCTACATAATCCAACCACTGTTGTTGTTGAGATGCGGCGAGATATCCCCAAAGCCACTTCTTTACGGCTCAAGCCGCTACTTTTCTATCCCATCAACAATTGGAAGCATTTCTTGGAGAGTCGACTCAGCCATTACACGGTTGTGAATAAGGGGGATGTTTTGACTATAGAGGATGGTGGATTAAAGTATCAGTTGCAAGCTGAGCAAATCAATGATTCTGATGCTGTCAATGTGGCGTCTATTATAGATACGGATGTTGTGTTGGATATGGTGCCCTTGAATGATTCCGTGGCGGAACAACAATTGGAGTTTCATAGAAATTACTATGACCAATTTGGCAGTGTTGTTGAGTTGAAGAGTGGTGAGGAGGTTGTAATTCATGGGTTATCGTCGTTTATGGACCCAAAGTTTGTTCCGAGGCTATATCTGATAGACATTACTCAATGGAATAGCCATAGTTTGGTTGTTGAGTTGGTTACTGAAAATCCCGCACGTCTTATAAATGTTGATTTTGTGGTTGGTACGAGCAAGCTCCTAACGCTTGATAATTTTGCATACAGTAGCTTGGCTGAGGATGACACATTGGTAAAGCAGATTGAGAATGGTCTAGGTACTAGAAAGGCTATAAACATTGACTTACGAGACGATTTGATTGTGAACAAATTGAATCGGAGTAAGCTGCTCCTTGATGAAGGCGAGAGCGAGGGTGATGTTGATGCTGATGAGCGGTTTTTGTACGTGATTCCCTTCACATGGCAGGGGAAAGAGGATGTTTTGCTTCGGATCTCGGATAAAAAGGAGCACGAAACCGTTGAGGCGGATACGGGTGATTTGAAAAAATGTCCAAAATGTTTCAAGCTCATACCAAAGGACAACTTTACACTTCATGAAGCACGGTGTCGTAAGCACAAGTCAGAACCAGTGGATTCTCAACTACTAAAGTTCAAACACAAGCAGCTTTATGAAAAACAATATCAATGCAGTTGCTCGCAAACGTTTGCTACATTTTTCGACATGGTAAACCACAAAGCAAGGTGTCCTAATACAATGATTGAGTGTCGGTTTTGCCATTTGATAGTTCCACAAGAGACAGCCACTTATGAAGACACCTATCAAGGACTAACGCACCATGAAAATGTGTGCGGTAATAAAACACAAGAGTGTTACAAGTGTGGCAAAGTTATACGCAGAAAAGATCTCGTCAAGCATATGAAACTACACGAATTGGATAAGGTCGAGTATAATCATGCAGTTACTTTCAACAAATGTGCAAATGTCAACTGCATCAATAGTCAATCTGAAAGTGCCAACGAATTGCAATTGTGTGATTTGTGTTTTGGACCATTGTATATATCTCAGAATGATCCTACCAATATCAAGCTCCAGAGTAGGATTGAAAGGAAGTATATGTTACAACTTTCAAAAGGTTGTGGACAATGTTGGTGTAATAATGAGTTTTGCAAAACCGGGAATCCAAAATTGAGTCACAACACAATGAAGGACAATTTGCAGTTGATGCAAGTGGCCTTTGCTTCAATTCATAAGCCTTTGTTGCCCATCAATAACAAGAATGGCGCAGGAGAAGGTGAAAATGGATCTGCAGCAGATAACATGTTTTGGTTTTGTGTGAATGAGTCTGTATCGAAAAAGAAGCTTTGGTTCGATATGTTGAAAGAAGAAGGTGAGTATGCTAATGACGATATTATATTACAAGCGTTGAAGGTGAATAATGATGAGTCGCTGGTACGTCAATGGTTGAAAAGTAATGCAATTAGTGGAGGTTCCCAATAGGAAGTCAAGGAATGGTCTAGTCTGGTGTTCATTGTGTTGTTGTTTTCTTTGTATAGCACTATTGAAGAAACTATGTGATATTTACCCGCGCAAAAATTAAACATTTTTTTGTCTGTCTGTCTGTTATGTCTGTCTGTTTCTGTGTCTGTTGTGTCTGTTTCTGTGTCTGTCGTATAAAAAAAAAAACAAATGGCGTTTGAAATTGCTTCTTAATCTGTCCTAAACTTCCCCCACCCCCCTCCCCCTCAAGGGGTTCCAAACAAGATATAACAGACATATGTCTAGCATAACCGTCTCGTATGACCATGTTAACAGGGTGATAAAAGGAGATAGTGTCAAAGAAAAAGCGTCTTTGAATTGATTCTCTCCTTGTAAATGGGATTTTGGTGCATCGTCGTATAGAATTCGATTCTTTTTTGTGTGCTTATTTATCGGCGTTAAAGCAGTACTTTACATCCGGAGAGTTTCCTAGCCGACAATCGCCTTGTAGAAGTAAATTTCCGCCTTGTAACGTAAGTAAAGAGGAAAAAATTTTTTGTTATGGTGGATCTCTATGATGTGCTGTGAACTTTTTAAGTTAGTCGTTTTGATGTTGTTGAGTGGAAGGTGTAATATCATCTGATTCTGTCTCGTCGTTCCTGATACTCTTTCTACCCATCGTATAATTTAAAACTTGGGAGAAACACAAAAGAAAAGAAGAGAAGAAAAAAAAAAAAAAAAAAAAAAAAAAAATTTCTTTTTCAATCAAGCGCGTA